GTTGATTTTAGCAATCAAATAATTTACACTAATGGCGGTAAATTCCCTCACTATCTGCGTCCAACTTAATAACAGTATTTCCAAGAAAAGAAAAATACATAACGAGGAGAACGAAGCTTCAAGTTACAATTAATGAAAAAGGAAAAGCGTATGCAGTAATTTGGCCTTCTTTCTTTCATTTTCAACCAATTATTTTTTGTCTTGCGTGTTTTCCAGCTCGTGAACTCTGCACTCCGCTGACCCGCTAATCGGCATTAATGAGGTTCTTATGCATCATGATCAGTTCAAAAAACGCTTCTGGTTCTGTGCCATTATCTTATTAAAACTCCCACAAGACAGAGGTAGGTGAACTATTAATCTTTCCAACATGTCTTTTCTAAGCCAAAGATGGCTTTGTTCAAGTAATTTTATGATGTGGTTGGCAGCTTTTGTCAAACGCCTTGACTTCATGATTATTGAGACAATCTGACGATTTAATCTCGGGAAGGTTTCAACTCGATGGTAAGACGACGTAATTCTACCAATAACATATCAAATCTTTAAGATTTTTTGAAAGAAATTTTAAGGAGGATCTCTTGTAGAGAAAAGCTTAAAGGGAAGATGGTGAAAATTGTAAGCTAAGACTTAAAACTAAAGTTTGAGGTAGATTGTAAGCAAGCGGTAATCCTGAACAAGAATTAACAGGTAACGTTTCTTTCTCCTGTCTTCTTCCCTTTCTTTTCATTCTCTTCTCCTCTACAATTAAATTAGACTTCTTTCCAAGATGGCTCTATTTCCTTACCTTACTTTTACATCTAAAGTCTGTTTAATGAAACGTGTCGTATTTTTGCATCAAATCCATATTTCTTTACATATTATTCAAAAGCAACAATATTCTCTTGATAGCAAACAAATCAATCCACAGAACCCAAAGTTTTGGGTCGATTTTTAACTTGAAATATTCGTGACTGCGTTAAATTCCGTTCAACAATTGTCTCGTCGTTGTCTTAGGAGCTCGTTACATCACGGATCATTTCTACGAAAATCTTTGGGTAGTTTGGGTAAAATTTGGATTATTTCCTAAGGATACTTGTCCCACCAAATGACTTTAAGGAGTTATGCCTCCGTTTAACCATCTAACAAAATTTTGGGGGCCATGATATTTCAACTTTGGCGTTTGTTATACAAATACTCCCAGTATTGGTCCAAGCTAAATTAAATCGTGACGAAGCTTTCAAGAGCTGCGGAAGGAATCACGCATAATTCTAACGGTTGATTGTCCCTTATCAAATTTCACATGATATCGAAACCCATTTGGCAGAGCTCAGTGATTACTAGCAACTTTAAAATTGCATATTCTGTAGTCACGACCAATACTTCACAATGCTGTTCAGTTCCAGCTGTCCGACAGTAGTGTTTTTTATGACAATATTAAATAAAACCATGATACTAAAGAAATGGTAATCATGACGACATTGAAGATAATTTTCATTACGTATGAAATATTACAATGTATGAATGAATATTGAAAATTAGCCGCGTACACTGCAAAGTGTAACCATGGCAACTCATTCTGCTCTACATGCATTCAATGCTGAAAAAGTTGTTATCATTATTATCATTATTGTTGTTGTTATCATCATTATAATTAAAGCTATTATTATCATTGTTATTAGTATTATTACTATACTAGGTTTAAAAGTTGTAATGAACTCAGGTTCTTATGAGAGGCAACCAAACGTTATGTAGGTTTGGACGAACTTTGCTATGATATCATCAAAATCACTGAATTTTAATTTAACAACAATAACAATACTATGTTTATAAAAAAGAATTTCAAAGGCCGCTAGCTAAATACGCCCCGTAGCTTAGTGCAATGTAAAAAGCTCGACTTTTCTTGCGTGTGCAGTTTTGCGCGCGCTCGATCAGAGGAGCCACGACGACGCGCAGGAAGATTTTTTATATCATTCTTGCCATTTCCCTTGCGTCAACCCCGGCTAGTACAAACAAAAACCATCAGACTTCTCGGCTTTATCTTAAAATGCCGGCTGCCTCTTATATTGTTGATATTGACGGCTGGCAGTGGAGTGTTCTTCCATAGTAAATTTAATTAGATCAGTGGGCAAGTATCATGAAAACTTAATTAAGCCTGGCCAATATCTCAGAAATCCGGTAAGGAATAAATTGAATTGCATCAGAAATCAAAACAACATAACAAGGACTCAATAGTTTATCTAGCCCAATTTGGCTCAACCAGCTTCAACAAAACGACCAAAAAAATTCTGTTAGCAAAAACAAACTGATAGAATACTACACTCAAAAGAGGATCACCTCTTCTTAAGTAAAGTAGAATGAATGTCAGGAATGAGAAATATAGCATGGATTCTTTTTCTCACACAAAAAAATTCCAGAGTCTAAGGGCTTGCGCTCGAGCTAATATCTTCATTTAAATTTTTCAGCAGGAATAAAATCAAGGATTGTATACTTGTTCCCAAATATCGTTACATGCAGTGTCAGCTAATATTTGTGTCAACAATCACTGATCTGAGCACCACTCACTTGTAAAAGCTGAAAGGATAATCAAGGACTTGGTTGATGAGGTAACTATTTTACTTCACTTAAATTAACCGATAGGTACAGTATTCTAGTGCCCAGAAGTACAAAAAAGCGTAACGAGTTGTCCTACGCCGGCGCCTCCGGTTTTTCCAGAGATACTTGCGCCGAACACTGACAAGCACAAATCTGCATGTCACGCTGGTAAAGAAAAAAAAATGGTCTAACTGAAGCGAATCACATGGGAAGATAGAAGAATACTAAAGACGAAAATTAATCGAAAACAAGCAAGGACACATATTCGAATAAACAAGAAAACTATTTCAAAGTTCGCAAACTTTGAAATTAGCTTTTAATGAGAGTAAATAGCGGTTTGTTTTGGTAGTCTTGAGGGGATAAATTCCATCCTTATTTTGCCTAATGCCTGGATGTTTGCGATGAGTTTAACTACAAATCTTTCAGTGCTTGATCCGAGTTTAGGCGTAGAGAAAATAAGAAGGGTCACATATATATAGATGTATTTAAAAAAACCATCATTTGCACGATTACTTTCCGTTTCCGTTTCTACTCGCGGGCAGAAGCTGAAAGATGGCAACTAAAAGTAATGAAGAGGAGTGATTGCTTCTGTGTTCATGTTCGCTCCAGGAGTTTGTTTGAATTGGTATATATGATTTTCTATGACTCGCAGCTTCACTTTTTTTTTAAACCTTCTAAGTGGGATTGGACTTTCTCTATTGATCACTGGTTCAACGAAAGCTCCTTCGCCTGAAATACATTAGTGATAGATGATCTAGATTAACACTTTGCAAAAGACGAATTCTATCTGCACGTTAAATACCTTGGCATCTTTTTCAGGGCAAATTGAAGGAATTTCAATATCACGTCAAATCCCGAAAAAAAATTCCCAATAGAGGTCAGTTCGTGGTCGGAAACAGACTTAGCGTCGCTTGTTCCAAACCCGATTTTCCTAACATGTTTTCACGCTCAAGCATTCGACACGACCAAGTAATCGCATGTTCAAATAATCTTATCAACAAACGCGTTTCTTTCGTGTTTTCCTATTCTTATCTTACTTAGAGGCCAACACTGAAGGCAACATGATCATATCCTCTGTTTTTGCATTGCGACGCTAAATGTGCTAATTAACTGCACATTTTCATTTGTGTAATATTATTATCCTTAACACTGTCTCGCAAGCAAAGTCTGTTGACTGGTGAAAATTCAACTGTAAATAGTGTGGCTAAGTAGGCCAAATTCACAGGAAGTTACTTTAAATTCCTTGAACCGGCCAATGCATGCGATGATTTGACGTCATCATGTTCGCACTTATGGGAAAAGCCAGTTTATAAACCTCATATGGTTTTTTTGGATCTTTCGGTGAATTATGGAAGTTACGCCCATTTTGAAGTGATAACTTTTAAGGCATTTTCGCAGCTCACGTTTGAGTTGACAAACCGTTTCGTTAATCGTTTCTACTGTCTGATGTTTTAATCCATCTAAGCTATAACTGTCTCTAATCCGGTTAATAAGGACGATTATCACAACAAGACAGAGTTTGCTTGGAAAACTATTCAGGAGCAAAGAACCCTAGAATTAGAGTTAGAGAGAAGAAAATTAACTAGATAATTTGATACAAGTAACTTAAGAAAAAGAGGGTCTTTGGAATTCCTTCGAAAGCGTCACTTCAAATCTGCTGTAGGTAAACAATTTGTGGAATGCTCTTTTCCTTTTACTTCTGAAAAGCAAATAGATAAACATTAGTATTCCTTCAACTCTATCAACAGCTGTCTGAGTATTGCTCTTTCGTCTAAATTACTAACTTCTGATTCAAGAAAAACTCTCCTGAAACTACGGAAAATTGATTGAAATTGTAATGCACCATATCAACTCCGTGTCCAAATTGAATAAGAAGCCTTGAAATTATATTTTCCTTCGTAAAAATATAACGTTTTGAGAAAACGTTTTCCAAGTCAGCTCTCGTAAAGAATAGACATTTTTGAACGTGATGGCAGATTTATGGAGTGTTTAGTTTCCCATATTTCAAGAGTTGTAACCGGATATGCTTCGCACGGCGAGATTCAAATTTAAGCTTGTCAATATTTTGCTACATTTGTCAATGAGTTGTGGCTAAGACTCTAATGTGCAATTTCTGTCCCTACGTCACTGATGTTAACACTAGCTAAGTGGATCTGTAGAGATCAAAGGTACACAAAATTTTCGCTTTCGCGCATTCTCTCTATCTGGACGTCTAATCTCTGTACCCTGGAGATTTCTTGGCTATATTTTGATAATGTGCTTAAGTGAATGATAAGTGTCGGGAAAACACAAGATCAGCAAGCCGGGGTGAGTATGGCATCGTCTGGACAAGGAGTTTCATAGAAGCGTTATACACCTTGACCGCAATTCTTTTAACTTCTCGCCACTAATTGACACTTCAAGTTCTAGGAAGCAAATAATTACATAGCTCTGTGGAAACGACTCGGATTTCTTTATCCTCCTCAAAAGCGCAGAGCCGGCGCAGCGAGCGACGAAATTCAAAGCAGATTTCATCTCTTCACAGATAGCCTTGGGCAGCCATGATGTTTTCAATCTGCGCTGGTAGAGTTCAACTTTTCTTGCTGTTCGCTCATCTTGCAATCTCCGGCGCGTCGTGGGACGGAACCTCAAAGCCAGGTAAATGAAATACAAGAAAATCGCTTAACTTCGAGGCTTTCTTAATTAATGTTTTGAGTCTCGTGCTTAGCTGTTGACGACATTATTTACAATTTATCATCTGGCGACTTGCAGACTTTAAAGTAGTCTGTCTGTGATGGTCTCTTAATTGATTTTCTGTTCGCTGTTCACAGAGCTTCCTGTAAAATATGGCAAGGAATTCAAGATAACTGTCCCTTCAGTGCTCGACAGTGACGGTAAATTTATTTCGCACGTGGATTGTAAATCAAAACAATACGACTCACGCACTGAACAACGCAGCGGTAGGAGCGAGGGGAGACTTCTGCACTTAGAGGTACCGACATTCGACGGGAAAAAACTGCGTCTTGTTCTCACCAAAAACACGAATTTTACAGCGCCTGGGTTGATAATCGAGAAAGGCGATCAAGTTAGACGATACAAGCTTGACTGTCATTACACCGGACACATAAAAGATCAGCCCAATTCTCTGGTATCTCTCAGCTATTGCCAAGGCTTGGTAGGTTAAGAAGCTTTGTTTACTATTTTTCTCCCCGTGATTAATACCACGATACCACCCAGCTAACTTAGACTTTATATTTAAAAAAAAAAAAAAAAAAAAAAAAACAGTTTGGGTCTTATGACAGTGGACAAATATTCCCCATGGATGAGTCTAGTGGTGATCATCAAAGGTAGTCCTTGCTTTCGACGTCTGTCCAAAGAACCACCTGTCCCTGCTTTTTATGCGGAGAAATTTCGCTTTGTTTTTAATGAAATCACCGTTGTCCAGTTTCTCTTTGTTTTTCCACTGCATTTAATGCTTCAAGACAATGAGTTTATTTTACATGGAAATCAATACACGCGTTTTGCAATATATCCGACAACTCGCTTGCTAAAGACCAGACATGAACAATATACGTGTTTTCATGATTCAATATAAGTAAATTCGCCTAAGAAGATGCCTCTTGTTGCATGTGAGAAAAATCGGAAATCCTCTTGCTCGACATATCTTTTCTGAAGCTTAGCTAATTTTTTTTTTTTCCGCAAACCATTTAGTGCTGCCTCTTTTTAGAACCGCGATTTAAAGGAGGTAGGGCACGTTTCCGGACCTGAAATGCTTGCTAAAAATATCCATTACGCATTATAAGAAATGATCTAACAAGCCTGGCGGCTTCTTTGTAGCCACAAGCAAAAACACGTCATGCTGCGAGCTGGAGTTTTTGTTTGGACGAAACAGAGAACTGTGTTACAGTTCTACCAGAGGTGTTGATTTTCGAGTGTGCAAGCGATGACGGAAGATTCCTCCAAAAGCAAAGATGCTTTGTTTTTGTTCCCACGGTGAAAAGCGACGTTGTGCTTCTGTCTTGTCAACGCACTATCTAATCCTAACTTTTCTTCCGTCTGTATTTTTGACTAATTTTCGGGCGGAAGGGCGATGGGCGGCCTTTTTCAGGAGAATACTTGGAAGACAATTTGAGACATTAATGTGCACAAACCATAGCTCTTAAATAAACGATAAAAAAAGAAAAACCAAACAAAAAGCATCTATTTTTCATCTTCGCTCGATAACCGTACTGTGGCTCCCCACGACTCGAGAGAGGCGAGACGATTATCTAAAATTAACCATTTTATCGATTCAAAATTCAAGTAAAACCAGTATATGTGACTTGCATTACTGAGGGGCAAATACAGAAATTAAATATAAGAGATGTGTTTTTGTCGTGCTGGCCGTATTTTTATTAACGAACGATTATCTTTTGTCTCACGATAAAAAGTCATTAAAGTGTAGTGACTCTATATCTTGAGTCCAACGATTAAAAGTTCACTCGATCAAAATGATTCATATTTGCGCGCAATAAAGCTGTCACGTCAACCTAGTTTATAGCAGGGATTCTTTTGGGAACATGTGATCTTTCTCAGTAGCTCAAACGTTTTCAAGGAATGAGATGTCACAAGACGTTTCCTGTGCGCAGTCCATCGCATCACCTCGTAATGATTGGATCAGCAATTTCGAAGAAAGTTGCCCGCGGAATTTTACCTTTTAACAGGCAAAGGTCAAAGATTCGTTTTTCATCTATCCGAAACTGTCATGTACATGTGTGGAAAAGAAACGAGTTCTATAAGATAAGACGCAAAATAACTGACGAAACCAGAGTGTGAAAGTTTATAAGCTATAAGTATATAGGCGACATAAAAGGACTTGCGGAGAAACGTTTTGTTGAATATAGTTTACTTCACGTGAATTAAATATTGTTTCAGCCACGAACTGTTTCGCATTTCCCGTGTATATCCAAAACACTCAGCCATCATTCAAAATATGATATTTTTAATTCATATTAGCACATCTTTCATACAAAATCAAACCACTTTTGTGAATTTGTCCTTCTGTTGCTTTTGGAATTTCTCAGCTCGCTTAAAATAAGGAATTTCTTGACTGGCACAACGAAATCGCAGTCAGCAGACCCGTAGATGAAATCTGATATTGTGGAGCGCTGAGATGGCATTTTAATCGCGTCTACCTTATCATAGAAACTACTGCTTTTGATGCTTTTTGAGAAAATAAAGATTTCAAAGATGTTTACTTTATTCAAGACTGGCTCTTTTGTCGATTTGAAGAGCACTATCTCAAATGACATCTAACGAAAACAAATCGTTCTGACGTGTCGGTAAACAGAGACCAAAAAAAGTAAAGAAACGGTTGAAAGCTTTATCTCCCAACTGCCCATATAATATTTAAAATTTCGACATCGAATCGCATTTTGCCATCCTAAGATGCCTTTGAGATGACTGAGAAAAGACTGCTTTTCTTGCGTGCGCTACAATCTTGTGTTGCTTATCAGACCGACAACCAATTAATTAGACAACGAGCACGTGATTAGCTGCAAACACTAATTGATTTTCCAAATATAATAGCTATTGATGATCAGATAATTTAATGACTAACGCCTTTATCATTTCATTCATCTTTGACAAATGTTTTTGAAAGACTCAAATTCACGCTCGCACGTCTGTGACCTCTGATCCAAATCGATCGTGCACGGTTCCACCAAGTTTATTTAACCTTTTGTAATCCGCGCTAATGATCCATTACGAATCTCTTGTAACCGCCATAGAATTTTCTCTGATCTAAATACAATTTCTCCCTAGACTGTAAAGGACGGTAAAATAACTACCAAAGTACAAGTTCTGGCACTTTGGTTTTGAACTTTGGTACTTCACTACATCTACCAATTTAGATCATGGAAATAATCATCTTTCAAGAATGTCAAAACATCCCTTGCATAAGTATTGCAGATCTATTTTCTGGCCATTTGCAGAAAAAAAGTATTCAGGGATATTCCTTACGTTCTCTTCATTCCGGTCTGTCTACTGAAGGAATGTGATAAAATTTTCCTCACACACATTTAGTAGGGCATCATTCTTTCTGTCACTAAAAGCATCTTCAATCCAAGCACGATATTAAACTGAAATGAATTTATTGCATGCCCAATTCCCTAAATTTACTTTAGTCGATGACCCAATTTTAAAGGCAGGTCACCATCAGAATTTTTTCCGATCCACAAAGTTTAATTTCGTGGGGTGTTGTTTTCCTTTCAGAAAAGACATCTGGCGCCATTTTTTGAGCATCCATTTTGACCTTCTCCACTTGAAAGTCGAAAACATGTTTGATATTTAAGTGGGAAATATTACATGCGTGCTTTTTGCCCGTAAAGTCCTAAAATGTTACATAAGATCTGTGTTTCAAGGTCAAGAAGTTCCTATTTAAATGATGTTTTGTGGCAATGTGGCACACTTGAGATGGAATAGATGTGGCTAATTTTTTTATATTGTTCCTCCCGTCAAACGCATTTTGCCACCAGCTATTTTGTTTGACCTATCCTAGAATGTTGAAAATTCAAAATTTTTATCACCTTTTCATACCAAGTACAGATGCACGGAAGTTGTACTCCAAAGAAACTTCCCGTGAGCACGAGTTCTAGAATTTTCGAATATGGCAAAATTTCGTTTTCCAAAGAATTTCTATTTTAAGTTGTATCCAACTCACTGGATAACTTGTCCACACTTTTCATCGTTAATATTGTTTCACTTATCGGTATGAAGATTGGAGTTTTGTGTTTCGCTAATGATGTTTCAATCGCCGGTCTCCCATAGACTGTGCACCAATCCAATTTTTGTCCAAAGCAGTGTTTAAGGATAGCAAAGATTGGAGGTTTAATTAAAGACTCTTTTGCGACAGTGACAAGAACGTCATCCACCAGAACGCATAAGACAATACTTAACATACCAAGGTGAAGAAACAAATGAATGATCTGTAAAAACATATGAAATTTCAGTCGTACATTAAGAAGTTTTCAACAGCGCGAAATTATTTCTCCGTGTGTTATACCAGACGTAATTTTATCAGTATTGAAACAGACATCAGCATTCTTTTACATGTTGTCTCGTTAGCCGCGTATGCGGTTTGTCGCATTTCGTATATCCTTGGAACTAAATGGCTAAAATTACTTTTATGAAATACATTTCCTGGAGCGAGAGGGAGGAGTATTCAACAGAGCATGATGCGAGGGGGGAGGGGGTGGCTATCCCGGTGGTCAAACCCTTTCTCTACTTGTTGCATATCATGATTTAATTCTATTGGACGACAATTTGTTTATAGCATGAACTATTTTCCTTAAGACAAAGCTCATTACGTAAATATAATAAGAGCTCGGAAAAGAAATAGGGAAAGACGTTTGTTCTTGTTGTCACGAACGCGAGACAAAGAGAAACGTCGGAGAGCTAGGCCATCACTAAGTTCATATGTAACACGCGTCCTGCATTCTGCAACGATTAGCAAGGTCGAAAGCGTCATGTGCGTTTTTAGAATAAGAAAGATGATTTTTTTTTGTCTCACGCCCTCGACAAGACGAAAAAACATGTTTCCCGACGACTTAGATTGCTAACCACTTCTAGAAATTAAAGGGTTGCAAATTAAGTGGAAAAGTTCAACTCTGTCATACATTCATGACGAGATATTACTTTACATTCCAGAGAGGTTTCATCCAAACTGAAGATGGAGTTCATTATCTCATTGAACCCGTTCAAGACCGAAACGCCTCAAGCGCCAGCGATCAACACTTGCATGTTGTGCACAAAAGGTCAGCGAGTCATGACTCTCTGCCGCCTTGGAGACAAAAAAACCATTTATGCTCAGATCGAGGTACACTGTTACTGCTTTGATGAGGTATTTTTGCTTCAAATGTAAAAATATTGGAGTCTCGACGGCCAGAAGTTCCGGGAGTGGAGTTGGTGGCGTATACCCTGTACTTTCGGAGCAAAGTTAGCGAAAACAAATGACTGAAAAAAAACAGAAACAGACAAAAATCACATTTCGATATAAGGTGATAACGAAACAAAACATACGAAGGAATAAGCCTTGGGTGGGGGCTTGTGCGCACGCAAGGTGGGTGGGATTTGATAGGAGGGGTAGCCAGGGGGGGAAATGGGGCTTAAAAGTGAGCGGCTAAAAAGTAAGGTGGATCTTTTAAGGCGGGAAGAGTTTCATAACACAGGATTTTACGGTATTACAAGGGAGATTCTAGGGCAAGCGCACTTGAATTCAACGAAAAGAAAAACCATTTGAAATTTCAAACTTTGGAGAGTGATAAGTGTCTTTCTTACATTTTACTCAAAGAGCCGATAACTCTGAGTCACCGACTCCGTTCTCCACTCATCGAGATGAGAAGCCAACAGCAAGGGCGTCTAAGACGTTCGGTCAGCACAGAGAAAAACGTGGAGATGCTGATGGTGGCTGATGAAACTATGTACGCATTTTATAAAGACGGATTGGAGGAGTATCTTCTCACCATAGCTAATATGGTAGGTTGGTATAGTTACACGATAATACCTTCTCTTTGTGATGATTTTTCTTTGAACAGCAACATTTTTAACAGTTCTGTAAGTCATATTTATAGGAATTTGTTATGTTTCATTGTACGCAAATTTGAGGTGAATTCCACTACCAACACCCTATAGTGCTGCGCAACATTGGATCTCGCGTTAGAATTTTAAAAAAAGTGTCAAAGAGACTAAAACCTTGTTCACAGCCTTTCCAAGTCGTTGTGCCTTTCTGCAGGAATAATTTGAACCCTTCAACAGGGCGTGAAATTGCGCCTAATACAGGCGCCAATGCGACTAAATTTTCCTGGAAATTAGTCGCCAAATTGGCGACTAGAATGTATCATCATAACCTTACCAAGAGATATAGTGAATTAAAAAGATTTGCAAAGATAAATTCGCGGCGAACTTCCTCGTTAAGTTTGTTTCCAAAACGCAACACATGCATCTCGATCGATAACTAGACGCCATCTTGGATTTAGGTGAGCTTTAACGTTGTATATCGTCCATCCTAGTGTCCACTTTGTAGCACCTTAAAGATCTTTTCCCAAATTTAATTTTGGAGGGTCTATCTGTCTATCTGTTTGTCTTTGAAAATGGCGACCAACTTTTTTCCACTGGGTACCACTTTGAAGAATTTAGGAGCCAAGTGGCTATCGGAAAAAAAAATTAATTTCACGCCCTGTTCAATCCCTAAGAGTGACTGGCTTCAAATTTCTCCCTACACTATCACCCTTGATTCAAATATACAGTCATGAGAGTGATTAAGAAGCTCCTGATTGTGAAACAAATTCTCCTTTGTCTTTACCATAAGAAATATTAAGAGAATAGTGTGGGGAATATCAATATCAATCTAGGGTGAAAAAGATTGAAGAATTATTTTTACCCTCATTATACTGAAATTTAATTGGCTGATGTTACGTTTGTACCAATTTGGAACTTGACTAAATCTTTCAAGCTTGTTAACATTGTAATTTTCGCATTTTTCAGGTGAGCAACATATTTCGTGACCCAAGTATTGGAACTGCGATCAACATTGTTCTCGTACGGGTGATGATTCTGAGGGAAAACCCGGTAAGGAATCCCAAAGGAAGAACAATGGGGTTTTGGGGCGAAGGGGATAAACATTGGCTATTCTAGTTGCCCAAGATTAGTAAGGACACCGTAACTGTACCTCAAGTTTCAAGGTTGCCCTACCCTGCCCAGGCTCCGTCACTGTCGTTGTTTGGTATCATCACGCAACACCTTCTAACGTGACCAAAAAACGGCTGCAAAGGAGTCCAACAAGAACTCAGTGTGACAACAGGCAAACTCCCTGAGGGGCGGGAGAACGCGAGTGACCAATCCGTAATTTCTGATCGGTTGAGAAAGTGGCGCGAGTTTTTTAGACCAATCGCACACCGAAGCGAAACAAAACTTTTGAAATTCCAGATCACTTTCGTCATGCAATTTTAAATTGCTCTAATATTTCATTGCTTTTTTCGATGATCCTCAGAGTGCCCTGAAAGTCACCCATCATGCGGGTCACACACTGAAGCACTTCTGTCGTTGGGCGTCTCTAATAAATCCTAAATCAGAGGAACATGCCAATCACCACGATGTCGCAGTCTTAGTAACCAGGCAAGTGCGTTTGAGGTTTCTCAATAGGCCATTTCAATTCCGAAATGCCCCAAGCCTTGGATTCAAAACAGAGGCAGGTGCAAAGGCTGTGATAAGGATATAATTTGCCATGAAAATTAAAGTAACACTCATTTTAGCATAAAGGTTTTGCATCTGGCCTCATTTTGAAAGTGAGGGCTCTCGGAATTCGTAAATGACTTGGTAACTCAAAGATGAATTGAAACCATTTTTTTACGCCATTGCATGCCTCTTGGAAAAGAACGTTGATTTTGTTCATTGTGTTATGTTACGTGTTTTCCTCTTAACAGACATGATATCTGCAAAGGAATCAACGAACCTTGTGAAACATTAGGTAAGTGAGGACTGGTACTAAACTTCAAGTTAACTTCAAAGGATGCTCACAGCACTTGGTTGAAACTCACTCGAGCGACGATGTTGATTCTGCGACCGATGATAATAAATCATTCGCGACAAAGCGCGGGGAAACGCGGGCATGCCTAGAAAGGAATTTGTTCCCCATTGGTGCACGAATGGCATAGTTAAGAACCACTTGGGGGGGAGGCAGCATTCAATTGTGAGAGATGCTTTCTCTCCTCATTAGAAAATCTTGTCAGGGCCATTGTTAGTTCATTATTTAATATCATATCTTCTTCCTGTTTTCACTGTTATTTCCGTTTTCTTACTTTCAGCTATCGTGTTAAATTCTCTGTAACAGTCACTTACCCCTTCATATCAATACATCTTTTAAATTCGGATGTTCTGACACTCATTTTTTGCCAGGTCTTTCACAAGTGAATGGTCTTTGCACCAAAGATAAAAGCTGTAACGTGAATGAAGATAATGGACTGACTCTGGCTTACACCATTGCCCACGAGATAGGACACAAGTAAGACGGTTATCCATGAACCCCCTAAGATTGATAAGCATCTAAGTTCTGCCAGCAGGATTACCCCTGAATCAAACACTAAGGTCACGAGAATAAATAAAATGATCGCGTATTTAACACGTTCTTGATTTTAACTCAAATTATCCTTATAATTACCATAGCAAATGCATAGAGAGCAATATGGAGAACTCGCATACTAATGTTAGGGTTATAAATGGTTGTATTTAATGATCTTGCGACACCTAAGCTGTTTTTGGATTTCACCTCAGGCACAATAAATTGACAAGCTTGTCAAATAAAAACAAACGGACCATACAGTTATAACAACTCTGACTGAGTTCATCTCCAAATTGCAGTATTGGGAATGAGGACATTTTAGTTAATGAGCTGTCGATTTCAGAAATTCTCTTTGTGCTTGTCTATTGGGTTACTTAAAATCAGTTTAATGTCCTTCGCTTTAAGCTAAGTGGAAGCTTTTTCGCTATTGGAACTTCAACCATTAAGTCCGTAACGTCAGTTTGGGTATTGGCAGTACTGTTCTGTTTACATTTCCTCAAGCACTGACAACGAGAATTTTTCTCACAAGTAATTAGTGATCAAATCCTTTATTCTCAAGACTTGAGTGTTCTATTCAGTAGTGATACTGTGCGGAGAAATTAGATGCTCATCACTCTTTGAGGTTAAAGGTTAAAAATCTATCGGTGGATCTAAGGAATCAATACACTATGGACGGAGGAATAAACAGTTCATAGCCATAATTCTATTTTCTTTACCCCTGAAATTTTTTTTATCAGATCCCTTCCTTCCGTCAGGGAAACGGTAATTGCATGGTCGGCGGAATCAGGCCGATAATGTGTACGGGCCCGCGCTGAAGTGAGAAAACATCTTCTGATAAGATAACTTTGAGAGTGGATAGAGCACAAAGTCGTTATTCCTTAATTCCTATTGGCCAAGGCTGCTTTGTCTATCAAAGAAACAGCCAAACATTTCTACACGCTAGACGTTTATTGTGACGACTGAAATTTTCGGAAATAACAAATGAATTGCGGTTTTCTTATTTCCAAAACGATATCTCTGTCGATCGCTCCCTGAATGATTTTATCGCTTGTTTTTCTAATTTTCTCGCTATCGCTTAATGTAAACCAGTACTTGCTTAAATACAGAAATAGCATCGGACAATTTAAATCGAAATTGTCTTATCTGTGATATAAATGTGGATCATTACATAAATGACTGACTAGCGATCGTCTTTAAGTCGCCAAATGTTAGGACAAGACGAGCCATTATGAGAGACTATACCTTAATTACATGATATTGACGTCTTAATTTGTGGCAGTAAAATGGAAGCACCGCAAGAAACGTAAACCAGATACATTTGATCTCTCAGCACGTTCGTTAGATAGGGGATCCGTCATAATGGAGACAAGTGGTCGGGCTTTTGTACGAATTGGTTTGCAGAACAATCTCTCTAATTTGCAACAATAGCACAACCAATTATCAAATAGTGTACAGCGCTGAGTTGTATATACTCAGAGAAAATAACTGCGATTTCGCGCAAGTATCATCGTGAAAAATAAGTTGCGATTAGTGTATATAAGTATTTCATTTATAGGTCAAATACTACAGGGCAATGGCACAGACAGTAAGTCTGAAATAAAATATTGTGGCTGATAAGAATTGACGACACTCATTGATTAAATTATCTGTGGGATTACGGACGTGAATTTAGGGTCGCTTAACATTTGCACGGTAGAGATAAACATCAGACCGCTTTTTCCTTGATTTTGACGTGTGATATTGTCGGCGTTTTCTACCTCAAGATCTTCTTGGCTACCACAGATTATCCAGATAACAGTCTTTTTGCCAAAATTAATTAATCTTGGACCGAAATTACATCGGTAATCCGCATAAGAATTTAAAATGGCGTATGAAAACACGAAAAAGGGACTGGGCATCAAATCAATCTTTCACTTAAGAGATGTAGTTTTACGCTGAAATAAATTGCAGGTCCGATAGAAATCAGGTCTTCGGAGAGGTGAGTCGCTGAGAATCAGTCGTTCCCCTTTTCCGTTCGGGGTTTTAGTAGCATCCAAATGAAAGGTGCCGATTGAGGAAAGAGAACCCACAGATATGTGGCTCAGAAGGAGACGATTATCTTACTTGACGAAAAAATAGCCGGAAACTCGCTCTGCAAAATATTTCTTTTAGTGTTGCGCGAAAAGTAATCCCAGGAGTATAATTTATAATACTCCTTGTATTCCTGTTAACTTCCACCTAATTCATGATATTTGGCAATCTCAACTGCCCGCACATTAGAAATAAATAGGAAATGAATGAGACATAAATGGGAATTAAACTCGATCCTTTCAGGTTTTAAATATTTGGAACACATATCTGTTCACGATTTTCCCAAAAGTCTATTTGTATCACGGAACTGAGGTAACTTAAAAAAAGGCGGAGGAAAGAAACTCGATGGCTTGACGGACGTGCCATGTAGTTGTCTATCAGGAATCCTTTTCACTCGATATTCGACTGTTAAAAAAACTGTTCCAAATTTCTTGTCTCCTCAGCTTTGGAATGCTTCACGATGGGAACGATAACGACTGTAAGTGGAGTCCAGACAAACCCTTTCTGATGTCTCCACAGCTGGAAGCCTCAGGCCGGCAACAGTTATGGTCCTCTTGCAGCAGAAATTATCTCAGACGCTTCTTGAAGTAAGTTATGTTAACGAATTTGTGGTCGAGTTCTTACCAACGTAAACTTTAATCAATCAACCAATCAGAATGATTATGTTGTCATTCACAAACGCATAAGTCACTTTCTTAAGGTTTGGGCCGATTTTCCTGCGCTTTCCCTAACCACGCGTTTTCTTTTAACTCTGATTGGTTACAGCATCATTGGGCTGACGTACTTTTTCCTCACTTTGAGTAAGTCAAGTGGTCTGACTCCTATATTTCGTTATTCAAAATCGTGATCATGGGGTCTAATCGGCGACAACTATCTTATGGTTCGTACTGTGAACTACAAAAGAAAACAGGGAGAAGATCTCAATGTTCCTTCGTTTTACGAAAATTAAACGGGCGAACAATGGCTTTTTTTATAACCACAGTAAAAGGAATGGTATTGATTATTTCTTACGGCCTTAGTGATTTGATTACGTTTTCCATTTCTTCAGCAAAGGATGGGGCCACTGTCTTAATGACGAGCCTGCAAAGCATGACTTTAAATTTCCCAGAATGCTACCAGGGGTGATCTACGACGCTGACCACCAGTGTCGCCTGCAATATGGTCTGGACTCTTCCCACTGCACAGGCATGACGGTAAGTTAGAAACATCGACACAGTCCGACTAGTTATCTCTAAAACGTTCGGGTGCTCTCTTAAACCTCATTCTTCTCTTGAGCTTGTTTAACATCAATTGTGGGGAATAGTAATTTGGGTCTACATGTTTTGCGTGTGAACTCAAACAAGCGCGTATTTTCGGATCGTGTACATTTGACATTAATCTCGCACCTAGATCCTACCGTGTAACTGTAACTAAAATGTACAACTGCTTGGTTGTGGAAGGTCTGGGTACGAGACTAGTTTGCAATAAATGTGTTCATGAGACTATGGCATAACGTGAAAAGAGGGCTACTTCACTGACACAAGAGATGTGATCACTTAGCCCTAATTAGATTCCTTTTCCTTATGGTATTCACGGTTTTGTCAATCAAAACCCAAAATAAGCAATTTTTAGTGATTACATAAATACTTATTGATACGCAGAATATCTGTAATCGATTGTGGTGCCGAGTCGGTAAGGCGTGTCATTCTAAACTGGAGCCAGCTGCTGATGGAACAAAATGTGGGGATAACAAGGTACATATTGAATTGATTTTTCGTGATATTGAGAGGGAAGCCTCTACAAAAGTTGGTTGAAAATTTACTCTTTCGATATCTGTGCTACCAAAATCATCGAGACATTATTGTAATGTTAGACAACGGATCAGAACTTCAACACCACCAAATGATGAGCTTTTTTGACCCTTTCGCCCCAAAGAGTGACCAGCATCTAATTTCTCCTTACAATAACTCCCCTGAGTCACACATGAAGGTCACAAGAATAAAGGAAATGATCACCAGCTAAAGAATCTTAATTGTTAAACAAATTCTCTTTGTCAACACCTCAAGAAATCTATGATGAACAGTAGGGAGAATATGTATTATGATTTTAGAGTGTAAAGGATTAAATAAGAATCAGGATTATTTTCGACCAGTTTCCTCAAATCATGTAGGCTACTTTTTTTTTTCTCTGAACTGAGATAATTTTGACAAATACAACTTTAGAATTCCACTATCAGCAGCGTTTTTAAGTATTCCCTAACAAGAATAACGAGCGTACTGAAACCTGGAGTTTGAAATCGAAGAATAGATGGACTTAATGACAAATTGTCTCAACACAACCATTCAGTTAAGACAACCGACGAACTCAATTTTAGTCAAAAATAAAGGTGAAAAAAGTTAGGCGTCGACTGGGATTCATTCCGTGAAGACTTAACGCTTCACATCTTTCTTATCATGTAATTCTTTAGTGGTGTTACAAGGGCAGCTGCATTGAGAGAGGGGAGATACCAGAGAGTGTGGATGGAGGCTGGGGTCCCTGGAGAAATTACAGCGAATGTTCCAGGACCTGTGGTGCTGGAGTCTCCTTTACAGAGAGACATTGTGATAATCCTAGGTTTGTTTTGATATTAGAGCGTTTTTACATTTGCAATGTCGTAAAACCAAATAAACTGAACCATTACCTTAACCCCCTCCAATAACAGATCTTAACAAATGTCAACAACCCAAGAACAGAGCTCAAGTTACGAGTGGTTATAGTTTAGGATCTAGTTTGCTGAAATGATAGTATTGATGATCTGCATCATTTAAATAGCTTTACAAAGCAAAATCATTGTCATGTCGGAGTACTTTCGGCTCCATCGAAAACTGGTCGGATCTCAGGTCAGAGCTTTGAGGGGAGAAAAAGGTGGTGAAATTCAATTATTTTATAGGAGGATCTATTTTGCAACGGGTTTACGAGGCAACTGTTCGTGCTGGAGATTTGCTTTTGCTGTCCAACAAAAAATGTAATAATTGAGTTAGGTAAGAGATCGTTGCCATATCTATGATCAGTCTGTTGATTCTTTCTGCACCTCAGACCGGCTAATGGAGGAAAGTATTGCATCGGGGAGTGGAAGAAGTACAGACTTTGTAACACACAGGTGGGTATATTCCACAGAGCGCCTTTCGATCGAGTATCAAAAGACCCAAACCAAAGTAATATCAGCAGGCAATCAGAACAAAAGGAAATATCTCCAGGACCGATAAAAACTCAAACTAAAAACATGTTAACTGTCTGAAGCGCCAGAAACGCGATCGACCTAGTCAAGACTGTTTTAAGTCTTGCATGTGATTTGTTAAGGAGACGACACAAGTTTTTTTACACCAATCGCAGATCACTTTTAAACCTCAATTGTAAATTTCTCTATTCTAAAATTAATATTGCTTTGAAGGTGATTCCTATATTGTTATTCCTCTTCCAGCCGTGCCCTCCTGGCAGCTTAGGTTTTCGTGAGTTGCAGTGTTCACAGTTTGACAAAAAACGCGTAAACAACAGACGATGGAAATGGAAACCACGCTACTCGAAAGGTAAAGTTAAGAAAATATTAGAGGAGGTCATTAACTCAACTCGCTACCTGATATAGGACCGTAGAGCGTGTACAAGGTTATGCGCTATACGCTGCAGTAGTTATACTAACACTTGGGCATGTTAGTGTAGACACCACCTCTCCTGCAAATGCCTTCGATATCACTTTCCTCCTGCAGTGTTCCGTCAAGACTGATCAAAATGTATTTAGTTAAAGTTTCGTTATATCTGTCGTATTTTTAGTCTCTCCTTGTGAGTTGCACTGTACGCCAAAAGGGCTGTTTGGTTTGTACTTTTCCAAGAAGTTGGCTGATCAAGTGCGTGACGGAACGCCTTGTTTCCCAGGAAAGCGTGACGTGTGCATCAATGGCAAATGCGAGGTTTGTAAGCGAACCAAATCCTCTCCTAGGAGTGACCACTTAGTAATTTCTCTTTACAATAGTAGCACGAGCAAAGGTGACGAGAAGAATGCAAATACTACGAACGTGAAGCTCTCTGTTCTACCTTCAAATTCTTAGAGCTAAAATTATAAGGGAATTATGGCAGACGACGAGGAGAATTGAGTTCATGAAAGATCTTGAGACTAGAAAGGTCAATGCAAGTCTTACGAATCATGCATAGCCTTGCAAGGTGAACAATGTCCACCATACACGAGTCGCGATTGCTCGGATCAATATATTAATACAGCAGTGTTGGTGCTTTTCAGTGTTACATTTTCACGGCTGACTCAAAATCGAAACTCTCATCCAACTAAAAAATGTGTATTACTGCGCTGGAATGATTTCTGGTGAACAATAACATTTAATTGATGCATTTTCGACCGCTATGGAGAGATGGGTATAATCTTGCTCTTAACTTAGAATCCGTATTTCTTTTGTTTTCCGATAGCATGTTGGTTGTGATAATGTTCTCCATTCAAATGCAAAAGAGGACAAATGTGGTGTTTGTCGCGGTGATGGAACAGCGTGTGAGACGGTCAAGTCAACTTTTAACCAGAGAACTGGAATAGGTATATGGATATTGAATATTAATATTATCATAATAATTATTACCATCATTATTATTATTGATAGAATTTTAAACACAGGTGACTTCACTTTTCTCTGTTATTAAATCAACTTTCAAACAGTTACAAGATGACTTGGTTTTATTAAATGAGATGACAATGTAGGCCACCGTAGTGAGATTTAAAGCTGAAGTTTCGAGCGTTAACCCTTCGTCAGAGCGAATTTTACGATTCGAAATGTCAGGTTCAAAAAGTTTCTACGGTGGCCAATTTACATCAACTCAGTTGATAGAACGAATTGTTAATCTTCTCGTACTTCCCCCTCCCCCACCCCCAAGGACGTAGCACGACAGTTTCATTAGAAAGTTAACTTATTTCTTAAACAGTTAGATAATACTTACATCATAGTTACCACAGCTGATCGCTTTGAACGTAACCCCTGAAAATTGAAAAAAAATCGGGGGGGGGGAAAGGGAAAGAGGGGGAGCAACTAACTTTGGAACGTAACCCCGGATTTGATTTGGTTTTTAAGGAAACTCAAACTCCGTTTCTGTAATGTAACCTGCAGGGTACGTCGAAACAAAAATCATCCCAGCCGGTGCCAGAAATATCCGCGTTGAAGAAGTAGCTGGCGCTTCAAACTATTTGGCCCTACGGTCGTCCAGCGGTAAATGGTACCTGAATGGTGATTGGTACATACAACAGAGTGGCGAATACTCTGCTGGGGGTACCATGGTGTTCTACAAAAGGACACACAATAGGGAAAGTTTTCAGGCCCTGGGACCGACTACTGATGACCTGCATATTATGGTATGTTGGGAGAAAATTTCAACCGAATAAAATTGTCTGCAGTCCCTTGTCTCTGTTTTACAAGCTTACATATGAAAATGAATATCTCGTAAGCGCTCGGTAGACATTTAATTCAATGCCAGACCTGAGAAATTGAAAGTTTATCGAGTTGATATCTTTTCCCGTTCTGAGGGAAATTGCCGAGTTTCATTTCACTTAGGAAAGGGAATCTTGAAGTAATTGAGATCGTTTATCTTTGAGCTTAGGGATTAATTACTTCAACGGGACTCTTTGAATTGGTAATAGCTGTTCTAAAATAAAACCTGTCTTCATTCCTTCAAGCTCCTGTTCCAAACCAAAAATCCAGGCATTGAGTTCGAATATACGATTCCCAAGAACCAAACAGTAACCCACACACTTGTGTTCAAGTGGAGATACAGCGCTTGGACACCATGTTCAGCTACTTGTGGCGTTGGTAAGTAGGAAACATAAGCAAACTTCAAATCAAGATTGCGCCAAAAAAATAGATCAAAAATTAGACTTTCGTATCCCCATTTTTTGTCTTTTGTGGTGAATAGGGGATTGTTTTCTTTCTCTCTTTGGTTTGATGTTTTGGAGGACGAGAAGAACAGTAAGATAAATTATAAACAGAGAGAAAACTTTCTCGTTCACGTTGGACATTTAAGTGATGCGTTCCTTGAGTGCACCAATGAAAAAACTCCAAGTCACAGATTATAGAGGATTTGGTGTAAATACAAAACACCTTACTAAGATAACTGTACCTTCCTATGAAGGTTTTTTTTATAGGCCCACGACGACAGTTCGCCTATGGAAGTTGCGTTTTTTAAGACTTACATCGGTGTGCTTTAATAAACAATCAAATCGTGAGTTGTTGATAACAATACAAGTGTAGACTTAGCATTATAAATATTTCTGTCATAGGCACCACTCGCTCTGAAGTGGAATGCACGGAGGAAAGTGGTACACCAGTAGATGATAAATACTGCAAACCTTTACCAAGACCAGATGACAGGCAGAAAACCTGCAATGAAGATCTTTGTCCTCCCACGTGAGTACATGAATAATTCAACTATGTTAATAAAAGTATGTGGACTGAATCATAGGTGAATCAAACCTTTTTGTTTGGCGGCGTGGTAATCAGAAAAAGATTATCAGAAAGCCGCAACACTCTCGTTTCGTAAAGAGAATGGAGTCGATTCCAAAAATATGGCAAAAATTTGTCCAGCTTGAAAAACAAGCGTTTCTTTTAAATGATCCGCGAGAGTGGAAACATCGCCCTTCTCTACAAGCTAACATTCTTTACAAACTTAGAAAAAGAAAAAGTAACAAGAGTTCTTAGGGAAGGTTTGTACTCCCGCTAGTTCCAATTCTGCAAACGTTTTATGTTGTTGGCAGAATGTGTAATGTAGACAGCGTCCTTCATTATCTCTCTCAATTGATTGGTCAATTTAGCGGGCCATATTTCACTGAACGAGCCGCTGAATTCAAAAGTTTGGTTGAATTGAAATCTTCCGCTCCAGTTGAACACAAAGAGATAATAAATATGGTAAACTTTTGTCACGAGCGGGAGGTAACGAAAATAAATCAGTAAGGAGGAAATTTAGTGCATCAAAGGATAGAAGTCATCTGACTGGTTCAGAAGTTACATGCTGTCTATCAATACATTTTTAGATGGTGGAGAGGACCGTGGCAAAAATGTTCCAAAAGTTGTGGGAAAGGGATCTCTATTCGCTCAGTGCTCTGTGTAAGAAGTTCTGGAAATGATGAACAAGTGGCATTGAAAGAAGAGGATTGTGCAAAGATCAGAGAGAAGCCGGATGTCGTAAGATCGTGTTTTAGGAAATCTTGCCCATCGGCTTGGACCGTGGGGGACTGGACCAAGGTAAGGAGCTCGACACTAAAGAGAATAATTTATGTGAGAATCATGTGTTTGAACTGCGGAGAGAAATTTTGATGGAAAGATCATGCCATCGTACGGTAAATTTAACAAGAAACATTGTCAAACACGACTCCTTTGCTCCTTATGACTTTAAGTCTTTCGTAATGATGTTAAGTGTCCTGTGGCCAGCTTAAATAAAGTCCTTGAATAAAACTGTTTTGCTTATTCAATGTCAGTGTTCAGTATCGTGCGGCCAGGGAATCAAGAAACGTAACGTGACCTGTGGCGTGGCAGACCCCACAGAAAAGTGCGACAGTAGAGCTGTACCCATTTCCTGGGCTTATTGCAGTGAAGGAATATGTCCCGTGATAACCCTCCCTCCAACAACTATGGTAAGCCGTTTTAATATTATTAAAAAGCCCTTTTGAAGAACAATTTTCAGTTGAGTGTCGACAGTTTTCTGGATTCCATCGGTCTTGCCACACCTCGCTCCGTGATTGGCCGAGAAAACTTTCTCCATTCTCTCAACCAATCAGATGCAAAAGGAAAATCAACTGCGACTTGATTATCCACGTTTTCCCGCGCCTCACGCAGTTTTCTTTCTCTACTTCGAACTCTCACAGGCTTGACAGGATATTTCCCTTCGCTTCAGTTTGTTGAAATTATTTGGTTTTAGTTTCACGACACTCCGTCGAAAAGCGATCTGTCGTAATTAACATGGAGACCTGCGCAATGATCAAACTCCTTATCAAAGAAAACTTGTTTTTGCACAGGCAAACATTTCTCTCGTAAATCTTCGAGGAGAGGATGTCAGAGACGTAAGGAAGAATTCAAGTTTGAAAAAGTACTGTAATGGCCAGAACTGCCAGAAATGGTCAACAGGTCGCTGGAGTAAGGTAGGATTTGTCTACTGTTAAAAACACCCTAATATTATTGTTTATCAATCAGTAACTGTCCTTAATAGATGAATTTTCAATAGAATTTCAAGTTGCCATGTTTTTCCTATAACCTACAGTGTTCGGTGACTTGTGGTGAAGGGAATCAAGTCCGGCGAGTTCATTGCACAAACTCAAATATACTCTGCAACAAAGAGCTGAAACCACCCCATGTTAGAAAATGTAACATGGAAGCTTGTGCGAAATGGCAGACTGGGCCGTGGACCAAGGTAAGTGAGGAGAGAATTTTTCTTATTGGCCAGATTGTTCAATAAAATAAAAAAGAAAAATTCCCTTTCCTAAATGAACAGAAAGCAATTTGTACACTTTTCTCTGACACCTATGGACACCTATGTAACCGTACGTTTTCTTTACTGAATTTTGGACACTTCTTCAGGTCGAACATTTTTAGTGCTTTACTCTCGAACAAATTCCTACAAACGCCGCTGGTTTTTTGATCGTGTATTCCTCTGTTTTTCAGAAGGAGAGTTTCGAACTTCCGATCTTGATGAATGAAGGATAATTGTAATTTAAAGGAACAAAAAATTAGATACTAAGAATTTAAAAGGCGAAGTTGTTTTCATCTCGCCGTAACCAAGAAACGGTTCTGGTTTCAGTTGTCCTCGTGAAATTTATGAAAATTCTTTACACAAGTTATTCTCTCACAAAATAATTATAGCAACGTATATAACTTCTGATACAAAGAAGGTTTTGTCGTATTGCGAACCTTTCAGTCGAAAGTTGCTCTGCACCTAGGCTAGACCACGAGCAGTCTCTTTAATTCGGCGAAGTCCGTCACGCAAGCTAACGGGAAAAAAAATTAGGGTTGTGCGCCGCGCGGAACTCTGAGAGGAATTAATTTCTTGTGCTTCATTCCCAGCGTTCCGTGTGGCGCGCTACCATCAATCTTTATTCGCTAATTTTTTTTTTTTGCTCCCGCGATGGACTTCGCGCAAAAAGAGGAACTGCTAATAGTCTATGCCTAGGCTCCTTACTTAAAAATTTAAGTTCCTGAGCAAACTTCCTTCAAATTATATTCTTTTCAGTGCTCAACCTCGTGTGGAAGTGGAACACGAAAGCGCAGTGTAAGATGTACAACTGTGAAAAAAGATGTAGTTTCGAGGCACTGTTCCGTGGCCGATAAACCAAAAGCCCAAGAGAAATGTTTCCTGAAGGACTGTCCCAATAAAACAACTGGTAAGCTCTCCATACAACTGCAAGTCTTTTTTTTTTGTTCTCGAGAATTGCTCATTTCAACACATCCTTGTTTTAATCATTCCGTATACTAATCATCGCGTATACAAAGCCTGGTGAAAACCCTATGTGAAGACAGACTTCACATAGGAGAATGTCTCAGTTAGTTGTCTTAAGTGTTTATGTGTTAATTACCTTTCCGTTTTGCAGTGAAGTCTCGTACTCAAACAAACTCAAATTGTGCGGAAAGCGCCAGGGATACGTATTTCTGCAAGTTGGTTGTACTGCACAAATTTTGTCAGTTTAAACACTGGAAAGACAGATGTTGTAGGACGTGTCAAGACTCAAGATCCTAACAAAATGATGGCAGATTTTTACCGATTTAATGCGCAACCAGTAAAACTGGTCATAGTCAAGCTATACTTGAAACGTACGACGAATGGCCATCGGAAACGGTCGGAAATTAGATCGTGAACGATCGGCAATCCGTTTCAACGGCGAAGCATATTCAGGAAAATTGAATCTGGTGCAAGCCAGGCACAAAGGACAAATAGGTCAAAAGTACACAAGAAGTAAAATCAAGTAATTTAAATTATTAGCTAACAGTTTTAAAGCGTCACTGATCGATTTCAAAGAAATTGATATTTTAGGAATACAAAATCCAAACTCTCCTTAGCGGTCTCTACATTGCCAGAGTAAAGCGAAGGGGAATTTAATTACAAATTAGCGTTTCGTTATTGTCTAAAGATTTGACCTCCTTGGAATGCTTTTAAATATTTCAATGCTCAACAACCGAAATAGCCTTTTAGGCCAGGTAAAATTTAATAGAGATGGTATGGTGACCATCCTTCCATTAATTGTGATAACAAAAAGTTCAATTCTGAGTTATTATTTTAAGAGCGAACAGACCCGGATTTTGAAAGACGGAAAGAATCTTTTCTTTTGTAAAGATATTTATACAGATGCCTTTGGCGACAGATAGTTCTATTTTATGAACAAATAAAGCAAGAAAAAAAGAAATGTGAAATACTTCAACGGCGTAATTCACTTGAAAAAACAAATCTGGTAAAATCCCAGAATTACTTAAAACTATTAAATATTCATGTTAAGGTGGAGTCTCGCCAATAGCACGACTGAATGAGAGCGTCAGACAGGAAAATATTTGGCTCTCTGTAATGCTGAAAAGGTGCGAGTGAGCTGAGCGTGCGAGGGCCGTGCCAAATATTTCCGTCAGGCCCGACCGCTAACTCACTTGATAAGTGTTTTAAGGTCTTCGAACGTGAATTTTTATCCATGGGTCTAATATATAAAAGCACGTAGAAGTTATAGAAAAATAAAGAACACTACAGGGTTTCACAAGACGCGAGACTGACAGGGCCTTGGTGGTCAAGCTTAGCTTGTTAGGGGCTCTCGGTTGAGCTAACGTTTGTTTCGCCGACGTGCTAGTTCGCCAACTCTGAGTTCGCCGACTTCCACATTACCGACTTCCACATTGCCGACTTCCACATTGCCGACTTCCTCTTCGCCAACAACCCGGGTCGATTCGCCGAAGTATCTTTACTGGTTCGCCGACTTGAGATAAAGCGTTAAGTTTCCCCATGGACTTTTTCTTTAATTCTGTACTTTTAATAACCTGAGTTTAAGAAACTTTTTTTGGTACTTCTGTTGTCTTTCCCGCAGCTTCACGGTGAACCAAGGCGATAACAAACGAACAATAGCACTCGACGATTAGCCTAACCTTTTCTTCGTTGGGAACGTGACCAATTTCGTCAGCACCCTTCAAAAGAGATTGCACGAAGTTTGTTTGTAATTACACTGGCTTTAATTTGGCCTCGATAGCGAGCTAAAACTGCTTGCGAACTGTCCTGTTAGGCATTTAAAAGCGTCGCCAAACTGACTCTTAAATAGTGGGAATTTACTGTTAGTCAAATATTTGCTGCTTAGGATGTCCGGTTTCCTCTTATTTCTTTTTTCATCAAAATGTGAAAACATAACCTAAAAGAAAGGATAAACAAGTTTGTTTGTTTGTTATTACATTGGTCATAGCACGTCGGCAAATCGACCCGAGATGTCAGCCGGTGAAGTAGACTTTGGCAAACTGGCTCGTCGGCGAAAAGACCGAATACATTGGTCAAAAGCGAAATGGCGCACGTTTGACACCTGGCGGCTGTCAGGGGACAAGTAAGACACCCACGAATCATTCGCTCCTTTCTTCACCTTCCTCCGCCTAAAAAGAGAGAGACGCAAGGTTAGGCTAGACTTTGCTGCTCTTCATGCCGATTTGCTCCCTCGCGAATCTGACTCGTACCCAGTCTACAAAAAAGTCCCTCAGCTCCTTCCACGAGGACATTCTCGTCCCCAGAGCCTATCGTTCTACTGAGCTGCTATCTCGTGTTCCTCAGGGCAACTGTGTTACTCGTCGCTCACTTCTGAGAGTTAAAGGACTAAACTTATCGATCGCTTGAACCTAATACAACGCGATGACCAAAGGAGAGTAAATTTAAGACAAAACTGGTGGTTTCCACACTTCTAAGCTACTTTTGTTTTAACGAATGGGAATAAATGAATATCATATATTTGAACTACGGATTAATAAATGAAGATGATAATGATCATCGCCATTATGTAGTGAAAATCAAACCTGAATCAAGCCTGAAATCATAACTTGATTTTCACTCCTGTACAAGTAGTGTTCAAAAATGCGATGATCACTCTTACCTTTATCTACTAAGCCTTTTGTTTTATTACGAATTGAGGCAAATTTGCTTACAAAAAAAAAAAAAAAAAAAAAAAAAGTCGCCCTTTTGAAGATTATACCGATAAGGACGACTTTTGCTATCTCAGCGATTCAATTGATGGTCATATCTTACATAACTTGTCAGTTTTGTGTCACCGTCTGATATGTAAATCGGCTCCAAGCGGTCAAAGAGTCTCATCTGCCATGTGATCAATGATGGTTTTCAACGAATCTTCTAATTTGCGGGCTGTAAATAGCTTGATAAATTTAAAACGCAGACTGGAATAATTTACGATAACTGGTTTTGACATCGGAAATCTGTTTATAAAGGTAAAACACCATTCTTCGTAAATTCGTGACCAGCTATTGCGGTTTGTTGATGTTTCAGCGTGCATGTCATTAGTCTTGTCTGAAAAAGTTTGAAATGTTTGCGATCAATTAAAGATAGCTCTTTTGATGATTGCATTAGAAAAGCTAGAATTGAGCCGTGTATAGTCTAGTGGTTTTATTCATCAGTCAAAAACAACTCCTTATAACTTCCTAACATTAAAGTTTCATTTAGCTTTGTCAAATGGTCGCGAAAGTTGAGACCGGAAATAATCATGACCGGAAATGGACGAAATGTTTACGTGTTGCTAAGGCTTTGTAGCCAGGGAAACCGGTATCTTGGAGACGTTGTTAGAAAAAGCTTTTGTTTGCAACGAGGAGGAGGCAGAATCGCATCGGAATTTGCGGCGCTCAGATCTTGGGTTGTTTCGGCAACTTTTCAGAGAATAATTCCCAAACTTTTTAAGTCTACAATTAAGGAAATATGGCCACTGAAGAAAAGGGAGAAAAAGTTGTACAGATTGCTGCGAGGGAAAGAGGTGAGTCATGGCGGAGTTATAAGTTCCAAGCTCGATCAAAGTCAAGTAGCTTCAACTTAAAGAGCGTAGTGGATGGGTCATCGAAAACTGGTTCGAATATTAGAATTAATTTTATACCGAGAAAATGTGTATGATAGATTTTCCCAGTTGGATGGGATGATTTTCGTAAAACTTTTTGGGTCCAGCTTGGTGAAGCGTGGCGTGTTCGAAGCCACGCGTTCACCTTCAACTTTTTCCATCACCAAACATTGGTCATGGCGAGAGCCATATCAACATTTTGTATGTACTCATCAACCTCCTTTTAAAAGAGAAATTAAAGGAGTAAAGAAATATTAAAGTAAGTGAAATTTGTTCAAATCTTTGAGGCATCTTTAATTACATTTATTTAAAACCATCGATGCAACACCCAATCTTCTATTATAATTTCGAAATCTTGGATTGAAATATACTGAATACGATATCGTTTTCCTAATCAATGGCCAAGGAAGTGAATTAGGATATGTCTTTACTTTCCATTTCACAAAACAAACCTTTCGGGGGCTTTGTGTCAACACAGCTGCCTCGTGATGTATTTTCCGGACTATTAGAAGCTACTGGCAAGCATACCGTTAATTGGTTATACTGTCATTTAGCTTTCCTCAATAGCCCTATCTCTTCAATCAAAGGCTACTGTGTCATTTGAATGCTTTTCGATCTGAAACTGTGTGCTCGAAATGTGGCAATTAAGCCAATGTGTTTTATAGCTTTCGACATTTGTCACGAATTGTTTACAGTGCAGCTTTGAATCACTAAGGACATATTTCGTTTCATCTGCTCGCTTTTCAGGCCCAGGACCCGGTCGATATGGACTCCCTTCGATGTTGGGACATCAACAACATGATTGTAGAAGAGTCAGAAAGCCGGCTTATTCATTTGGTCATCGTTTGGAAAATTCAAGTAAGTATGCGCTGGAAATTTTGCGATCGACGGAGTCAGTGTTGTTCTCGCCATGGGGTTTTCCCGCAGTGCGAAATGTCAACATCCACTAAAGCTCACAGTATGAATTTTACATGTATTTTCGTTTTTAGTGTTCAAGAAAGACTGCAGTCCTGGACCTGGGTATAAAGTTGATCCACGTATAACAAAGGATGGAGTTGATGGAACGCCAAGTTATTCCATTTTGGGGCGACAAAAAGATACCAGTAAGTAGCTAGCGCTAAAAAAATATTACAAATGGGGACTACACGTTGAAATGAGCCTATTGTTGTGTTTAGAAGTGAAGCACCATAACATGCTTAAATTAATCAGGCGGTAAGAAGCCGAAAGCGATTTCAACAGAAGAATTAATATTTAAGTCCTGGTAGCATTTTGAAGGAATACATGCAAACACCTGTTCCAAAAAGTACCTGCAGGTCTTTATAGACATTATATTTAACGTATATGGGCTGAATGTCGCCTTTCGTAGCTGAGCCAATAGTCTATTCGACACGGTTATGTTATTTTTGCCTCTTTTCGTTCGTAATATGGATTTACTTTAAAAGAATGAGACTCAAAGCCTTCAAGTCATCTCATGACAAAAGAGAGAGTTTCTCCGAAATGAAGAGAAAATACTCGATATTTGACTTTCAAAAACTTTTAACTGTTAATTTTGAATATATAATAAGCGATTTTAACATCTTATCTTTGAAATTCGTTATCACCCTTGAGCATATCCGATAGATTTCGTTTCTGTTTCATCACGATTTTCTATCTATGTGAATATGCATAATGCAATTTTAACCAGGTGTTTGAATCCTAACAGCACTTCCATGGTAAATGTATATTTTGCTAGTTAAGCATTGGAAATGTTCACCTGTCCGAAAATATTCATTAATATGAGGATTTGAGTCATTTTGTTTCCTTTTAGTAATGAACCTTTTTGCATGTAACACCCAAAATTTCTCTATTGTGTGAAGTTATCAGCCACAATTAGTCACTAACTAAAGATAACTCATGGAATAAATTATAAACTTCAGGTTCTTGCTGTTTACAGAACCTTAAAGGCTCAATGTTATTGAATAATTAATATTCTGTGGGTGTAACTATCACTTTTAACATCCAGCAAGGCCTGGTACTCCAAGTATTATGAAACAAATTGTTTCATCCCAATAGGAAAAGTTTGGTAACAAAAAAACTATATTTTTGAAGAGACAGAACTAGTTATTAGGTGGAATACCTGTAAACTAGCCCTCAAGCTAAGAGTATATCCATGTTGAAATAAAAGTATGTAAGACAGTACAAATTAAATAGCTCTTCTAAGTAGTTTGGTCAAAACATCATACATATTTTAAAAAAAAACTGAACTGACTATATGCATGTAGCACTACATAAAAACACCCAATAGGTTTACAATGTATTTCTATGATTAAAAATTGAATAATTTCTCTGTTCACTTTTAAGTGTCATTCAAGACACCAGCACCAGGTTCCTACTCCCCAGAGAAGGTCCATCCTCAAGGAGAAAGATATGCCCCAGCATGGTCATGTGGTGCACGAACAAGATACAGAAAACGTAAGTGGGCACTGAGATATACAGTAACACCCTGCATGGCTTCCAAATGACAAACCTTGTCATCTTGTTGCCCCAAAACAAAATCACCATCTGTAAGACAAAATTCCCACAATGTCATACTATTTTTTTTTCATCCTTTTAGGTGACTCCACTCCATCACCCAACTCTTACTCACTTCCAGCGCTACTTGGATCCAAGATCCCAAACAGATACTCATCGGCATCCTTCTCTATGACTGGAAGAGCCAAGACAGGTGGATTTGCTGAAGATCTTGCTAAGACCCCTGGGCCAGGAAATTATAGAACTGTTGATCCAGTAGTCTACAAAAAGAGGGACCCAGCTTATTCCATGAATCAGAGAAGTTACATGCCTGGAGGTAAGTATTTTAAGTGTAATCAATATCATCTTTTGCAGCTTTTTTAAATTACATCATTACAATTGATTTCAAATGTGAATTTCAATTTTACAATTAAGTCTTTTTTTTGAAGAGATTGAAGCACAGTTAGTCAACATGCAATCTGTGCCATGAGCAGCTAGTTTTACATTGCTGCAGTTGCTTACAGCATCTTACTGATCATTTATCAACAAAAAAAACAATAAAAACAGTTATAGACAACAATACTCACTTACTCACTTCTTCTACAGATTCCACTCAAAAGCCTGGACCTGGAGCCCACAGCCCTGAGAAGGTGTACATAAACAAACCATCAGCCCCAAATTTTTCACTTGGAATCCGTCACAGTGAATTCATCACACCTCTTATCATTGATGTGACAGACTAAACATTTACCTCAAATTCCCAGTTCATTTTTTATTCCTTTTCATTTTGTTTTCATCCTTTTTTTTACTGGCAATCTAGCCCCCAAACAAACCTGAAACATTTTTGTTTTAAACTCATACTTGAAACTTTTTCTGGATCCTTTTTTAATCTTTTTGTTGAGCCGTAAGTTTTAAGAGTTGCAGTAAAGCCACAACTTTTGATTCCTATACTGCTAAATTTGATAAAAAATTTTAAAAAATAATTTAACTGGATCAGGATTATTGTTTTGCAAATCTAATACCTCAATAATAATTGCTAATCATTTTCAGTGTGTCTCAACACTTGCCTCTTTGATTTGAAAATATACAACACATTAATTGAATGTTCCAAAAATCATATAAGTTATTACTTAAAGGAGTGTCTTTCCCTGACAATATGTTATCTGTAATTGATGCAAGAGCAGTAATCTTAAATTCATTAAAGATGTCATGCCTTACTTACCTGCCATGTAAATTTGTTCATAAAAAAAGTGAAATTATTGTCATGAGTTCTGTTTCTTTGTACTTGACTTTCATGGAAATCACCTGTATTGAATTTCCACAGCATCCTTATCAACTCAAATCCTTGCTAATTAGCACTTGATTGTGCTAATTTGATTTCAAAACTTAATAACTGCAATACTTTTCCTTGTTTCTAATCACCTGTAGTCAACAACTTGAACATTTTACAATTTTCCATCAAAGTTCAAGCTATCAAACCTTTAATGTATGCAATAAGCAAGCCTTTATCCAATCAGAGGACCTGCCAAAATGGTCCAAAAGAGATATATGAAACTGCCCAAAGCTCTGCAAAAATGTTTGTGACCCTTCCCTTTCTGGCCGCAAAAAAATTTAATGACCCTCCACCCCACTTGCACCAGACCCCCATGCCCGCCAGTAAATGACAGACCTCTAAGAGAAGAGAGAGAAGCTACAGGTAGTTACATATATTTTACAATGTGAATGCAACAATTCAATTACTAAACTATACATCCATGACTAACGTTCGCACACAAGCATGAAGTGGCCACATGAGAGTATTTAATCAATGATGTTACTTCATTTACAAGTTTGTTCAGTTTGTTGTATTTATTACGCTTGAAAGAAAATGTTCACAATGCTAAAAGAAAAATGTGACAGGTTATTAGTGCTAATACGACATCTAAAAGAAAAAGACAAAAATGGGGTGCCTGCTATCTTCGATATCTATATCTCTTAAAATGAAACCAGAGTTGGAAAATATTGTTTTGAAATTGGCAGCGGAATCCATGACGATGAGAATACTCCCATTCGCGGTTGACAATCTTGAAGGCAATATCCTATGTTGGAAGAGAAACAAATATTACATAAAGAGCAGATTATTAAAATTATCAACAAAATTATTGGAATGACAAATTGTTCATAGAGAAGTCATAAATCACCTCATATGGGGGTCCTGCATGAAACCTGAGAATAGCAAAGTCTTTTGAATCTCCTGGACTTTGTTCCTGAAAGAGTAAGCAAATCCATATAAATTCATATTGCATATTTTAAAAATGAGACAATAAGAATTATAGACTTAGTTTAAATAAATTCTGTAAAAAAAATATGAAATTCAACAGCATCTAGTTTCCTGATTATAATCTTTAGATATCAACACTCTTCAATTGAATAAATTATGAATAGTTTATTCAAATTATATGATATGGAGATTGTCATCATGGTTTTAAAATAACACAAGTTCCTGACCACCTTTTGAAAATATAAACTAAAAAGAGAGAATTCAAGAAACTGTTAAGTGACCTACCAAAAAGTATTCTGGTGCTTCTTGTTTATTGATAAGATCAGGATAAAATATCTGTCCAGGAAAAAAAAATTAAACTCAAAGGGCCAGTTATTTACACAAGATCTAACCCAAACTGCAGTTTTACCCAAGCAGTGGGCCCAAGGAATTCTCTCTAAGAAGGTTGATTTGATTCAACAAATGTTCTTCCACTATAAGCATGTGACCCTCTTGACACTGATCACAAAAACAGTAAGAACTTACATTAAACTTGTATCCTTGCACAATCTTGGGTGGTGGATTATCACTATCGTAATGAGTCTGATTGTATTTATTCCATTCATATCCCTGTTAAAAAGCAGAGAAGAAATCTAAGTCTAGAAATACTGAAATCAACTCTTGTGCTGGGTGTCCTCACAATGGCAGTTTAACATCATCGTAGTTTTTGTGCAACAAACTGACTATGAGTCAATACATTGTATTAATCGTCACTCTCCCAAGATTGGATGCCAGTCCATTGCAGATAACAACCCTGCATTTCATCAGACTTCGCTGACAGTTCAGTGGTACCCATACTCATTTCTATTCCAAGGTGGATTAAGGCACTGTGAGTCAGAGTGACGTGTCTTGCACAAAAACACATTGACCTGGCTGCTGCTCACAGTTGGAATACAATACCCAGAGTTCAATATTCTGACTATTGGGCAACCACATCACCAATGAAGAGATGTACCGTAGTTACTCGGTTATAGGGCACACCGTTTTTTTCAAGAAATTCCTAATTTCTACTAAAAATTACCGCCAAAGTTTGGGTGCGTCTTATAGGCGAATATTTTCCCGAAACAATTTTTTTTTTATCACAGTTACTGGTACGAATTCAAGAAAATAAAAGGACACAGTGTTGGTCATTGACTTTTATAAATATGGTGGTTCTGAAAAGACGAGCGAAGTCAAATTTGCATAGATATGATACGTGCTCGAGAGCACGTGCTCAGTAATTTTTTTGTTTGTGCGCGTGGTCGCGTGTGCGACAATTCTGCTTTTGTTAATTAACGGTAAACTAAAATCAATACGCGACTTTTTTGCTTTTTTGTAAGTTTATGAAAGAATTTACAATAAACTTGACCGATCTTTACTCCCCAAACAACGGTGCGCCTTATAACCAAGTATTTTAGCGATATTTTCAGTTTGAAAACATGCAATAATGAAGTTGCCGAATTGGGGGTGCGTCCTATAGCCGAGTGCACCTTATAACCGAATAACTACAGTATTTAAAGAACTCATGCAAAAACAATGCATTACTGATAACTTTTATAAATACATGTCAGTAATGATTAGCATAAGTCAAAAAGAAACAATTACACTTGAAACCTACTGTGTGAACTCTGTTAAAGAATCTTGGTTTTCTGGGTCTGTACTTGTCTGACCATAGGTATGTCTGTGGAAAAAAATAATCATATTCACCACTGTGATCAGGAGAAATCTGAAACAGAGCTCTCTATTGCCAGTTAAATCACACTTGCATCATTTTTATCCCTTTATGTACACAGGCATCTCTAACCTTTTGCGTGACAGGAACAGGAACATTAAATGATTCTTCATCAGCCCCCATGCCTTTACTAGCTTCTGCCGCAACCATTCCTGCTGATGCTGCACTCTTGTCCTTTACCAAATAAAAGAAATATAAATTTTGTTGCCTTCAATTAGTAACTGTAAATTGACTGAAATAGTTAATTTCTCACCTGGAAATCAATAGGAACCTAATTAATAATAAAGCTAAAATTAATTTTAAGAGCAAATTTTAGGAATTAAGCACTGACTGGAAGGATTTACTAGACACTCACCACATCTGCTGTTCCGCCACTTGAGACTTCTTGTCTTAATATTTCCTAAAATGCAATGTGACGTGTTGCTGAACTTAAACATTTTCTTATAATACCTCTGAAAAATATGTTTTGTACTGAATTTTAATCATATTTAATCTAATTCTTACAATATACAATCACGTAGTTTGTTAAAATAATGATTACACATAACAAAAAGTATTATAGATATCATAGTGATGGTGTAAGTGGTACTGTGATGGTAATGATCATTAAAATTATAACAATTATACCATCCAATGATGATGATGATGATGATGATGATGATGATAATGACAATGATCAAGCCCTTATTATACAGTACAAAACATCTACAGTGTATTTCCTAGAGTTACCATAATAAACACTGTATCTGATTGAAAAAGACACTGGCTTTTTCTTACTGAGAGAAAAACTAAACTACATGATTATAATTATATAACCTTACCATGATTTATATTAATAAATTCACCTGAAAATAATTACTCTAAATAATTGTAATGAAATTGGATTGCTCTCAGCATGTTTCAAATAATATCCAAATAGCATATGTCTTGTTCTTTATACTGTACTGCAAAAAAAAAAATCTCACGCAGCACAAAATAACTTAAAAAGTTCTCAGATACTTACAAGTTGCTCCCAATCCTCTGTTGGATCAACAATCATACCCTACACAGTTGATGAGAAAAAGTTCAACTTTAACCAGTGAATTTAAATTATATGTTGGCCACTTAAATCCAGGCAGAGAATTATGAAGCTACATGTATGTTTACAAGATAGTAAACTGAGTTTCAAATATTAGTCACCTCTTCAACGTCTTGAAACTTCAACAATCTGGGACTGTAATTGCCTGCATCATATGCTGTATAACCTAAAGGTGGAAAGAAACCCTCAGATTAATTTTATACAGACAGGAATAATCAAAGTAAACAACAGCCTAAGAAATTTACTTCATAAAATATTTATCTGAAAATGTTTTGAGTATTGTACCTTCCTCTGTAAGATCCAGTTCTGTGTAAACACTTGCATTTGTCTCTGCCCCTCCAGTTGCTGCCACTTTCTCTTGTTCTGCAGATTCTTTTGCTTCACTGCCATGATCAGGGTTTTCATTTGGCTCTGTATTAGAGTCTGATTTGTTACCTCTTTCTTCATCATCAGATCCTTGTTCTGACTCAGAGCTTTCATCTTTTGACTGGTTAGCCATCTCCAATTTCTGACAAGTGTAGAGAAATGAGATGTTTCATAAAATTAGTACTTACAAAATAGATGTCTAGTCCTTAGAATAAGCAAATCTCCTTACACTCTCCAGCTTGACAGTTTCAATTACATTGATCAACCTATCATAAGATTTCCCCAGACCATTACTCCTAAAAAGTTTTACTTACTAAATGACATTTCATAAGTGATCAGAGCATAAGACATTGAATTTTCTTGACTGGCTTCTAGCATTACAATCAGTGATAACATGCCATATTTGCAGTGGAACTAGTACTATAAAATACTGCAGTTACACAGAACACTGCCTGAAGAAAGCAAGAAGCTTCATTTGATCCTCGGGAACCTATTCATTTGACACTACCTGTTTTTTCAGTTCATCTAACTTTTTCCTTAGCATTGTTTGATGAAATTCCCTCAGCCTTGCTCTTGCTATATGTGCCTTTAACTGATGCAGTAAAGTTTCCCAATAACCTGCAAGTAAAAGAACCAAATGCAATTTTTCAGTTTCAATACTTTGACTGCTACCCTTTTTAAAGTTTCCCTTCACTGCCATTTCCTGGGCTTGTGACATGGCATTTTCCCTCTCTGTAATAAACCCATGTGTATGAAAGAAGACTAAGGTTTATTTTATACATACGTGGATAAACAATTTCAAATCAGTGCCAATCAATCAAAGTCAATAACCCAATACTCAGTGTCAATCATCATGAGAATGCATGCATTTGGTTTCCTTTACTTTGTCCTGTAATTGGCTCCTAGTGATATTTTTTGCTCCAATTGGCTACTTTGATTACTTTGGATTTGATTTATAATTATTAATTAAAAATTGGTTTCTCAATATCTCAGTTTTACAGAATCTAAAACATGTATAAAGTAATTATACCTATATCCACTGCATCTCCACTTGCTATCTTTTGGTTGATCTGCTTTTGCAAAGCTAAAAGCTGACTGTAAGTTTTTCCACCAAAAATGTTTGTTACATCTTTATTGACAGAGGCATTTATACTCTCTCGTCGATCCATATGTTCTGCAATAAGAATGACAGGATATATCATTAGCAAAATTATTTCTTCATCAATGCCTCACCACCAGAGAAGAGATTTGAAATGAGTAGATGTGTAATATTTTCATCTTGATTCACACAGCATCCAGTAAATTGTAAAAGTGCTATGGCCAGACTTAAATAAAAAAGTTCTCTTAGATGCTGAATGTAGGAAACAAACCCTGCTAAAAAATTCTCGTGTTTTGACATTTTTGAATGAATTTAAAAAATGATTATGACTTCAACTTACCACTGTACCTTGGATCTTCTTTCTTTAATTTTTGAAGCTCATCTTTACAAACAACTGTCATGTCCTGCAAAAAATTATCACTAGGCTCACCAATTTGAAATTTTGTGTTTAAGTCAAAATAATCTCACAAAAAAAGGAATGTCTTTGAGCAGGTATAAAAAAAAAGAAGACAAGCACTTTGTTTAGTATTTTACCATCCAAAATTCTGCATTCTTCCCCTCCTCCAACTCCATGTACACCTTAATATCTACCATCAAGTCCTCCAGATCATCTATTGTGAGTCCCTGCAAAGGCACAAAAAAAGTAATGATACCAAATTTTCAAATGGTCAGGAAATATGATTCCTGTAAAACATTATAAATTTAAATTACTTCCTGAATTCAGAGTTTTGAAGGAAAAGTTAGGAAAGTTGAAATGGGAAATTTAATTTGAATCAACTGATTGTCATAAGCCACAACAACAACAACAACAAAAAGATATTTATAAAATAATATTTGATCAAGGTTTCAAGGGGGCTTGTAGGTTTTGGAGAACTTGTTGGCAAATTCAAGGCCATAGTTTCTCTTCAAAGAAGGCTTGATGTCAACTACCTCCTGTCAAATGATCATGATAATATTATAATTTGTATAATTTGCATGTACACATTGTGTTTGAGTGTTGCTTAGCTTGACTTGTAAATTATAACAACAAATCACTAAAAAAAAAAAAAAATTTCTTATCACAATAAGCAAGGCAAATATTAGGCACAGAGCAGATGATGAATGCTGCATAAGAATACTTAGATACCATTTAATTTCAAATTAACAGACTATCAAAATCCATTTTACTACATAGCAAAACAAATCAAAACCATCAACACTGCTCACCACTAGAATTGTGTAAGGTTCATGCATTTGAATTTCCAAGTCATTATCTTCGGTACTGACATATTGTGCCAGCAGATCTATGGGTTTGGCTGAAAACAAGACAAGAGAAGTCATGCAATCAAGGAACAGAGTGTTCTTCTGTTTCAGGGGAGTCAAGCATATAAGGGTAATTAGAGTAAAAACTTAAAGGGAACTGTGACATTTCAAACAGAGCATGTTGCCCATCAGGCAAACCTTTTAAACTACTTGCCCCCTAATTGAGATGGTTTTGAGTTTTGAGATGATTGATACAAGGGGAAACAGAGGGATGGAGTAGCTCTGTTCCTTTTTATCATAAATAGCATGCCACTGAACTATAAAATTTCTTACCAAAGCAATTATTTCAAAGGAGCATACAAAAGCCACTGAACTGCCACAACTACTGCCATTAACCATTTTAACTATAACTTAAAGTATAAACTAACCAGTTCTCTCTTTCTATTTTCATCTTTTAATGTTTGGTTAGGTATAAAGATTACACTGTATAACTCGGCGCATGTGCATGTAACCAAAATTATTATTTTTTTTTTACTACAGCCCACAGCTTTGCAAAAGTATTTATTGCCTCATAAATTAAGTCACTATAATTATAGCTATTTACATTTAATATATGATTGCACAGTACCTCTTCCATCCTGAATGCGAATTTTTGAGCGCATCTTTGCCTGTTCCAAGTGAAACTATTTTCAAATACAAGAAAGATAATAAGCAAAAGTCAGCCAACCATGAAGAAACAGAACACTGAATTCAACATTTTCTTGAGAACAAAATCACCTTGATGGTGTGCTTAGCACTTGTTTCCCTAATAATGTAATGGAAATTGGTTGCAAATGAGCCAGGACTACAGCAAGGGAGTAGCATGTGCTGGCTGAGAGGTTTAGCCCTTTCCAATGAATAGGTAAATGTAACAGCTCTATAGCCAAAAAAATGTTTCTAAAACTTTGGAAATTTCTTTTTTTGTGTTTTTTTCTCTTTTAACAAAAAACAAATCAAAAATCACTTTTTTGTCATTTTAATCTTATTAGTTGAAGAGGTGCATTTTAAGCATCAGAGGAAACAAACAAGTGACAGATAAAAGTACACGTTGTTCTTAAGAAAAACAATATTTATTTAATAATTATCATTTTGAAGCTAAACTATATAACTTCAAACCCGCAAGACCCACAAAAAGTTATAACTGAATTATTCATAATAATACTTTAAAACTATTATACAATGCAATTGCATCATTAAATTTACATGTTATATACCTTATCCTCCTGCTCTTCCCACTCCTTAAAAGACATTGCTTCTTTATCCCTTTGAAGTGTTTCCTAAGATGTGTTTGAATCAAAATGTAATGTTTCGAGAGTATGAAAATGCATTTTAACCACATTATGTGTATGCATCTTTTTGTTATTCCATCACATAAATCCAAAGAATTGCCAGGAAATCATGGTTCTTGCCATTATAGCTAATAATTATCTTACCCTTTCCTCCTCTCGCATCTGCTTTTCATGTTCCCTTTCCTTGAGAGGACAAAAAATACAGTTGAAGCTTCCTAGCACTTTATTTAGGCTGTTATTAAAATGTCCAGAATCTCTGGTTATCATATATTCTTAACTTTGTACAGTGTAAAATCAGTACCACACACTTACAATCAGTTTGTTAACAGTATTTAAATACAATTTGATGTAATAATGACACTTACAATCCTTCGCTTTTTCACTTTTTCCAGTTCTCTCTACAAAACAATTGAAAATAGAAGGCATTCAATAGATAGCATCACAATGAAAAAAAAAAACTTTTTAAAGTAAAGTTGCAAAAAATCTGTTTTCATGACTTATTCAAAATACATTTAATACCAGGTTTAAGGTTGATAATTTTTTCAACTGCTATTATATTCAATTACAACAATTTGAAGGTTAATACTAACAATTCTTGTCAGACCAAATACTACAAGGACCCTCCAGAGTTACTATAAATTAGTTCTAACAGACAGCATTGATTCCATTTGTTTTCAGCATACAAAAACTGACCAATTACTACAACAGATGGAGTGGGATACTCCCTAACCTATAAATGCTGCAAAATGTCCTTTACGTAAAATGTCCTATATCCCTGGACAGCATGTACAAGTAATTTTAAAAGCACTTTGATTCTGACCTGCTACCTTAACTTGAGTTTCAGATGGTTCTATCATTCAAATTGTTAAAGGAATGATAAGTTGTCTCTTTCTGTTGATATCTCACATAAAGTATGAGGTTTTTTCTATTTATTTTCAAAGAGGGGGCTGAGCACTACACCAACACTGCATTAAAAAATACAACTTGGAATCCGGGTGCAGAAAATATCTGCTTTTACCTTCTAAAATGAAGTCAATTGCTTCTTAAAATGCACTACTTTGTTCCTTAACCCTTTAACTCCCAAGATCTGATTGTTTATTCTCTCCATTAGCTGCTATACACTTCCTTGCAAATTAGTTACAAGAATTTGGTATTAGATCAAGATAACAACTTCTACCCTCTTTTACCCTTTTGCTGGACAAAGTATGGATATAATAGAGAGAAGTTACTTGTTAATCACTTCTGGGAGTTAAAGGGTTAACAAGATAAATTTAATTGTACTTTCTAGAATTGAACAATTCAGTCTTTTGGCTAACTATGGCATCTTTACCTTAGCTTCATGTTGTCTTAGCTTTTCTCTTCTTCTTTGCTCTTCTTCTTTTAAATGCTGTTCTCCATCCTTTTCTCTCTTCTGCAGATCACAGTAAGTTGCATGTAATAAAAACAGTGGCTTAATTGTTAGTGTACAGGACTCCATATTAAAAGGTTCGAGGTAATAACTTGGTTCCAATATACAGTACATATGATTATGCTGTGTTCTAACCCAAAACACACTCCCCTCAGTGGCATTCTCCAGCCAAACCTTTTGAACAGAGAAACTTTTCTGACAAATTGCCTTATGCTTATACCAGGGCCCAAAATAAGAAAAAATTCCCATATCACCCTTCTATACCTTGGAGGCAGACAATGGTCACCAACAGTTAATTATGGATCAATATTGGTATCTGGGCAACTGCCCACCTACCCCTTCCCTAACCCAACATCAACTCTAACTTGTTATCAATCAATTTTTTTCAGGTTTGGGGAGGGGTAGGGGTAGGTGGGCAGTTGCCCAGATACTTGTTATTGATCCTAAATTATTATACGCCAATTTAAAAGCTACATCTGAATTGTAGCCGTAAGGTGCATGCTTTGCATGTGTGTGGTATTTACTAACACTAAATATTTAATTTGGTAATATGAGATACCACTACTCTAATATAAAAAATGATTAAAGTATGGATAAATAGATTCAAGTGTAGAGTGAAGAAAAATTGGTAAAATACATGTACCTTTTGCCATACAAAAGTTTCAAGCAAATGAGCATCTCCAAATGGATTATCAGTGTTTGTATATCCCTGAGAACAAAAACAGCAAAATGATACATATACTGTAATAAAACAACAAAGGAAAGAACAATCACATCACACATGAAATTTCCTGTTCAAAACATCTCTAATTTTAAGTGTACAAACACCTCTGTTTGTGTTGTTTTGTTCTCGTGTTTATTTTTGTTTGCAAATTTTTTGTTCCTTCTGTACATTAAATTTATCAACAACCCAACCCTTTTAAAAATGTGACATTAGTCACTGTATCATTGTCATTTTCAGGAAATTTCATCCTGGACATGGTGAGCCTGCAGTCTCTTAACCCTTTAACTCCCAGATCAAATTTGTAATCCTCCTTACTGTCCACCATACAATTCTTATAATGTTAGTTTAGAAAATTTAGTATTGGAGTAATTAATTATCCCCAAATTGATATTTTTCTTCATTCTCATCACTTATCTGGTTGCTATTATATTGATATTGTAGGGAGAAATTATTTCTTGGTCACTCACAAGAGTTAAAAGGTTAAGGGAAAAATTACCAGATATTCATCATCCCATCCCATTTCTTTCTTTTTCTTTTTCTCTTTTGCTTCCTGTTGGGAGAAATAGTAATCAAAGTATAAATAATTGTAAATCATCTCTCCAACAAGAAAACATAATCAGATAGCATCAGGAGAAGGTGTATGTTCTATACCCCTTTCTCAAGTTGCTCTCAGAGAAATACAGTTATGTGAAGATAGTGTTTTACCTTTTTGGCAAGTCTCCTTGCTCGTTTCTCTTCAGGTGTTTCCAGTGCTTTCAAAAGTTCTTTTTCTTTCCTTCAAAATACAAACACATGTTCTAAATCAATAAATTATCACACAAAGAACAGCTTTAATCCTTTGATCCCAAAGAGTGACTGGAATCTAATTTCTCCTTACCACATCACCCCTGTATGAAACATTAAGGTCATGAGATTAAAGAAAATGACCACTGACTAAAGAAGGTCTTAATAGTTAAACAAATTCTACTTGTCAGTACTATAGCAAATGTAAAGAAAACGATACAGAGATTCTGTATTTTGATGTTGGAACATAAAGGGGTTACATCAAATGACACCACAAAAGGCAGGAATATTATGAAAATTCTACAGAGCAGTATGTCAGTATGGTTCACCTTGCGGGAAAACTTTGATGAAATAGGGATGACACTAAAGGCTCTGTTGAGATCTAATGGATGCATGGAAGTGGCCTTATACAATATATTTATGGAACGTTCTTCTCGACAACAACAAAATGTTTCCATTGTGTAATCAGACAAAAATGTTCCTCGCTAGTGGGATATAAACATGAAATATAATTTTCAAACCTTTAACCTACCTTTTACTTCGTTTCTCCTCTTCTCTGTCGACAGTCTTCTTTTTCGCTACAACATTTTCCCGAGTACGATCTGCTGGCGAAGATGAACGATCTTTGTGCCTGCGTCGTGGAGATCGCGAACGAGTACGGCTTCTGCGTTTTCGACCAGAAGAACGAGATCTGCTCCTACTTCGACACCTACGATTTTTCCTATCGCTACCAGGCATACTCGCTATGCTTTAAAATAAGAGAAAATGACCACCCTTTTACTCAAACTTCTTCCAGGAAGTCCGCCATTATGTTTTTCAAATGTCAGAGTGAAGCTCAGCAGTGGTAGCCAACGCGAACGTAGTACTTCATATAACATGGTTAATTCTTTTTTTTAAGATGGCGGCCTTCAGACATTTCAGGTCCAAAAATATCTTCTTGTCAGGTCTGGTATTTTTTACTGAAAATAATTATTTTGTAATATATTGATATCTTTTGAAGTATCTAGTCAGCGGGTTCGATTTTAGAAGAAAATCTCTCATCGCGTTGTTTTTACCCCAGGTTTATGCAAGTCCTTGTATGGATCGATAACGCATCGCGGCAAAATTGCCCGCCCCTTTTTTCTTCAAACTCAGATCACATGCTGATATGATGCAAAATGTTGAAAATGGCACCTGCCATGTTTTTCTTTGTGTAAAGTGCACAGCATTTTAATCAGGATTGCTACTAGTACAGTGTGGAGTTTAACTCTTTTACTTGTAAGAGTGACTAGCATCTAATTTCTCCTTACGATATCAACCCAGAATCAACCGTTAAGGTGCCAAGAATAAAGGAAATGATCACTAATAAAGAAACTCTTGATAGTAAGACAGGTTCTCCTTGTCGGCACCATGAGAAATATGTAGAAACAGTGTGGAGAATATACATACTGATGTTAGGGTGTAAATGATTAAGTGTTATGCAAGTTCTTTTTGTGATGAAATCTTTCTGAGAAAGAATAATAGCTGTCCAGCCTGTCAAAAGAATCAGTGAATCAACTAGAGGGCATTTTTGTCTCTTCTAGATCCTTCAAGACAGGTGATCAAGAAAGGAAAGTGTGGTCAGATTTTCTTAGGAAACAAAGCTGTTAAGGTAACAAGCTTCAATCAAGCTTCCTTGCTGTGTAGAACTGTCAACAAAAACTTTCACCATAACTGAAGTCAACTTTTCTTGTCAGTAAAGACCTTTGGTGTTTTATATAACATACAAAATCACACATGGTTGTTTGTAAGTGTGGAATTTTGCATGTAACTCAAAGAAAAATTTGATATTTACACAGGGAGTGCTGAACAGGTACTTGAGTGAATCTGCCACCAATGAAAAACCAACTGACCATGAGGATGCAGCAGAACTGCCAGAGAGTGAGTCCAGTGGTAAAAGATCAGTTGTTGATCTTGGAGACCTTCATCCTGTAAGTGCAAAGTTGTATGTAATAACCCTACAGATAACTTAAAATTGCACCAGAGAGAAGATGAACAGATGAAACACTTCCATGTGATTGATTGTGTTAGACAGGGTAGCCTATTGTTCACCACATAAGACTCTGGTTTTAGAGATGTGATATTCATGGGCAAGACAATTTTCCTGGCACAGTGACTCAGTTTCCACCCCAGGAATATAAATAGTTACAGATGAACTGTTAGGTAATCCTGATGTAATTCTTTGGGATGACCTGCAATGGATTAGCATTCCATCTAGAGGGAGTAGCAGCACTCCTAGTTGCTTAACCCCATGCACTCTAACATCAGTTTGCATATTCTCATTACTTTCCTCCATAAAGCTATTTGATATTAACAAGGAGAATTTGTTTGACAATCAAGAGCTTCATTAGTTGGCGATCATTTCCTTTATTCTCATGACATCAATATTTGTTTCATTGGTGATAAAGTTTGGAGAAATTAGATGTCAGTCACCCTCTGGTGTTAAATGGTTAATGAGCTATTAACTGGACTAATTTCCCAACAGATGAGCCATCAGTGTAAGCTAACTTAAACTTACCCTTTTCTATCTTTTATTTAGAATTTTTATCATTTTACTAAAATATTTCACACAGAGTAAGATCTATAAGAGCCTTATTATTCCAAGATTGAAACTTTCTTAAATTTATCTTTTGTTTATCTTTTTTTTTAATTTATCTTTTTCTTGATTATTCTTCAGGCTGATCACATGAAGTCCAATATTGGTCAATTTTACACCATCCCACAGGACATTTCTAGTAGAGTTCTCTCCTACTTCTTCACAAAGAGATTTCAAACAGAGGTACATATAAATCTGAGCTTTTTATATGTTTTTCCTGTTTTTTGCTTGCTCTTCTAGATTAGATGAAACCTTTGGACAATTTCTTGGTTATTTTTTTGTTTCAAGTTTGAAATGGCAGGCAGCACAAGTTTGATGATAAGAAGCCCTGCTCTGGAGGTGATACAGCATCTGAAAGACTTACCAGAAAGGAGCCATCCTCCACCAAAGTTTATTTTCTGTATCTTTTCACAACTCTTTTTGTAAACTGTAGTCCCTGTGATATGTGGTCTCTATGAATCAAAGTGTTAATCCTTTAACTCCAAGAGGTGATTAACATGCAAATTCTACCCATAATTTCCATATATTATCCAGCAAACTGGAGATCAAATTCTTGTAACTAGTTTACAAGAAAATATGTAGCAGCTAGAGGGGAGAATTAAGAATCAGATCTTAGATGAGATTTTTGTTGTTGGCTTGTTATCAGTTCTTTTCTTTAACTATATTAAAATAGATGGTGATGATGGACGTGGAAAATCTTTATCACTTATTCATGTTCTCCATTATTGTTTTTCTGCTGAATGGTTCATTCTTCCTGTACCAAGTGGTAAGATTTGTGTTCTGGTATGTAATTAATATGTCACAAAAGGTGGTATGGATAAATGTGTTTATATTCATCAAATAAGGGCTCTAAACTTTGAACAATAGGAAAAATGGCCTTTCATTTGATTGGCAGAGGAATGGCCACAAAACAACAATATTAGTTTTAGTTGATAAAGTCAATAAAATGTTATTTTAATTATACTGAAGTAAATATTGTAGTTTATTAAAATAACTGAAATTTTTTAATGTCAACTTAAGTGAATTGATCGTTTAGTTTCCTAATAGAGTTTTTTCCAATTTAGCAGAAGTTCCACAGAAGTGGAACTTACTGATAGTAAAATGCTTAGATAAAGCCAAACTTACTGACACAACAACCACAAATAAAAACATCATTACTTTGTTATTGAATTTATTACCAGGACATGGAAAGAATGGAGGGAACTTCCACTAAATTGAAAAATACTAATTTTTACCTTCCACAATCCTTTTTGTCTTTCTTTGAGCTCCTTTTTGGTTGTTTTAATGATATATTTTTCTTTTCAAGCATAAATGTCATAGGAATAATTGAGGGTTGAACAGATTGTAATAAGTTTAATCAATCATTCATGCACCATCAAAATCCAGGTAAACCAAAAAATTAAAAGCAATCCTCTAAAATTAGTTAGTTGCCATTAAGTTGTCTCTAGCATAAAATAATGTATTTGTTCATCAAGTAGAAGGTTCAAGTCTAATTGCAAGCATGATTCTTATTGCAGTATTTAGCTGGGTGCATGGACCATCTGAATTGCAAGTGTCAACATATCATGCAGATAGATTTGACCAACCAAAGCTGGCGAATTCCTGGCTTCAGATGTGCAAAGCAATCAATGGCAGGGCCCTTGCTGAGGTAAAATTGCAGAGAAAGGGGACAAGCACTTTTTCACTACCTTGGCCCATGTTCTGATTCCCACCCTTTACAGTAATGATGCAAAGAGATTTACTTGTACCATTTTGGGTGATTTACTGGTAGCTGTTCTTGAGGAGAAAAATCCTTCATGCTTTTGGCAACAATTGATGTTTAAATGACTTAGAGTATCTAAAAATCATATATGTGAACTGTGGATTAAGAAATGAATATGAAAGTGATCTTCACAGTAATGAACACTACTTATAATAAGCAGTAGTGAAAAAAAGGCTTGAAAGAAAAAAATTTTCTTATTTTCTCTAATGTTTAGGTAGTGTTCATTACTGTGCAGATCATTTTCATTTTCAATTGATGTTTGGTTTTTAAAAATTTGGGCCTTTTACTCTAGTAAGGCGGTATCTAGTCAGTGGATGAAAAGTGAGGTCTTTGAAAATGCATATACACTGAAGCAAGACTTCCTAATCATTTTACTGTCAAGATCTAGATATGAATTCTCAGCAATGTCGGCCATGCTTTTATAGTAATTTTAACTTTGAGAATTTAGTGTTTGGTCAAATGATTCCCCTAGTTATTATTTTTCTTTCTTCACATCACCTCTCTGCTTGAAAATGTATCATTATTGGTTGGAGAAATTCCTTTTTGGTCACTTCTGGGAATGAGAGGGTTAAATCTTTTCAACATGTCTAAGTTTTATGGCTTCATTTCTTTTTCAGGTCCAGTTAAACAATCAGTATCTTGTTGGCAAGAAAGATGTGATAGAAAAAGGAGAGCCACTCGGAAAAATTGTAGATACTGTAAGAAGACATTTTTTTGTATTATCGAAACTATAACAAAATTCTCGAACGTAATCTGTCATCACCAGCCCGATTTGAGCATTAATAGGACGGTGTACGCGTCTTGCCTCTAATTGGACAGTGTAATAGGACAGTCAAAGGGACAGTGAACACGTCATGCTTGTATAAATGGACAGAACGCGCTGTTTTCTCGCATTTCGCCGAGTTAACTGTCTTTTTTTTTAATGAAAACGTACAACCGATGTTTAATTTCCTTCTCAGATTCTGCCTAGTTTTGATTAATTGGTAACAGGAGTTCGTTTCGTCCAATTCTGTCGAATCCCGTCGAAGCCTGAATTCTCTTTGTTTCTTTCCTCCATTGCTTAAACTGCATGTCATTTGCGAGGATCATGGCTTTATTTTATTTTCTATCCGTAAGCCAAATTGAAGTTGTTTCATTAAACAGAAAAGGTTGGTCCCTTCTGTTAAGCACAGAAAATTACCTTTGCGTCTTGTGGGACTCTAGGTATAAAAATTGGGTTAAAAAAATCACTGGGGGAAGATCCGCCAGTTTTAGCTGGGGCACTGTATGTCATGTCACGCCTTTAGACCAATTGTGCGCAAATAAAGATATTCGATGGATTATGAAGCTAAGTCTTTTTACATCTCAGGGTCTTAGGAGAGCAAATTTTACCTCTGATGCTGTAGGCATATTACTGAAAGAAATAAGGAGTAACCCCAGGTTGGTGTGTTGACTAATTTTTACGCCTCGTCTACTGTAAGCTAGTGTACATGTACCTCGGAGATAACACGCTAGAGTCGATGAATAGGTCACGAAGTTTGTTCTCTCATGTGTCATATGGTACCGATATAACGCGGGAAAGAAAAAGCTTGTAGAATCGACATTTTCTTCTTCCCCTTTCAGTTTGCGAGTGCTATTTGCTGTGAACGAGTTCAATGGATTTTTCTTAAAAACCACCCTCAAGGATGTCAAACAAAAATGGGTAAGGCAGTTTAACCCTTTACACCCTAACATCAAAATTTATATTCTCCATACTGTTCTCTGTACATTTACTAATGCGCAGACAAGGAGAATTTGTCTAACAATCAAGAGTCCTTTAGTGGGTGATCATTTCCTTTATTCTCACGACATTAATATGTGATTCAGTGGTGATATTGTAAGGAGAAATTAGATGCTAGTCACTCTTAGGGGTTAAAGGGTTAACAGATAAGTACAGATGTGGTATGAACTCTGTCTAATCCTTGGATACTTCGTCGAGTAACAGCTAGAAACATGGAGATCTCAGAACACCAAGCCCAACCCTTCACTGACTAAACAGAAGCACTGTGCAGTAATCTCTTGCCCTCTGCGCTTTGATGATGATTCCCTGTGGTCGTTTTTTTCCGCCTTTTACTGAGTATTAGGTGGTTTGGGTAAATTTCGACAAATTTTCACAATACTGGTGAACTTACACCGAAATTGATCCTTGCCCACTATGAAAGAAAGAAAATTTCTCCTCTTTGGGCGGAGACAAAAGTAACTGCTGAAAATTTGCCCACGTTAAGTTTGATTTGCTCTACTCCTCGATGTTCATCGATGTCATCTGTTTGACTGCATTTATATGGTCCCACAGTACTTTTTAAGGTCTCCCTTAACGGGAAGGAGTTCGTGGAAGATTATCTTTAAATTTATTTTCCCTTTTTTTGTGCTAGATAAAACCCAAGAGGCTGAGTTTGGTACATCACTTTACAGAACTCCTTCATCCTACTGAAGGACTGGTAAGCAATAAGAAATGGAATCTGCAGTTTTTGTCAGTGATTTTGCCATTTGCTCACGCGCAGAACGCTGGTTTCATCAAATCCAAATTTGTGCAGCCATGCGACCACGCATTTGGTGCACAAACTTAAGACGGTTACCCATCGACAAACGAACGGTTTCGCCAAATGCGTATGGGACAACTCCCTTGGGCAGACGATCGTCGATAGCTTTTTTATTTTTTCGCCAAAGAGAAACGAAATTGTATGTAGTAAAATTTAACAATCTGACGAACGGTGTAACGCTTGTGGTAGCATGTAAGTAAGAACACACTCAAAAAGTATCAATGAACAGAACATAAACATTTTTGTTCATTTTTTCTTTCCCTTCAGAAAAATGGAGCTATGGTGTTCGCGTTATCACGCACAGGAATGTTGAGAAGTGACATCAAGTCTTATGAGATACCAGACCTCATTGGACAGGTGAGAAGGAGACACACCTTTGACCCTTTAACTCCTTTTAAGATCTCATAAGTAATTCTCCTTACTGTCTGCTATATAGTTCTTTAAATGTTAGTTCAGAGAATTTAGTATTGGATCAACTTTTAACCCCAGACTGATATTTTTCTTTATTCTCATCACTTATCTAGTTGATATTGTATTGATATTGTAAGGAGAAATTCCGTCTCGGTCACTCATGGGAGTTAGAGGGTTTATGATCAACCCATTGCACCATTATTGACCGTTGTATTTCCACGGGCCCGCTGTGTTTTCTTAGGTCATTTCCGAACTACCTTCGGCTTCTGTTTCAAAGTCGAGTGTTTTCATTCACATGCAAATTTAACTCACTTTCACACAAATGGTTGAGCACCAGGCCTAGTTTTGAAAAAAAGGGGCCAGAGGTAATTCGGAAATGGCCTAAGGAAAAACAGCGGGCCTTAGGAAACACAGCGGTCAAACGTTGGGCGTGCGTCTCGCTGCTTTTCAATTGATGGGACCAAACTTGTACCTGAGCATTAGATAATCGTTGCAAAATTATAACGGATGTTGTTCCTATCAACATAAAGAAAAAAAAATTGATCCTTGCGCATGGGGAATATCGCACTTTGCAATCAGGGTGCTCCCTAATAGACACCTTTGAGCTTCTTTTTTTTTTTTAGATGTGGTGCTTATTCGGGGGCGGCGAATATTAATATTTTTGCTCGCACATGCGGCGCGTTATCGAGAGCGGCGCATCGAGTAATTACGCCATATACTTTTGACATAATTTTGAGATAACATATACCACAGCCTTGAAAATTCTCGACTTATCCGATGATTATTAATAATAATTAAGATATTCTAAATATTTATCGAAGGCATCATGTGTTCTTCTATCCAACATAGAGAGGTTTAACAGCAGTCCAGGATTCCATTAACATCGAGGTTCCCCGTTACTCTGGAGAAGAACTTGAGTCTTGTCTTCAGTTTTACAAGGAGAGAGGAATTCTAACAAAAGGTAAAATTGCTTAGTAGAAGAAAAATTGGAATTTTTTATTCTCCACTCGAAATTAAAAGGCTAGGAGAAGAAACGCACACTGTACCTATTATTTTTTCTTTTAATGAACTCAACTCACATTTTAATGCATATGTTTTACAACTTGTAAGGTCCCAGGTAAATAATCTCTGTTTGGCTTTTTATTTCTTTTCGCTTTTTGGCTTTTTGCATTTTGTTACGTGTGTCTTCTTCATTCAATGAACGCCCCCAAAAAAATTTAGCAATATTGTTGAAGAAAGACTTTGTATTTCTTGAGTATCTCGACTAATTATCGATACTGTCTCTTAGACAGCTGTGCATTAGAAATTTCTTTTTTTTTCCTTTTATTTCAGAATTAAACTCTCAGCTCATAAAGGAGATCGCCTTTCTCACTGCTTACGAGCCACCGATTGTAAGTCACTTGTGTAGGAGATTCTGAACATTTAAATGAACATTTTTCCATAAGTAACTAAAGCAAATTGTAAATAATAAAACAAAGCTTGAAACTTCAATACTGTTTGGTATATTTTGACGTCAAACTTATATAATGTATTATATACCTTCCTTTAAAAAAAAATTATAACAAGCAACACTTTTGGTGCCTGAAAGGCTCATTTACTAGCAAGACTGAAATCTTCAGAAACCTTTGAAGATACCTCGGAAATATTCGCATAACTTCGGGGTAGTTTACGGCTTGCTTTCGTAAATCTTCGGAAATTGTTGCCGTAGTTTTCGCATCGTTGATGAAAGAACACAAAGTGACGAGAAAAGCTGCGACGTGACTCTTTATCGTAAAAAAGGGAACCAAAAGTGTTCCGTTGCCTGAATTTACGGGAAGTTATTTGAATTAAATATCATGTTGCTGAATTATAGATGATTTTCGACTAATTCGAAGCAAGGCGGTTTTTTTTTTTGAGAAACTACCGCGCTGTCGCAACCGGGTGAACGAATATCCAAAAAGATGACTGAGCAGTTGAGGGTTTTCTCTTGATAAGCTAATCGTATTGTGAAAGGACAGAAGCTGTCACCTCAACTATATGTGTCCATCATATTCCCTCTTCTCCTTTTATCACTGGTTACACAAGGCGCCAAGTATTCCCAGAAAAAAACCGTATTACATTTACCCTTCAGTTTTTTGGTGACGTGACTGAACATCTGCTTGCAAAATGACTTTCAAAGGACAAATGCTAAATTGCGATCAGGAGGAATTGAGAAATCCTTGACGCTCGTTTGTTAGGTTGTCTACCTATATGTATAGGGTTAGGGTTAGGGCAAGGGTTAGGATTTGTGATCCAAATTGTTTTCTGTTGAGTACAACAAACAGACAAATCCAAAACACAAGCAAAAGCCGCAGAGAGGGAGTTTGGAGGGGGGGGGGAATGAGTCAACCATCATGGGATCATAGTGAAATTTTGGACGATCCGTCCCTCGTTCTCTCCGGTTTCTCTTATTAATTTCCTGTAGTTTCACTATCTTTAAAACCAGCGGATCCAAGTTGTGGGGGAGGTCGGGTAAAATTTCTTTGATTGATTGTTGTTTGGTATTTAGGTGGAAGGGGGCAGCCGTCAAATACACAACAGAATAAAAATTTTTGCTCGCCACTTAGTACCTATTATTTTATTCTTATCATCTTAAAATGTAATTTTCTAAACTTTAAACATCTAAATTTTTTTTAATTTTGATATTGTTATCTTTAAAATGAAAATTCTCAACATTATTTGTTTTAAGATTCGCAAAGCAACTGACGCACTCCTTCTAAATGCCTTTATTAAATGCTTTTGCACCAAGGTTTAGGAGAATAGTTTAGCAATCATCACTTGAGATTGTTTGAGTTTTCACTTAGAAAAAAAAAACAAGAATATACTTCTATTGAAGCATATTTCGTAATCATCCGGTCTTTTGCAGGTGTTTTTTCATTGATTTTTTCCCTCTAGCTTGAATGAGTGTCGATAACTCCTAACAAAGATGTTCCTGGGGCGAATTGCACACCATAATAAACCTATTTTGTGGGCAGAGTTCTCATAAGTCCAATTACAGCCGCGAACGATGGCAGTTATAGACAGCACAGACCATTTTTATGTTAAATTCATCGAGCCGAAGCGAGCTGTAAACAAAAATTTTGTTTTGATTGCTGGTATTGTTTATTTGGTTTAAATAGATCTCGTGGTTTGTACGAATTTTTGTGGTATATAATTTTATTTCTTAAAATACTGCTTGTTGAACGGTTCTCGGAAATTCTGTTTTGAATTTTAAAGAATATAAACCATTGGGCGCCAAAATTCCTTATTATAGAGAGTTTTAATCATACAAGTCCCGAGGCAGTCTTTTGAGATGTTAATAATGCTGTAAATTATTTTCCTTCGGTTCATTTACATCTTGATAAGGCGATGAAGTGAATGTGGGAAAGATTTCACACGCATTGATGTTGGAAAGGCTCTTTCGAACAGTAAATAAAGGTGAAAAGGAAAATCTTAGATTTAGATGAAATTTTAATCAGGCATTAATTCAAGCGTAAAAACAGACAGATTGAGCTTCTCAACGCTTTATGCATGCTATTTAATTAAACAGCGACGTTGGTAGCCCGGCTGAAATCGATCAAAAACCAATCTTTGTTGACCATTGGCCATCCAGCTTACCACATCTCATTTTATCAGGGAAGATATCTTCGGATAGTTTTATCGCTGACGGTTTCGAAGGAAACTCAAAGAAGACAGGTAAGTAGAATTGTTCCAGACTTTTAAAGGCAGCAAATCGCGTGTATGAACTAATAACTTTATGAACGTTCGTTTCTTGGCCACAGACGCATAAACAGTTGGGGTTCCGCAGAGAAACGACCGCAAAAAACGATGCTTCCCCACAGTTTAACACTTCGACATTGCTTCCTGTCGATTTTCACGTTTAAAGTAATATTGGTGACAATGAAATATCAAAGTAAGTATATCGTAGACGTAAGTAAGGTGCTTTGGTACAGTACATCACAAAATATAGAAAACCTATGTACATTCCTTGTTTGTATGCTAAGTATGGCAAGTGCAAATTTCTAATCAAGTGAATGCTTCTAAGTCTAAGTTTTCTATCCAGTTTTACTAAAAGTTTAGAAACTTAAAAATGTGGTTTCAAGGAATCATTGAATTTGACCTGTCTCATTTGCCATATTACAGTTTACGTGTTTCTAGTTTTATTGTTCATTCTTTCGCCTTTGTCTTCACAGTTGTAAATGTAAGAAAGCGGTTCCATTTTAGAAACACAAAGCTGAGCTTCTTTGGTGACTAATTCTTTCGAAAGATGTAACAGAGTTAGGCTCTCCTTCTGCGACATCGCCAGATAGTATGTCACTAATTTGCATACTTTCCGCAATCTTGCATGATATTTTGATACTTGGTTACAAAATCCTGAGGTTCAGAACGAAATTTTGGGACAACAGAGGGGTCTTAAACAACAGAGAATGGTATGGTTCTGTTCACCCAGATATTTACGGATGAGATCATGCAAATTCAAGAGTAAACTGCAACGGTTACCTGTCTAACTATTGGCTCGAGCTGAACCTTAAAACAGATTGGCTAGCTACGACTAAAACAAGAAAAATTTTATAAGCGACAAAAGACAAATTTTCTTTGCGTCAACTACCGAGTGAAATAGGAACTTGTTAAAACGAGCCGTGACTTGGTTAATCCTACATGCGAATAAACAGCTTAAACTTGGCTCTAGTTGATGTTGTGATATTTTTTAATGATATTCACTTCGATTCTTCATGATCAGCTCGACTTCGTGTGAATAGAGCAGCTTGCAGTCTTCTTCATTTAAAGAGCTGCAATATTGTGATTCCTCTGTGAATGCAACAGATTCGTTTTAAAAATCACTATAGAAACGCAATATGTAGGTTACTGTCGGCGTGCTCAAGTGTTGAACGTTTTCCTAATTACTGGAGACCTTCCCAGCCAAATGATGTCTTATTTCGCGAAATCCACCGAACCCTCGTGGTCAAATTTTTTCTTTATCTTTTTCACTTTCTTTTATGTTCTCAGCTACTTACACAGCATGGACACGATTTTAGCCGTGTTTTTAATCGTCTTGCGGTGCCCCTTTGAGAGTCAGGGTCAATCTGAACTTTCCCGATCAGATTAGCAAACAAAGTGGAGTTGCTAGGAGACTAGAATCTTTCAAAGTATTTGGCCCGTAGATGTTTTTTATTTTCTTCTGTGAATTAAATCAAAACCTGAAGAAATTAGTTTCGTGCCGTTTAATGTTTCCTTTTATGATGCAAATCGTTGTAAGCGCATGAGGGTTCAAAATTCTGCGATCTTCGAAAGAAACTACGGAAATGCATCATAAGTTAGGTTTTTCATTGGAATTTTCAGGTGATCTTAGAAAAAGCATTTGTCATAAACGAAACAAAAGCCGCTGCGATTTTTGTTGGGGTAATTTGTTTTCAGTGCATGCTTAATAATTGCTAGTTTTCTGCGTGACGACGTGATCGTTTTGGAGTACTCACACGCAAAGCTGCTTTTGGTTCCAAAACCCCGTTCATTGACACTGGGTTTGTTTGCTCATACAAATTGTAAATTGGACCAATATGGAGATATGGAATCAAGTCACTGATGAAAAGGCTTGTTGGAAAATCTCCCATCCGCTCAACACAGCAACTCACGTTGAATATTAATTAATGTGACAAAATAAGAGGGGCGTTTTTAATTGCTGTAGACTACACGGAACAATTGAAGAAAATTTGGGTCGAATGAGATGATTCATGCAAGAACAAGTTTGCGGGGTAAAGCAATCAGCAGTTCCCATAAGTGTGTGGGTAAAAATTATTTGTTTACGAGAAACTGAAAGGGGAAATCATATGCAAACAAATTGTACATCTCTTGTCGATGTAGATCTCATTAAGTTCCCCAGCTGCTGAGAGAAGGTGGATCAGATTGACAATTTATGATAAATTGCTTTCCAAAATTAGTTTTTTCTAAGATTTTAATCCACAAAACAGATTAGTTCGTGAAGTGATGTTTGTTTGAGTCGTGTAGAATCACAGAATTATCGATCATCTCGAAAGCATGTTGAATTGCTTCTCAGGCAATGGAATCAAAATCTGAAGAAAGATTGCAGAGGTTTATTTTTCAAACTATCTCAGTATGTTATCTTGCACTTAGTCTTGAAGAGGGAAGAGCCAAAGATCCAAATACTTACCACTCATCAGTGACAAAGATCGAAGATTGACAAATATATACCCCGAAAATAGCTTTTTTAGAACTTTTTTTTTTTATCACTGTGCTTGTGCGACCATTATGTTATGAATTTCCCTCGTGTTCCTGATTATTCAAGTATACTTCCGTTAAATGCTATCTATTATCAAAAACTGTGCCCTTCTTTCATGAAAAAGTTGCGTGTCTGCAGCTGTTTTGAAAGATTAAATTTAAAATCACATTGACATTTTTCATAAGAGGACTTTTAATGTTGCATTCTACCATAAAGTAACTCCACGTTTAATTAGATCAACTGACAAATTGGGCAAAAAAAGCGTTCTTCCCTCTGGCATTTATTGCACTTACTAAAACAACAATGAAAAAACATTCACTTCAGCTAATTTTGCTTTGTTCGCAAGCTCAGTTGTTCTTACTTTCTCTTTGTAGGTTGTCATGCTCAAATAAACAGAACAAAAATTGAGCAAAGTCTGATAAAGGCTCTCTTTAAGAATTATGATTCGGAAGGAAGACCAGTTTTGAACCTGTCAACACCAGTTGTAGTCAAGTTTGGATTGGCCTACAGTAATCTTCAAAGTTTGGTAAGTGTGGCAAGTTGTAGATTGTTCGGGTTTAGTTTTGAATTTGCTGCGCTTTTCTCTTTCGTTTTCATCATTTGAGTCTTTTCATTTTGAGACTTTCTAGAATTAATATTACGCCTCAGTTCCTCTGTTCCGCGGAAACCGTGATCCATTCCATTCTATTTACTTTCATCCTACGAAAATCTCATCTCTCTCGCAATCTACAATGTGGAGTCTTTCCGCTGCCCCTTATTTCCATTCTATTTCGTGTTTTTGGATGACAATGTTTTTTCGTTTTTTGTTTTTTGTTTACAGTTTCGTTAATGTTATCAAGGTCATCATAACATCTTGTTTCTCTCAAGTGTTAAATTCATGGTAACTGCGCTTTTCGATTATTTCGCTACCAACTGCTGTGTTTGTAATCCATCCTTTTGACAAAATAAACAAAACAACTTCTGATAATTGAAAAAGCTCTTTTGTGGAATTGTAACTTGAGTATATGTATAAACAGCTTGTTGTAAACCAATTCCCCTGTGGGTGCCGGTATAGTCACGATATAATTTGGAAAAAATTGCCGAAGACAGAACTTTAGGCACTCAAGCATAAGAGCTATCGTATTTTGCGCTAGCAATAACATCTGTATTGGTGCAAGGACTAAACGTCTTTTTCGAATTGTCTTTTTTTTACTTAATGTAGCTTACACGTCCTTGTAGCTTTGTTAATTAGTCTTCAAATGCGTGCTCCCCTGTTGAAAATTGGATTTTGGACGCGATTTGTACCTTTATTTTATCGGATTACGTAATCGAACACGTGGCTTTTGAGATCGGAATCTCGTGCCTCGTGCGGCATGCGCCTTTCTTGTATCATTTGCATAAAATAGAGGAAAAGTCGGACAACTGTTAAACTCTCTACCTCACATAAGGATAAAGTCTTTGAAAGTTCTGGGAATAGTTTCGTTTCACATGCTCTCTTTGTTTCTTATGTTCAGGTTTGATTTCTGCGTCTGTTCTTGTCCAGTGTAGGTACAGCGTGTTTCAATCACAATTGTCCTTTACCACTTGGCTTTGCCTCGCATCGTTTCACTTTTTTAAATCGTTTGGTTTGTGTAGTCGATGAAATAAATTAGGCGCGTATAGACACAAAACTACAACGTGTTTCCAGTAGAACTAACGATCGTCATATGGGAGAGATAGAAAAACAGACTTCACATACTGAAGATGTTTCTAGGCTGAAGCCAACGATAAGCGAGCAGTATGACAGGTCCTTTAATGGCCTTTAATGCTCCGCGAAAAAATCGTTTTTTTTAATCTAAAAATTATATTATAAAAAATCGATACCTGTAGGTAGGGTCAGATATAATATGCTCGAAAATTCGAGTATTATGCTTCGGAGCTTTTTCTGAAAACACAACGTTATGCCAAAATTGCATTATGCTCCATTAATTAACTCAATCGAGAGATTTTTAGAGCGCTTCAACCCCCTTATCTTCCTCCCTGCCACCGACAGGTAAAACCTACTAGAGATGAAAGACTTACTGCACTTCAAAGGCAACACACACATACGGCATTTGAGAGGTATATGCCGAAAACGACCTGCAATTTTCATAATTGATAAAGTACTAGAAATGCAGGTGAACGCGTTTATGTGCATGTTTTTTTAGTCATTTTGCCGGCACTATGCTCGATTCTGTGACTATAGCATCATGCCCAAAATTATGCCGGCTTAATCTATCTGAGCCTACCCGTAGATATCCTGAAAATCGGTGCGCTGTGCTCCATGCGCACCGAGCCCCCATCGAGGAGGGAGATCTGATGACCAAGCAGAAGAACAAAGTATTTCTGTGTTCACGTTTGTACCTGAGTTAAACTGACATATCGATTTTTGGTCTTTAGGATGAAAAGAATCAAGTTTTGACAAGTAACGTTTGGATAAGACAGGTAAAGTAAAAACGTTTACATATACCCTCTTGAGAGGCGGACAGGCACTCTCTTGCCCAAGAATACACATGTGAATTGCTCGATTGTAGTATAGCGCGCTCTAACCACGGAGATTAATCTTCTACAATGTCTACCGCAATAAGCATTGTTAACGTTATGTAAACAGTTCTGTTATCTTGACCCTTCTTAAGTGTAGTTTTTGATAGTGTTTTACAAGTATTTCAAAGTATAAATGAAGCAGTTGTTTTTGTTCCTGTTCTTTGCAGCAATGGCACGATCCTTGGCTGTCCTGGAACGCATCAAAATACAATGGTCTCAGCTCTATTAACATAAGTCCCAACTTGGTGTGGAAACCCGATATTGTTCTGCATAACAAGTGAGTTGTAATTCAGAGCTTTCCCACCTTTAACAGTTTTCCCCAAACTCCCCTGTCGGGTCTCCGCGTCAAAGACGGCAAGAGGAAAGGAAAAAGCCCCCAAAATTCTTGAAATAAAATATTAGGATCAGATAGGTGGGTTCCAATATGAACCGTTCGTTCATCCTTAAAGAGCAATTTTAGTTGAGTATCCAAAGATATCCATGTTTGCATCGGTTTACTTCGCCACGCTCTTTGATTGGTCCAGAAAATCGCGCCACCCCCTCAACCAGTCAGATCAAAGGGAAAACCAGTAGCACACAAGCGTATTCCCGACACCGCTGATTGGCGGTTATTACTACACAGCTTTACCTTGGGTTGTATTTACGCTACGCAAATCAAAAGCGCTCCATTACATTATGCATCTGAGCAATTTCCAAACAGGATCTTTAGTTATATAGGAACCGAAATTGCTCACAGCGTCTTGCATTTCTGTCCAAAGTGTCAATGAAGAAGGAGACCATGGCGAGCAGTATCTGTTCGACACAAAGATCATCGTCAGCAGTGACGGTACAGCCACGTGGTTGTCCCCAAATCTCATCAAAAGTTCGTGCAAAATCAACGTCAAGTATTTCCCTTGGGACATACAGACATGTTACCTCAAATTCGGCTCATGGACTTTCAATGGCTTCAAACTTGACCTGGATTTCTACGGAGAAAAACCTGGTGCGGACTTGAGTACTTTCACACTAAATGGTGAGTGGGATCTGTTGTCAGCGGACGCGACGAGGAACGTGGTTTATTATGGATGCTGCGTGGAACCTTATCCAGACCTCACGTTCGAGATAAAAATAAAGCGGCGTACCTTGTTCTACGTGAACAACTTGATTGTGCCGTGCATCGTCCTAGCCCTTCTCACAGCAACAGCGTTCCTCTTTCCGCCTCAAACGGGCGAGAGAATATCTCTTATGATCACCATTCTACTTGGTATGACTGTTTTTATGATCGTAGTGATTGAAGCCATACCGTCTACGTCAGAGGTGACTCCTCTTATAAGTACCTACTTCTCTGTAGTCATGATCGAGATTTCCCTGGGTCTCCTGTGCACCTGCATTAGTCTCAACATAGAGCATCAACATCCTAAAATGGAACTCACAGGATGGACACGGTACATCTTGTTCGAGGTACTGGGTCCTATTCTGTGCAGCAACTCTTTAAAGAGACTGAAGAGGAAACAGCTTAAAAATAAAGTAAAAAATGAACCAATCGAATGTTACGTGAAAGAGAACCGCATCGTCCCCGACGATGACAAAATCGTCGTTACGAACATAAAGTCGCAAGAGGATGTGAAAAACACTGTTAACGTGGAAGAGAAGGAGGTTAAAGTGGCGGGTATGGAAAAAGTCTCCAAGTTCATAGATCGGGCTTTGTCTGAAGATAAGCGCAAACTAGAATGGCATGTTGTTGTAAACGTTATTGACAATTTCTTTTTTTTTCTGTTTCTTCTGACCATCGTTATTTCTTCGCTGGTGGTACTCATACAACCGAAGCCAGAGAGCTGAAAATTTGTTGGTCATTGCCTAGACGTAATATATAGAACAAGCGTCATTTATTTAAGTTTTCTGGGCGGGCAGATGGAGGCAAGTGCAGGGCTTGTGCGAGGAAAGCCCGACGAGTGAGTCACGCAATGAAGACCGCTCATCCCTCGCGCATAACTCGCGTTTGACACGCGCATGAATTTCGCACTGAGCTCACTCCACTCGCCCGAAGAATCGCGAGAGAATAACATTTTTTACGAAGGTTATTCTTGATAACGTACATTAAGGGATTACTTGTGCATTAAGACTTTTCAATGAATGCTATTTGGGAAGAGAACTCGGTGGATTGTCATTCCCGTAAACGTGAATTTTAGTCAATTCGCAGTCTTCCGAAATCTTGAGACCACATAATTGCAGGAAAGAGTTGCAGTGACCTCAAGCCATAAGTTAGTCTTAAAGGACCCTGGCTTGCAAAACAGCGGTATATTTTAACATTTTACAATGGAGCAGAGGCACCCGCGAGGCAAGCACGCAAGAGGAGGGACGCGACCTCGCGTGACACTAGCACTCTAAAGTCGCCTTACGCTTGCTTCCGCTCTCCTGAAAGAACGCGTAAAAGATAAGCCGCCCTAAAGGATCTTAAAAGGACCCCTTCGATTTAAAAAAAGAATACTAAGTTTCGTTCTACATGTCTCAGGGCGTAAATCATCCGCAATTGTAACTGTCAAAATTATTGTAATATTTTCCAGTCTTTCGCATACTCCTCAAAACATAGGGGAAAAGTTTTGTAGCAAACACCTTTTGACTAAGAATGCAATAACCTTAAGATCAATCTGCATCTCACTGATATTTTAAGAGAGGCTGGTGTTCATAAAAATGGGAAGAAGTACTAGTGTAAAAAAGAGGATTAAGACGTTTCATTGTAACTGTGGTGTTCATAGCCGAACAGATTGCAAATTAAATTATTCATATAGCGTAAACTATTTGTGGAAAGCGTGACGCTTTTGTAGACAATACTTTATAAATTACGGGAGGCTCTCAGCGCCAACGATGCAATTTTTCGGGCACCTGTTGGTTTCTAGTACTAGATTTTAAACAATGAAGGGAGGCTCTCAGCACCAACGATGCAATTTTCTCCGGCACCTGTTGGTCTAGTACTAGATTTTAAATAATAACGCAGGTTTCGGAAAGCACCATGAAAAAGTCGGCTCGTAAAGAAAAATAAGGATGGCGAGGAGAAAAATAAACATTCTCTTAAAAGAAATTTTGAGCGCTGAGAAATTTCCTTGTCTAAACGCTAAACTATTTGACCCGTCCCCTCCCCTCCCCCTCCCCCCCCTGCCCCTTCTTTCTTCGTACGATCTACTCTTTCAAGTCCTTCCAGGCTCCTTACATTCAACGAATCCAAAATGACAAACATGTCGCAGAGAAAGTTACGAAAGATGAACTTAAGTTAACTATTGCTTACCCGCTACTGTCATAACCCCCCCCCCTTCCCCTCCCACCCTTCTTCTCTCCTCTCCACTCCACCCCTTATCTTCTTGATGTTAAGCGGCAACTAAGAACAGAAAGACCAAAAACGCCTTAAAAAACTCGCGAGTGTTCTTATTTATATTCGGGTTGTATCAGGTGCATGGAACTTCGGGACGATTGCCCTTAAATCAACAATATCTTACCTGGGAAAACTCAACGACCTTGAATACCCTTGGTTGAAATAAATGTAGTGACCTTGAGTACTCTTTTCTACTAAAGAAATACTTGCCGGACGAAAATAGATCTTGCGACTTGTAATAAATGCGCGTGGACTGGGTTGGTGTTAAGACATATACGGATTGCGTGGGCTGAGCGCGTGACTTGGATATGATGTCTTCTAGGATTCGCCGGGCTATAAATATCCGATTCTGTGCTACTTGGTAACAGTCACTGAATTAGTTTGTTCAAACTTGTCATAAGTGCATCGCTTTAGCTATGGGACCTCGTCCGCTGCCTCTGCTCTGCAGCTTGATTGCCGTGGTTTTTCTCGTCAGCCGTGCAAAAGCAGTCGCCTTACCCAAAGCCTCGCCTCTCCATATTCTCTTTGTTGTCGTTGACGACCTCGGCTGGAGTGATGTCGGATTTCACGGCTCGAAAATCGAGACTCCAAATATTGACGGATTGGCGGCGGAAGGTGTCGAGCTGGACAACTATTACGTTCTACCGGTTTGCACCCCTACGAGAAGCGCTTTCATGACAGGACGATATCCAATCCATACTGGTAAGTCTAAATCTTTCCGGAAATAGTTGACGATTAGCAGGTGCTCTCCTGACCTCACTTTGACTCAGTGATCCTGGCCGTTCGCCAGCAATGACCCATCTGGTGTACATTTCAGTAAAATTAATCGTTATACAGGAAGTTATACGTCTAACTGTTACTTTCTTTTGAATCTGAAATACTGCGGTTGCACCAGTTGCGTCTGCTGCTTCGAAAGCTTCGATTTCATATCACCCTAGTCGTTAGCACATATGATTCGTGCACATCAATACTACAACTACAGATTAAACTATCCGCAACCTTAGCAGTGTTCAAAACCCTGAAACTTTTTCAAGTTGGGAGTATAACCCTCCGCTGGATAAAAGTGGAGAGTAAGCCTTTTCTTATCCCTGTGCATGTTGAAGGCTCTCCTGGTCGTAGGCTTACTCGTAACAATTTGACTTACTTACTATTTTCTTTCCACTGATGTTAAGGTATGCAGCACTTTGTGTTGGGTCCGGCAAGTCCCTATGGATTACCTCTCAACTTCACCACTTTACCACAGAAAATGAAAGAATTAGGTACGCTTAAATTAATTTTATTTTTCTTGATACACGCATACTGTTGGTTGATGTAGTATAAATCATCCACATTAGTTATATTATGAAAATTTCTTATTTGTACCCACATTTCTTACACATGTGGTACTGTTGCATATAGCTGTGAATAGTGGAGTTATGAGGAGACCTGGTCCCAGTTGTTCAAAGGAGGATTAGCACTAACCCAAGGTTATTGAAATTTTAATCCAGGTTTCTTTATTACTTTGTTCAAAAGCCTTTTTCAGTTAATTTTCTCTATTCTTCTTAGAGCATCCAATGTCAAATTATAGAAAAAAAGAATTATGCTGAATTTCCATTTTGAGCTTCCAGATCTGAACTCAGATTAGTCCTGGGTTATCTTAACCCAGCTTTGAACAACCCGGCCCTCATCAACAACTGCCTGTATAGAAATTGGCCAATGTTGCAGGCTTACCTCTAAGGCTCTTTTAAACCTTAGTGGGAAAGGGTATCTTCTTTAGGGTGAGGTGACAAAAAAGTTGTTTTAAATAACTTGATAGCAACTGTGGCAAGTTTTAAAAAATAACTCCTCATATCTTGGGAAATGAAAAGTTTTTAGCTTCATGTTTTCTCCCAAAGGTTATGCAACTCATATGGTTGGTAAATGGCACCTTGGTTATAACAAATGGGCCTATACACCAACTTATCGTGGGTTTGATTCATTCTATGGCTATTACAATGGAGCTGAAGATCACTACACTCATGAAATCGAGAACATATTGGACTTACGAGATGATATAGAACCAGTGAGGGACCTGAATGGGACATATGCCACATTTGCTTTCACAAAGGTATTTTGAATTTGAGTTGTAGCTGCTGTTGTTGCTGATTTTGTTTTGTTTTTCATTTTATTTCTAGGAGATCAGATCATAGGGTTTGAGACTAACATCATACCCAAGTAGCCTGAGTATTGATCGTTGCACAAATATATCAGTTTTTGAAAATGTACTTCTCAGTTTTTATCAATTCAACTGAATTATAAGTTTATTTTAAGGGTGGTAAGTGGTAAAATCAGAGACTTGCTGAGATGCTGAGACCTAGCTCTTTGAAAATCCAAGACCAGGGTTACACAATTCTTGGAATAGCACCTCTCTTGTTGCAATTATCAAATTATTGCATGCACCCTATTTACATGATGGACCTGCACAGAGACTTTGGTCCTTTACAGTCCCATCTGACTAGGACCCTCAAATGAACTAGTTAGACCAAATCTTAGTTTTGAGAACTCTGAAAAGTGCAAGACTTTGATACAAACAACCACCTTATGAAGGAGACTTCAAGGATCATTATTGCCAAGGGGTGAAAAGAATCAAGATCAGATCAAAAGTTTGCAGAGTCCAAAACTTTGCAAAGTACCATGAGCCTGACCCTTCAATTGTTTCTAACTTTTACCATGCTATTCACACAAATATTCTGATTGCAGCGAGCAACCGAAATTATCAAGTCACATGACCCATCAAATCCCCTTTTCATGTATATGGCATTCCAAAATTGCCATGGCCCCGTCCAAGCACCCGAAAAATATACAGAAAAGTACAGTTTCATTACAGATGAAACTCGTCGAACCTATGCAGGCATGGTGAGCATTACAGATGAAGCCATAGGCAATATTACACAGACCATGAAGGATGCTGGGTATGGGCCTTTTTTTCTTCTTCTATTTAACTTCAAACAATTTAAGGGTTGGGTTCTCTCACCCTGTCTACTATGAAGTTGGAGCTACCTTCTCTTTCAATGAATGATTACTTCTTAAATTGTTCAACATTAGGACTGAAAAAAACAGCCTTAAAAAATGGCTAAAGAAACTATTTACTTTTCAGACAGTTACCCCTGCAAGTGTAGGAGACACATCGGTGTAATGCACTGGAATCTCGGCCAAGAGGTCTAGATTTGAGACCTGGCCAGGTCACTATGCTATGTTCTTGGGCAAAACATTTACTGTTGCAGTGCCTCTCCTCACCATGGAGTATAAATGAGTACCCAGGGGGGGGGGATAAATTTGCAATGAACTAGCATCCCACCCAAGCAGGAGTATGAATACTCCTAGTCACTTCGTCCATGTCAACCCTAAACTCCCATTAGTGACCAAGACAGAATTTCTCCTTAGAATATCAATACAATACCAAGCAGACACATGTTAAGAATAAAAAAAATATCAATTAGGCGATAAGTAGTTGATCCAATGACAAATTCTCCAGCCTGACATCACAAGAATGTGTGGTAGACAGTTAGGAGAATTACTGATAAGATCTTGGGAGGGAGAGGGTTAAGGAAACTAGTATTAGCTCTTGCCAAGTGGGGTACTTGGCTCAAATGCAGACTTACCTTCCCCTGAAGGTTCAAAAAAATCATTTTATTTTTGATGTCCATATCATTTATCAGGTTGTGGGAAGACACACTTATGGTTTTAACCACTGACAATGGAGGAATCCACAGTCGTGGAGGATATAATTATCCCCTTCGTGGAGAGAAGACAACTTTATGGGAGGGAGGGGTGAGAGGAGTCAGTTTTGTCCATGGAAATATGCTTGGCAGGAAAGGAGTCAAAAGTGAAGAACTTATGCATGCTACAGATTGGTACCCAACATTGGTAAATCTTGCAGGTAAAGTCAATGGTCCTATTTTCCTCTTTTCCTGCTTCAAGCCTTAGCCAAGTCATTGTGTTGTCACGATGTATATTGGCAAACTTTGAGGGAAACCAGGCAAAATGCTGGGGATGGGGGATAACTTGTATTACTAAAAGCTGGATCATTGAATATTGCAATTCAAGAGTGTTTTTTGGTATAGCCATCATGGGTTATGAGCCATTATACCCTGCATACACATGAAGAGGAGTTAAAACAAAAGTGTTTTTGCACATTGTAACATTCTGTTTGTTCTTACAAAATAAAGTAGGAAGATTTATATTTTGGGGCATTTTTAATAATACAATTATTCTACTTGCACTTGTTGGATATGAGATGATTATAGCTAACTTGATCCAATAGGCCTCCCTAGCCATCTATTATGACCTCATATCCAACATGTCCTTGTGGAATAATTGTTTAATAGATTGCAATGCCATCCAGAATTGCATCATGCTACAGAAACCAAGACAAGTTCCATCATTGTGTGCAGCTGGACCTAAGTAAAGATATAACTTCACCTTATTCTGCACTACATATTACAGGTGGTGACGCAGATCAAGAATCAATACCCCTGGATGGTATGGATGTTTGGAACGCCATCTCCCATGGTGACCCTTCACCAAGGAAGGAGATTCTTCTCAATATTGACCCCCTTCCTTTTGACAATGATGATCCATCTGTTTCCTTCTATGAGGGAGTTGCACTGAGATCAGGTCATATGAAAATTCTGATGGGAGTGAATAATGATACTTGGTATACACCTCCTGAGCTTGGTGGAAAATCAGAAAGCAAACATGTGACTTCCCCAGAAAAGATCAATTCCTGGATTTGTTAGCATCTACCAAGGAGGTCAGTGTATCTTTATGAGTTCAAGTAATCTGAACTTGATCTTAACAAGTTTGACACATCTGTGATGAACTCCATTTTGAAACAACTTCTAATATTTTCTACAGATCAGTTCACATGATGTGAAGTTGATATGATATATTGTCTTTGGGCTCAGGCCCTTTTTATTTTGTTGCTTCAGTCTGGAAAATTAATTTTTTTGATGGCTATGCATGTTGTGCAATACCACACACATATATCTCATGAATGAAGGGGGTAAGTTTCTAAATAAATAAATAGAATAAACTGTGGTGCTGCATCAGTGGAGTGTATCACAAAATAATTTGGTTTAATCAACTGAGGTGATAATGTTTTGATAAACAACACAATTAGTTTGGCATAGAGAGGGCGGAAATGTTCTTATTCCTCTCCTGTCCTTGTTTACGTAAACAAGGAACGGAAATTGTACATATCAATGCCATAACCAGTACAGCAACTCTTAGTAAGTCAGTCTTTTTCTCACGAGACAAATTTTCTTCTACAGAACGTTGGAAGTCGCCTGAAAGTTGTTCTATATAACGTGACCGCTGACCCAACAGAACACGAAGATCTTAGTGAGAAACTTCCAGATGTAGTCAAGGAATTGCAAGAGAGAGTGCAGTACTACATAAAAGGGATGGTGCCTCCGTTCAACAAATTGCCTGATCCTCGGGCTTTCATTAAAGCAGAATTGGAAGGCATCTGGACACCATGGCAAGATTAAATTACTGTAGATGTACAGTGCTGTGAGAAGTACCTGCCAACTGATTTATTAGTTGCTCAACATTTGTGGAGCTGTTATCTTAGTGTATTGCAGTCTAATGCACTCGAACCAATTCACCAAAGATTACGGAGTCACAAAATTTTAGTTTAAGTTTCAAATTAGTGTAAAGTACACTTACTTCGCACGTGTACAATTAGTTTTGACACTGTGAATATCATTAAATCATGCTTCTCTCGTATGAATATTCTACGATCAAACCCTTGCTACATTAGAAGCGCCTGTATTGGAGTCTAGCGCAGTCGCACGAACTGGTCAGTCACGAAGCTTTAGTGCCAGTTGTAAAGCACAATTAATTTTGCACGTCATAAGTATAATTTGTAGTCTTGGAACGTGTAACGAAAAAAAATTAACATAACAAAACAGAAACCAGAAATAGTTCTTCGTCCAAAGAGTGTATCAGCAGACTTTTGCAATTTTTAGAAGCGTCGGTACCCTTCTCTAATCATGTGTGTAAATAGATTTAAATGACATAAAATACTTTTCTTGCTCATAACGGTGTGAAGTGAGTTCCCCGGACTTGAAAAGAATTTGTTTGTTTATTCGCATGATACGGTTCCTTTTAGTGCGTTATGCGATTTATGGCTGATAAGTGTGCAATATTTTGCCTTGCATTGAGTACACGATGCGTTTCCAGGGCGCAAAGGGCACAACGGTGTTCCTCACATTTAGGTTGCCAATAACTTTCCTTCAATTAAGTACGCATATTAAGCATTCATCAGCAAGTGCGCCAAACTTTTCCCTCAAACTCGACTGCGCAATACTTTTTATGTTTTTTGTTTTTTTATGGTGGCTCGTATCAATTTTTAGCTATTTAACGATATTTGATTAACGTAGGGTAAAACAACCAAGAGCTTCTTCAGTTGGTGATCATTTCCTTTATTCTCGTAAACTTAATATGTGATTCAGGGGTGACACGGTAAGGAGAAATTAGACGCAATTCACTCTTTGCACCCCACCATCTCTTCCATGGTTACATAATTTTCCAGTTCAGTGTGAATCCGACTTCTTTTCTCTCACTCAGCGCAATTTTTCTTTTCTTGAGTTTTACACCGTTAAGCCACACGACTTGGATATCGTTCTTTTCTTCCCATGCAATCTCCCTCCTCCTTCCCAGGTTTAAATTGCCCACAGCCAGTGTTATCATTATTGCAGCAGGTAGCCATGTTGATGTAAGTTACCATATAGGTTCATAATTATCTTAGAGCTAAGAAGACAAAAGTTTAGGTCACAGTTGTGATAGGTGAGGTAAAAACCTTGAAAAAACGACTTAAGGAGGCTATAAGAATTAGCTTGCGATCGGATTATCTGTCACCGTGAATATATTTGTGTTCGTGAGTCCACAGGTGGCCCAAGCGTACTGCGTATGATTTTAGAGGGTCTCAATAGGGTGATGGCTTTTACGGCTAAGGGTTAAAATTTGGCCAATTTAAGGCTAATGGTTAATATCTTTCCATTAAGGTAACCAGACAAAATTTTAACAACGGCTAACGGTTAAAATCTGTCAATTTTGCGCCTAACGGCTACGTTCTTTGCTGTTTTACTGCTAACGGTTAACCCTATTGAGGTTAACCTCATTTTGGGGTTTTCGACTCGCGCGTTATTTGTACTCTTCTTATTGCGGCTGAATGATAAAGCTTGTTATGTCTCCTTACCTTTACTAGTTCCGCCTTATCGCTTTCGGCCATTTTGTATCGCGTTTTGTGTACTATAAAAATTGGGTAGGCAGGTCACTGGACCGGTCCGGAGCACCAACCGTCTCCAGTTGAAGGCCAATAAATTCCACAAAAGTCCACCGATCTCCCTCAAATTGCCACCAATGAAAGTGCATTACAAATACCTACCCGTTCGAGCAGCAAAAGTTTAATTACGAGAGAAGAATAAAGAAAACTGGGGCTTAACTGCAGATTACTCCGCCACTTTCGTCCACCTCATTTACATGTGTCGGAAAGCTTTGAAGATCGAGGCGTAACACAATAAACATTATTCTTATTCAGTGACATGTAAATGAGTAGCAGGGTATTCTAAGCTTAACCTAAAGGGGCAAGTTTCTCAAGAAACTGTGTTACGCTCTGACGAAGGGCTAGCGCTCGAGACGTCAGCTTAGAAACTCTTTACGGTGGCCGATTTTTACATTATCACTTCAGTTGATGAGACCAAATTATCTAAATAAGATGGCTGCGAGAGAAACTGGTTGTAGCTCGGTTTGAATCACCAAGAGGTGGAAAAATTTTCATTTTACTAGAACTCTTCTCGATTTGAGAACATACTTGGAACATATTACCTTGGCTTATTTTGTTTTCAACGGCATGAAACGAACAGAAATACAACGAGATACTAAATCATAACAGGCGGACGACTTCCCTGAGAACCTCACTAACCTCAGTTAGATCATGGCTTTTCTCAGTTTCTTAGTTTTTTTTTGTCTCAACTAACATTAAACTCAAACTTTCTCTCCGGCTTTGAACAAGAAAAGTTAAGAACAATGAAACAAACTTGACTCTTCTGAAATTTGAATGAAAAAACAAAGAGTCTCCTGCTGCCTGAGGGAAGAGCTTTTGCATTAGTGAGCCGACCCCGAAATCGAGGACTGTCATGTTCTCCTTTCAATCAACTGCCTGTTGACTCGGTGCATGTAAGAAATTTTCTCTCTGTGTCCGCTGTGATTATATGTGCTTGATGATACAAACATTGACAGTTTTACGTGTGTCTGAAATAATGAACTGTTTTTTTGTCATTTTCTTTCCTCTCTAAACTTTCGTGCTAAAAAATGCATTGCTGTTCAGAGTAGAAATGATTTCTTAAGAGTTAGTTCGTACAAAAATATTGATTGAGATTCATAAGTCAGATTAATGGTCTCATTTTGTTATAGCGTGAGGTTTGCTGTCACCATGCCTTTCGGTACGTAAATTATTACGTATGCATTTAGTTCTCCCAAAGGGATTAATATTCTGACCTTGGCAATGGGAAAAGTTCGGCTTTTTTGTTCATTGTTTGCTTCTCACACTTGATTAGCTTCAATAACAATAACAGCACTAAGCGCTGGTCGAACACGCACACGCCTCCACGAGTTGCGGAAACCTAACACGAGCTATTCCTCTCTTGAAAAGTCTCTGATGGCTTTGAATTTCCTGGCTGAGATCCTGCCTCTGGTTGCCTTGCTTCTTTCAGTTGCTTATATCAGCGTCCTTTTCTACCGATGGACGAAGCTACGAAATTATCCTCCAGGACCTTGGGGCCTACCAATACTTGGAAATCTAGCTCAGCTTGGCTCCTCGCCGCATATCAAATTGACTGAGCTCAGCAAGGTCTACGGAGATGTGTTTTCCTTAAAGTTTGGCTCCAGAAAAGCAGTGGTGTTGAACAGCGAGGAGGTGGTCAGAGAAGCACTGTTGAAAAATTCTCGCCAGTTGTCCAATCGACCACTGTTGTTCGCCGCTAAGAATGTCAGAAAAACGAGTATCTCTTTTGGAGAACATTGCTCAGCTCAAGTCCTCAGGAAGAGATGTGCCCTAAGAGCAATTCACCAAGTTGCATTCGACAAACAAGAATATTTCAATAAAATTGTGCAAGATGCGTTTTTGGAATTCCAAGAAAGTCTGGCCGAGAAAGAAGTGAAAACATTCCAGCCTTCTGTTGACCTTAAACAGGTTGTTATCAAAATCATGTTCCACTTTACGTTTGGAGAAGACCCTTGCAATGTCGACCAGCTCATAGAAGAAATGCAAAAGCTTGTTGAAGAATCCAGCGAGTTTACCGAAAGCAGCGCAGCTTGCGGTCTGGTGGACTTCCTTCCTTGGATTAAACCATTTATTCGCAAACAGGTGGCCATGGTGGAACGCTCAATCGAGGGGTTGATGTCATTCGTTGATAAAGTGTACACTAACACTACGTCTAGAGAAAAGGCTACTGATAAAAATTGCATTGCATTGAGCTTCGCAAAGCTTTGGGAGGAAGCTAAAATTAAATATTACGAAGAGATAAAGATGGATTTAGATTTGGAAGAGCCGACGGATCTTCCTAATTCTTCACCAAAAGAGAACCAACCCAACAACGGGAAGGAAGAAATTGTCAAAATGCTATCAGCCGATATTTTTGGTGCAGGGCTGGAGACAGTCTCGAATTCCTTGTGCTGGGCGATGGCTTATATCGTAAACAACCCTGAGATACAGCAAAGTCTTCACAGAGAGTTGGATAACGCTGTTGGGCGGCATCTCCTTCCCACAATCCAAGATAAGCGAAACATGCCTTTATTACAAGCAACGGTATTGGAAGTTCTCCGCATTGCCTCTGTACTGCCACTCGCTCTGCCTCATGAGACAGCTGCAAAAACAACACTTAGTGGATACACGATACCAAAGGACACGATCGTTGTCATTAATCTGTGGGCAGTGAATCATGACCCACGCGTGTTCCAGGAACCTCATGTATTCAATCCTTACCGATTCCTGAATGAAAACGGAGAGGTCTGCGATGTAAAAACCAAGTTTCAGCTGCCTTTTTCGATTGGCAGTCGACGCTGTCTTGGAAGCTCATTGGCTAAGGCAGAAATGTTTCTCCTGTTGGCATGTTTGCTACAGCGTTTCCAGTTTTCACGCGCAAAGCCCGACTATGTAGACTTAGAAAGTCAGTTTGGACTCAGCCTACGTCCAAAAAATTTCAGTGTTTGTGCCAATCTTCGGTAAAGAAAAAGAAGACTTTTCTAGACTGTTCTAGATCTGTTTATTACTCACTCTCAGTTACACGATTCAGTAACTCCGGAAACTCTAGAAACAAAAACGTCTGTGAATTCGTCTTGTAGCTTATCGCGCTCTTCTTCTTGAGCCTTTGGAAAGAAATATTTAGATGTATAATATCTAAATGCTGAACCTTGTCGAACATATAGGATGCAAACATTTTAATCTTATAAAATACTCTATTTAGCAAAGGTGGTTTTTACAAAATTTTTAGTTGTTATAGCAATGTTTCAAAACATGACTTTGGGAAGAGGGCCAAGGTGACTGTGCTCGAGTAACTTTGAAAAAGACACTTACAGCGGTCCATAGCCAATGGAATTTTACAAAAAAGTGTTTAAGCATGCATAAATATATATATAGTAATTTAGATGATGGGTCGTTGTGCAAAACGTGATCTTTCAGTGATCGATAGCCATCTCAGGGGTTATCAGGGTCCAAAGCAAAGACAGAAATTTGATAAACTCCCGAGAGTTTTTCGTTTGTGCGGTAGAAGAGAGAGCGAACTATAGTGCTGCAATTAAGTATGTTACCAATTTGCTAATTTTCCCGTTGTCTCGTTGCAAGATGTCAAAGTGTCCATGTCTGAAGGAAAAGATCACGGAAACGTGGAATTGTCAATGTACCCTCGGTGGGAGGTGCTCTGATCAAGCGCAAGTAACAAACAGTTGGAATTGTTTGACGCCGATTTCAATTGCCAGCGTGGTTAGGTCAAGGTGACGTGGCTTGGTTGACTAAATTTCTAGCCACACATAGCTGAAATATTTTACACCGTATTTATTGTCAGGCAAGTACCAAGAGTAACCAAAATCTTTGTCGCTCTCGATCCAATGTGTCGAAAATCGGCCTTCATCGTTAGTCAGTGCTGAAGGGAGCATAACTCAGCTAAGAAACGATTCTCATAGTCAAATGAAGCCCAGAGAGTTTTAAGACTATAATGAAAGGTTAATGGACATTGTCTGAATGAAAGTTCTTTTCGTCTGATTTACCCTTCGCTAAATTTACCACAACTTTCTAGTATTTGAATCAATCTCAACAAGACCAAACTTGCTTATTCACTTGCATGATAAAATATGTCGCAGTACCGTTCCATTAGCGAAATGATTGTTTAGAATAATTACCAAGGCACCAATCTCTGAAACAAAACTCTGACCTGACTTTGCTTGTACTTCGTATGTGTATAGTGTAGAGTTGTAACATTGTAGTAACTTTAGAATAAAGGCAGTGTTAATCTTCCGCGTTGATTTCCTACAAATACCAAAACAGAAGACTTTCCCATCTCTTTTTGATACCTCATCGCGTCCTGGAGTGCTATGGAATGTTTCTTTCAAGCTCTACACTGTTCATAGCGAATACTACTTTTTGCCTCAACAAAGCAACGCAGCTTGTGTCATTCCTATGGTTTTTTTGGGGTTAGGAATTCTGACTAAATAATTGCTGATTATCGTGAATTTTTGTCGGTCCTCTCCAGCATTTGGAACTTTCAAATATATAAAAATGAATAAATCCATCCTGAATTTCTATGCAGTTACACTTTATGTCTCAATTTTATGCAAAGTTGGAACAGATGCACGCAACAGCCGGACAGAAGTGTTACTGGGGTGATGCCGAATAAAAGGAGAGCTGGTTTATAAATAACCGACTTCTTTCCATACAATGCTTCTATCCTGAAACATAATTTTGTAATCCGACTTTGGAGGAACTTTTTTGAATTAACCTTTTAACTCCCAAGATCTCATCAGTTATTCTCCTAACTGTCTGCCATATAGTTCCTTTGATGTTAGTTTGGAGAATTAGGTATTGGATCAACTAATAATCCCCTTATTGATATTTTTCTTTTTTCTCACCACTTGTCTGCTTGATAGTGTATTGATATTGTAAGGAGAAATTCTTTCATGATCACTCATGGGAGTTAAAGAGTTAAATGAACTTAAATGGATAAAGGAAAAACGCTCTTTTCACACAGGTTCAAACGCTTTCAGGTGATTACTGAAGTCTCTTTCAAAACCAAAACCGTAGCAAGTACCGGACAAAAAAGTGAAAGATAGATGTTGATACATAATAACACCTGTTTGCTTTCTAGAAGACTAAACTCAATCTCAATAAACAATTGCCGCATTGTGGTAACCACTTCCGTTGTATTAGCTTAATTGGTACAGGATAAAGTCACGAATGTCTTGTTTACAAAAATTTACGGTGTATGGTCGCGCTAATTGAATAATGAGTGATACATACTAGATTAGTCGAACTGAATTTTCCAACTCTAGTCAAGGTCAGACTACAGTAGGAACGTGTTACAGAAGCCTCCTCATGCAAAGGTCTCAGTAGGGCTCATTCCGGTGTAATATACCTCGAAGGGATACGACCACTGAAGCGAGTTTGGATTAAAATGTTACAGACGAACTTCGGGAGTGCAGTATGCTATTGAATAAGAACGGTTTATGCATCGGGTCATGTTTTCTAATGACTATTCCTTCCCACCCAAGCATGATTCGCTGAGAGCAGCTGAACGCACTCTGACTTTGTAATTGCTCGCTGGATTTAATGAATGCACAGGGGACTGGACGAGATTACGGCAGATTGACTGTGGGCGCACAAAATTTGATAAGAACCTCTACACCGGACGAGGGTGCAGAGGATTGGTTGAGAGCAAATGAGTTTGGGTGAAAAAACCCTGCATTGGACGAGAGCGCATAAGGGAACCAAAGATGGGAAGGCTTGACGAAACCTCGAGAGATCGGAATCGGAACAATACGAGTGAGACATGAAACATGACAAAGCAAGAGATTAAAGAAAACGCTCACCAGAGTTGTTGCGAGAGTGTTTGATTTGGTCACGCAAGATTGCTGGGCACCTCTCGTGGTTATTAGGTCACGCAAAAGATCGGATAAGAGTGCATGCAAGGGAAAAAGGGCGCAAGACAAAAGTTGCGACTGCCAAAGATCCCAGAAATGCGCTCGAGGATGGACGATAACGCACCAGATTGGCTTTCAATGTGTAGGATTGGACGACAGCAAAAAAGATAGGTTGAGAGTAATAGAGATTACATGTGAGGCACGCTAAATCAAGGGAGCGCAAGAGATTATTTTTACGAACACAGAGGCCTCTAGATGGTCGTTACTTTCTTTTTCTTTAGCTGGATGTCATAGCAGAAGATTAACCGTCACATTTGACGCCTTTAGTGAAACACATCTGCAAAGCACGTTTTTCTTTACCTTTCAAATTTAATGAGCAACTCAACAGTACATCGAACTATCGTGTACATAAAAATAACGAACACTAAAACATTACAGAAAGACAAATAGTTCACAAAAGGAGATTGAGAATTTAGGTTATAAAAACGCGGAAAAAATTAAAATTGACCAATTTCTCCTCTTCGGCTTACGCATGATAATTAAGTAGAAATTGCAAAAAAATAACAATAAACATTGGAAAATTCACAGAGTGGATTGATTTTTCACAGACAAAGAATCTAGAGAAAAGCTCAAGAAACTGAATTACGTTGACAAGAGTAATGAACACAATCTTTGGTCACTTTTAGGAAGTCTAAAATTCAAAACTAAGAACTATGATCCGCTATAATATTACTTGCAACATAAAAGAGCAGCTTTCTGGGACATTCGCAACTGCTACTCAAACAATTTGGTACCAAAAACTATAAAAATTGAATATTTACAACGATTAGGTATATGTTCTAATGAAATCAAGGCGCTATACCTCGACACAAGCATAAATTTAAAATAAAAAAATTAATACAAAAAAAAATGCGGTGCTCTTTTTTTTCGGCGGAAATTGCCTCTTCAAGATAGTAAATTGCGTACTTTTTGTTCACACTCCACCGGCGTTGACATTAATTAAACTGTAGCCTGTGGAAAAGCTCCCATTCTACACCAAGGATTCAAAGAAATGGCATGCACTCGCCTTGGTCAGCAGTCTTTTGAGCATGTTGGAAGGTCAATTAAAGTAAAAAGAGGAAAGCAAAAATCTAATTCTGTAAATCTAAGGGATCATTCCTCAGAATCTCGTTTATGTTCAACCGGTCTGAATGTCTTGAAAGTTCTTTTCGTTATCGTAGTGTGGTATCTTGAGGTAGAAAATGATCACGGAAAGAAAAAATGCCACCCCTGTAAAGAAGAAGAAAAACCTGTCAATCACGGAGGCAGCGAAATGCCACTTCTCTTTATTTCGCATCGATTCATCATTTTTCTCGACGGCTTTACTAGGATTGTCGGAGAGTTTGTCCGTTATTTCTTCCAGCTCTTCATCCATGGAATCTTTGACTTTTCCCTGCATTCGACCGTCGTTCAAGGAGCTGGTACCATTAGCTCTACACCCCAGAAGGCGATGCCACAATGTACCTTTCAATCGACCTTTAGGGTAAATCATGTTATTGTGGCCGTATCGCTTCTCTGACAAGTTCACAGCCATTTTCATTCTCAACAGTTTCGCCAACCAGCCAACAATGAAAAAATTCACCCATGCGGGAACTATCCTCTCCGGTTCACTAAAATGATAAAACCTTAAAGTGACCGACGTTCCCATCAAACAAAAGGCCACCTCAAACAAGATCACGATAAAAAATTTGCTGATCAGAGGTAGTACCTCTGAAGTCTTTGGAATGTTCTCGGTGAAAATGAGCATGTATACTGTGAGGCCAAGTAAGAGAGTAATCACCAATGCAATTCTTTCTCCGGACCCTGGCGGTAACGTGAAAGAAAACACTGTCAAAGTGGCCAAAAGAATGCAAGGTAGAATCAAATTCTGAACAAAAAACAACGGTCGCCGCCGAAGGTGGACCCTAAATGTTATGTCAACGTAAGGATACTTGCAGCAGCTATATTTAACAACATTTCGCGTCGCATTTACGGAGACCAATGTCCACTGACCATTACTGGTGTACTTTTGCAGGTCAGCAGTCTCGCTCTTGCGAGCCAAGTCAAGGAATTGGCTGTTGTAGGTCCACGATCCGAAAGTAAGCAAACAAATCTGCTCGTCAAAGGGAAAGAACGTTATGTCGATCTTGCAAATGGATTTGATTTCCGTCGGTGCAAACCATTCGTTTCGACCATCGTGGTGCAGGATAACCATAGTGTCAAAGTTGTACATTTCTCTTCCGACGCCGTTAATGCTGAAAGAGCATGAAGAAGTGTAAAAAGGAATCATTAAATAAAGTGTGAAGTGTACTTCTCTTCACAATTTTAAACTCATTTGGTTGCAATAAATCATAATTTTACCTGCAGACGATATACTAGTAAAGAATTGATCCTCGCAAGCAAGCTACCACCGACAGAAGCACTAGTTGGGAGTGGAGCAAATTGTAGTGGGATCGTCATCCCCGAAAAGGGCGACGCCGTGACTATTAGACATACCCTCTGAGTGGTGCACTGAAGGGAAACTTTCTACATACAGACTTACACAACGACCGATAAGGTGATCGAGCGACCGACCGACCGAGAAAATGTCTTAACCCTCTCCGCCCTAGCATCAGTAAGCATATTCTCCATGCTGTTCCCTATGCATTCACTATGGTGCTGATGAGGAGAATTGGTTTTATAATCCAGAGCTTCTCTAGTTGGTGACCATTTCCTTTATTCTCCTTACCTTAATGTGTCATTTAGGGTGATATTGTAAGGAGATATTAGATGCTAGTCACTTTTAGGGTTAAAGGGTGAGGGTTGAACCAGCAAAGAATCCGGCAGATTGGATTGGAAGGTCGAACTTACTTATGTGATATTTTTAAAACGTTAGGCACTATAGTTAAAGAAGCTCAAGGTAAGGGGAAGGTCTCTGGGACATTGTGCAAAAGTGGTTAAGACGCTAGACTGGTTCCGTTGGTCCCAGGGTCAAGTAATTCAGCCCGTTCCTTCTTTTTTCCAATGATTGGGGCAATCGTAAAATTTAAAATCATCACCATTATTGCAATGTTTTTACTGCTTGGAACAAGGAAAAAGTTTAAATTTCACAGATAGCAAAACTCTCCAAACAAAGATGAAATGATAATCCGTAGCGACTTGATCAAGTGACTGATCCGAAAGTAAGTTAGACTTTGTATGAAAAGACCGTGCATGATCGTTCTTACTTGTTGTAAAGAAGAATATCGGGCTTCCAAACTATCTTTGGATTGACGTTAATGTCTTTTATTCCGCCAAACTCTGCTGGATCCCACGTAAGCCTCTTGTTGTTCCAAAACTAAGGAATGACGAAAGCAAACTTCAATTTGTGTCAGTTTAAACCGCTTCATTCCCTTTTTTGTCATCGGGAGAATAGAATTCATAATTTTCAGTTGCCAGATGATCGAGTTGCGAAGTAAGTTTTTCTCCGCTCAGGCAAAGTAATACTGGCTATACTCTAGAGTAATTTCACGATGTTCTAATCCCTTTTTCATGTTGTCTTAACACTGAGCTCCAGTGATACATTTTACAGGCTACGTTAAGAAGGCGAACAATGATCAGCGCAAATAAAACGCACTGGTTCATCTTTGAGGAACCTTTTTTGGTTCTGTTTTGTCTGTTTGTTTTTTTTATTCTTTATTCAGGTACTTCTCTGCTCAATTGTGCGATATGTTACAAAATAGGAAACAATGAAAATATGAGTAGCTGTATCGTCAAAAATACCTGTCTGACCCAAATGTTGCTGGTCATGATTTGGTCTTTGCTATCCTGTGTGGGAAGGAAAAAATTATGAGTTGAAACGACAACAGACGAATGTTTGACAGATGGTGTAACTCGTCTTGCCACGAGCGTGGGACTTGGTTAAAAGTCTCGAGTCCCTCCTCGGAATCGGATTCCGCTCTCTGAACCTCTACCACTGAGTTGCAGGGAACTCTGTGATGAGCAAGGCCATTACTAAGTTCAGATGTAGCACGTTCCCTGCGTATAGCTTGGATCAGCAATGTCGAACGTATATTGTGACTGAAAGGAATAGGAAAGATGATAATTATTGAGCTTGCCCATGAAAGTCAGGGGAACGAATAGAGACTCCACGAGTAGTCCAAGTCAGCAAGATTCGATGCACGCCATTTTCATTTCCCAAAACATTCTTAGATCTCTGAGAAAATGAATGATCTAAAAATAGATCGAGAGATATTCCCTCACAAAAAGGCTCATATGAAAGCTTCATTCTCTAGCGTTATTCTCTCTTGCATTTCGGAAGTATTGTTTTATGAGTATTTTTCTATCGCTACTGAGGTAAAGTAAGACAGAGGATAAATTTTAAGCTCGTTAGAGACCACAGGAGATGTCAACGACAACGAAATTTGCGACACGCCAACGGTGATTTCCAAAATCTTAGATTTCTAAGAATGTGAAAGAACTAAAACTAGTAAGAGAGACATCCCCTTCGAAATAGGGCTCATATGAAGCTTCAATCTCCAGTGTTATTCTCACTTGGGTGTTGCACAAGTTTTTTGGCTGGAAAATTAAAGAAAATCATCGATAGCCGTGACCTAATTAGAATACGGCCAGCTCCCCACCCTCCCCTCGGGTAGGATCTTCATTGTGACCAGGGTCTGGACATTCCCATCGGTTCTCATGTCTGTCTTCTTTTAACTGGCATCCGATACTTTCAGAGAGGAATAATGAATTGTTTCCCATTCACCGAAAAAACAACTTCTTTCCTCTGCATGAGAACTAACTTTTGTTGAAGAAAATTCGTGCCGTTTATCGCATCAGATGTTTGCTTTCAACTTCAATCACGTGATCAGGTTTCAACTGGTTTGAAATATGTTTTGCAGAAACCCAGGTTTTGTTGACAAAGATTCAACAGTTACGGATTTTGGGAGCTGAGGGGTTAATTTCACTGAGGCCAAGGTGTAAGAAAAAACAATCGTTTATGATGCGCACTGTTAGTCAGAAAGCCAAAGATATCCCCGACCGGACCGCCTACTTGGTCAACAAAAAAGTTAAATGACTTTCCCAAAGCTATGTTGAACTCATGTGGGTTGCCCTGAAACACTTTTACACTTTGAAAAGGATATTTATATGACAGAACTAGGTTTGAACTAAGACACATCAGTGTGGTAATTAATCTTGGATTTCGTTGTCTCAGCTTTCTCAGCTGTGCATCCGTTAAGAAGATTAAGATAATTTTGAAAGCCGCAGTGTAATTTTCTCACATGTACTTTGGTGATAAATAGCAAAGGTGGAATGCAAACAAAGGTGAACATAGCAAGCGATTCTCAATATGGCCAGTCTTAATTACACACGCTGCTAAGAGTAACTCGTCTTTTCAAATGTTCATTTAGACACCAAATAGCTACACTCGATTTGACAACATCCTGCACCAGTTGAGACAGATTCACTGGGTTAAGAGTTTTTTTCGTTTTACAGTGTAAAGGAACAGACCAACTGTAATAACAGGCAGTTCTGTTACTAATATACTCCTTTCTCATGAGATAAACACACGCTCAATAGTTTATACTAAACAACCCGAGAACTTATATTGTTTATCATACAGATTAACTACTTAAATTTGTTTGCGTAAACATGGAGTAGTCAGAAGTTTTTAAATTGCACCCGAAACTTAAATTTGCGTGCTGAGGTGTTCCTCACCACGAAAAGTTTCAGCTCTGAACATTGAAATAGTCACCCTGCAACATCAAAACAACTCTCGCATTCTGTACAGACAATCCAGCCATTCCTCTTCGTGATACCGTCAAGTTTTGCAACCTGGAATGGTTTAAAAAGGTGCGCCTTTCCAACTTTTTCAATTCATCATTTAACCTTGCATTATTCACTTATTATCGATGTCATGGTCCATTATTAATGTTTGTGTGTTCTTCTAATTAAAAGTGCAACAGAGGGCAAAGTAAAACGAATATATTGGAAATCGCAAGAGAGACGTATAAATTCTCCGAATATTTCGAAAATATCGCCACTTTAAAAACACCTCAAGGTTTTGTTCATTCTTCTCTTTGGGAATTCAATGCATTGTAAGCATTTTAAGCGCGAGAATCCGAAAGTTGTAAGACAGTTTTTTGATGTTTACCATGTGTGCAGGGAAGATCACAAATACAGAGAGCCAATTCCACGTTTTAAAACTGCCTCTAAACAGTAAAAAGAATGCTTGCAAAGGTAGCTAGTTCTTTTTTCCGCTGGAAAAGGGACAAAGTAACACGAACTCAGATTCCTTCTGTTCTTATATTATTTGATAGACGACAATTGATTCATACTTAGGCGAATATCGCTCAGAGTAGGAAGCTTGAAGAGCTCCAAGCGAGAGCAAATGCTGCTCTCGGCTACGCAGCTTTTGGAGTGCTCTTTCCTACAATTCGCAAATACACAAACGGAGGTGAAAAAAAAAGAAAAGAAAAGAAAAGGAAAGAGAATCTGTATGAAATAGCTGTACCAACCAACTAAAAGGATGAAATGATACTATTGTCTACGTTATACTTTTGATTTAAACCTTCAAGTTTACGATCTCCTTGTAAACCAGGACTAATCAGTGTACAGATATGCATCCAGCGCTTTCAGGGTTTTAATGGCTGCAAAAAATAGAATTACCATCACAGGACTTAACAATCGACTCTCATTGAGCCATCATTACTATCTTGGGAAATCAAATTACTCTGCCGTGTTTACAGATTCATTAGCCACTTCAGTTAGCTTATTAAGAACGAAAATGTCACAGTATGTGGTCTATCAGACGTCCTTGTTACTTGTAAAGATGTACAAGATGGGGCCTTTTTGCTATGGCTTGCAGATAACAGATACACTCCTTCAAATCATCATTCCCCGTTGTTACAAGGATCGTTTTTTACATAGGCTGCATTTCCACGCTCAACTTTTTCCGGCAGTGCAATTTTTCGGGTTTTCTCGTAACACCTAGAATCTCGCTGTTTAAAATATGGGCGTGTTTCACTAGTACTTGGCTATTTCATGACAAGACGAGTAATTATTTTTAGGAACCTGCCTCAAGTGGCATTTTTTCATCAGTAGCCACACCACTTTTGTTGATGCAGCTTTGAAACAGCTGAAAATATGAAGTTCGCATGCGAGGACGTATCTACCTCTCAGACTGGCTAGTGACGAGTTATAGGTTAAATATTTCGAAGCCCTATAATGAGGTGAATAAATGCTCAAGTCATTTCCTTGACGTATTGCTTCTCCCTTCAAGGATAATAAAAAATACCTTTGTTTTCTTTCGACTCAAATGCATATTACGTAATTAAAGATAAACAAGTGCCTGAAAACTGTTCGTGAAAATCCATTGTTCACGAATCCAAAAGAAAAGAAATCTCTGTCATCACAACACTTCCAATCTCGTTTAATCTTGAGTCACAGATGGTAAATTCTCCTGATCATGAACCTTGATTGCGGCCCTTTGACCGGCGAGTTTGAACCTGCTGCCTGAAGATCAAAAGGTCTAGAAGTTGTCATAGCTAGTCTCTTAAGGCTCTATGGCCGTAGGTTAAGCGAAGAAATCAGTAAGAATTTTGTATGCCAGCTCTCAGTGACTCTATGGCTGCAGCTTCAAAATAGTTCTACCCATTTGTAATCCGCGTAAAGAATCCATCACGTTAAACTACGTTAATTATGTAAGCCTGAATTACGATCTCCCCGCTTGAATTTGTTTCATAGATAGAAGTACAGGGTAAAACACAAATAAATACTTGTACCTTTAGCTTTGTGCTCTGCTTGAGAATAAACAATTAACTGATGCGTTAATCTTTTCTGGGATGGCTAAGGCGATATGCTGCGAATTAATCTGTTTCATAACAGGAAGTTATATCTCTTTCAGTATGATCTTTTGGGAATATTTAGACAAACAGCAGGAGGCAACACGCAATAACAGGACGGACAGATCCTTTCCACATAGAAGGAAACACTATCACCTTCGTCTTCACTAGAAAAACAATTCTAAAAGACGACAACATCGAGGAACAGTTTGCATAGCTTGTTACACGTAATTCCACTGAGTTAATAAGTTAACTTCTATATAATGAGTATATGGAGACCAGGGGCCAGGGATCTTAAAACAACATCTGCAGAGCTCAGAATTTTAGGTTGACGTACCCCGTAAACTGAATGCCTAAAACGCGAATGTTGTTGAATTGCAAAGACAGGAATAAAGAGAAATTCCAAAGGCTGCCGTTAGAGATGAGTCTTAAAGATAAACTACAAAGGTTCTGTCGAGTGATGGACCCGCTTTCAAGAAGGAAACGAAAAATAATACTCCGTACAAGAAGGCATCAGATCAAAATAGTTTGTAATGAATATTCCAAGACAAAGCAGTTCATGTGAATCTCGAAATGTTACAAACTGAAAGTGTTCATGTCCTTGGCCTTTGTATGACTGGGATTACATAATATGGCACAAAACCCAACTCCAAGGGTTGCAGATTGTAAAATATAAACTTACATCTTCACTTCTGAAACCGCACAACTGGCTGGATGACGTTTTGGAAGATTAGCCATTGAAGACTGATATGAATTTTTCTGTATAGCTTTCATTAAGTGACCACATTAGAGAGTTTGGTTGGTATACCCCATTTATCTAGCACCTAATCGTTGGAAATGTTAATTATTATCTACGTGATAGGACACTGTATTTATGTGAAGAACCTCGAGTTCCTTAGAAAATATAGTTACATTGTAACGTACATCGATTCTCGAAAAGATTAAGAGAGTTCCCTTCGAGTAAAGTGGCGCGTTCTTATTCAAGAGACTTAGTTTCTACTTAAATGTGTCATTATCTACAAGAGGGATCTATGTAAGTACTTAACTGAATAACTTGTTATTCAGGTACTAAAGGAGACTGGTCATGAAGGTAGGCCATGACAAAAATTATAAACAAAGCTGTTGTGGTCAATGTTTTTACCCGAAAAATCACAAGCTTTTGTATTCGGAATGAATCAATGAGACACTTTTGTTGGTCAGTTGTCACGATCAGGTAAAAAGCTTACAAAACACAGAGTATAGGGAACTGTCAGGTTTTATAACCATTTCATTTCATCAACTACGTCCCTTAAAAACATCTTCACTTTACACCTAACTGTTTCACAGGGTTTTATGATTTTTTCGTGCAAGCTTTAGAGTTTATCCATCCATATTCAAAGAACGATAAATGCGAGTAAATAGCTTTTCAGGAACATGGATGACAGATGGCAAAAGGCTTTTTGATAAGTTATCAATTTACATCAGAATAGATAACAAGAACTAATGAGTTTCAACTAATTGTCCATAATCTTTGGATTTAGAAACTGTTATGACACAATCCATTATGGCTCGGGTCATGAATGCAATCTGTGCATTTCTTTTCGGAGCGGAAAACACTGAAAGGTGTATCTTGTCATTATGGTTGAAATAATTAAATATATATCGAAAAGATAAGAGGCCAAAGGTATGTATTAACCCGTGATATCTAGGTTATCCGAGAACAGTGGAGAAAAGTATAAAGCACACGATCATTGCGGCTTATGTTTTCTAAGTTTCGCTGGTGGTCTTAAATTTCCACCGTGTTTTATATTTCAAGCTTCTTTATCTGTTAAATGTAGGAAATTAACCGTATCTGCGGGCATCTCTCCATTTAAAACTCCATGCACAGAAAGTAGGTACGTCATCTAACCTGCTAATTTCAACAACAGCAAGAGAAAATCTTAACTAGTAAGTTGCCGTCCTTTTTTTTTCTTCAAAGGGCAATGTGAACAACACTTGATTTCTTTGAGCTCGAGGCTTTCGGGGAACATAGAGATTGCATGAACAGGTCGAAAATCGCGAAATGTCTCACATAGGCGCAAACATCCTGTGACAATAAGCAGATTCACTCCTGGATGATAGAAGATATAATGTTTTTCACCACGAAAGTTTGTTTTGCGTACGAATTTGCTTAAATCAATATTGACGTACCGGCTTTAATAGGGTAACTTCTGTTCCCTTTAGCCAACAAATACGGTCAAAATCATCAATTTCTCATTAACTGTAACGGTAGTAATATAGAGGGCAGTAGAGCCATCTAAGATCAATACGTTTTCCAGCCCAAAAATAACAATGTAAGATTAAACGTTACCCTAGTTGGAAAAAGAACAATTATCATGGGAGGAAACGGTTTTACCAAGCACGATGACTTTGGAATTACTCACCAAGTCGACGAGCTGACTAAATGCCATGTCGAACGTAACAATTACTGGTTCAGATCTGTTTTGCGTGGGTAGAATTTGTTTCTCTTGTAAGTAGTTTTCCATGAGGTGATGGAGAAGCCTGAGTTCTGCATCCTCGGGAGCTTCCTGAGCTGGGAAAGAGTTTTTAACACCACTGTTACTTGAGCGACACGAAAAAGGAATTAAAATAAAATATCATAGAGGGTATGATGGGCACATATGCAGAAAAATTGACGTGTCCAACTTACAAAGAAACGTAATTCGTTAGCAATTGTTGAGCTGCTAAATGCTCTCTACAGGATCATGGAGGTTACTCTCAAAATGTTTTTGCTATTGAAAAAACTTTTCAACATGTCTCCGATGTGTTGACTTTTAAGGAATCCAGACAGTTTTAAAAGGAGAATTTTTTCAATCAGTTTCATACAGCGAAACTCTCTTTGGTGCTTGACGAAGCCGAAGGATGCCTCTCATTCGCCACATATGGATAACAGACGCCGTCCTACAACAATAACCATATCTGACCTTCGTCTCTAAAACATATACTACTCACACAGTTGGTGCAAATAAAAAAAATTCTTTATCTCGCAAAGAACAATTAGAACGTTCCTCGCGCTGTAGGTGAAGAAGAAAGCCACAAAAGTTTGGCAATTTTCAAAGTACGATTAGGACGAGATACAATTACAGCGCGTTGTTGCACCGAGCCGCATGTTGAGTAATTGCATGCTTCCTCTTACCTTTACAAACATGGCCCAGCTTAACTAGAGTTCCGAACAAAAATACAATCACGGCGAAGTGGTTTTTCATTCTGTCAGCACGGCAAAACCAGAAGTATGCCATCGTTTTGTTGACGGTAAAGCTGTTGTGTGATTGGAGCTGTCGATGATGTAGCGATAGCAAAATGTGGTAAAACTCAAAAGTTTCTGTGCTATTTTATCTGTAGCACGATCTCGTGAGAGAAAATAAGATCCCGCGGTGAGATTGTTTCTAATTGCAAATGTCCTTAGGGTAGAGCTGAAGCTGTACACTCAGCACCGTAATCTAAAACTGCCGACAGCAGGGTGACACCACCCGATAACATGTTTTTCATTATGTTTGACATAGTTTAGAGACTGACATACTTCTTGTAAATCATGCAATAGGTGGATCATGGAAGGGGCTGCTCCGACTGCGTGAGGGACACAAACTGATCCGGTATAAAAACCAATTCTTTGAAGAGGCGTGACAAGAATATTGAGAGCCACAAGGGGAGTTCTGGTAGGAGGTCTAGAATCTACTTTAAAGGCTCTTCTATAAATATATAACTGACAACTAGTCGACGAAACGACACCTGGGACCACCTGATTTCAAAACATCCCCGAAAAGGCTCCGTTGGGCAGGTAAGCAGTTTGATTCTCCACAAACAAAACTGTACAAAGTAGTGTCTTTGCAGCTTTACTTTTTAACAACGGCGCTTAAAAGTTTCCTTTGATACAACACAATACAACTCTTCTTATTCAATGTGGACATTCGATCCGAGTCTCCGTAAATGCAAAGATTTAAGGCAAAAGGAGTGGATTAATTGGACCGATGAGAAAAAATCTCGTGTTGTGTACTCCAAAAATTACGTCAAGGTAAGGATTCTTCCCTTCTCGTTGCTTTTTTGGCAGTCCTCCTTGTCAGACCCAAAACTTGAAAACTAGATCATCTTCAAACAACTTCGTATCATTCAGGCGCGAAAGACGCCGACATTTTCAATCAAACAATCATCACGGGAAAATGTAATTATTGAAAGCGACAGTAGCTATTTCTCTATCCATCCCCTCTCGGTGACGATAAATCATCGCTTGATAAGAAAACGTCCAAAACGTATCTGTACTTCTTTACAGAACTAACTTAGGAAAGAATACACTTCCCATTCAAAACGTATTGTACAGTTTTACTATTTCCTGTTGCATTTGATTTTCTTTGCTTTGTAAACAGAAGTGTCTTTTCGTCCTACATATAATTTTTCTTCAAATTACCGACAGATTTAACTTGAAGGTTGAAGAATTCAGGAACATTTGACCTTTAATCAAGTTTTTCCACGTAGTCGATTTCATTATTACTCGCTAAATTGTATTTTTGCTTCGATGTGAAGCTTAGATGAGGGGGAAAAATCCATTGAACTTAAAGATGACCCATTTCTATCCTGAAACAAGTCTTCACATTCTCATGATGAAGTTGTGCCGATACCAAAATCAAAAACACGAATTTCACTTCTTTTGAGTGAGTGCTTAAGTAACAGGCTAAGCTGTCATATCGCGCTTTATCGCGGGGTACGCTTGACAAAAGTTTTCAGTGAGGCTACCACACTTTCACTTTGTAAAGGTTAAGTCAACATTCCCAATCTAACTTGTATCAACTGCATCCAACATTTATCATTTATCTGCATCCAAATGCCACAAACAGCGCTATAAGTTGAGGCGGTGCGTGAATCAGCCTTATTTGGGTTCCTTTAAAAAAAAGCTTCTGTATCAATTCAGGCGAAGGTAAACTTCAAGTTAAATAGTCCACGACCGAATAAATATAACGACTATTGCATTGCATTCATCACTTCTCAAGTCAAAATTGTTCCCTTATCCTCTTATTGGACTACCTGTCGCGCCCAGTTTGAATTTAATCTCTGAGTCGTAACATCTGTGCCTTTGTTCTAAGGATTAAGACGAAGGTTAAGAAATGTTATACGATGAATTTAGACAACAAGTACAATTACTTAAAATTATTTATCATTCAATGCGAATTCTTTCTCCCATAAAAATTCCTATAAATGCCTTCCCTAAATGAGTTTTCCTGGTGTTCAAAAGGAAAAGGTGCTGCAGCAAAACCTCTTTGACCTTCGTTCCAAGTCAGTTAAGATGAAATATTTCCGCCTCTTGAAAAGACCACCTTATCTTGTTTTTATTTGGATCTAAACAAATCGAAGAGTCTTAGAGGAATTGTTGCACCTTATTTCGAGTTATTTTTTTGTGTAATTAAAAATCATCGTTGGCTGAAAAGATAACTTCCATGGTAGTTTGCCAAGGTAAAGAACACCTTAGAGGTACGAATAAACAAGAAGGGAAATTAGAGCGTCTCAAGATGGGAATGATTGACAGAGATTAAAAATAATATAATTCCAAAATTTCCGATCAATTTTCCAAGGTTTACAAATCGAGACATGTTTTATACATCTTATGAAAGTATTTGCGCCAGTATATTAAATGCAACGATACGTTTTCGAGAGATTTATGGATTTATGCAGGCAGGGACCGAACTGTATTGTAGCCTTTGTAAAACTTTAAAGTGTAATTTTGTTCTTAGTAAGTTCGAAGAACCACAAACTGAAATGATGTACAATATGTTGGCACCATTTGGAAATTCATTTACTTCCAGTAATATTTTGGCAATTTAAACATATGGCATTGAGTTAAACAAACTAATATCTCATTTCTTCTCTGTTATGCCCCTGTGGCTCATAAAATGAACAAAAGCGAAATAAAGCACATCTACGATAACCTTTTAGTTGCAATTATCCATAAGTTACCATGAGGTAACCAAATGTTTTCGGTAAGTTCCTCAGGTAGTACTAAAATCCGTACAATAAAAGATCCACATACGACTAAATCTATACGATACTTATGTTCATCATGATTATCGCCAAGAGAATCAGATCACATTCTCTTGCTGTCACACCAAATGAAAACTCCAATACATATTGTAAAATTGTCTCTGCGATAGCTTTCATATGCGGCGGCTTTCCAGCGCAGTCGGTGTCTTAAGTGGCATTTGTTTTGGTATCTGAAGGGTCATGTTCAATCGTTTTCGAGTGATTTCATCTCATCAAGGTGGACAAGTGAAGTTTTCATGTAATGTAGAAAGAAAATCTAGCTTTCAAGGATTTTTCTTTCGCAAGTATTATCTTGTAAAACAAGAAAGCTTAGATTAGAGAACTTAGTCAAGGTATTTGATAAATCGTGGCTTACTCGTTTCAAAACAGCTCTTACGGCGAGACTCTTTGTAATGTGCTCGTGTGCCCTTTTTCAATTAAAATTACACAGTCACATAGGTACAATTTGTTGAATACAATCCAATCAAAGTCTTTCTGTTCATTTTCTAATCAATTGCAAAAAGTTGATAAAGAAATGTTAAGCGCAAATAAAGTTAGACTTCCACGCATGACAACCTCATATTAAGTAAGTTTATATGATCTCACGATCACAAAAGTCCCAGATGTGACAAGGAATTTGCAACACTTTCTGCACGAGGGAGGTGACACCACATTACGCTACACATGGCAAATCTCCTAGCATTATCGAAAAGTATTTATAACTCACAACAATCACTATTTCGCCTTTAACATGTCATAACACATGAGAGGAAGTGGATACTCATTGAACTGAATCTGTGTATTTTAACCGGCTTCCGAACCATTTCTATTAATTGGTTCCCTTTTCTCACAATGCCTCAGTACAGGCACGGTAATTCTAATTACCTAGTTAGGATACAGAACAAATCATATCGCTGAGATACTTATTACACATCTACATCACCAGCAATTAAAAGAATTGGCTTAATCTTGGTTTAGCTGCAGAGACGTATTTTAAATTCAAAAGCTGCGATTTAACACCATGATAACAAGAGGTTAAAGACATTTTATCTAGAACTTAGATTCTCGGCTTGCATTTTTAGTCGCCTATCACAACAAGAACAATGAAAGAAATTGGATTTATCTTCCACATCGAATTAATTTCATCTCCCTCTACAAACTCGACTGCGACCCTCGATAGCCAGTACATATTTGTTTAGCATTTGTCGATTGAGCGACATTTGAAGACTCTCATACCAATAACCAATTTGTTCACGAGGGAGAATGTCCAACCAATCAATACGTATTTTCTCTCTTTTTTTTCTTTTTTCATTTCCGACTCTGATGCAACAGAGCCTTGGCAATAGAACTTCTCATAACTGGTGTGGCTAATTAAATGAAGTTTGGGTTGAAAGTTTCTTTGTCTTCAAGTTATTAAATGAGTGATGTTTTATGTAACTATTACTCTCTAAAAAATTTCTTACTAAATTAGATTGGCATCTCATAGGAAAAGGTTAAACGGGTACACGTTAATTAATTGAGGCTCGAGGATGTGTTTTGAACAGAATGCGTCGTCTGTGAGTGGACGGAAAATCATCTTTTTTCATAGTACTTTAAGAATCCGTTCCTGGTGGTCTGCACATAAGAACCTGTTCCGCTTACGAGAGATGTATCACATAGGAAAAATGAGGTCAAAACAGTGTAGCCCACCAAACTAATGATGACCAAGCAAAGAAAAAATTCAAGCATTCCACGCAATTCGAGAACCTTTTTTGATTGGGGAGGATAAAATCATCGCAGCTTGATGCTACTGGGCCAAAATACGCCTCCTAAAGTTAGCACCTATGCTAGTTGAGTCTTAATCTGTATTCTGTGATTAGATTAAAATCCAGCAGGAAAGGCGCCATCTTCCACGTACCACGATAGGGTAGAAAGACTTAAGGTTATCTAGACAGGAACACTTTAATTATGCAAGGACTTCGACATGGCCCTGCCCTAATCCTTCTTAAAGGTCTCCTATGGAATTTTCATTATCTGGTCTACAATTTGCCAAATAAACGCATTTTGGCTGTATCAGTATATCGGCGGGTATATCCCACTGGTAAATAAGGCTTTGCAAGCTTTCCTGTTATTCACAAATTTTTCGTTTTTCCTTCCGATTTCTATACATACGCGTCCACCGCTTCTTTGCCAATTTTAAGTAATTTCCGTTGTGGTTAACGTCTCGGAGTAATTTTCCTAAACATTTACGAATTCCAGAGTATAATTCTATGTATAATCTAAGTGACATGTTTAATTCCTCAAGAAAAAAACGAAAAAGAATACAAAAAAGTATAAAAACAAAAGTAAATAGAAAAAAATAATAGAAAAAACAACAAGTTTCCAGAGATAGAACACAGCAGTTATCACAACATGAGCGTGGGCCGCGACATTCATCCATAATAATTATAAAGACAAAGTTCACAGTTGTTTATCTACAGGACTATACCATAAGGCTTTGCACGTTACAACAATACAATAAGGCAGGATTTACAAAGAGCGAATAAAACACGTGCATGGGAGAAGCGCATGCCATTTCTGTTCCTTCCTGCTTGACCCATAGCGGAAAAAAAGAGAGGCACATGCGATTTTTTCCGTTATATTCTGTCGCCTATCATTACACTAGGCCAGAAAATGAAGCTGAAGAATATGAAGAAGATTTTCTCCATAATATGAAAAATGTCATCCGCGCCGTGAACCGCGAACTGATAACGTCTGACCGTTGTGATTACATCATCGATAGCTGGCGTCCATTGAGCAGTTAAAAGAAAAGCGACAATAGTTGACGCAGATTACGCAGACGTGTACACGCAGGCAGGAAAGTACAGAGCCAACGATATAGGAACGCTTGGAAATACTCACGGATAAAGGATACTACGAGAAGGAGTTTGCTTTGGCCATTTAGAGGTGAAGTAAGTGCGTATTAGACTAAAACAAAGCTCGTGAAATGGTGTACCGAGGTTTAGACTTCGACAGCAAAATTAACGCCCGTTTTGAAAAGCTAGCTTGGAGAGAAACACACATCTTTTGATTTATTTTCCCTGTTCGTCATTTATAGTACGTTTAGAAGGACAGAGCAATGCCGTTTAAGTGACAAATATGTTCCTTGTTTTTGACGCTGATTGGTCGTGTGTGAATAAGCAACCTTTGATTAGTATTAAGAAATTGTATCGAGTCCGCGCGCAAATTTAGTCTCGGCCTTTCCACAACGTGAATATACATAAAGAAAAGGGTCGTAGCTAACAAGAAAAAAAAATGATCAGCCTTACTCTTTGTCACTAATCTTCGTCTTCGGCGTGTGTGGTTTGTATTAATAAGCAGACTTGAAAAAATATTTGATTTTTGGGCGCGTATGTTTCACCTCAGTTTCAGACAAAAATCAAACGTAGGATTTTTACGAAAGTGAACAAAAAACGCTTTTGCGCAAAGATGACTTGACGTAAGTGTCTGTTTGGTCCGTGTGCGTGATCAACATAACTACAGAGTTGGAACATGCAATCATCTTCGCCTGAAATACCACTTCTGCTTATAAGTCGACAGAGAGAGAATCTCCTTGGGTACAAATCCGGAAAGTTGAAAGCAGCTTTTATCCAGGAGGGGGGGGGGATAAGAAGAGAGATGAATGTCGACAGTTTTGAAAGAAATTCTAAAAGATATCAATATGGGTGTGGCATCAACCAATGTAAAAGGTGTAGAAGATGGTAGATGTAGGTTTGAACAAGTAAAATAATTCTCCTGTATCTTGTTAATATAAAGAGAGAAATGCAAATTACTACCCGCATTAACAAACTAGAGAATCTACGAAGATCACCCCTTGCTTTCTGTGGTGGAGACCCCCGGGATTTAGATTTCAGACGTTGTACCGCTATCAGAGTTAATCGGATAATTGCTTGAACAAATGCTAGTGCAAGTAATAAATCTCAAAAAAATGCACTGATATCTCATAATAACATCTTCCCTAATTCGACCATTATTTCTCAGTTTTTGGCTAGGAGACGACTAGGAGATCTGAAAATTCATAATCTGCCCTTGGTGACACAAGCGAACGGGATTTTAACTTTTAAAGATAAACGGTCACATTATCGTCAGCAAAATTTTAAAAGGCTCCTCGACATTGTCGCATCATTTTCGCCTCTTCACTTTGCCGAGTTTAATTAATGTAAGAGCGAGGTCAGCAGTGACTTAAATACTGTCTAAGCTTCTGTTTCGCGGTGATTTCGCAAATACAAGAGCAGCGAAAAACCCTAGTGCTCACAAGTAGACCTTGTCAAAGAGGAATGGTTGAAACACCTTATGCGCACATGTTTAAGTTAAATTGCATCAAAAAATCTGTCTCCTTGCCGATGGAAACGTAAAATAAACTGTTGAGTGCAAACAGAGATAACGTTCTTATTAACGACAACAATTTTCTCGCGCTATCAGTTATCAGACTTGAATGTAGACAACTGTCTTACTGCAGATTAATACTCGTGTTTCATTACCAATCGCTTTTAAAGAGTTAGTAATCAATGTTGGGTGGAAGATTGTACTTTTATCTGCTTCTAATGGGGAAATACCTTTCCAATTAACTTTCCTTTGGCCTGCACCGTTTCGTGCGGTAAGAAGAGTGCCACAGTAAAAATAAAGTCCCTTTGTGGAAGGGCCAGAGTCCAATTAACCAATTTCGATAACGTGATTATGACTAAATCAACAAGTCTAATAACATCCCACATCCGCTTAAAATATTTTTTTTGTTTGTTAAAAAGCTCGTCTCCCTTAACTCCGACTGTGAATTCACTGTCGAAATATTGGTTTACAAAACCTCCTCTTTCACCGGCCTCTTCATCCGCAGTAAATAAACCTCTTCTCATGCGTATGCTGCGCTCACGTAAATTACGCAACCGTTAAGCTCTGAATCTGAAAAGTGATCATCAGTGCAAAGGAGAAGTTTCTTACTCTGTATTGTAAGTAATGCCAAAAAAAAAATCAAAGAAACAAATTAATACATATGACCTGAAAAAATTTACGGTGACCTCAATGAAGCTATGAGAGAACGGAAAGTAACAGGATTTAGCGACATATTAGCGACCACTAAAACGGGAAGACAACTGGTTTTGTTGAGTACCAAAGAAAGTTATTCCCGCGTTTATGGCACCCACGAGTTTCATGAAAAGAAGACGTTTCCAAAAACAGACAATGTCACGTCCTGTATGTCATGTATGGAAATTTAATAACCTCATTTCAAAAATTAATCAATCTGTGTTAAGTTCTTTCCACGCCTATCAACATCACCAGCATGCCGACATCCGGAATCTGATATCTGTGGTGTGTACCTCTTTGTCTTGCAAGTTCCTCGATGATTTGAGATCTTCCGCAAATAGTGAAGTGGCCTCCTACACCATGTTCTTTCTCATGCAAATGCAGGAAACCAAACACTCACCCACCATCACCAACTGCTTACAGATATATCGCTTAAAACCACCATCACCAACTGCTTACAGATATATCGCTTAAAACCATAGAAAATCGTTTTCTGTTAGCCTGTTATGATTAAGTATCATACTGTACACATGCTGTCTTTCACTCTGCTCGGTTACCATGAGGTGAATTGTCTAATTTACTATGATAAGTAGCAGTCATTTGACGTCTTGTCAGACGATGTAGATCAGTGGTATGTATGACAAAACCACAATTGGACAAAAATAGGTTGTTGCACGAATTCTTTCACGGAGCTGTGTCACGTCTGCGAAAAATGTCTTACACCGGAGTGAAACTGTTAAATCATACTCTTTGAAAGAGGATAAACACCCAAGAGGTAAGAAAAATTCAAACATAAAAAAAAAAAAAATAGACTAGGATGAATTTTCAAAAAGGTTCAAAGATTCTGAATGAATCAGCGAAAACGTCCAAAGATCCGTTAAGTCACTCTTAGCACCAGCTAGATCGGTTCAAGTGGTAACCAAGGTAGCGTCAGGCTCAATATCTCGATGCATATCACTTTAAATTGACCACTTGTATGTAAATGTTTTCACCACAACATAACGAAACTTTTCCTAAATTTCGTGTGACAGAGATTTAACTTTCATCCCTCTGAACAAGTCGCTCTTTTGGCAACATGTAAGGAGGCATAAGCCAGTGCTCATAAATAACTCAACAGTCGTGTTTCATAACACTTAATTCGGGCGTTGTCTATTAATATTATTTCATACATCCTTAAACCTCTTTTGATCCAATTTTAATGCATCAAGTACGAATCAACAAATAGATCCTATGTTACCGAGGATCCCTTGTTCAGAAATCGATTACAGATGACGTCAAAATGTCGTAAGAACAAAAAGTGATGCGGAAGACGCAGCCGAGTGTGTCACTGATTTTCTTACCTTTTGGTGATCTATTTCTGAACAGATCCACGGCAACATGGAAACTATTACTTCATATGTGTTAAAACAGCAAAATGTTGTTAATGGTGATCTCATCTGCGCGTCTGTCCTCCAATGAACCATGCGTAAAAACCAATCAAAATGTGTAAGATTCAGTTTATCATAATATGGAAACAGTTCACCTTTCCCATCGAGGAAGTACATTGACATGGATATAATCGTTAAGATTCATCAAAAAAGATCATACTGCTGGCCACAGTATTTTAAACACGACCTTTTCGGGAAGAGTATTCAGTCTTAACGGCAGGAGAAGTCCTTGGGTAACTAGGGGTAAAATTTTTCAATCTAAGTCAAGTTGACATTGCAGAAAGTAGCTGGGTTTTGTTTCGAGGTCTGACAGTGTCCAAAAGGTGCACGTTTCTTTGCAAAGTACCATTTTAGAACCTGATTTTAAACGTTATTGGCTTAGTTAATTGCCTTCATCAAAACATTCTCTAAGTATTTCCGCCATTCCGTCCATTTTCTAAAAACCTTGAGTGCTGGAAAAAATGTAAAAGCCCTGGAGTAAGGTTAGTGGATACCTTTTTCCGTTCGCTTGCAAATTTACTTTGAGGGAAAAAACTAATAATAACACTCTGGGAGCTTCCTTTCTATTCATCCCTATTGAATTGTTTCCAAACCACGCAAATTCGCCGTAATTGCAGTCTTGCAGTAATAAGAAATTATGAAACGGTTTTATATCTTCCGAACCAAACAGCATAATGGGGCCAGGACGGTCTGTGGCACTGAATTTACACCTGCTCTATATCAAGTAATTGGAAAATATGAATATGCCAAACTAATTCAGCGACTTTAAGCCGGAGGAAGCCATAAATTCAATCATGCGACAAGATGACGTCCTGAAACAACTGAAACTTGCGTCCTTTTTGTGGTAAATGAAGTGAAAACAAATCCAACATATTTATTTTATTGAAGTCTTTCTCTGCTATTCTTACATAAACTAAAATACGTTGTCACAATGGTGTATTTCTAAATACCGTTGAGGATGAGAAATTCCCAATCTGTGAGTGAATACTAACACAAACATTTAGACACTGTTATGACTGGCAAGGTTTTAATCGCTTGAGGGTTTCCATTGACTGTGAAGTGCTTTCGGCTGTTGTCATGAAAGCGTTTCAGCACCAGCCAATCAGGTGAAACACAATAAGAGATAATTTGCGTTATGCATTACTTCATTTCAAATTGACACCAATGGCCAAGTTTTAATTTCACATCTTTGCTTACTGTTTCTTCTCTAAGACTTGGTGAATTTCTATTACCATTATTGTGAAAAGTCGAGAGAAGGTATGTGTTTTCTATTCTGGAGGGAAAATTTCTCATCCATGTAATTGCTTTTGACAGCTTGCCATTATAAGTTGCGTTTTGTTTTCCATCGAAGTTCTGTATTCCACCCATCAATTGCAGCTGCAATCGACAAGTTTCATAAAATTGAAGTGAGATCATCTTTTGCACTTTTCCAAACTGATTTTTGAGCTAACTAATCTGTCGTCCAACAGTTATTTCGCGTTCACATTTTCTGTAAACCAGAATCGGCGTTCGTGGATGAAGTTTGTTATGTCTTATATTTTACACACTTGTTTACCAAAAGCCTTGACTTTAAAGGCGGTGCAATGACAAAATAGCAATAAAATTGCAATAGATCGTAATTAAACTTTGATCGGATATAATTGTTAGAATTAAATACGAAGCGAGCCATAGTGTTTCGTTGTGTTATCACGGATTCATAGAATAGTTTGAAGTCAAGTGATTTCGGAAATGAAAAGATATTTTTCAGTGTTTAAAACAGTTACTCGTTGATAAGCGTTTTAAACAGGACCGACAGACACTAGTTATTATACACAGGATGGGACACAAATTATAAATTCAACGATGGTTCATGGTTTGATCGAATTTTATTTAATTTTGATGTACTTGATGAACTGAACCAATAGCCATCTAGAGAATGACAGGTTATCTTTGGTCTTGTTACCAAGCAACCCCTTAGAAACTGCAATGTGATCAGTAGAGCAGACCAAAACTTTTAAAATAAAAAATTTGCCGAGAAAAAAATAGTAATTCTATATTTTAAAGCATCGTTCATGGAATCATCTTTGTCGCGATGGCTACCTAAAAGTTGTCACATATCTGGTATTAATCACGTAATCCTACTGAGGTATTTATTATGAGGAGAGCCGCTGGCAAAATATATTTGTTCAACACAAGCTGTGAACATAGACCAAATTCTTCGCTGCGTGCATAGGGCGCTCACTGATGTACACTATAATATTCGTTTAAAACTGACACCTGTACAACGTGTTTTTGCATAAATTATGGAACCTGCTGAGATGATGGTAGAAACAAATAATTGATACTAATTCAAAACACTTTAAAAATCCTTCATAGTCAATAATTTGAGTCGTAGAGCATTATTCGTCTCTCAGCTGGGTAACAAGGTTACTCTTAAATCTTAAACTTATCCCCTTCAAAATTTCTTTCTTGTTTATTTACTTGTTTCAAATTCGTTGTCACTAACATCAAACTAGACTGAGGAGAACATTGACTTAGAAGTACATAAATATGAAGCAACATGTCTCTGATTATGAATTAACCAATCAAACCATTTATATCATTCATTAGTCGTTTAGGTGGGAGAATAAGTCAACTAGTTGGTTGAAAAAAAATAGAAAAAAAAAGAAGAAAAAAAGAAAAAAAAAAGAAAAATTGATATAAAACAGGAAAACAATATAAAGTATAAACATAAAACGAAACCAAACACATAACAATACGAAGAAAGAAAATAAACTAGAAATTAATTTGTTGACAAAAGAAGTGAAAAAGATAGTTCCAAAAAGCATATCTAGTATATCTTCAACCTGACAGTTGTAGAAAAACGAGCTTGCAGCACTGAACTAAGGTAAGAAGCAGTGGGTCACCTTACGTGTACTGGCGGGCCTGCCCGTAATTGAGAGCGTGCCACTTTCACAATCCGCTTCAAATAATTGTACACACCGGAACTTCTTCCCACGAATGAGTTAATTTTTGGTTCTGTTGCGTCGGAATACCAAATAATTGCGAAATAATTTGCGTCACACGACTAATTTCCTTTGTACTGTTACTTTGCCAAAAAATATTAATAAATGAGTGGGCTGAAACTTTCACTGTTTCGTGGTTTCGGCCGAAGATGTAATTTCAAGTTTTCTAGACAAATGACGATGACGAATCCTTGCTAACTTGATGTCAAATTCGCCAGAGGAGTAAATTTCATGCGTACACACCTGCGGTAAGGAAAATGATCTCGTAGCATGAACAAATTTTAATCTCCCACCACGCTAAATTTAAATATTTATTGGACAACAAAGACGAATAACTTGTTTAATCTTACTAAAAGCACTCCTACTACTTTGTTTAATTTTTGTTAAAACGTGGTTTTAAGGATTTTAGAAAGGGTTTAAGAAGGATTTTATAGAACCAACGTCATCGAATCCTTTTTCCATTTCATTCAGACAAAGCATGAACTTCACCTTGATGTCTTTTCATAAAACATTTCCCATGACAACTGAATTACCTAACAGGAACCAAGAAAACAAAATTAGCAGCAGCAAAGAAAACGGCTGATATAATCAGTTCGAGACCTCTGAAAATGCATGGAAAAAAAACACCATGATGATCATTTCAGAAAACTACCTGCTTTAAAATATTAACACTGACTCCCACAAGTGACCAAAAAGCAATTACATCTTGGATTATCAAAATATGGCCTGGTAAGTAGGCGAAAAATTTGAGAAAGTTATACACAAGGGAAAACTGTTTCGTTTCAAACCACACTCTCAAAATTAAGATTTTAAGTCCGTCTTCGCATAGCAGTGTATGCTATCTTAGGAAGTGAAACGTTTAGCTAAGACGACAGTTCTGATGTATCATATTTTCCAATATTCCTTCCGTTCAAATTATCATTTTGACTCTCATGTCGTATTACTACATGCAGAAATAAAACGAGAATAGATAAATTTAGTAATATTAAGAGACCCTTATTTATCAAATTATTCTGTTTACAATTTGGGCTACCTTATGTAAACATTGCAGATATGCAATTGAATAATTGGCAGGTTGAAGATATTATTGAAGCACTCATTGGTGACTTTTGATGGTGCTATCAACCAAGAGTTGGTCTGTTGTAGCAGCCAGAAGATCATTGAACAGAAACAATAACAATTAAGAAAGCAGAGAAAAAAAGGCCGACATTTTGTCGTCCATGCTACTCGTGCAGTTTATTGTTTGACTGTTCTAAAACTGATACGGTGTTAATTGGAATTTTTTATTTTTCAACGACAAACAATATTCGCCTTCGAAGCTGTCCAGCAAAATTTCGCCACTGTTCGAGTTGTATATTCTTAATCTGACATCGCTAAGATTCATCATGAGTCTGTACATTGTGAATGTTGAGTTTTTGGAACGAATAATCAACGCAAACGAATTAACTCCTGTTTGCGCATATTTGCCGCCATACCGTGCTAACCATGTCGTGAGAAAAGTCACCGTGAAAATTATGAATTCTTCATTGAAAAACTAGTCATATATATTTCAAACAAAGTTTCTAAAGAAAGTGACAGAATTCCTGAGAGACAGCTATTATTGAGCAATTAGATTTTTCATTTTTTCAATTTTTCTGATCCTTGTCATTTTCCAAAGATAACGCGGTTTTGTTCTTTTTCCACAAGTAATCCAAAGTAACTTAAATCCCACAGATTATTCACGGGTCCTTTTCGTGAATGTCTGATTTCATTTTCTTTAAAATGCGGATCTACTCTATAAATCTCGAGAACATAAACCAAATTTATTTCAAAGTCACTGAAATTTGCATAAGGCTCACGTACGGAGTGTTTTTTTAAATAAATCATTGTAAGCAAGAGATTAAGATATCTCAAGAAATAGTAGGCACAACCTCAATCAATGAAAACTTAGACAATTTCCTTGTCACGTCATTGTTATGATATACCGGAAAAATATTCGATGACTTCTGCTCGGATTTCGTGTTCCTCTTTCAACTGAATAATTCGTGCACTTAAATATATATATATATATATATATATATATATCCATAGGGATATGAAAACTTGTGTTTAAATAAATATCTTCATCTTTTCGATATTTACTTTCAAAGTGCACAAAATACTTAAGCAGTATATTTCTTTTTATAGTATGATATGGAGAACAAGAATTTAAAATTGTATCATTTTGACTGATTTGGTCTCATTCAAAGTATGTTTTTGCCCATCTAAACCTTGACGTTTCAGATCCGCCTTTTAGGAAAAACATTCAATTTTAAGATATGTCTCATCTGAAATTGTTATTACACAAGTGATTTTTACCAAATGTAAAAAATAGCCCTGGCAACTTGGTAATTAGCATTTTCTCAAGTTTCATTTGGTGTTTATTGGCCAAACAAACAGACGAGCATTTGCAGCTCGTAAGGAACTGCTTAACCACGTATCATTTGATTCTGTAAAATAGGGCTTCACTCGGTCATGTTTTACTCTCAAGTCACTCGAAAACTGTTCACCTTGTTAAAGGATGGCTAGAATTGTACAATTCACTTCTCGTATCTTCCATTTAGTTGAATCAAATGAATGCAACGCGGTGATTCATTATCACAGGGAGGGTTGGTATTCAAGTCAGAGGCGAATATCAACAAGGTTAGCAGGTTGGTAGAAAAGCAAGCAATTCAAGCTGACCTGTGACAAAATATGTTCTACGTTTGTTTAACAGCTAATCCTATTAAATTTATTCAGGTCGAGGATCCTGAGCAGAGCCTTTTTTTTAGCAAAAAAATAGCAATCGCTCTCTTCTAATCAGTTTGGAATGCTAGCTGAGCTCTAATATAGCAGTGAACATGGGAGTCTGTGCGAAAAAGCCCAGAGTGCTGTGTTGTCTATCGAAACGAAAAACGCCAACTGGGTGAACACGCTAGTTTCAAGAAATTTTTTTAACTCTTTTAGTTTTCAGCATAATTCATGTTGATATTGTTGTCATCAGAAACTGGACAAAATTTGTAAATTACAGTACTGAAAAGTAAGCATACGTATTTTAATTGTAGAAAATAGAAATTCACTGAGCTAATCCAATAAAGGCAAATTTTTTCGAAGCAAACATTATTTAATTACAACAGAGGATATTATAATATGGATGCAAAGTTCTTTCAAATCAAATCTGACAAGCTAGCCAAAAAGTATGGCGGTAATTGATGGTCGAGTTGGAGGCTAATGAATGAATATTTCTGCCATAACTTTTTTGAGAAAAAATAAGCATTTGACAAGGAGCATTCAGAAATTTAGAAATTTGACGCCCAAGAATCAGTGAATCGTCGTCATTTAAAAGAAGAGGGATTTTCAAATTTCTTTGAATTTTGGCAGAGACCTAATCGAGAATAAATCAATTTAGTTTTTCAATCATTTCCGGAAGCGTTAAAAAACCACGCAGACATCCATTGAATAATAATATGTTCCTCAGCTTATTCTGTTCGTCTGCCGACTAGCTTTTAAGCAGAATACAGATGTGCCACATTTTTCTCTCGGATCTCGGAGCAAGTTCACCCCGACTCGGGCCTTTTCTGTTTGACTGAAGCCATCAAACACGGGCTGTAACATAGACCGCAGACTGTTCATGGCGCCCTTTAAAAGGCAGTGCTTGCGTTGCCTCAAGCTAAAAAACCAGAGGATTTTAACTGAAAATGTAGCTAGATTAAGCCTATTGTTCAATTTTAAAAGCTATTTTTTTTCAAATACTCAACACAATTCATAGCTCTTGACCCATTTCGCCCGAAAATTCAATTTAATCCCTAAGTGTATGTTGCAGGAATGAAAGCATGTTTCGATTTTACGGCTAACCAAGTAACATCATTCCCCAGTTTCGAACTTTGCAAACAGTAGAACTGCTCGACAATTAAAAAAAAACACAGGCGTGTCAAAAAAAAGTCAATTAGAAAGTAACATTTCATTTGCAGAGATTACGTCGTAAGTCAGTTTACGCTGTGGTCTACAAAATCATTTTTGGTGGACGTCCAGCGATTTAATAATTTTCAAAAGCATTCAATGTTACAAAAAAATACAAGGAAATTGAGAAACTGCACAAGGATTAGTTTCAACAACTGATGGCATGATGTTGGCTATCGTTAGGCCAAGCTTCAATTTTCTGTTTGCTACTAACTCAAAAGATGTCCATGTATCCTTGGGATAACCAATTTACGGTTAATTTTTTTTTCGCGTCGATGTGAAGGGGTAACCCAAGCACGATACGCGTTCGAGAGTCAAATTCACAAGATTGAACCAAATACCATGTCTACCTACTGAATTTACTTTATCTATCTATGTTAAAGAACCTTTCAATAGGATTTTGTACATTTGTAACTAATTCACCTAGAACAAATGTAAGGTGCAAAGTTTTTTTCCGGCCTCTGTGCATTTAATTAAGGTCACCAAATAAAATCAGCCTTGTAAATTTACTTGAATGCTTTATTGACATTCAATAGAAGTTACAATGCAATCCTTACAAAATCCAAGTAATTTGTGAAACGCATAAAAGCCTAGTAACTAGAAGCTCCTTTGAAAACAATGGTAGCAGTTGATGTACAGTAAACAAAAATGTGAAAATTCAATGGGATCCACGACTCCCACCGAATGTGGACATCCCTTCTTTAGTCTTGGTAACAATGAAAAAGCCTCAAAGAGAAGCGGAGACGTTACGTAATCGTGCCTAGGATATCTAGAAGCGAACCTGGATCCAGCAAGGATTGTTAGACCTTCACATGATAAAGGCAAGACTTGAAAGGGATATTCGAGGAGGTCTATAGGCTACGCCGGTAAAAAGCAAATGCATTTTCATTTACAAGGAGCACAAACCATGATCCATTGAAAATAGATTATGGAAACAAAAGCCATTGGCAACGGCTTTGCGATTGACAAAAGGGTCATTTCATTACGGTTGAGCTCGACTCCGAACAAATAATTATTTACTACGAAATAAGCGTCGAAATTCACTTCGACCAACTTAATTCTTTTCTTTTTCAGTGTTTTATAAAAAGTTGGATTCCAACATTTAGGCTGAGAGTATGAAGTACACTGTAAACGGTTCAAATTCAAACTTAATCTCCATAAACAACACGCAGTGAATTAGCTAGTATATATTAAACTATCACGTTGTTTAAAAAAGAGAGACTTCGTTCTGTACACACATTTTTGTACACTTGGACACGCAAAGGATTCACAGTCTGTTGGTGTTATTTCATTAACTTGTGGTAAGGCCAAATTGTACACAAGTTTACTGCAATATTTTGACCTCTTAAAGCCTTCAGTTACACCTTTAAGGCAACCCATCATTTAAGTGATAATAACGGTGATTTAACTACTGTTCACGCCTCCCTTACGTACCATTACTAATTAGTATTAAGCGAACCGTCGCAAACTCTGCTCATTTCATTTTAATTACCGCCCAATTTTTGACGTAATATTCAAAGGATCCTATCAATCTTAGATGAGACTGATGACATTTGTTTGTAGCGGCTGTCTTTAAGAGATTCCAGTGATATTCGAGCAATTACCACATCGCCTAAAGTATTTGAGTAGCCACGCATGACACCGCAAATATCGTACCATCGAGTTTAAGGTCTTGTGTGCTCGATGTTTTGCAGACAGCGCTGAAGCACCCCTGACCATTGCCAAAGGATGGACGTCACCTTAAGAAAGCTCTATTTGGGACTGTTATTGATCTTAGAAGCCATTAACAGTGGTTGTGCTCAAGGTAAACAAAGTTGTTTGTTATATCATTTCTTTCTCTAAACCACAGAGAATGGACACTGCGTTTAATTGTCCTTCTTTTTATGCACTCCGCGTGCTTACGTTTATTTTGCATGCCTTAATCCGTTATAAACGGCAACTTCACAGCCATGATATAAAATTAACATTGATCATTAAAATGTCAAGTTATTTTAACTCGTCATTTCAGCGATTTCAGTGATAGCCAGCAACTCCGGAGAGGAGACTGAAAATATAGAAAGAAAATTATACAAACCAGCTCCGTCTACAGCTAGCTAATAAGAACAAAGTGTATATTAGCTGACAGTACTAATAAGCGGGAAGGGACTCTTGAATAAGTTAACACTACAGTACAACGCTACAACCGTTCTAAAATCATCTACGCTCCTCCCCCATGACTGAGACGTGAACTTTTGGAAACCCAGGGAACTAATTTCAGTTTGTGGCATTCGGTGCTGCATGGTACAAGTTACTGCGACTTAAGTTACCACTTTTGACTGAAATGTTGTTCAACACTTGATGGTATCACTATTTGTTCCGGTTTCTTTCAACCAGCTTCTTTGAACTTGAAACAATAACTGTTGGAGTGTGCCAAAAGTCAAAGGGAAAAGCCGGAATGACCAGACGAAGCGTAATGACACGTTTGCGAGGGATGGAATAGCCATTAAGCTGTACTTACTATAAAAGTCACTTTTTTAAAGCATTTTTTTCGACTGAATGAAATTCATTACTTAAAAATTCTAGGATACTCCAAGAATGTTCGATTGGCCACATTTGTTGCAACAAAACAATATCCACACCAAGATGATTCAGCCATCCAAGCATTCAAACTGGGAACCATCTGCTACGCTTTTCGAGATCCTTTACTTTAAAGCCGCATTGTCTCGTTCTCGTTGTCTCCGGGTTTTCAGCAATACTTTCTTGCTTTTTATTTCAAACCTTCCGTTTCACATCGGCATGAGTGAGTGAGTGAAAACCAATTTGAACCCAAGAAGAAAACAATGTATACTCTTTGTCACTGCTACCTTAACACTAATCTCCTCTATGCTTCAGTTTCTCCTTTATGTCAATTCTAACATCTTCTACTTTCAATCATAATTAGTCATAGATCATCAACATTTGTAGCTGTTGTTATCATTATATCACTAAACTTATTCACAGTGACTTTCGCGTGATAAGCTGGAAACTTGAAAAAATCACTTGATGCGAATTGTTGGAGTGAGACTCGAGACAATCCCACTGAGTAACCAAATATCACCTAACTTTGACATCGTAATTGTAACTGGATGAGTGTAACCCGTTAATGACAAGTTATAACTGTCAATGTTTATGTAAACACGCTTACTGAAACTTGTTTCATCTACTGGCCCAACTTGTTCTCATAATAGTTGTTTAAGCTTTGAATGTATCAACAATAATGTAAGTTGACACATTTTATATGTCAGCAAACAACCGAGCCTTTATATCATTGTCGAGAAGGTGCAGAAGACCTTATAACTAACACTCATCACTCTTACACGCACGAGAGAGCAAGAATTGGTTATCAGCAATGTTCAAAGAAATTGCTCTCTCACAAGCAGTGAAAACATGTTTACTAAAATACTTTAGGATCACAGATTCATAACTACTAGCTCTAACTATATTGTCTAAGTCTTACTTTTTAAATATCTCTAGGAAACCACGAAAAGGATTACGAACACATGTTGATGCGAGACCTTTTCAGAGACTACAACATGGACTCCCGCCCTGTATTCAACAAAAGCACAGCAGTGAATGTGGAGTTAGACGTGGCTTTTAGCCAGCTTGTCGAGTTGGTAAGAACGTACAAACACTTTGGGTTTGAATTTCTTATAAAAAATACCTCATTAGCTAAATAGGCTCTTTTGCCAGATGGACAAGCACATACATTGTAAAGCCGAAATTATTTAATCATTATTAGCAGAGACTGACCTAGAAATTGGCGACGACAAATACTTTACCCCCAGCTGCTATCTTTGAAAAGTGAACCGGCAGATTGTCAATAGATATTTGCAAAGTGAGCCTTACACAATCATGTTAAACAAATTTATACAACAATGAAAACGATGGAATTCTTAGAAGAAACAATGCCCATTATGTTGTCAACTTTAATCAAAATACCAAGGATAACGATTGTATTGTAGCAGTTGTACATGAGTGCACTATAGACGTATCACAAGTCACTCATTACTAAGAAAGCAGAAAAGATTGCAAAACAACATGCACCTGTTGCTAAATGGCACAAACATCACTTTTAGAAATTTCAGTGAAAGTTGAGGAGATTATAGATACACGAATGGCTCCTGGAAATCTCCGCTACCGTGTTGCAACTAACCCCTCGGTAGCTTACCAATTAGGTGATTTATATTAAGTTTTGTTTCGGGTGATGAAGCGTTCTATTTGTGGTAATTTACAGGAGTGATCCGCAATTGACAAATGATTGTTAATGTTTATATACCTACCATCGCATTTGTTATTAGATCCCTTACAAGCTATAACACAACGATTTCAAAAGCTTCATGAATTCCATATCTCAAACATCCATCTCTTGAAGAATGATAGAGAGCAAACAATTAAATCGTCACATGTGGAAAAGGAATTTCATTACCAAAGTAATGAGTCCTAAATTTTCTTTAAGAAAGAATGCCGAGTACAAGTTTCCCCAAAGTTGAAAAAAATTTACTATGAGGTTCAATAAATCAGAACACCAAAAATTACCAACATACCCTCTGCAGTTTCACGCACACAGGTCATATATAAATGCACCAGAAGCAAAGATTGCGTAACGCCTAAGATCGTTGTGAATCACTTGTTCCCAATCAAAAATCTGAAGTACAAAATGTTTCTCTGAACTTTCTCTCATTGAAATATCTGGAAATCAAAGTAAAGAAACTGGATGTAAAATATTCTACCCTAAGCTAAAAAAGTAAGGTCGATGAGACAATCAATCGCTTAGGAATGATATTTTGCTGTATTTATTTCATACAAGGACGGCAAGGATCAAATATTATCAAGCAAGATATGGATTCGCCAGGTAAGCTTCATCCACTTCTTGAAATATCTCGTTAAATATTGTATTTCCTAAGATCCCATGCGAATGAGCTGACTTCATTTTGTTAGTTCGTATGTAGATGATTGTGATGCCCAATTATGTAATGATAACATAGCCATAGAAATTAGGAGTTGGACCCTAGTCCTTCTGCCATCAATTGCTTGACTGATAGGTAATTCCCGATGTTTTTTTACTTGATTTTGTTAGAAATGGAATAATCCTTTCCTTGCATGGAAGCCAGACAAATACAATAACATTAGTGTTATCAACGTAGACCCAAAGTTGGTTTGGAAGCCAGATCTCGTCTTATACAACAAGTGAGTACGCAGCCTAATGCCAACTTAATGGCCAGTATGCTTCGTCATTTCACTCTTTTCGACAGAGGTTAAATGACCAGGTTGGTACATTCCTTAAACTCAGGGAACATAATCCACGTTGATCAAGAAATCTACGCCAATCTACCTTTCTGACAATTATCACTCCTTTATAGCTTAAAGATCGTGATTAACCAACGTTCATTTACAGGAAGAGAACTTCCAAATCAGAAAATTCTCATATTCTGGTTCCCATTTCCATTTCCATTTTATCTCAGTGCAAATCTATCGAAAGATCAGAGTTTTCACAGGGATTGGGCATTATTCCATAGAGCTTATACATTGCTTTAGACAAAAGTTTGCGATCTTGTTTTCCACAGCATTGGTATTGGCCAGACGGGAGCGATATACAACTTTGACACAAAAGTGGTCATATACAGCGACGGAACTCACTTTTGGTATGCCCCAACTGAGATCAAAAGCATCTGTAAAATCGACATCACCTACTTTCCATTTGACGAGCAAATATGTCCACTCACCTTTGGTTCCTGGACCTACACAGGAGTTCATTTGAATCTGACGAATAAAGCGCCAACAGCAGATCTGAGCAAGTACACGATCAGCGGCGAATGGGAATTAGTCGCCATGCCATCAAAACGCAACGTTGTTAAGTACAGTTGCTGCCCAGACCCCTATATTGACGTTACGTACAAGGTTCACGTTCGTCGCAAGGTGCTCTTCTACCTGACTAATCTGATCTTACCTTGTGTTGTACTTGCAGTGCTAACAGTGTTTTCGTTTAGCCTGCCACCCGAGTCAGGCGAGAGGATTTCTCTTGTCATAACTATTCTACTGGGTCTAACAGTGTTCATGTTGGTGTTCACAGAGAACGTTCCCCGCACTTCAGAGGTGATTCCGCTGATTGTGAAGTACGCATTCACAGTCATGTGCGAGGTTTCATTCGCCCTGCTAATCACGTGTTTCATCGTTAGGATTTACCACAAAGATCCAGGCAAACCCATGCCGGCATTCTATCGTTATATCACGTACAAGTTGCTAGCACCAGTCCTCAGAATGCAGCCTCTTCCGGCAGGGCATCATGATAGACGACACTGCAAGGAGCATCTCGAGAGGACGAAGCACAGCCACTTTCGTCACCGCAAACCTCGTGCATACATCAGCAAACTGTTCGGCAACTACCCCAAAGAGACCAGCTGTCGATTAGAGTTAGATAAGCATGGGGACGACATCACTGACGTAAGCTCGGGGACTTCGAGGCAGTCAGACCCAATGAAATGTCCTTCGTTAGATAAACTAGAAGACATAACATTTGGTTTGCACGCCATCATCGATCACTTAAAAGACATTAAGGCCAACGAGTTTAACAAGAATGACTGGCATTTCGCAGCAAGAGTGCTGGACACTTTCTTCTTTTGGCTCTTATTAATAGCATTTGTAATATCGACAACTTTGTTTTACTTCTCAATTCCATGATTCTAGTGCTTCGATGCTGGTAATTGAACGTAGTTAGCAAACCACAGTAAATGGTTGTAAACGGATCCATTGATGATTGCGAGCTTCGTAGGGTTCAGTTGATTTGAATAAGTCAGAGTGGTGGATTGATCTTCAAGAATAGGCACTGATATCAGTAAGAACGTGAATAGCCTATAGCCTCAAAGAAAGGGCACTATCGGCAGCGTGGGAAAGTCTGTACACTTTTCCACGTACAAGATCTAAATATCACCTCTCAGTACCATGTGCAATGACTTTTTCACTCTAAGAAGTTGGCGCTGAAAGCTTTTGGCGTTAAAACCGTTATCACCTTTCCACCTGAAAATGTTGTGATATTTCAAATAGAAAGTCCTCTTTGGTCACTCCTGGCAGTGAAAGTCTTTAAAGGAGCAATGTTGCTATATTTTGACCTATTTCGTGGCGTTGTGCAAAACTGCTTTTTTTTCAAGGTAATTACAGAAACGTATAACAAAAATTGAAGAAATAAAGTTCCAACGGGGCACAAGAATGGCAAAGATTAAAACAGATTGCTCAGAACAAAATTGAAAAATTTAGGCGAAACACAAAATGTGATTTCGCTCCCTTGATAAAACGAGGAAGAGTTAATAATTGAGTGGCATCTTTAGAAGCCATGTGCAGCCTCATAAACACGACTTAGGCTAAACCTTCAAATTTACAACTAGTAGGACAATGTAGATGAGGTACATTGTAATTGAGTGCTTAATGTTGAAAGGCTTAGTATAGTATATAGAAACTAATAATTTGTAACACTTTCCAAGTTGGTGCCAAGGTCATAATTAGAGAATAGCATTTAAAAAATGTTTATTAGAGACTTTTTAATGCTTGCGAAACAGAAAAATACGTTGTAGAAGGTTGTAGATAGCATATTGAACACATAAGAGCAATTTTCGGTTGAGTTTCCTTGAATCCCAGCGAAAACAGTCTCAACAACCGATCAGAATTTGGGAAAAAATCATAAGGATAAGGAACCAATAAGAACTAAATCTGAAAACAAGGAAACTGCCTGAAGCGCGGGAAAAGGCGAGTGACCAAGTCGCGCTTGGTTTTAGTTTTGTTTTCTACTTGGTAGGTGGCGTTCATTTTCTGGACCAACAACAGGGCTGAGTAAACCAAAACCAGTGCACTCTCGCTGATTACTTTTGACTCACAACTGAAAATTGCTCTATACGTGCGAAATGCATAGCGGTTATTCGCGGTTCCTTTACAAAGGATATGTAGCTACGCCAAAAAAACTACTGGTCAGTTCAAACTGACCATTAAACCCGTAAACCATATAAAAATTTTTTTAATCTTTTGAAAATGATCACAATCCCATATAATTCGGTGTATTTTTTGTGTTATAATTTTTCTAGTAATTGAGTTATTAAAAATATCTTGTCGCTCTAAAATACTTGTTCGGAAGGGGTAGCGCATGCTTACCATGTAAATGGACTTGAAAATAATAAAAAAATAGTGAATTAAGTATTTACAAGAACTGATAACTTGTATCAGCATCAGTTTGTCCCTTTTCCCTTGACCACTACGAAATAGATTACACTGCCGCTCCCCGATGTCACCGGTCAACTTGGTTGGGCGTGGTCGGAATAGCAACTTTGAAGCAAGTTTTTGAGTGAAAACAGTTGCCTTTTATGGAAAGAATTCTTTTCTTGCAAGGAGTTTTGATATTGATCGGACAGTGCAGCAGTGGAAATACCTGATCATCCATAAGAATGCAATCAAAATGCATTTACATTTGGTCCTTTGTTGGTCTTTCAATAATTCATGAGCTTCCTCGTTAATTTGCACAACCTACATTTCTATAACTACTAACTCCAATTTTCGATAAACTCCAAGGATTGTTTCACATCTAGGAAACATCCATGACCAAAAAGGAGAATCATTTTTAAGGGTGCTAATCTGTTGGTAATATAACTACTGAAAAGAACGCTTGAGGTTTGCAAACATTTGCGATTAGCTTTCAAATAAATTTCGTCTTGTTGCTTTAAAGTCCTTGACGAATTCTACCATTTTTGATAAAGTTGCTTTATTTAGCCTAATTTTTAAGTCCAGCTTTTTTTCTACCTGTCTTCTCTCACTGGGAAACAAGCATTCCTAAAATATTGACCAATTAAATTTGATCCTCTCAGGTGAAAACCAATCAGGAAGAGCAATTATATAAACGGACGCGAGGTAACTTAATTGGGGTCGGGATTGTTCTTTGTAGGTAATTATTCGAGAAGTATCTAGCAGTATTGAAGAAAAGAAATTTCATTTTCTTGCCAGAAGGACCTGGATGAGAATAAAAACAGTGAATAGAAAGATGAGATCCCCACTCAAGCATAGCAGTTGACGAGGAAGACGATTCATTAGTATTTTCCTGACAGGTAGGAGTATAAAAAAATGGGAAAATAATCATTGGAAATATCGAGAATTTAAATCTGCATTGGAATTACGTACATTTTCGTATGATTTCACCTCGGAAGTTGGAGGGTTTTTTACATGAAGTCAACTGATATATGAATTAAGCTTGAAGGAATATCATCGCTGACGCTTCCTCTCGCGTAAGAGGCTTAAAGTACAAAAGACGAACATGAAAAAAAATATATATTCGAAAGCTCCACCGGCACTGCACTTTCAATCGTTCTTTGCTCCGTGAATTAAGCGAAGTTGTCTACATTTTGTGGCAGATCACTGAGTTCTGAATTGAGAATGTTATAGGATTTGTTTAGAATACAACTGGTCAGTGTTTTCAGTTAAAGATCAGTAAAGAATCTTTTGGCTAGACTCCAACCTTAAAAACAAGGACGGAGGCCAAAGAGCTCTTCGAGCTTTTGCCTGGGTTTCTATGTAATCCTCTATCTGCGAACGCAAAAATAGCAAGTTCATGGTTGAGCAACGCACGTATAGTTGTAAAGCACCGAGGAAGTTCACAGACTCCCAGCCGGGATAACGATCCCTCGTTTCGTGCTCCCCGCGTCAAATAAATAGAAAGAGACATGCCTACTCATAAAGCGAATGTCAACCACCAAGTATATCACATAAACTGGTCAACTGCCAAACGACCTTAAGATGGCCAAAAAAATTTGTTCATTAACAAATAACCCAGATTAGAAAAAAAAAATTACGCTGATATTTCATTGGTAACACGTTCACATCTGTTCTACTATTTTAATAATATTATTGCAGTAATTTCAGAGAAACACGACAGTGTTTTGGTATTGCGAATCCTGAAATAATTAACTTAAAACCGGAATATACGTGCAATTGTAGTCTGTAGACTTATTAAATGTCGGTATTTTTTAAAAAAGCGCTCAGTCTTAGCCGATAATTTTTGGGGTAAAAAGAATACGCGTGGTAAAGAAACGAAACCGCCTCCTGGCTAAAAGTACAGACTACAATAAGCAATTCGGTCCTTGGAGGCGCATAACAATGTTTTCACGCCGCTAACTCGAATGCATCTCGCTATCTGTTGACAACTAACAGAAAAAAAAAATGGAGAATTTCACCCTGAATAAAGTCGCGCTAAGCAGATTTAAATGATTATCAGAATATTTAACTTCCTGTTTAAACTAAATTCTCCACTCAAAGACAAACACCGCTCGGTAAAGTTTATTTTTTCCTTGGAAAGCGTAATTCCCGACAGGTTGCATCTGATTGCAATAAAGTTGTCATGGTAAAATGAAATTCTCAGAAAGACTTAAAAGGAATTATTCACATTTAAGCCTTCTAGCGCAAGTTAAAGTAGGAAATGTGGTTTCATCCCGTCGTTTCACTCCCTGACAGTAGACGTAATTACGATGGAAAAAATTGAAATAGAGAAAAACACTGATCGAATCTTTGAAAAATATCAAAATGATAGAGTGTAGTTTGCATGACTAATTTATTTCCATTCAGCTTTTTACATTTTTAATGTTCTTCTAGACAACTCTGGATTAGGTGCAAGTTTCAGCAATTCTAATGTCCAATCTAAGCTGTAAACAATAAAAAATCCAGAAAAATTTAAATCTCGTGAGAAAATACAACCAAAACTGACAATGCCAGGAAACTCACTAGGAGACTTGACCGAAGAAAAATGGCTTGGGAAAGACAAAATTTCGAAAGGACATCTTCTTCCAATGGCAGAAATATCCTTGATATGACTATTCATGACTTAGTTTAGACACCCGTACGCTCTGATGCTACTATCATTTTGACTCAAACACACTTTCATTATCTATGCATTGTAACTTTAATCATAAGTCAAATGAAACGCTTCAAAAAAACTTAAAGAGAAAAAAGTAGAAAAAGGTTTGATTGCGCTAATGAAATGGTTTTCCGAGACAACTTACGCGAAATTCAGTTAACTTGCAATGATGTCACCCAACCTTTACTTGATTGGCAAAGATTCTCGATTTTAAAAACCAGCTGGCGAAGCTGACATGGTCGTTAAGATTCAAGACCGAGCCCTGGATACAATTAGTTCACAAGTTCTCCTTAATCAGCACTAGGCACCAGCAACGGCTTCCAATTACTTGCATATTAATCAAGTCTTTTCTCAGAGCTATCGCTGATGGCAAAGCCCACCGACAAAAAATACTACTTAGGTAAAATATCACTTTTTTTGCTATGAAAAGTGCACTGGACCAAATGATTATTAAAAGACATTTAGCTGTTCCAAAGTTCAGCAGATATGAAAGAAAAAAACTTTAATAGTTTTCCACAGGTCTTTCCACAATTCATAGAGAAACATTTTAAAAATTAATATTGTTAAAATAAAACAATCAACTGCTGACCAGAATTTGGAGAACCTTAAGATTCACTCGACCAGCTTCCCAACTTTCTTTATAAAAGTGTGAAATAATTTAAACGCCAAACGCTGTTCAGCTAAACACATCATCAAATCAAGAAGCATCCGTTAAATCAAATTTGGAAATAAAATAAAGGGTTGGAAGTTTTTAATGTTGGACAAAAAGATGCAATTAAACCTTCCCTTTGACGTACACGGTCTCTTAGTTCACAAACCACTTCCGTAGGTGACCAGCTAGGATGTAATTAATGGATAATAAAGATTCTTAGTTCAATATGAGAGAATCTATTTTACAAAGGATGCTAATTTCACGATCGTTCGCTAGAATAACAATGGTAGCGGGTTGTCTAGCTAGCGAAACGTCGCATGGGCCTCGTTGACCCTCTTGATATTGCACCGTTCATGTGTGACTTTACGCATGACCAAGTTTCTGTTCACGTTTCTGTGCTTTTCTATTCGTTGTCCATATTTTTCAAGTTAAACAGCCGATCGAATTAAGTATTCGACAAAGGAAATTTGAACAAAATATCGATGCTTTACGAATGTTTATAACTTTGAAAAAAATTGGCAGTACGGGAAGTTGTTACAATTGTGGTGAGTTGTCGGTCAACCAGTTCTGTGAAGAGTTACAGCTGATGTCTGTTTCGATCTCTTCAGACTGAATGCTCCACAATTCTGCCAACTTAGTTGACTTCACAGTTCATTTTCAAACAATTATTGCAATTGTCAAATTTATAGAATCACTTTTGCTGATGAATGCGTGAGTGAACAAAACCACAGGATTTATCAAATTACGCAACATTTCAAAACGTCATCTACTAATGCTGAGCGGAAATTGTATCTTTAAACAAAAGAATTTGAACTTTCACTCTTCTGTTTGGTTTCCTTAGATATACGTTGGAGCACAAGCGCGCGTGAAATAAAACGATGCTCTGTTCATTTGCTGGCAACGTTCACGGGACATGGAGAGCCTTTGTGGTTACTGGAACAATCTTGGGACTTTTAGAAGCTACTACATCACAAGGTAAACATAAAACAAGCAGTAGGTTTTAACTCGTCCACTTCAATTTGTGTTTAGGCATCTTCAAGTTGAATGCACTTTCAGTCCCCAAAATGTTCAGCATCATTGATCCAGGGTCTTATTCAAATACAGTGCTTAATTTTTTTCATAAAATTGTCATTTTTGTGGTTTCGATTCTATCGATGTTAAGTTAGTGTCAATGTTTTGTTTACAGAATTCAATAACAGATGCTTCTAAGAAAAAAGTACACAACCGACCAATATGTTATTGTAAACATTCTCTTTTCATTCTCATACCCTTACCGATAAGTCTTCCATTTCTCGAAAAAAATTTGAAGATTACTAATGCAGTTGTAAATGAAAACAGCTTCACATAACTTTAAGTCCTACAGAAAACTTAATCATAATAATAAAAGAAAAGTTTTCCTTATCCCAGAAAGGGTGTTAGGATTCTATTTTGACTCCCACGTTCATCTGGTAATCAATGATTGACGTAGATGTGCGCGTCAAAACAACATATCAAAGCAAAGGTTATCCTTAATATCTTCCAATTTAAATTAATCAGATCACCCAGTTGTAAGCTTATAAACTAATAAGATAAAATGGAAAAACATTTCCTACCTAATGAAAGGAAGTTCATTCTTGCGTCAGGTCAGTTATCCTTGATAAAATTCTGGATCCAGACAGGTTAAGAAACAAACTTATAGTTCAAAGTCAGAATGGAACTGTGTCTATTGGTCTGAACAGACTAGCCAGTTTCACAACTCTTTTTTTTTTCGTTCTGTAGCTTTTTTGTTTAACCAAAAGCAAACATTTATAAATACAAAGTTTATAGCAAGATATCTCGTGATAGTACCACTGAACTGCAGCCAAGAAGGCGACAAGAGGCTTTTAATCAACAGAAAGCTATCTCCCTGTAATGCAACGGAAGTGTATTTTTTTCTCTGTTTTTGAATCATGATAACCCTTCACTATTCAGAGGATTGCTGTTACAAACTAAGCTGGAAAATAGCTGTTCGTTATCGGGAGAACAGCGAAAGTTTCCCTCAAAACCAAAATCCATTGTGTCAATGGCCGGTTGAAGTAGAATTTTAGCAAACACACGAAAGTGTACATTTGTTAGCTCCTGCAAACTAAATAATGACAAGTCTTATACAAACAAGCAATAAACAGAGTAATTGTTTTTATTTTGGCGATAATGATCAAGCACCACCTAAGGGAGAGGTTAAATATATGAATGCGTTCACGAAAAGTACATCAGCATCTGCTAAGGAAAACAACTTTTTCATTTTGCTAATTTTATCTTTTCAATGGTAGGAGGGAGAGGAGGGGGGAGGGAAAGTAAGTACAAGCGAAGATTGAACGTTAGAGTTTTTTTGCCGTGGGTTTGATTTTTCCAGTCATGGCCTGTTTCTTTCAACCATCATTATTATTATTGTTTATGAACTTTTTAACAAATCAGCAACAATGAAAGGCTGACAGCAGCAATCGATCAGACGAATAGATGAATGGATCAAGACGGTAACTCATCTTACGATGAATTCGCGCCGGCAGAGTCTTACCACAGCTGGCTGCGAGTAAGACCCCCTCAAGTACTTTGTTCATGATTTGTTGATGTAAGTCATTACGATCAAAACTTACTTGGATTAACATATCGTATAGGACTCCTGAATATCTATTCAAATGACTTCCGTTGGAATTAAAGTACATTTGAGAATATTTTCGTTTACTTTGTTTTGTTGGTGACGGAGGCGAATTTGGACAATAGTGACATTCCACCCTCAAAACAGCTACACTTAACAAATTGCTTTGTACAAAAGGATAAAATCAATTATAGCTTTTTAAGCCTTTGAATGTGATTTAAGATGCCTTGAGTGACCACACTCCCTGGAGAGATTTTCAAAATACGGTTTTGAGCAATAACACAGGAAGCAAATAGATTCGAGGTCAATGGAAAGTAATTGAAGAATTCAAGGAGTAAGGAGCAAAGTTTGGAGTTTGCATCTTGAGTACAATGTAGTAAAAAGTAAAAAAGTTTTAGAATCGTTCAAAAACCGGATGGAAACTCACACGAAAAGTATTAAAATTCATTTGATATTAATAACTCATTAGCAAAAGTACACATTGTAAACATCCCAGGAACTTGTACTCAACAAAAATGATCTGCGCAAACACTGATTGCAAGGTCTGTAGGCAACAAGACTGAGTAACGGGTTTTTAATTAGATGTCATTCAATTAATTCTTCTCTTTGGCCCTAAAGAAACCAAACTATATATCCCCACTGACAAAATATTCCACAATTCATCTCCTGCCGTCAGTGGATTGCAAATTTACATAATTATAAAAGAATGTGAACTGACGCTGTGCGCTATTCAGTTTGATGCATTGGATGTCATTTGAAGCCGAAGATGCAATAAAAAGATGGGATCTTGTTTTCTCGTGGCTCGTTCTACTGCAGGGAAGAATTCTGCTCTCCTTGTGAATCTCCTGGCAATTGTTGGAGTTGTTACATCACAAGGTAGAATTAATGCACCATTAAGGTTTAAATTTCTTAATTTGCTTCTATTTTGTTTCCGTGGTTTTGCGGGTCAACAAGATGTTTAACACTATTCAGTCTTCAAATGATGTGTGGGACTATAACATCGATTGCTCCTTTTATCGACGTCTTACGATCATTAATGACTAGTTCACGGTTTAGTTTGGGTAAATGTTTCGTTCTGTCTAAGTAACAGATGTTTTTCGAGCTTGTAATCCATATTTCTTTCTCTTCGTACGGCGTCCTAATCTCTCTCAGAAACTTTTAGTTATTACTCAAGGCATAAGCAAATGGTTATTTCAATATGAGTCTGTAAACAGGTTAGTTGGCTCATAAACAATCATTTCTTTTCACAGTACAACTTTTAATTCTGGGCTATCCTAGCATGGCCTACCCAACAATGACAAAACATGGCTTTTCAACCTTCAGCCCGAGTCACAAAAGATCTAGAGAAATTCCACACAGAAATAGTTTTATGGTGTTCTCATGCTAAACGTAGGCGTTTAGGAACACCTTTAGTCGGCGCGTTTGACTTCTAGATAGTCAATTGTTGTCTCCTTCATGCCACTACAAATTACTCAACTTAAGTCGCTAATTAAATCATCAAAAGGCACATGCTTTTTATCATCAAACGCACATGTTCCCCCTGATTATATAATCATTTGATTAGCGAATTATCCAAGTCTCTTGAGGTATCATTACTTGATGTCATCATACTCAATACGTTGGTTGGTAAACCTGGAATTTCTGCTACGTTATGTTTTCCTGCTGTATGCCTAAAGTCACCTCACATTTTACCTCTTGATCCAATATCGAACCTCCTTTTGTAGGTGATAGCATCGGATTAACAAGTCTGCCTAAGGGATATTCAAAAGTAACTAGGTAATCCCAGTGGCGTGGCGACACCAACGGCGCCAGAAGAAAGAACTTGGAAAAAAAAAATGATGGGCCTTCGTGTTTTCGGTCGAAGGTTGAGTTCTGGTTGTTATGTTCACCGCGCTAAGCTAAACGTGCTAAACTAAGTCGTGAAATAACCTCGTACAATTTAAATTTCACAACATCCAGTTGAGTTAATGAAAGACTACCAAGGCAATATAACTTGTAGGATAAAATGGGAATGTGGTAAAAAAGTTGGAAAGAAAGACAGATTTCAAAGTCTCAACTACGATTTCCTCCTGGTATAGTTATTACTGATTCAGGAGTATCTCGATTAAAGATTAAAGATTGGTTTTGACATTCGACCGAAAATAATTAAGTTTTTCTTTGGTGTTTTGTTCTGATTTCAATCGGTTCGAGAGCAATGATAACCCCAAAATAGAATAAAACAAAAGTTCGGTATAACTATAGAGATTTCTATCTACTGATAATTGAAAATAAGTTTCATGTAGAAAAACACTACTCCAGACAGTTTAAGTCCACATTCAAGATGCCATACCTTTTTTTCTTTTTTTTTGCCAACCACCTTTTGTCAGAGATAACGATACCTACCCTTACTCTAATAACATGCTGAATCGAAGCAGACCGCATCTCGATATTAAAAACCCGCATTTAAGCATCACAAAAAACTGCTCTTTAGTAGAAGACTTTGAAACAATACGCGCAGACCAAAATTAAACAGTTAAGAATAATCAACAAGAGGATAAAATTTGCCAGTGATGGCGAAGGCTGACACGAATTTCATATGAAAACTTGGAAAAGTCGACAAAAACCGTACCGTATAAGAACAAGGAAAATGAAAACAGATGAGAGCAGTCCGTAAAGGAAGGAAAATTACAAGAACTGAAAAGAATGGTTTCGACGGGGTTCATCATTTGCAATCTGTGTCTACATTCTCCATCGTTAACGATCCTCGTTGCCATTTTAAAAATTCTTACATCTTTGGAGTTGCTATATAACAGCAAACAATAATGTCAAAGTTTTTTTTCTCCCTAAGGGGAGGCTATAATCGTTTTCTCTCAGTTGAGGGGTTTTTGTTCTCAATAACTAATATTGCTTTTCTTAAATTGCAACTTTGCTAAGACGTAAAAGCCACAAATACTTACTGAGAACGAGTGAACAGTGCTTCCTTGATCAGCGCAGTAAGACAGGCCTATACTTTGTACACTTTCAAAGCACAGAAAAAAACATGAAACTAAACTTATTTTGAAGTGTGTAAGAAATAACGTACAGGAGAGAAAATGACCTTCACAGGTTCTCTGCACTCACAGTTATTGCAGAAAAAGTCTGACAGAGTCTTTGGTTTCTTACATTATATCTGTAATCATTTACAGATTTCTTAGCAGGAAAAAACGAACACGCCGTAATTTCCCTCACTCGCAACACATGGCTTCCTAACTCAGTGGATTGCAAAGTAGCATTCACCTAGAATCTGAAAGGCAAGGGTTCAGCCCCCGTTGAAGCCCGAATTACTTTTGACTTCATTTAAAGTAATGACTTTAATTGCGGTTTACCTGCGAATTTTCAAGTACCACATCAAAACATACGTGTACCTTTTTCAAACATAATGACAGCCGCAATGGCGTTGCTCATTATCATGATCTATCATGAGTCCTCCTTTGTTTGTATGTATGCAGGCTACTTCAAGGATGACCACGAACATAAGCTGATCAATTCCTTGTTCAAGAGTAATTACAGCAAAGAAGCTTTACCTGTGGTCAACAAATCAGAAGCAGTTCAGGTTACGTTTGACCTGGCATACAGTCAACTTATATATCTGGTAAGAGAATGGGTTGCAGTGGTGACTGCTTCACTAAAAAAAAACTACTGAACATTACTATGTAAGTCATAGCGGATGTAAATGCAATTTACCTAATTTTTAACCCTTAAACCTCTAAGACTACAGTGACCAGCATCTAATTTCTCCTTACAATATCACAACTGAATCACACATCAATGTCATGAGAATAAAGGAAAGGATCACCAACTAAAGAAACTCTTGATTGTTAGACAAATTCTCCTTGTCAGCACATCAGTAAATGTACAGAGAGCAGTATGGAGAATATGAACACTGATGTTAGGGTGTAAAGGGTTAAAGGATTAGTTTTGAGAATATGCACACTGGTGTTAGGGTGCAAAGGGATAAGGAGAAAAGTGTGGCATGTGCAAAAAAACTGAGAATCCACAATATCTTAACTGAGTTTATTTGAACAAAACAACAGATTTTGTTTCAATTGTCTGTTTTTTCTGATTTTCCTGCTGAGATTTGTCACAAAAGTACCCTTCTTTTACATCAATTCTTGCTATACTTTGAAATCTTTCACTAGCTCTGTTAGATAGTCATGTTGAAACACACAACAACAAAAAATAAAAATAATTATGTACCAGGTCTTTTTTTCCACTACCCTGACTAAATCCTGTATTATTTAGGACCATAATTTGCATTCAGTAGATTATGAAAACCAATGAGCTTGGTTTTGTTTTTCTTTTGATTATTAGGACAGCAAAAATCAAATACTCTCCAGCAAAGTGTGGTTACGACAGGTAAAGTAAAAAATTTCACCAAAACTTAAACTGTTAGTAACTTTTTGGAACCAGGCTGTAAAAGCTACAGGTCAAAAAAACCCTCAGCAGGAATATTACCCACTATAAAAATTAAAATTAAATATAAGCATTTTTTTAGAAGCTTCCCCAGTAACTTCTCCATACTTACCCATTAGGAATTAATTTAATTTGGACCTTTCTGTAGCGCTAAATAACTATGAGCATTGCCATTTGTCTTGAATGGAATACTTACTCATCCTCAGAGGAGTTGAAATACTACTGGTCCTTTTATGCAACAGAAACTGGGATATTAAACTCCAGCTGGATGGGCCATGTAGCTTGAGAGTGGACTTAACCTTAACTTCCAAACCTAAAAGTCCACCACAATTCAAAAAAGGAATTAATGATCAGCACATAATGTTACATATTCATGCAAACATCACCCACAACAGTTATTTTTTCACAGATGTGGACAAACCCATTCCTCAGATGGGACCCTGAGAAGCATGGTGGAATAGAATATATAAATGTTGACCCAAAATTAATATGGAAACCAGACATCATTCTATATAATAAGTAAGTAAAAATGTTTAAGGAAACATAGCATGAAAATGAGATAGAGGAAATTCAAAAGCTTTTATTAGTTATTGGCAGATCTAGGTTATGGGAATGTGCTTGAAGTTTAGACAATTTTAACCCTTTCCACCCTAACATCAGTATGTATATTCTCTATACAACTCCCTAAACATTTCCTAAGGTTCTGACAAGGAGAATTCGCTCAACAATCAAGAGCATCTTTAGTTGGTGATCATCTTCTCTATTCTCATGACTTTATAACCTTAATGTTTGATTCAAGTGTGATATTATGAGGAGAAATTAGATGCTGGTCACTCTTAGGGATTAAAGGGTTAAGGATTGCACTTTTGTTAACCTTTTCTGTTCCAAGATCTCATCAGCAGTATTCTCCTTACTGTCTGCCATACAACTATGCCCATGTTAATCTGGAGAATTTGCTGTTGCATAATAACTAATAATTTCCTAATGGATATCATTCTTTATTCCCATCTCCTGCCTGCTTGATATTGCACTAACACTGTGAGGAGAGCTTTTTTCTTGGTCACTCATGGTAGTTAACCCTTTCACTCCCAAGATCTTATTGGTAATTTTCCTTATTGACTGCTGTAAAATTCTCGTGATTTCAGTTCTGAGAATTTGTTACTGGATCAACCGATAATCCCCTAATTGATATTTCTTTTTATTCTTGTCACTTTTCTGCTTGAGATTATATAGATATTATAGGGAGAAATTCTGTCTTGGTCACTCATGAGAGTTTAAGGGTTGAAGGATTAGGCTATTGTGTTGTATACATGTAAATGGCTTTTCATTTACAGAATAATGTAAAAAAAATACTGGGTAAATCATTCATGATTTTCTGCAATATTCCGATGCATACTAAAAATAATTAAATGTATACTTTTCTCCTCTTACAGCATTGGCTTTGGTGAAACAGGTGCAATATATAATTTTGACACAAAAGCAACTCTGAAGTACGATGGATACACACAATGGTATGCTCCAACAGAGATTCACAGCATCTGCAAAATTGACATCGGCTATTTCCCCTTTGACCATCAGAAATGTAAACTTAAATTTGGTTCCTGGACTTACACAGGTAATTTTAAAGGAAAGAAGTCCATCTTTTTGGGGATCTAAGGTCATGTAATGGTCTCCTGTAATAAAATTTTAGCCACCAGAAAAATGAGAATAGAAAAGAGAAAGGTAAATTTAGCAACAAATTAAAATATCATCTTGAAGAAATGTTCATCAAACTGTAACTTTGTCCCACAAACACTATGTAGTAAAATATTATAGCTTCCTGCATGATCGCTGAATGCAGGTCGCCAAATTGGCAAGTTTCCCTTTAAACTTTTTGCCAAAACTTTTTATTCATGGAAATCAAAATGATAAGAACACAGCTTAAGCGCTTAAGCACATAAATAATGTTTTCGGCAGAAACAAGGTTAAAATAGTCACGCAATTACTTCACGGAGTCTCTTATTAGTGGGTTGTTACTTATTTATTCCGACCAAGACTTGAATTCAGCGTCTGTGGTTATTGATGCAATTGTCTTGGTCTCATTCTGCCCAGAATATTGAAGAATTTCCACGATTGACTTCCCTAAAAATTATACCCATTAACTTATCATCCTGCAGTATTAGTACTGGATACTGTTGAACACCCTACTACAAATTCACTGACTTGTGAGACTGATTCTAATAGATGCTTGAACATCCTACCGTCAGTTTATCGACGTTAACCTGTTCACCCATCATCGACGATTTTTAAACACCATTTTAAAGACTCATCTCGATTTTTGAGGTGGCACGTTTTAAAGGGGCTCCCTTCATCGCTCATTCACTCAGGCTTGGAGAAAAACCTCGTCCACCATCTTGGCTTCGTGTCCTCTAAGTAGCAATACACACTGTTTCCGATAGAAATAAACGTGACCATTACAGAAACATTTCAAGTTCATGCCCATTTCACATATTAAGGCTTAAGAGTAGATTGTTCCTATTTTTCGTCACCAAATTAAAGTTGATAATTTCAAAAATTTCAGCTCTAATGTTTTTCAATTTAGCGCGAGTGAAGAGTTCGATTCCAGTCTCTACTCTTCTGAGCTGGGAACTCACACACAAAACAGCTCCAAGTAACTTTATCTTGACTAATATTATTAATTATTTCATACTTCTGCAGATAATAAACTCAATCTTTCTGCTTCGGCCAACAAAGTCACTGCAGACCTCTCCAAGTACACGGTCAGTGGCGAGTGGGAGTTGGTTGAGGCACCTCTAAAGAGGAATGCCGTCAAGTATACTTGTTGTAAACATCCCTACATCGACATAACATACACGATACACGTCAAGAGAAGAGTTCTCTTCTACATGATGAATCTGATTGTCCCGTACATCGTACTTGCTGTCTTGACAGTTTTCTCCTTCTACCTACCACCAGAGTCTGGAGAACGAATGGGTCTGGTAATTACAATCCTACTAGGTCTGACCGTGTTCATGATGGTATTCACCGACAATGTGCCACGCACCTCGGAAGTAACCCCGCTGATCGGTAAATACTCGGTCACAGTCCTTGTTCAGGTCACTTTTGCGTTGCTAGTCACGTGCGGTGTTCTGAGAGTTTATCACAAAGATCCCGAAAGGAAGATGCCCGCCTGGTTCCGCAAGCTGATCTTTGACATCTTGGGGCCAATGCTGCTAGCCACACCTTCTGATAAACGAAAAAAGTTGAAACAAGAAGACAAGAACAGGAGCTACTACATGTCGAAAGTACAGGGAAATCCCTACGAGATCCATCGTAGCCAAAACCATCTTGTTGTGTCAATTCCAAAGATCACAGGCATAAAGGATGGCGAGGGGGAAACCGAGCGCAAATGTTTTCACACCTCACCCATGGGATCCAATTTGTCGCTGACGCCCTCGGATGAGCGTATGGAAGAGATTGTGTACGGCATGCGCGCCATTGTATCTCATCTGAAAGACACTCAAGACTCTGACGCAAAAGTCAATGACTGGCATCACGCAGCCGCAGTTCTAGACATTGCGTTTTTCTGGATAACGGCTATCACCATCTTAGGCTCAACCCTGGCCTTTTACTTTATGATTCCAAACTGACGGTATGAAGTACATTGTGAAATCGCGAAAGGAGAACTGCACCTTTTTGACATATAATGTTCCACATGAACGTCAAATAGAAATCAGGGACACTGGAACAATAATCAACAGGGGAGGGGAGGGAGGAAGTAGATGCCGGTTAAGCCTGTCCTGATTTTTTTTCAGCGACTTTTGAGCAACTTTTTGCGTTTCTAGCAACTTCGAGTAATTTTTGCCTTTCTCAGCAATTTTGGAACAAATACAAGTTTAGAGCATATATCAAGCGTGAAAAAAAAATCAATGATTTATATGAAAGTTTCAAGAAATTTAGGAAGCAACTTTTTAAATTTAGGTAGCAAACTTTTTGGATTTTTAGCAGTTTTTAGCACTCTTTCGGCATTCCAGTGAGCAACTTCTCAATATTTCACGAGCACAATCGGGACAGGCGTGGTGCCGGTGGCAGGGGTTTCTATGAAGGTCTAGTAACCGGAGCGAAAAGATTACCCCTTGACCCTAAGGTTTGGTCGTCCCTAGAAAACTACGTGTACCTAATCCTTCAGTAGTTAAAACAATTGTTAAATGCTAGTGAATTTTCATTTACGCGTAACTGCCCTTAATGAGGAAAGTTAAGGAGTTATTTCCACCAGAAATGACGAATTTTTTAGGTAAGTACTTCTTCAAAAGGATGAAAACTGATGGGCGCATAAGTTAGGGTTGAAGTTTGAACGTTTCTCTTGTGAGAGTTATTTTATATAAAAAAAAAAAAAATTTAGGGCTGCTTATTCTCGAAGGTGGCTCGTAAACTTTCGGTCCTTGTGTCTGGTGCATCGCAGCTATATCGAGTATCTATCTTTTAAGGCGGCTCCAAGTTTGGCAAAAGGATTTTGGAGGTTATCAGAATTCCTTGTTTTGTGGAAATCACAATAATAAGGGTTTTTTGATAGTAATGCATCGCTTAATTTACCAGAGAGATTCAATCAGTTAATGTATTTAAATTTGTAGATTTTCTCCATTAGGGTTCTTCCTTAAGAAACAAAGGGCGAGCCGTTACACACTGTTAGGGAACCAAAAAGGGTTCCAAACTAAGATATCTATTTTGGATTTATTAGAATGGGAATTTATCCCGATATTTGATAGTTCTTTCTGTTTTTATCTCCAAAATTAGGGCCTCTCGAGGAGGGGGCGGGGGGGGGGGAAAGGGGGTGCTTGTGTTTTGGAGTGCTATGGTTTTTACACTCGAGTGGGAGGGAAAATGATAAGCATCGTCTTAACATAAAAAATACACTAAAGTGCTCCTGCTCCCGCAAATTGTTTGAAAAAAGCTCTTTCTCTACAAACCCTGAGACGCCCTGACGAAGGAGATGAAAATCGTGTGAGTATATTTTGTCTTGTAAAGTTTGACTAATAAAGTTGACATAATAAATATTCCAACGAGTTATACTTATGTGCAGGATTCAATAAACTGATAAGAATAAGTAGGGTGAAGTGAGAGAGAAAATAGAGAAAGAAAGGAGACCGAGAAGAAACGAATTCAAAAGTTGAAAAGTGGTCTGAGGTTAAAATGGGACACGCAACACCCAGCTCCCTCAGAGAAACTCTCAAGTATCAACAGCGTGAGAGAAAATTAACAGCCATGAGAGAACAGATCTTGGATAGCTTGTTTTAAGTACGGGCGGTCATAAATCATCATTTAACCCGCGTTTCTATTTTTCGCCATACTTTCACCTCTTTGGTAACTGACACGGAAAGGCTTTATTCCATTGAAAGGCATTTCTCTATAACGCAATTTCTCGGTCCCAGGGATTTATTCCTTCCGCCCTCTCTTGTTTCAGGGTTGGGGGGGGCGGAGGCGAGAGGAAGAGGGCAGATATGGGGAACAGGTGTTTTTGACGCTCAGAGTGGCTAAGAATGATGCAAAGCAGTTCTTCTAGGTAGGAAAATACTGCTAACTAAATCGTACTTAGACAGAGATTAAAGATACATACCATTTGTACCATTCGAATTGGATGTGGAACCTTTCTCAGGCCTCATTAACGCAGTTACGCCACATAACTCTAACGAGGCAAATTTGGGTTGAGCAGTACTCATTACCAAAAATTCCGATTCGTTTTACGTCTCGAATACAACACCTTATCAAATGGAACTTTAAAAATGGCTCCCGAGAAGTATGGGATCGAAAACAAGATCTCAACTTTTGTCAGTTTAAATAAATCAAATTCGGCTCTGCGTCTTAATACAAATACAAAACGTTTTTAGAAGTCTGAAATTTATTAACGCCGGCTCTGCGTCTTAATACAAATACAAAACGTTTTGAAATAGGGGGTTGGAATAAATTTTTCCATAAGCAGCTGGGGGCCCGTTACTTGCTGGCAGTTTTAACAGACGGCAGTAAGGAGTCATACATAAGCGGTGGTAGAACGCTCGTAGCCGTGGCTTTTATTGACACCCTTTTAAAAGATTGCTCATCAACGAAACTGCTATTTGAAATATTTTAGGCGGCAATTCGCCCTTCCAGATTGCCATCAAGCTTAGCTTTCTTACCGCTGTTGATCCGGTTGTAGTGTGACAGAAAGACACTCTAGAACTATCTGTTTACCATTGCAGACATTTTTTTTCTTTTTTTGAAATGAATGACAACGCCGTTCCTAAGTTCTTTGACGTAGAGAGGTCGTAAAAGAAGAGTCAAAAGGAAGTCATGGAAAACTTATAAAGCAAGTGACGTCAGCAGCTTCTTTGTCATGTCGATTTGAATTCTGGTCGATTCATCTTGTTAATTTAGGGTCCCTCTACTTGCTGAGTATAACGTTAAACTTTGAGCAACACGTCAAGGAAGTTCATTGTTCGTGCCTTTTGATTAAACGCACCTGGATTATTTTATTATTCTTTGGTGTTTCGGCTGTCAAATTTTTGTCTTGATTATTATTATCATTGTGATTACGCCTGAGTGAAGTAAGACCACAAAGGAGTTTCTTTAGCGTAATTGTTTGTGAGACAGCGAGCCAAACAAAAGAATGCCAGACTAGGTTGTTGAGAAGCTTATTGGCTGAAGGCTGATTTCGACCTGCTGTTACGGCGGTTTAAGAGAACAATCAGTTGAATTTTAAGGTATGTTGATGCCAAATGGTGGTTAGTGCGTGTTTGTGTAAAACTGACGTTTGGAATTTCTGTCTCTGCTATACCAGCCATGATATATCGTAAAATGCTATTCTTTTTCGCCATAACATCTTCAATCCATGCAACATGTCGAGGTAAGTATAGATTGACCGAAATTCTTCACCAGGAATGTTTTTCTGACGTGAAGCCTGTTAACCGTTTGATGCTAGTTAATTAGAGATTGTTTTGAACTTCCACAATGACTGGTTGAAGAGATTGTGGCTACTCTAAATCCAGTTAAGGGTATTGCTGAGTTACACGACCCACCCTAAAACTTCCTGTTACTTAGAAATCTATTTTGTCTAGATCAGCAATGTTTCCACTCAGTTCGACAAGTTGAATTTGCAAGGCCATTCCGCTACCGTTGGCTTTAGTACATTATTTTGACTACATACTACAAAAAATACTAATTATCTAGCGGTTATTACAAGCTGTTGCGTAATCAAACGCACTGCGAAATTAATAGGCCATAAAATAACTTGTAGTACGACATAGTTAATCTGAATCATACAGCAGTGCTATCAGAAATGCGTAAAGTTAGATTCTCGTGATTTGCTTTTTGTCACACACCTTTGAATAATGTTTATCCTTCGTATCCAGTCAAATTTTGATCACACCATTTGAAGTTTGTCGTATTTTGTCAACATGAATAACTGGGCCCCGTAAAGCTGTTCAGTTGCTACTATTTTGCAATCGCAAATGTGTATCTTAACTTTGCCTTACACGAATTGAAGAATATTAACTTTAAACGCCAAGAGTGGGTCAGTTGCGAAGCTGATAAACATATCGTTGACAATGAACTGTTCGTTTGGGCAAAATTCATAGCTAGTAAAGAAATGAACTGTCACATTGTATTGTTACAGTTATGCTATGGTGTTTTGTAGTCCAAGGTTTTTTTTTTTTTTTTTATCAAGCTAACAGCTTTTCCTTATCGGCCGGACTGCATTAAGCAAACGCCAAATCTGATTGACAATTCCACATACCACAATAATGATTAGTCTTGACTTTAAATTCAAGCTTACAAGTCTATGTAAAAGTACAAGTCTTCTGATCTGGAAAGCTCTCAACAAATTTCAGTAAATGAAATAAAAATACACTAATGTTTTTAGAGTATCAGTGTTCAGCTCTCTGAGCAGAATGTTTTTCATGTATCAGTGTTCAGCTCTCTGTTTCCCCTGTCAGTTGCAACTTTCAAATAACTAAGACCTGTCCTATATGACATTTGTTTTCGTGGCTCAGCCAGGATTGTGAAAATCAAGCCATAAAATAACATAAGCCTTACCCGTTGTCTCCAAATTATTTTCTGATAGAGTTAAACATAAACGCACTAAAGGCCGAACATAAACAACTGATGATAAAAGCTGATCTTAAGCGATAAAGAACAAAAGGCCATTTTTATAAAGGCATGCAAATCACATTTTATATCCTTCATTAGAATTTTTTTAACCTTTCAGTTTCGTTTAAATCGAGACTCGCTTATTTCGTATACCTTTGATAAGCGTGTTTTAACAATAGCCCTCTCATTTATATCGACGTGAGCTCTTACGACTCAAACCTCAAATAATCCTGTACCGAGCTGTTCATAAGAAGGTTGCCCAATTTCGTTTGTTTTCCAGCATTTCAAAAATAAGTTTTAAGTAAAATAACAGAAATCGATATTTGCTCCTCTATGCAGGCCAATATGAAGTTTCGCAACTCGTCACAGGTAGCTCCAATAATCATTGCTTCCCTGTACGTGTTAAAAATGAACACCAAAGAATTAACTGAAGTAGTTAGCCGTGTCGTAACTATTTGAAATCTTTGTGGTTCATTCGGGAAAGACTGATTACTTTCACAGAATTTGCAGTGAGAAAAATGTATGTTTTGTGAACAATGTTTAAAACGTTTGCCTGCTGTTTGGAAATAAAACCCAGCAGGCAGGCTCATAAGGAAGGTCGCACATCACATATTTTTCTAGTGAGCTCATACCTCTCACTGGGAGAGCACGAAAGCCACGCAGGAATAAAAAGAACAATGCTAAAATTTCATATCTGTTCTTGATGAAGAGAAAAAAACCTGTAATATCTTTTTTTCTCTTCATGGCTTTAAGTTTAGACACTTTTAAACTGCAGAAAATTAATACCATAATTGAGAGTTATTTCCAACTTTTGGTATCTAGATCAACAAGTTGACGTATTTAGGCGATGGAATAACGCAAACGAATGTGCGTTTATATCAAAACCAACATGTAATAATATAAACGTTCTAATAAACCAATGGAAGGCAATTACAAAATCAACAATTCAATTTATTAAACAAACAACCAAACAAAGGGATATGAATTGAACGAAAAAAGTCCAGAAGAATGCAGCTGAAAGGGAAATTTTTAAAGTCATTTTGATCGGAAAACAATCACAATCCAAAAGTGGAACAACAACAGACAGCGATGGATGACCTATGTAGCTGCCCTACTAGGGCCAGTGAAGATTAAATGGGTAATGAATGTATGGGCGTCGAGTACACGCGTGAGTGAGTGGGTGGGTGGGAGGCGTGGGTGGAGTTATAGGTAACAGTGAGCAAGAGATTGATTAGGTGTGTGTGCGTGTGAGTAAGTGGGTGAGTGGGTGAGTGCGTGAGTGCGTGAGTGGGTGAGTGGGTGAGTGGGCAGGTTGAGTGGATGAGTGGGCGAGTGGGCAAGTGGGCGAATCGGCGTGTAGGCGAGTGGGCGAGTGGGAGTGTGGCCTAGTGGGTGAGCAACTGAGTGAGTAAATGGGTGGTTAGTTAGGTGGTTGAGGCAGTAAGTGGTTGGTTGAATGGATAGTTAAGCAGGTAAGTGAATGTGTGAGTAGGTTGAAGGGGGGGGGTTGGGTGAGAAGACGAGTGATAGAGTCAATGCGCGAGTTTTAACATCAGTGCTTTCCAATTTTTTCTTTTTTTCAGGCCAGGCTCATCTCGATCCAGAACATCGCCTCATGAATGATCTGTTCGCAAATTACAGTAAAGAAGTGAGACCTGTCATCGACAAACAACAACCAATTCCTGTCAACTTTGACATGATGTTCAGTCAACTTGTTGAATTGGTATGTGATGCAAAGCACATGAGTCTTTTATCGCTTCAAGGACTATTTTTGAGGAGCATTCAGATGGGATAACAAGCTTAGAATACTTACAACTCTCTGTGCCCATTTTCAGACGCATGCGTCCCACCGTGAGCACGATTACTTCGAGAGATTAATGTTTTGATTATTGTGTTTAGGGGGAAATGCTTTGTGGTTCAATATAACAGCTAAAATCATTTAAGGGAGTTTCTGTTAAGGTTAAAAAATATGTACATCAACAAGATAGTGAGCATTTTTTAACGATGATGGGACGTTGTGGACGTACGACACATTATGACTTGCAAAGACTGACATAAATGCAGCAGTTATTTTTTGCGGGTCATCAAATTTTTACTTTGTAAAATTTAATTAGAAGTATTCTTTCCATGAAGCAGTAGAGTGTCGCAAAAGCAAAACCAGGGTAATCGCGATGACCAATCAGAAAAAAGAAAAGTTCTGAATAAGCAAATTTCCTAAAGTACCGGAAAAGGCCACGTCCCAAAAAGATTAGGATGGCTATTCAAATTTGATGTATTTTTTTATTTTCTTCATTATTAGAACGGACGGAGCCAGATAATGACCAGCAAGGTTTGGATTCGACAGGTAGGACAAAGCTTTACCTGTAATGTTTGCGCTTTCAAGGACATTCTCTATTGAATGCTCAAATCACGTCAACGCAAATGTTCCTGCATCATCCTCGATTATCACCATATTTGTCAAATCATTACGCATTTATCAAAACAATGAGAAAGGGGGTTAAAAGCCAGACTGACCGCTCCTAAAGTGCGACTGCTGCATGAGAAAAAACCTTGTTGATTTTAGTTTATCTAACATGGAGCGACGTGAGCTCACTTGAGGGCGAGATCACACAGCTTGGACACGGCGTGACTCGGGCGAAATGGCAAGGGGGTGGTGTCGTGACTTTTGTGCCGGTTCATTTCAATGCTAACGGGTTATTCACGAAAGTAGTCGTTTTCTTTTTATGTTTCAGTCTTGGGAAAATCCTTTTCTGAGGTGGAATCCTTCGGATTACGGTGGTGTAAAGTTCATCAACATTGACCCAATACTTGTTTGGAAACCTGACATTGTTCTTTACAACAGGTAAACAAGGTCTCCTTCGGCATCCATTGTGTCTTCATCTTTTGTTAGTCATAAGATTAATTTACCAACTTAAAGTTGCATAGATTCTGCTTTAAATGATGTTTGGCGAGGAGATGAACTTGGAGTTACCGAAAGACGGCTACATGATATATGTAGCTAAATATGTAAGATGACAACATTCTTCTTTGCTGACATCAAATCTATGCCGAGATTTTTGTATTATTATTATTATTCTATTATTATTATTACTATTATTATTATTATTATTATTATTTTAGCATTCAGAGCGACAGTGGCGAGATGTACAAGTTCAACACCAAAGTCGTCATAAACTACAATGGTTCATGTCAGTGGTACGCCCCAACAGAAGTGAAAACAGTTTGCAAGATCGACATTACCTATTTTCCGTTTGATCAACAACGGTGCAGCATGGTTTTTGGTTCTTGGACCTATACAAGCTCTTCGTTAAACCTAATGCTTGACCGAAAAGAAGTCGATTTATCCAGCTACATTGCCAGCGGCGAATGGGACCTGATTTCTGCTGAGGCTATGCGTAATGTGGTGAAGTACACCTGCTGTCCAGATCCGTTCATTGATATCACCTACCATCTTGTGCTTCGCAGAAGAGTGCTCTTCTATCTCAACAATTTGCTCCTTCCGTGCGTCGCACTAGCGATTTTAACGGTGTTTGCGTTCTTCTTGCCAGTCGAATCCGGCGAGAGAATCTCACTAATTATCACAATTCTTCTGGGTTTGACTGTTTATACACTCATCTTCACTGAAAACATACCATCTACTTCGGAAGTCACTCCTCTTCTGACCAAGTACTCCACCACCATCATGGCTCTCCTGGGCATGTCATTGGTTGTTTCGTGTCTGGTTTTGTGGATTTACCACCGAGATCCTTCAGCTGAAATGTCCAAAACCTTTGAATTCATTGTTTTTTCAGTTCTTTCTCGAATCCTCAGGAAGCCTCGGCCGGAGGAAACTTCGAAAGATGGTCCAAAACGAAAGCATATTCCAGTAAGTGTAGTCGCCGACCGCTGGCCAACCTATTTTCCTGTACAGAGGCGCGCTGCCTCAGACAGCGGGAATTCTAGTCCCCAGTGCCGTTCACCGAACGGATCTGTGCAAGAATTCGTTTTCCCCACGCAATTGGAGCGCAAGTTCGATCAAGTTATCGCCAAACTTGATGCAGTTGCGAACTCTTTAACAGTCGACCAAGGCGAAGAGGAAAAGAAAAAGAAATGGCAAATGGCTGCCCAAATCATTGACCAAATGTTCTTCTGGCTCTTTACATTGATAGTCACCACAGTCACTCTTGTCATGTACTTCATGATTCCGAAATACTATTAGACCGTGATATTCACACTCTATTATCAGTATGAATATTCTCCATACTGTTCTCTATACAGTAACTAAGATACCGACGAGGAGAATTTGTTTGACAATCAAGAGCTTTTTTAGTTGATGGTCCTTTATGATCATGACATTAATGTCTGATTCAGGGGTGATATTGTAAGGAGAAATTAGACAACAGCACCTGTTGTGTATCGGTAAGACCTGACCGTGAGTAGGGACTTGTCACCATGCACCTTCCGACGTCTAAATTGATCTTTGGGATCAATATCAGTATCTGGGCAACTGCCCACCTACCCCTCCCCTAACCCAACATTAACCCTAACTTGTTATCAATTGACTATTGTTGAGTTAGGGAAGGGGTAGGTGGGCAGTTGCCCAGATATTGATCCGATCTTTGTTTGACGAAAAAAAAAAGGAATCAAGATTTTCCACCGATGTAGCTTTGCTGACAATTATGCAGTTTTAGAGAAAGTCAACTTAGTGCTTGTAATTTTTACATTGTGCAACTCAGTGTGGTATAATCTCACTGTTATAGGCTTTAATACAATAATCTTCACAAGCCTGTGATACTTAAGTCGTAGGTTTTTCTTATTTCTTAGGGTAAAAAGCTATGGCAGAGTTACTATAACTTTAAGAAAGCTTTGCCATTTAGCCATTACATCTATTTTTGCTGCTGTTTTTACTTTTTTATTGTAATTTAAAACAAGATGGCGAATGCTCGCCCTATTTCTTAGGCAAATGACTTGTCACAACTTGGAATCTTCTATATATTTAAACTTGTTGTGACTTTCTGGCTGCTTATTATCATAGAGCGTTGTTTGAGCCTCCTGCTCGCGGCTTGTGGCTGTTAGTAAAATTATTACTACCGCCTTTATGTTTCTGAAATCCGAGTAACATGACGTTTCTTAATGAAATAAGTACGCATAATTGATAGACCACTTAATTCTCTGTAATAAGTCTTACTATCTATTAGAGTCCAGACGGACTGCAGACACCTTGCACTGTTGACGTCTTGCACTACAGATGTCGTTTCTCTTTTTTTAGTCTAAAGTGACATGAAATAGGGCGCAAAGATTTGGTAACAACATGTTGTGCACAACAAAATGAAATTTGCTTGTTTCAAATAGGATGAAAGCCGTTTTATTTGTACACTTGCAGAACGGATGTTACTAAAACGAGGAATGGAGGTTGAGGAACGGAGGTTGAGGAACGGACAACGGGAAATAGGAGAGTGAAATGGCAAATTAAGTTGATGTTTTAGAAGCATCCCTTGCGGCACTTTTGTTTGTGTTCGCTTGATAATTTGTGTATGTTTGTCAGTGTGTCCACGTAACACAAATTTTGCAACAGTAATTGCCTGTTAAACCCGAAACGCAACACAGTGAGTAATCAGGAACCCTTTGAGTGTGGCTGATTCTGAGAGCATATAGACTAAAATTAAGAAGCAAACAAACATTTCAAAACTAACAAAACAGGAAATCTTGAACTTTTATGAATGAAAATCAAAATTAATATTCTCATTACGTTGTCCGCCCAATTCAGATTCCAAGTGATAACTGCGCTCAATTTTGGTCTCCGCCTCCACTTAATAGAGTTAATTTCTCAGCAAATATGAGAGAAAAAACACGGGGCTAGCATAAGTATCCGCTCAATGCAAGAGTACGTCACCTTAACTTTCGCTGAATTCGGGTTTCACCCTAAGCCTCTTAAGAGGCATTGTCTATTTCATTTCAAAATGGTAAACTATCTTTCCTTGATTTTAGACCGATACAGCCCAAGATAAATGAATAAATAGATCAATGAGTGAATAATTTCCATATCTAAACAAGAAAATACTTTTCCGATTCGCAATCACCTGATACTATGCCTAGTACTCTAGGGAAGGGGTAGGTATAACCGTTACTCATACCCAGGGGTCAATTTAAAGCAATGAATAACTTATGTTACCCTAAAGCGTAGAGTCAGTCAATAGACCTTCTGATTCTAGTGCCTGATTGTGAAAGAAGGTGCAATTAATTAGACATTAGTGGCCCCACCCTCTTTCCTTCTTCTTGTGGCGTTTTCCTCGAACTTTCCTCTTGCAGTTTTGTGTGAACTTTTCTTAACGCTCTGGCCGTTTGAACTGGTTTCTGCAGATTTACGACAAAAGCCTTGTTCCATCCGAACTCTTCAGCCACAGACCGTACGTCTGATGGAACGATCACGAAGTATTTTACGTAAAGCTTTTGCCATAAAATGTCACTGGCACAAGCGTTATACAAAGCTCGGCAAACCTGCAACGAGGTAACATACGTCAGATAGAATCAGCTATGAAGTATAACTATTTCAGGAAAATGCTACAGACTCGAAGCCGCAATATTTATTTAACCATACAAATGTGTATGAAGGTGTGGTTCAACTGAAAAAATGCACACAAATATATGAAAAGCATAACCAAACGAGTTACGAAAATTCGAATTCAACGAAACTCTTAAGGGAGAATGTAACTCGGACGCCATATCGCTGCATGAATACGAGCCCGCTGGTACACAAGGAAGAGCAGCGGTATAAGCCAATTTACAAAAGGAAGGTCGAAACTCTAAACGGGAACCCTCCCCCTCTCTTCCCCGCCCTTTCCCTCCTCCCCTCTCTTTTATAAAATCCCGGCTTCGCTCCTGTTCGTTATCTTTTAAATGTTTCTTCTTTATTTTATGCGAATCTGATGGCGGAGGCGAGATTTTGTTGCACAAATTAGGGACAAATTCATAAATTGGCTCCACAGTGTTGTATGTTGCTAGCTTGAGTTTTATGCTTCTAGAACTTCAGGTTAAGTGTTTCTCGGCCCACGCGAAGATTTGAGACGAGTCGGGGAGGGATCAGCCAATGGGTCTAGCACTGATAATGTGGGCCTGCAAGGATGTTTCTTTTCATCCTTTTTTTCGCCCACGAACGCAGCATTCTGATTGGTGAAAAATAACGAAACAACAGCTTCCGGACAAAAACGTGACGGTTTTTCCACCGGCCACGACCATGTTACGTACCGGATGCACCAAAACCAGAAATGACAGAAATAGGTGACCTCAATCGCCTGATTAATATGAATAACGACATTATCAAAACATCATCTAACACTTAAAACACACAAGACTAAATTAACCCGCCTTTCATTTTTTTCTTTCTTTCGTTTCATTAGGTGACAAAGTTAGCACATTATCAGCATTATGACAAATCAATCCTTTTTGTGAAAGTTAGGCAAGCATTGCAATATTGGACAACCATTGAGCATGAGTTACAACGCATCAATACAAGGCAAGTTTAATATCAATTTCCCAGCAATTGTCTATTTCTACACAATTTTTTTTCCTGAAACTTAAGTTTTTACCATAGGCAGGGCATATTATAAGGATATGTTCAGAAAACGAAAACGCGTATTGTACCGGTATACCTAAGGGCATTACCAAAATAGAATTTGACATGTAAATATCGTAATACTTTTAACAATGAATAACTCCCTGAATATCTACAAAGAAATATTATGAAGAGTTTTCAAAATATGGAGAAAGTCCTATCAACACAGGCCTACATCGGCGTGGTCGCACTTCCTGTATCATGTTAACTACTATCCGAAACACGAGCGTTCCGTCATGTCTGTAATGGTTCCGCAATCTAAGATATTTTTGAACAATGAAGCATTTCTTTAAGGGAAAAACACGTAGAAAATTAGTTTCTATTTCCATTTGGACAATTGTCGGCTTCTATTTCATAATTAATGAGTTGTGTATTTCATGTACCTTGGATTGATGAAAAAAACTACAAATTTGCTTTTTGTTTCCGCGATGTTTCTTTTATTTGTTTATAGGCCGGCCAAATTGCTGATAAGATGATTCCTGTTTTCTCACCATGGAAAAACAACTGGCAGAAAATTGTTGAAAATTTAATTAAAATTTTTAATTGATATGTGGTCATCGAAGTTGTGGAAAGCTGTTATATTTGTCGGCTGTCATCCACATATTTAAAACGCGGGCCTTACCCTAATGAGCGAAATTTCACATGGTTCATCTTTTTACACCGGCTGAATAGAAATTACAATTGTTTTCAGCAGCAAAAAGGTTTTGAAAAAAAAACTATTAAATCGAGACCTCATTAATTATCCACCTAGACCTCATTTGCAACATTTGAGTTCGTATGTTTATTTGTTCGCTTTTTTTCAGAAAGAAGTTTTGAAAAATATCATTGTTATTAACGAGAATAAAACTCACTCCTGAAATAAGACGAAAGGTACGAACTTCATCGACATCCTAAAGTTACTAACAAGAAATAAACACAACACTGAAATGATATGAAATCCCAAACTTCGTCTTTTAATGCTTGCTTCTACATATTATAAATATTAATTTCACGCTATCAGGGTTCTCTTACATTGTTTTTCGGTGTCATGGGTGCTACTGGAGGATACAAACCTCTCCCGCTTTGTTGATTCGATAGCTGTATTCATCTAAGAGAATGGTGTTTGATCGACCTAAATTTTACATAAATTGTTTCTGTCATACTTATTGGCTGCAAGTCTGTTTGTCTCACGTTGGCCTGGGTTGATACGACACTTTATTTCATGGTCACTATAATAATTTCAAGAATCTTACCTGCGCAAGCCGCATGATGTCACGAAGATCGAGTCGAACAAGAATTTCGGTCAGAATATCGCTTTTCAAATAAGGTAACCAGGTTTGCGTCACCATGGCGAGCACAATATTTAAAGTCTCGACCCCAAATACTCGCCGTATTTCTCCCTGAAGTCGTGTACCTTTGGAATTATTAACGAACTCATCCCACGAGTGAGTCGTTTCGCCCGGCAAGGACTTGTTACTTCTTAAAGTTATTCTCCACGAGCGCCAGATAATCGATTCTCTCGTCACAGTTAAATGAAAGAAGTCTTTGCTTGGTGCCTGTCCCACGCCTGAGGTCTCGAAAATCTTGTCTCTGATAGCTGTTTTCATGTCTTGACGAACGCTTAGTGATCTTATTTCGCCGCTTAACGGAGCGTCTCTTTACATATAGCTTTCAAGAGCTACAGTTCTTTGCCGAAAAAAGTTGAGCTGATGTTCGAAATTCTATATATTTCCTTATAGAACAAAAATATCAGCGGTACAAATGTTCTGGTTTCAGCCCTGCCAGAGTTTTTCCCGTTTCATTACCGAAGAGGGCAAAAGTGTTCATGCCTTTTAAGAAAGCGTTATATCATAGAGAAGAAAACTCTGTTTGATTCGTTTGCGGTGAAATTAAGAGACAATAACAGGAAGTAATTACCACGTAAACTAAATGAGAAAAATTGTGCAGTGTTTCGCCACAAAATAAAAATTTTCACACAATGCGAAAAGGTGTCTCGATCTCTTTACATCTCGACGTTGTTTTTATTTCTTAATCTTTTGCTTATAAAGTAAAGTTTTATTTTCGCAACAGATGTCCTATGAATTATTAAAAATCCCACTCTTAAAATTTTCTTCACATCAACGATATTTTTAGAAGATATTGATGCTCATAGGGGGTCTGGGACTCGAAGAAATAGCGGGCTGAAAACTGATCGTAACTTTGAGGATGCATTGAAAACGATTTATGTTCCTATAACCATTTCAGACGAATAAAATTTCACTATAATCAATAGATGATGATATAAAGACCCGTCTTAACCGGAGTATACGCATTTTAAATAAAGCGGAGAGTTTGTCATACACTTCCTAGTTGACAGTAACCAATGCAACACCTTGTGCGTTTCCTCTAACAATCATTCAAAAGCTTTGTAAATTCGAATAATCTTGGTGTATCATTTCTTTAGACTACAAGTAAACCCTTCTAATCGGCGAATCCTTCGCGTTAGTCAGAAAAAAAAACAGCGCACGAAAATTAGGGACGTCAACACTTGGAGCAGTCCCACCATTTTGGCGAAATCCGTCGCGAAAGTAAAAAAGAAAACAGAGGAAAAATGATTTTTTGACTCGAGCGACGGAACTCGTCGAAAAGGACCGACAGCTCGTAGTCTAAGGGACTACGAAATAACATCAATTTTTTTTCGCTCATGTTTTGGTCGACTCGCACGACGGACTTCTCCGAAACTGAGGGACACCTCATAGACCATCCATTTCTTCGATAAATAAAGATTATTTGCCCATGTAATCAACTGTATTCATTCCGCTACCATATTCGAGAAGGCTATACTGAAGGGGACAACACAATTGAATCTTGAAAGGAAACGTCGAAAAGTTTATTTTCGTGCCGGTGAGGCACTCACCCAAAAAGGCGAGCAGGGTTTATTTTTTACGAAATTAACTTACGTCACCCTAAGGATCTTACGATCTAACTTGTTATCATTCGCTGAGACTTATTCCTGATGATCGAAAGGAAGCAGCAGTGGGCGAGAAATAAATACCGCTTACGATGTTCTGTAGAGAGTTCCTTCCCCATGACACATGAAAAATAATTGCACCGTTAGAATTCATACACAAAAAGCAATATATCTGTGGCTACGCACATTGCAAACTAACGGAATGTTAAAACATTAATATATATTTTTGGCTTAAATCTTTATCAAGCTTTTGGCCTGGATATTTTCAACAAAAGAGGGTAGGTGCATGACTTTTCACGTCCTCTCTTGAAAGAGGATCAAGATGACTCAACAAGACAATTTTAGACTAGCCTTTGGCGCTGGTTATCCTAACATGGTATTATTATCAAAGGAATGGCGCGGCACGGGATAATCCTTTTTTTCCCTTTTGGGATGCCAAACAAATATTTTGTTGTTACCTTCACGCTTAAAAGGTTATGAAAAGGAAGCAGCGCAAAAAAATGCGAATTTCCTGGAGTAGGTTCCTTAAGGAATCTTTGCTTTGACCCCGAGTCAGCCGTATGTTATTTATAATTAATCAAGCCGGATTTTTTGAACATGTCTCATCGACTTGCGCACCGCTCAAGTCTATCAAACAAGAAAAGCAGATCACACGCCCTTACCCCCTTTCTCCCTAAAAGTGATAAGCATACAATTACTCCCAACAATATTGACCCTCAGTCCAACGTTAAGGTTGGGAGAATAGCGGAAACGATAACCAAACTAAGAAGTTTTGATTCTTGAACGAATTCTCTTCGTCAGTACCAAAGGAAATGAACGGAAAAATGTATGGAGAACTTGCATACCGATGTTACGGTGTAAAGGGCTGAAAGGAGAAAAGCAAGCGACACTTTCACGTTCTTTCATCAACACAACCACGAGCCCATTACGTTAGTAATGGCTCCTGACAGAATGCGTCATCTATTTGGCTGTTTTTATTTTTAGCGGGTTTGTTGTTTTGTCAGGGTGTCACTGCAGTACTCGTCATTTAATTTCCCTTGACGCGGGGTAACTAGTGTAAAAGGTTTATGACGCGACGAACTTGGCATGTTCCGCTTTACTTAAATGAAAATAAATCAAAATGACTTTACCCCTGTGTGAAAGAAATCACGTGCAACGAAGCAGGCGTCACCAAGCTCTTCCCCGTCACGCATGACGTGAAACAAGAACTGACGTCATAAATTAATTTCAAAACAAAGGAAATCAAAAGATCAAGTACGTTGAGAGGTTTGTGGTGAATCAGTACTCAAACTACTACAGCTCCTTTAAGTAATCTTGAGGTTCGGTGTCATGACGTGATGAAAAATACATCCTCTGGGGTTCCTCAAAATAATGCAAGTAACCTCATCGATTCAGAATTTTCATACCAAATTACTGGATGCTAAACATATTTGACGCCTTCTTTTTTTCTTTTTGCTCGAGGCATTCATGAAATAGCAAACTTCGACGGGTTCGTATTGACTGAAAAAGGAAAACAATTATTTTTAATCAGCTCTGTCTGGAAGTGTTCATCTCGAGTGTACTTGAATAGAGATCGTTAAGTTAGTTTTGATAACAAGTTTCGTAATCGCAGATTCTTGTTTCAACTGCCCGAAGCAGATATGAACCTTTAGTTATTATGAAATTATTCGGTTTCAAGACTTCTTTCGAACCCCTATCCCTGTCTGTTTGTTTGTTTTGCTTGATTTAGTAATTTTCATTCGGTTTCTCGATGGTTCAAAATGTGGTATTCGCGTCTAATGAAAATCTTACAACCTTCAACGTATTTCCGAAAGTTTGTTTGAAGGTGAAGATGATTTTTCTTAACTTTACAATAAACTCTTGGCCGACACGTAAGGAGATAACGAGGCTTGCACAAGGAATGCATTTACGGGAGACAGATTTAAGTCGATAATAAACTCGAACCTATATCCACGCTGAATTTCGAATCGACCGCCAGATGTGACGAGATCTGTTCCTTCTGTTATCTCTAGCTTCAGTTGTTCCAATACCTACAGAAACTAGTTAGAAAAAAATTAACTCTCGTGTCTCCTTCGACAAGTTGTGTCGAAAACGGAAAGCTGACAAATGGATGTCTTTTCCGACAGAGGAATGTCTTTGGCGTTGTTTCTGTACTCGATGGAAAGTGAGAGTCGAATATAATAGGCTAATTACCACTTTATTCAATGACTTGCATTCTTTTAATACCGGAGGCTAAATTCTGACAGTTTCCACAATTGTTCCCCAGAGTACCTTCAGTTTTTGTGTGGTTTCCGTCGGTGTTTTCGTTTTCTAAAAAACGAAAACCGCAGAGGTTCTTCGGAAGCTTTACACGTAACTCGTACCATTGTCAAGTCCTGTGCAAATGTGTGTGTCTAATAACTAGTCTAAAAATTACAATTTCGTAAACCCTTTCAATCAATAATCTTGTTATGTAATAGAGCTGATTTTGTCATGGAACCCTTTGCAGATGAAGTGTTCTTCACAACAGTTTCGCTCAAAGCGAGAGCTTTTACAATGATGACGTGGAAGAATCCGAGTGTATTTTCGAAGCGCACTTTTCTCGTTTCGAGAGGTGATCGCAGAAGATGACAATTATGCAAATGACGTGAGTGTTTTGAAGACATTGAATGAGGTCACATAATCTCCTGACCACTTGACTGGACAGCAACGAAGGATGTTGTTTTGACACGTAGTCTTTTTCAAAAGCGCACAATACAACAAGAATGTAACATGCTTGTTTTAGAGACAGGAAGAGAAAAGGCGCTAAATAGAGGGTCTTAGAACTTATCACATGCTAAACCCTTCTTTACGACCCTTAATCTTTCTCTTGCAATGCCTTTCAATAATTACGTAAATCTTGGATCGAACTCATCACGGACCTGAAACCTACGTAACGCAGGCACGAAAGAAAAACACTCAATGTTCGTGTGACTTGAAATATCGATGAAACGTTCTCTTGCATGATACTTTACAGCAACCAATCGCCTGCCGAGGAAATCATATACAATTCCAGTATTTATAGAGAGCATGATAAAATGTTTAAAGAAAAATTAAATCGTTTTCTTTGAGGAAACTGTTTTGAAATAACGTCATCAGCTTACTTGGCCTATCTTCTTATGATCTCAAATTCTGATGATTTCGCCCGCAAAATATGAAATACCTTTATTGTTATCTTGTTCTACAGTCGTGATGAGACAGTGAAGGCATTGATAAGCTCATCTGGCCACAAGATATGGAAGCAAGTGTTTTGCAATACAAAGGAAGGACTTGTTAATCGAGCAAATAAAAGATGAAAGAAAATCCTAAGAATAAGTTTACAATAAATATGCCACTGAAAAGAAACCCAGACAAATATTCCGTGCTTGTCACGTAACTGGAAGTTTCCTAAAACTGCTTCAAAACGGATGATTAATTAAAAAGCCTTGAGGGCAAACTTGAAACGAGACTCGTGTGTAAAACGTGTTTGCGAGCAGAGAAACGTCCGTTTCGAAACAAAACACCCCAACATCCTACAAGCTAAAGTTGTCGGCAACATCAAAGAGAAGCGAATATTTTGCTCGTGAAATACCATCACTGTTGTGCAACAACCAGATTACAATCTCTACATGAAGAACAATGACTAAATCTCTCAACACCGCGAATGGAATATCAATAACCTGGAATAAGACCACCGATACGGGGAGGGATATAAAGTTGAAGGTGTCATTGCTCGATCTAAGCGCATATTGTTAATCGGAGCGTACACTTCAGTCGTGTGATTTACACAAGCACGTTTTCAACCCGCGAATACCTGCTTTAAGTTCATTTCCTTATCGTTACCCCTCAACAGCAGGTAAATATTTGTCATCTCAGTTTCCATCTGCGTGGCTGCTGAAACTTTGGCTGCCCTCATCTGACCTTGCGGTAACTGTCTATTTATAGCTCTTTTGTCAATAGTGACAGGTATAAAGAGAGTTTGAATTTCGTGTTCAACAACTCAGACCACCGTTGAGAACATACACATCAGCGTAACGCCCGGAACAACCAGAAGAAATGACTCTGGTACTAAATAATAATATCGCCATTACAACCACGACGCCGTCTTTAACGAGACCTATTCCAAGTCCTGGGCCCTTCTCATCAATGAGTGGAAATCAACCTCGCAGGTGCTCAGAAGACCGAAGCATTTTTACTTATTCCAACGCGTATCCTATCCCACACTGTGTTCACAATAGTGGAAAATTTGGGGTACAAGACAAAGACTTTAATTCATCAGAATGCGACGTAGCTATTCTCGACGACGATGCGCTAACGTCTTTAATTCTCGAGATGGAATTAGAGCAACTTAACGCTTTACCCGAACTTCAAGTAGTTAATGCAGATTTGACAGACTGTACTATCAGGAGATGAAGCGGGAAGCCACAAGCTTCAGAAAGCTATGGACATACCGAAATATTGGCTGAAAAGATAGCTAAAAGAGGAAATTAATTTATTCTTAGTCGAGATAATTCTTTGCAGTTCATGGATGTAACGAACTACGAAACGAAATGTGAGTTTCGTTCCCTGTCAAGCGATAGGAATTATAACGACTTCAAGGTTGACATTGTTGTAAATATAATTTGTAAAATAATAAATGTGAACAGAATTTGCATGGCAGATCTGATAGTTTTCTGTGAAACATCGTGATTAACATGTTACAAACAAAACGCTACAAGGTAACAGGAGAGCAAACAAATCTAGTTGGAGGTGTGGTTATATTTTGGCTCGCATGCTCAGCGGACGGAGACAGGGGCCGCATCTGTTGACCTCGCTATTTTTGCGTTCCAGTGCATTCCGAACTATTTTTTCACACGATAAGAAGTGATTAAGATCAATATATCGCTGAAGTCGGGAGGAAGATCGATATCATCGCATGCTGCGCTCAGCTTTTACGTGTCACACCACGCTCAAGTTTTAATACGGGGGCTTAACAAGCGACAAATTAAAAAAAAAAACAAAACAAAAAGGGCATCACGTTCTCAATTTGCTCGTCGACTATTTCGAAACTTCTGTCTCGTTCTTCGAGTAATCAAAACCAAACTTATGCTTCCTCTGGGTGCGATCAGCATATTCATTCGTCTGTGGTCTGAGGAACGAAATTTAAACTTCCTGTGCAGTACAAACATTACACAAGAAATAGATTTGCCTGTTTGACACAACCTTTGTCTTGAGGACGAGTTTTTGGCGCGTTTTTCTGATAATTGCCAAGCATGTTTCCTGAATGCTGTGTAAACAGGAATTTCTTGGCTGCAATGCACATAATTATAATATTTCTGACTTGACACCACGAAACAGAAAGAGTCTTGAGTAATCTGATTGAAATTTCAGCGAGTCGGATTACCTTTACTGCTGACTCACTTGGGATACCCCCACTAAAATTCACGTGAGGCTATTTTCGAGAGTGTTCTTGGAGAAGCTTTCCTCTTTATTACTTACCACCCACATCAATTTAAAAGGGTGGCTGTCTTTCGCCGTCTAAAGCTGCAGTTGGTTCGCTTTCCTTTTAATCAACCAATGCTTTCTTACAGTATTCAACCCTAGCCCGAGGCAAAACTGAAAAAAGTTCAATACCAGTGTGCAAAAAAAAAAAAAAAAAATTTATATATTGTTTAAATGACTCCTCCAATGTTTGGGTTAACTAGTTTCAGCAAACTTTCAGTTGGAAACATTTTATCATGTTTGAGCAATCAAAGATGTGGAATATTTCCAGGAGATCTGTGCAATCCCCGGGGAACGAGACGATAAGTAAAAAAAATTACTGCTGGACATTGACATAGGATCTGTTTGTATTTCCCTTTTGTTTTTTGCAAAAGTCAGTTTATCAGAAGAACTCGTGACCTCAAGATATCTAGACAAGACACATTTTTGCTTTATTACCCAAATAATCAAAGTAATGATATTCAACAATTTTAAACGAAACACCTCTGAGTTCTGTTCTCAAAACCGCAAGAACAATAGCCGGAAGCGGATATTTTCACATGTTCACACATGCTGGTTTTGATGCTTTCAAAGTCTTCTTGTTTTTTAAAAAAGCATTCTGAAATCATAAGATAACACATGCACACTGTCAAAAACAAAATCTAAAAAACTATGGCTATAAAGGTGGTCGTAAAAAATACAGAAAACCTTATACTTGGAAAGCCGTGTTTTACATAGTCTGTCCACAGTCACTTTTTTAATTCGACGCTTTTTCTGTTTGGTTTAGCAAGAAAGCGAGCGGAAAACAATAAAACGTTCGGTCTGTTTCCTCCTCCTACCTTCTATCTCGTGCTAACACGGTCGTTTTAATCCTCTTTAACGCTTATTGCACACAGGCTTTGAAAGATTATCCGTAAATAAAGGTCTGTAGGAAGACTGTTTTGGTAAGAATGAACATTTTTTTGGAAAAGGGGTTTTGATCAAACCCTTACATTCCTTCTGGTACTGTCTCGGGTAGCAGACACCTTTATCCAGCCCTTTTTGTTTTAAGCATAAGGCTCCTGGAAGCGTGTGAAATTTAACAGCCGTAAGAGTCGTCCGCTCTTCTGGACAATACATTTGTACTTCAGTGTCTGGCGGATATGGTAATTTGTCAAAAATAGGAAGTTATAAACGTGTCCACAGCTACTGGTTAGTCTATCTGGATACAAAAAGAACAATCGTGAAAGCCGTATTGTAAAGTTCTTCTCTGAATAAAGTAAACATCCTACATCCGACGGAAGCTTTTGTAAGTCCCACATTATTCTTTCGATATTTCTTTGAAGTGAGCTGATATTATGCGCACAACTGTAGACTTCGTTCTTAAATGGCGGGACTCCTTGCTTTTCTTGTTTTTTTTTATTCAAGTAACTTAGCCTTCTAACGTCAACAACATTTTGAAAAGAGTAAAATCGTCTCTTTAAAGCGAGGACAAGACGGCTATTTAGTGTTCACCTGAAAGAAAGAAAAAAAAATCGTGTCCTTCATTTTTAAATAAACTCTTCAGCGGAGGCAGACACTTAATAATGCTTGTTCATAAAAGCTGCACTGAGCGCACAGCTGCATGAGAAATTTGTATATCATTTTTATTTCATGCTGGATTAGGATTATATTGTTCACTTGAAGAAAAGTCTTTTCCGCTAATCCTTCCCGAAAAGACCAGATTTGAAACGTTGCCGATTTGTTCCGGTGACAAATCGAACTATCTAGCTTAACATAAATATCCGTCTACAGTTTCCTTCTGCGGCGATAAAGAATCAAACATCGTTGCGAAACCTACTAAGTCGTTTTTCTATGGATGTTGGCTTAGACGCGCTTAACACAGATTTAAGATTTCATAGAGGTAATCAGATCTTTCAAGCACCTTATCTGTGAATAGGGGTTCTTTTTTTCCCCAGACTCTTGCGCTCAGCGCTACACTAACCCTCTCGCCCGAAACAGAAGAGAGAAAAAAGCAGGCTATCTAACCTCCTATCAGGTCTAGCCGTAGTGTGCGTGTCTGGGGTGGTTTGTATTTTCCAGCCGATCAGTCCAAAGGAGGGGAGATCAGATATCTATGACGCTTTGTGCCGTAAATTTTCGCTCTTGTTCCACTTACTCTAAATATTAGTGTTCAATCTGAAGGTATACACAATTAAATATTACTAAGCTACTGGCAATACTTTTAATTCTATCGAATCGTTTTTTTTCTTTGTGAGTGTGTTCATTTACAACAATCATAAGGTCTATACCGCGACGCTAAGTAAAACAAACGTTCGAGAGTCTAGTGGTTCAATATTTTTCGTCATATTACAAATATTGGATGACTGAACGAGTTAGAGAAACCTGCTAAGAATGCACTAAGATAGCTATAACAGCTCCTGCAGAGCCGATTAAGAAAACAGAGAAATATAATAACCTTAGGGTATTTCAATGTTCAAACCGCATGCAACCTCATCCTTTTCGATATCACGGTTCAACTGGAGTTTTGTAGTTTCGGCTTTTTCAATTAATTCAAATTTGATCATGTTTTTCTAAGCTAATTTGTTATTATTCAAACTGCACTTTGAACAAGTTTTCTTTTACGCGAATAAAATATACAGGGCTATTACCCAAGATGTAAGTATGTAGCCATCGAAACGATGTGATTTCAGGCTGCACACTAATAGGATATATGACCTCGCTCTCTTCGTGTATACGATTAATACTTAAACTCAAAAAAAAAAAAGAAAGTAGCTGCCGTAATTTGCAATCCCAAACATTGCAGTGGTAATTTGTGATCGTTAATTGTTTCGAGGTTGTCAACGAATCTCTATAGAAATTTAATATAGTATTTAAAAGTGGACTCTAACACGCAGGGGAGAGGAAATTAAAACAAAAAGAAGTCCATCAGAATTGTGGGTGGTTGAACATTTTTATCTTGGCCATAATATTTGTACTTCCACGTATTTGTAATTATTTATGTTCCAAGCGCTCAGTTAGAGAAGCGGAACGCACAAGTAAACGGCGCGATAGTAGTGGAGGACAGCAAAGTCACTTACATATAGGTCTGAATTGGCAACTGGGAAAAACGCATGGGAGAGGAAGCATGAAAAGATTATTGTTTCGAGAAAACTGTTTCTTTTGGTTCGTTTTTTCGTTTTTCGCCTCTTGTGTGCAGTGTAAAGTAATGTGCTGACCTTTTTCTAACGGTTTTGGCGATCTCAAATTAGTACGTGGTCTGTATGTATTAGTTAGATAAGGCTCACTGACTTAAGTGTCAGTGATATAGACAGATCGATTGGCAAGGAGGCTACTGCTATTTGATAAAGTAAAATCATTGCTAAACCAAGTTTTAGTTTTTGCAAGATTTAATTTGAAAATACCATATTTCACATCTATTCCAGAGTCAAATCATGTAGTCCTTATACTAATTCCCCCAATCGCTCTGACGAAGGGCTACCGCTCGAAACGTCAGCTTTTTTACCCTTTACGGTGACCAATTTTACGTTTTCAACTCAGTTGTTAACACTAAATTACCTGCTATACTCTCCCACCGACGCAGCACTACGGTCTCTTTAGAAACTTACCCCCTTTATTTATTTGTCATTTATTTGCTGCGACCACTAACTCTTGCCTTAAAATTTTTCAATCCACAGATCTCACAGCAACGGATAAAACCACACACAACCCACAATTCCTCCAATCGCTCTGACGAAGGGCTAACGCTCGAAACGTCAGCTTTTTACCCTTTACGGTGGCCAATTTACGTTTTCAACTCAGTTGTTAACACTAAATTACCTGCTATAATCTCCCACCGACGTAGTACCACAGTTTCTTTAGAAACTTACCCCCTTTATTCATACTGCTATTTCAATCTGTTTTCTGTTCTCGAGTCCAGAGCGTTGAATCTCCAAACACCACAGAACGCAGCTTGGGTTTGGAAAGCTGGCACTACTAGTCAAAGAAAACACTAGAATTTTTGTAAGTCACGTTTCTGGACCAGAAATGTTATAGGTGAACGCAACAGGAAGTATTGAGGTGAATGTAATTTACCGAGACAAAAATAAATAAAGGTCAACTGAGTTTTACTTCGATAGCAGAACGTAGTTATGATGGACGTATAAAGAAGTATGCAAAGCCATGAAGAATTAATGAAATTTTTGCTTCTATATATCCGGTTGTAGTGGATGTTGCAGGCTGAAAGACACATGCTCATACACAAACAACCCAAGAAACTGCCCACGCATCTCCGGCATACTTTATTGCATTAAAGACGTGAAAGATCTGAATCACTGATACACGCTAAACGTTTAAAAGTTACGTTTCTGAGTTTCAAGAAGCTATATTTTGCGTCGTGGGAAAACCACAATAATACATGTCTTGTGGTATAGGCAAACGTAAGAAGCGGTGATGAGATTAGGAAGGATCAAGCTAAAGATCAGTTAAAGCCTGTGTTGTATACATGAATGTATTTTATGCGTCATATCATAAAAATGAAACGAAATACTTCATGTGAATTCTTTCCTCGTGTGTCACTGGTGTCATTGGGGATGCTGGTAACCCGTTTATTCCTAATGTCTCGATAAAAATTTTCCTTACTGCCTGTCATACATTTCTTATAAAGTTTGTTCAGAAAATTTGATGTTGTATCAGATGATAATCCCCTTAGTTGATCTTTTCCGCTCTTCGATGAAAATTCTCCCGACTGCCTGCCACACATCTCTTTTTAAGTTTTTTTAGAGAATGTGGTTTTGGATCCCATGATATTCCCCCTAGTTGATATTTTCTGCTATTCTCATCACTTGGCTTCTAGATATTGCATTGGTGTCGTAAGGAGAAATTATGTCTTGGTCACTCCTGGAAGTGAAAGGGTTAAGCAAAACGAAGATAGACACATGAAACTAATTAAGGAACTTGTAAAAATCTAGGCTAAATCTGACGAGAGGCAAAATACCTGACACGATCTTTCAAATTAAAAGGGCATGATCACAGCAGGAAACAATATTTGTACAGTTATTCGGCTTGGACAAAATTGAGCCAAGACAGAAGAAGAATCCGTATGCAAATGCCATGGAAATACAATGCTCCACCGCACCGATTCGTATTCATCAAGTGAGAGAGGGACAGGTAGTGCAGTAAATCACCAATAATGAGCGATAATACCACAATCGTATTACTTAACTCAGAATTTTTTCAGACTTAATGATTTTAAACCCTATAAAATCAAACATGACCATTAATTATAGGAAAATACTGCTGCTGATATGTTCGCCGCAGTCATCGAAAAAACCGAGTTGGAACAACGCATATTTTCTAGTGATGAACTTTCTGCCGAGGACAAGCTTTTGAATATTTCCTCATGAGGTTTCATAGCGTTTTCATATCAGAATTCTCAGGAGAATATTTCGCCACCGGCCTCCATAAAGCAAGCGAAGGGACCGGAAAAAAGATATTTTCATTGTTTGTACAAACAACGGAAAATGCATGTCGCAATGTTTTTTTAATTTCTCACAGCACGTTTTCGACATCACAAGTATAAAAGAAAGTACAAACACAACGTCCAAGAGACAAAGCTCTTTCTAGTTTGCTCCAGGCAAAAGCTCGGTAACAATCAACTGAATGTGGTGAACTGCACTATTTTTACCTCGGCTCTCGATATTATTGTAATTTCAAACCCTCTAAAAACACTTAATCACAAGGGTGTCCTCGGAAAATTCTTCTTTAAAACTATTTTTACGCTGAAGTCGTGAGATACTGGCCATACTTTTGTGAATTATTTGAATACCTTAGCCGAAGTCGACCTCATCGACGCAAAGAGCTCCTTCTTGCGAATATATTATAAATTATGGCTTTCTAGGGAAACTAATAAAAAGGAAATTAGGATGTCAATGATTTGCCAACACCAAGAGAACCGGTACAACTAAACGATAACGTGTTAACAAATTTTGGAGCTCAATATTTCATAACTCAAGTCTCATATTACACGAATTTCTTCAAGTTCTTCACACCAATTGGTTGAGTAGTTGACGAAGGCGAAATCGCGATAAAATCATCTCATCTACTCATACACAATAAATGTTTTCGAGGACTGATTAAAAACCTCTAAGTGATACATTGAGGTACTTGTGGAGCATACAGAGTGTTAAAAATATCAACGAAACCAAGGTCAGGTAGACTGGGCTGATGAACTTTTGTAAGAGAAAATAATGCCCCGTTCTTTTATCTAACTTTTTTGGCTGTACTACATTAAGGCCCCCTCCCTTTCGGAACAAAACAAAATAAAACAAAAAGCCAAAAAGAATTTAAAAGAACAAAAACGAAACAAAAACGACGCAAAGTGATCGGAAGGTCGATCAAAATCGAGGATGCAAACTTCCCAACGTGCAAGGAAATAATAATAATAATACTAATATCAATAATAAAAATAATAACAATGGGAATTTAGCAGTAGATTTCCACAAGGTGGCTCTTCTTGTCGGCTGTTTCCAGGTTGAATTGGAATTGAAAAATTATTTTTTTGTGGAGGGAAGACAACAGGAGGACCCGGAGAAAAACCCTTGGATTAAGGATAAAAACCAAGAACAAATTCAACCCACCTATGATGCCAGGCCCGCCAATCGAACCCAGGTCACCGCGGCGGGAGGCCAATGATGAAACGAAACCAATCTGAGCGCATTCCGGATAACTTTCGACAGATTTATTTTACATAAGTAACACACATTTTCACGTAATCATACTCACGCTGTGTGTAAATCTACACTAACTTAATTTATAAAAATTCTCTAAATTATATTTCATCTGTTATAGGTGAGAACTGAAACAATGAAGGTCAACATAGACCCCGCTATCTTTATACCATAAACGGCGAAATCAAATTCATTTAAAGAAGCAATATAAAGGAAACGATGAGAGCAGCCTGATAACTTTATCGTATGATAAATATTCAGTCGTACAACCGCTTGGCCTTTTCTGTAAAGGCAAACCTGATGAGATTTCCCAAAAAGGTCAGTATTAAAATTTAATACCCATCACATCATAAATAGTAAAACCCTTCGTTTTATAAAAAGGCACATGTACGCTAAATTCTCATTTAATTAAAATTTAGGTTAAGACAAGCAGCGTTAAACCCAGGTAGGGCGCGTTTTAAATTTTTCTAACTCGTGGCAAGATGTAATCGCTTTTTGTACTAAAACATCGGCGAAGAATCAACTACATAAACTGTAAATCAAGATAAAAAGCCGATCCTGACGTTTCAATGGTGGAAATTTGGAAACTGAGGTTATTTTCCTCACCTAGCGTTTACACAAACTGAAGAAAAGTATGGAATAGTAACTAACTTGACAATTTCCGCCGACGAGATTACCGTGTATGAAACCACGGGTTCCCTAAGGATGGGGGATACTTTTTTGCAATTTTTCCGATGAGAGGGAGCACTTATCTAGATTCACTAATAGTAACATTTTATTTCTTAAAGTAACATGTGTGTGGCTTTATAATTAACGCCACGCTAGCGTTTTAGTGGAGTACAACCTCCTTCGTATAGCTCAGTTCAATTCACTTTACTGCTAAGCAACGAAATTCTCAAGTCAAAACGCAAGAATACATCTACACTTCCAGCCCTATTCATGCACAAGTCGCAGTTACAGCTTGAAGTCTTAAAATTCAATATCCTCATTGCACTCGTGGGAGAATGGACTACCTCGCACAGATAAAGACAAAAGGGAAAGGCACAAAGTTTTAATCCAAAGACATTTCTGTGTAAACCAGCTCTCTCTGTTATTCGACACGAATCATGCAACGTAACCTGGCGCCTGCAAGAAACACGCTAGCACAGTGACAAGAACCGAGGTCCCAAACACCCAAAGGGACAACTTATCCATCACCATGGCAGCAATACGCCATTCTTCCTTATGATTGTTCAGCCTGTCGTCAACAACCGAATTCTCCACAAGTGTGTCAACTCTTTCAAGAATTCTCTCCCCAATTTGGAGAACCGGATCCTGGAAACCGTCTATTTGGTTTAAAGAGATATCTGATGCATTTAGCATCGGTGACGAGAAACCGTTCGTCGCTGAAGGAATACGCCTATAATGGCTATCATAAGGGTTTTTGCTTTGACCGTTTGGCACAATGAGAGTGCTCGTGATCTTTCTACCAGATGTTTCCAAACCAGTTTGAATAGTTGCCTTGCGACCCGTATCTTTGCGAAGGTTTGAGTGTTCCTGGATGCGCTTAAGGTTTTCCATACTGATTCCGAAGAAGTGCCCCAGATGGCCGAGAACGTACTTCCGAACCCACGATGGCATCTCGATGACATCCGAATGGTAGTATTTCAAAATATAACAGGTCCAAACCAAGCCTATAGCCATTTCAACCATACCAGCCATGTAAAACTTGGCAATGAGTGGAACTACATCGGAAGACGGAGGAATCGTTTCCGCCACTACCAACATGAAAACTGTCATGGCAAGAAGGATGGTTATTGTGAGCGAAATACGTTCACCTGTGAAGAGCAAGGAAACAATAGTTAAACTTACACACTTATACAATACTTCTGCTTAGTTGGCAAATGGAACACTTTGCACCGAGAATAAATACTTGCGTTAATATTCGGTTATTCTCCCATTAGGACGGTACTCGATACTCGCAGTGCCATGAATTAATTGCCTGACTTAGGGGGGAGAAGAGTCGGAGGAGTATAGTTTATCAGAATATAATTTACCTGATCCTACATAAGGCTTTACAGTATTCTAATGCCTCCCACCACCACCACCCCCCCCCCATTTGACAGTCAATTTTCTACAGTTCCCCCTAAAGAGAAGGCTGATTTTACCCTCCGTTCCCCTTGAAAACGATGGGACCCCCCCAAGAATCCTTCGCCCCCCTCCACCCAGGTTGTAAATTGTGACTGGTCTCCTAGAGAACCCCCTAATTTACCGTTCATCTGGACTTCACTTTTCCCTCCGTATATATTTTTTAATAATTTTAGCTTAAAGAATTTTCTGTTACCCTCTGGTCGATAGTTTATTTCCACTCATATCACTGATGTTATTAAAAATTTATCAAAACTGTGAGGAGAAAGTCCTCTTTTGGTCACTCTTAAGTAAAAAGGCTCAACAGATCCAAGACTACCGTGTAAACATCTCAAATCACGAGAAGCATCAAGAAGACCGACATATTATTGTGGAAAGTTTTAGAAATGCAACTCGATTCATGCAGTTACCTGATTCTGCGGGGAGGACGAAGGACACATTTATCAACACAGTGATTATGACCAGCGGTAATATCAAGTTCATCATATAGAACAACGAACGTCGCCGAATAATAATCGTGTACGTCACATCCGGGAAAGGCTCCTCGCAACAAAAGTACGTTACAACATTGCGTTTGGCAGGAGCACCGACCAACTTCCATTCGGCGCTATCGATGTAATTCCCGAGGTCAGCCGAGTAACTTTCGTTCATGACATCTAGCCGAAAGCCGTCGTAAGTCCAAGAACCGAATTTCATTTTACAATTCTGAGTGTCGAATGGGAAATACTTGATGTCGATGCGGCATTTGCTCTTGAAGGTGACTGGAGAAAGCCAGACGTTTTTTCCTGAGTAATGGAGAACAACTCTGAAGTTCATACGGTCCAAGTTGCCACCAAAGCTAATGTCATCGTCAGCACTGTTAAAAAGACGGAGACAAGGTTTTGAACAAAGTTTGAATTGAACAGACGTGTATAAATTCATTTTCAGGGATAGATGACAGTCATGTTGTTTAAAACCTTTTTTCCTGGCCATTTCATACACTTTTTACATGATCATGCAAAAGGTAGTACTTCTCTGAGAAAAAAAAAATATTGAGCGCTAACTTAAAACAAGGCTTTTTCTTTACCATTTAAGAGAAATTTTGTGATGCCGTAGACAAAAGCAAGTAATGATGATATATTTTTCCCCGCCAATTCAACAAAAATCAATACGCAGAACTTGAGAGATAAAAAATCTTAATAATCTTAATAAGCAGTGAGGCACCTATGGAAACCAATGAGGTCAGTTCGTGATCAGTGAACGATAACAGAAAGTACAATGTACAACAGCCCGTTGGGTTTAAACAGCTAGAATTAAATGAAGCGAGTTCTGTTCAACTAAATGCCGTGTGAATGTTGGCATAGGTTAGCCCGAGATAAAACTTACTTTTCATACAGAACAAGATCAGGGAGCCAAACATTCTTCGGAGCGACATTAATTGTTGTCAGTCCACCAAACTCACTACTGTTCCATGCTAACAGAGGATTATTCCATATCTAAAAACCAATAAACATCTTCAGTCAACTTCAAATGTTGATTATTCATGATGTCAGACTGTAGCACAACTATACATGGACAAAATATACTTACCAGGGATGTGATAGTGGCTTTGCCGCAAGCCTGTTACCTGTGCACCTGGCTTTCACTGTCAGATATTTCTAAGCGCGACGTTTGTGCTCGTGTTTACTTTCCATTACTCTGGTCTCCAGACTGCACTATATATGCATATTACTACACTGATGCCCACGCTTAGCAAAATATTGATTCGTCATCTAATTCAACCACATTTTGCTTCCGTGCATGAACATACACTCTTGGAAGCCCTCCAGAATCGAAAAAAAAAAGAAGAGGTGGGCAGGAATTGGAATTCTTTGAAGGACGCAACTTTAAAGTGATGTGTGCGTGCTGGCAACAATTAACGGGCTCTATCATTTTTGTGCTATTGTTGTTGTTGCTGTGGAAATTTGCTAAGATCACAATTTAAACTCTTTCGCCGGCTAACATTCACCTCGAGCGTTTTTTAAGCGAAGATACAACATATGAAAGATTTTGGCGAGTCAGGGCTTACTCCTCGGAAGACAGAGTCCTTACTTGAAACAAATGGTCTCAGAAATGTTTAAAAGAGAAGAGCGCTAACCTGTCTCACCCACGCACTAGTTGTCAAAATTTGATTTTTTTCGTCCTGTAGAAAAAAAATACAAAGATATTGCATCTGAAATTTTAGATTCTAAGTACCAAGAGTGGGGGAGAAAGTTTTATTAACTTAAATCTAACTTCTACTTAAAATGTCTCCTCTGAATCAAAAATTAAGATCACGAGAATAAAAGAAATGATCGCCAACTAGGGAAGCTCTTGTTTGTTAAACAAATTCTCCTTGTCAGCCCCTTAGGTATGTATAGAGAACAGTATGGAGAATATGCATACTGATGTTAGGATGTTTAGGGTCAGAGACTTCAAATTTACGTTTGTCACTGTGATTTGTTGAGTACGGGTAGTGGGGGAGGGGTGGGGGATTTGGTCCTGTGTGTAGTATCCCTGAGCCCACCCTCTATGCGTGTGCTTTATATGCAAGCACAGTTGCGTACCCTCAGGGATTTTATGGAAAGCTAGTTACCTCGCCGCCTATAAGACTTCTTGGCGCCGCTTGTTTAGCTTGCAGGCAAGGTCTCGTGTACGGGTTTTGTTGCCCATCTCCGGACAGAGCCGCCCATTAAACCATAGGCAGCCGCTTACGGGAAAAGTTATTGACACCTCGCGTATTCCTGAGTAGAGCGTTTTTTTTTTTTTTTTTTTTTTTTAAAGACAATCCTTGGGATACAGACGATGAACACTTATGATACAGAAAACAATAAAAAAGCTGAAGATAATCCTTACCACATCGACAATCTGATTAAGTGTTAACCCAAATACAACAGTCACCGTATCTGAGTCGTTCACAACAGGTCTTTCATTCTTGTCATAATTGGAGTGAAACAGTTTCTTCAACAAAGCTCGTTCGTGTTCACTGGCCTGGGTGCCTGAAGTGAAACGAATGCAAAGATGTTGGGTAAACAAGTCCTATTTCAAATGATAAAGCGATGAGTCTAGAAATCTGGTTATTTATTCATGCTTGCATGTTTAAAATGAATAAATAATGCAAAGCTTCGTTTAACACTCATGAGACTAAGCTGCCTTCTGCATATTCAAGTTCATCTAACAATACTGTAGCGACAAAAAGCAATACGTTGTGATCTGTCCTTTTCCCAATTACACATCTTAAAAGTTCTGCTGTTATTAACAGCAGAGGCCTATCTTACATCTATGCAAATGAGTAAAAATTGGGAAAATTGTCCCTTATTTCCTAAGGTATAAGAGTCTTTTCTGTTGCCCTCAAAATCGGTTTCATTTTTTTTCACTTTTTGAAAACAAGTTTTTGTTTTAAAAACTAAATAACAAAGAAGAACAAAGCGAGGGGAAGCTAATAAATTCAACAAACCTTTAATGAAAAATGTCCCAGACAAAAAAAGGATTAAAAGCTTCCGAATGCAGAGGTCCTCAGCTAAATTTTTTGGACGTATTTCAAAAGGGCTTTTTTGTCTTAATTGAAAATAATGTAGTTTGCTGCTGTTATTAATAAAATATTCAGCTATAAACCCAACAAACCTCTTATGAACACCGTCCCAGACAAAAACAGGATTAAAAGCTTCAGAATACAGGCAACATCCATCACCAAGGTACTAAGCAAAATCACAAGGTTGTGGCTCGGGGAGACACTTTCGCCTACAAGGCATAAAAATGTCATATAACATTAATTTACCCCTTTGATCGAGAAGGTGGCAAATTTACACATCTAGACCAAAATTTACCCTTCTCCTCACTTGTTAATGAACTGCTGCTTAACCATATTGTGTAATTTGTCGTGGCATATATAGGAAATTTTCAAACTGTTTGTTCATACCTCATCCAAGAAAATATCCCTCTGTAATTGCACAAATGAGTAGTGTTCTCTACCACTGGGTTTTAAATAGAGCAGAAAATCCCCATTTGAATTCTGTTCGCGTGCGACATTTAGACTGTGCAGAGGTTGATTGAAAATTAACGATCTACAAATGCAAACACTTTCGAAAAAAATACATCAATTCTGTAAAAAACACCAGTTATTATCGTCAAACGCTTGCTGTTATTCATTGGAAGTGACGTCATTGTGAGACAAACGATTGCACTTCACGACAAGAAAAGTATAACTAGTTTTAGATTACGTCTAAAAGGAAGTGTATTCCTAATCTCTATGACAGATATGATGCAAAGACGCAAAACGTCTGCGTATTCATTTGGTTAATATTCTCTTCAATTTACCGAATTTTCACCCCGCTTCCTGTTATTTTGCCTAAGGCGTCTTCGCATATATATCATCCAAATCTAAACCACGCTAAAGTTGTCTGAAATTCATCCGAAACTTTTAATAAACGTGAAAGATAAACTTGAAAGCACAACATTTTTAGTTTCATTAGCTTCGTATCTTTGCATGGAAAGGAAGTAATAAAGAGAAAAATAATTTGGTTTATTCAGCGCCCTTAGTCAGCTGGTTTCAGCCGCTGTACACATTTATTTGGTGACTCGCCACAGTAGAAAACAGCACCTAAACTTTTAACCTTCCACGAGACCAGTGTACGTTCATCACGTTAACCTTCATAGAAATCTCCGGGGGTGTGCAAAGTTTTGTCCCTCACAAAGTGGTAATTTATCACATAGTGGCAATTCGCTACTTGCTGGTTTCCCACGTAATGGGAAACAAATCCTAGACATTCAGGGGGGACACTCTATTAAATACTGCCGTATGTGAGTATGTACTGCAGGCCGTCTGAGGCTTTTCACCTATACATGAACAGTTTCATATGGGCAGGAGAGAGTTGTTTTTGAAAAATTACTCTCCAAGAATTAAACACGCAGTCGTGGATAAAATTAGAACTTCTGTTCTCCTCCTAGCAAAGTACCCCTTTCAATATATCAATATATCTAAATTTTCAAACTTCTTACCGGAACATGACGATCTAGATCTCGCTAAAAGATTTAAGTCTCCCCCCCCTCCCTCGAAAAAAAACTGGAATATCACTTGTAATTAGTTTTTTTAATCGATGGTTGCGGAAAGATGAGAGAAAGGCCACAACGTCAGCTTTGATGAGGTGAGCAAGGTACTCGCTAATTTACAACGACTTGAATGGTAGAAAATGTTGCCGAGTTGAAGAAAACGGTCAGCAAGTTGCAGTAATTACAAACGATTAGTAGGAGGTATAGTCTGCGAACATACGATTATTCACATGTTGATTAAAGCTGTGTCCATAACAAATAAAACTTGTTAGGGTTCCCGCAGTAACAATTTGAAACTTTCTATATCGAATTTCTAATTCGTTGTGGTTTATGTACAATATAAAAAAGACGCCCGGTGAACACTAACTACAAACACACCAAAATCATGATTTTGCTGCCTTGTTGCATACTAAAGAAAAGGCTTAATTAACAAAAGGAAAGTTTAAGAAGGATATTAGAAGTGACAAAGGATAAAGTGCATAAAAAACAGCAAGAAACAATTGGAAAAAAAAAAGAAAAACTGGGAGATTTACCGAGCGGGGAAATCTCACCTCTGAACAGAAATGAACGACGCAGGCAAGAGGATACAAGTGGAAAGCGTATCATAATCTCTCCTATTTGTGGAAAATAACAACTCCCTGCGTCTCTGATCTTTCCGCAGACCACAATCCCTTGCGCATGGCTAGGTATTTCTTTCAGATAAGATCTGCCGCTACCTCGTTCGCCCACTTGAGCTCGAGGTGCACTCACCATGGAAACAATCATAGTTTTATCTTTAAAGCCAAGGTTAAATGTTGAATAAAAGGTTCAAACGTTGTTCTATGAACAAACGCGGGAAGGTCATAAGAGAGACAGTATTTCTACAGTAACGTTTTAGCATATCGAATTTTGGGAATGTTACATGAAAACTTTCCAACACCTTGATTTCACAAATTTCGAGATTAAAAGAAAAAAAGAAGTTTAGTTGACCCGAACAGTAAATATCGCGAATATGACATTTGGCAGATATTATGTAAATAGACTGAGAGAGAACTGTTACCGTCTGATCCATATCTTCACATTCACTCAACAAATACTGGTGCGAACAAATCTTTCAAAAATGTATTTTTCTTCAACTCGAAGTTTGAACGGTTTGAAGTGTACATGCATCATGGAGGTCATTTTAGAGGCGAACAATTTACGTACAAGCATCATCTACTTGAATACAATGTGAACCTTCTACGTTGTTGCAGTTGAGTCTCATCGATACGATATGTTACTGTTTATGCAATTGTACTTAACGCAAATTATTTTACTTAATTCATACATAGACATGTGTAACTGAAAATTTAAGGGAAAATTGCGTTTCTCTCAAACACACAAAACTTCAGTAAATAAAATTCAAAAGGTTTCGCAAAATCGCGAAACTGTAAGTGTGGCGAGACATGCGCATCTTAAAATTCCGAAATAAAAGTGTTGCAAAATTTTATGCTAAAAGGTTTTTAGTCTTCCATGTCCGCAGGAAGGGAACAAATTCACTTTCACTTCTAAACTCTGTAAAAATAAAATCCTTTTCAAGAAGGCTTCCTTGACCGTGCCACTGGATTTGAATTATTGTGATGATAATAGTTTGGGTCTTAATGAAACTGATTTGAAATTCTCATGATAAATTTTAACTCTTATCTTTTAATTGCCCTCTTTGTCTTACATAAACACATGTCTGTCCATGAAAATTCTATTAAGTTAAGAAATGTCGAGACAGCGTTTATGAAAATGGGGGTTGTGAAGGGCAAGGGAATCATGAATTAGCTATCAGTTAATCTGTATTACTTGAGAATAGCTTGGCATATTTTTAAAGAAAACAGTTTTTCTTCTTCGTTGCTCAGGGTTACTAACTTCACGCTCGCAAATGGCGGAGGTGTTGTCTGTCGATGTAGCCTTCGATTGATTCCACAAAATCTCTAATTGGCTTTCAATGTTCCATGACGTAATGGTTTCACCTCTAACTGCATCTCAGACGAACTGTGCCGGCGGCTCATTATGGCACGAGAAACTACTCATGAAAATATCAACAAACAATCAACGTTTCGGATTTTCCACTTCATGAAACAAATTGTAAATGAAAACCAAACGCTAAGATTCAAAAACAATAGAAAAGTGTTGTTTCAATTTCCCATCGGTCGGCTTCCTTTTTTTTTTTTTTTTTTTTAACAATATTTGCACTATTTCTTACATTTATTTTAGGCAACGACTGCTCTTTGTATCCGAAAAATCACTCTGCCTCAGAAGAGATTTTTCTATAAAAACGTGTTCAGTTTACTTTTATCTACATTTTTCCTACAAAAAGTCTCAAACCATAAACGCCTTTTGATTTCAAGCCTCTCAGAGGAGACGAAAATACCAGAATTTAATTGCGACTCGTCATGAACCGGACCTAAGCCGGCTTCCTGGGTGTACTTGCAAGTAATTCTCCACAAACATGTTCAAATCTTACTCTTACAGTTCATTCATGAAATAAAAGTCTCAAAATGCCCCGGAATTCTAAAATAATTATAAAAACAAATACGAACGCCCACTAAGAAGAGTATAACGGGGGGCGATTTTCGAAAGAAAGTGGGTTGCTACGTCAGACGCGGGTATAGCAAGATGATTTGGTCGTAATTTGGTTTTGTCTGCTGAGATGAAAAAGTAAATTAGCCACCGTAAAGGATTTGAAGTTTCGAGCGTGAACCCTTCTTCAAAGCGAAGAATAGTCTAATTTTACCAGAGCAACCTTTCGTAGTAAAGCGAACAAAAAAACAAGGATGAAGAACTTTCCGTCCGCAATAAATTTTCTTCGCTCTTTTATTCCTCGCTTCATTTCGCAGATAATTACCGGTCCTATCTGGGCAACTCTTTCATGTAATTGAACACGTGATGAACCAGTGACTGCGAATTACATGACCAGTTTACAATTACCAGCTACCAGGAGTTGGTAAGAGCTCTGCACCGGTTTCGCAAAGGTCATGAGCTCAAATCCCATACAGGCCTGAATCTTTTACCGGCCTTATTTTTACTGCTGCCTAAGTAATGTTCATTACTGCGAAGAGCGCTCTCATATTTAATTATTTTCCTTATTCCAATATTGTATGTCAATTCAACTAGTAATAATAAACTCCAGAGCGCTCAGGATAACCATGACAATATCGAAAACGACACGAATGGTTAACAACGCAAGAACTTAGTAAAGGATTGAACGGTTCTAAAAACTTCAATTTACAAATTATACACACTAAGAAGGTCCACTGTAAATCTCTCAAACCTTTACGTCGTAAAAGCAGCAAAAAATATATATACTAATCCCTAAAGGCGCACAGAAGTAAACCTGCTGTCAATAATTTACATAATGAACTTTGATTTCAAATCTTTCCTAAACTCCAAAATGTATTGCACCTGATGAGCCTGAAAGAAATTAGATCTGCACTACACCTGATATGCCTAAAGAAATTAATTCTACACTTAGAACCGACAGACACCTGGCAATTTTGTTCTCAGTGAGGCAAAAGCAACAAAAAGTAATCGTTTTTCAGACGGGGTGTCACTTTGATTAGATTGTTTTTGTACACGCCACTGTAATTAAGCGAATCTCATTCAACAAGAACTCTTAAACTCGAATTTCGTTTTTGTGCAAATCTTGCATTGGGTAAATACTGCATATGGCTGACTCGCAGTTTTGGATCCAGCTTCTTTGATAAATAACTTGTTAAAACAACGTCAGTTTGTTTTATGTCTCTCGCCCAAAATTCCACAAAGCTCAGCATATTACGTACATTATTTACACCAGAGGCGAAGTTTCCTTTTGACGTTTAACGAGATGAGAAAAACACAATTTTTTTATTACTAGCATGTTAATCAATTTACGCTCGTCCTTTGTCATTTATGGGACGCGAATTGCATGTCTTTTGAGCAAATTTCGATATGATATTTTCCGTCGGAAGTTAAGTTCAATTGCGATATCATTGCCTCACAAACAAAGCATCAGGTAGTTGTTAAAACGTTTAATGAAACCACCAAGGTTTTTTAATCGGCGTTTTAACATAAGGGTGAGAGGTAAATAGAGTCGAAGAGGAAATATTTGAACTTTTTTTTCTGTATGTTATGCACACGAACAAAAGCAAGCGCGGAAAACGTAGCCGTTTGAGCTCGCCTGCAGGTACTCACATAAAGTAACTGTTGGTATTTTGGAGACTAATTTCTTGTTAACTACCCAACAAATTGTGGTTAAAATGTTGCCTCTGGTCCAAGAAAATCAGAAGAAGCAAACGGCCGCAGCTACGACATTGGTTATAAATATTTAATTTTTAAGGGGAGAAAGGAATTGTTGATGCCAGATGACGGTCTATTTATTTCTAAGAAATGAGGCCGAGAAAATAGATATGCTTCACTGAAATATGGACGTTAAAACACTTTCTTGATAGTTTGCAATATTAATTTAAACGTCCCAGGTTGAAGAGACTGACGAAGTGTTTGCCAACAGCAAAACAACATAACAATACACATTCAAACCACTAGCTGGGACTTTCATAACACGAGAGAAAACTTGATTACACTCACCGCTAAGTACGTGCACTTCTATCAAGGTTGCAGATCTTTATATGCTGTATCTGAATCACTTCAATTCAGGTTTCCTGTCTCTTTCTTTACTTCCTACAAAGCTGCAGTAAAAAATGAGGTATCAGTTACATTTTCACAACCAAATCTTAACTTTAAGACCTCTTCATTTGCAATCAAATACATTTACTTTTGTCAGAATATTAAATACGAAAAGCTATGACAAAAAAATACCTTTAAAATAAGCGCTAATACGCTATTGTATATTCTCTTTCGATGTGCTGCTTCTCACAAAACCTCAATTTGTGTCGAAGGCCTAGAATGATGGATGACAGACGTTTCAAAAGGGAACCTCTTCAGAAAATACAATCGTCGTGCTCCGACACTTTGGTGCAATACCATGGATACCAAGTGCTTCTTTGACCAGGTCACTTTCCCAAGAGAGCTCTATACATGAATCACTGTGCAGTGTCAAGAATAGATAAGAAACAAATGGTGTAAAGCGGAAATCTACTCGACACACGAGAAAAACGCCACAACCAGCTCAACCAGGCAAAAATTGAAATCAATTCTTTTGCAAATCTTTATGGCTTTTAGATTTAACGGACTACATTCAAATGGACTTATGTTTTATTCTTACAAACATAACAGGCCTTTTGTTTGAGGTTACAAAGGATGCATTTGTCACAAACAACTGAATGGCACGACGAGTGGTTCTCTTATGTGAGCCCCCCACGCTGAGTTAGTACCACTTAAAATGACTCATTTTTCACCAAATGGTTTATTAAAAGATCAGGGAACACAAAATGGAAGTCATAACTTTTCCAATCGCTCATTTAACAACAGGAAAGCTGCATGTGCGTGTTTCGCATATTGGTGTCATACTAATCAATATTCAAGAATAAACTTGAACATTTTTATCGGGTAATCAATGGAATTCCATGCGAGTATTGACGTCAAATGGGTTGAAAAAGTGTCGATAAAAAGGCACGAAAATTAGTCCTATAACTTGGAACAAAACACGAACGTGACTTGAAATATAAAATTATTAAAGTACGTGATCAACAAACACATGGCCAACACTAAGTTGAGTTATTTTCTAGTTTTTATTTTGAACAATGAAGTCTAAATTTAACAAGGTAATGAACAGGCCAACCTCTTGGATTTTCGGTATCACTGCGTCAATGCTGAGCCTGAACTGGGGGAGCAAAAAACGCCCTTCCGGTCATAAAACGTAGCTTTTAGAGATAAGAAAGCAGCTTACAGTGAGGAAACGTTTACTTGTTGAACACCTAACGAGGAAAGTTTTCTTCCCAGCACTGAATATGTTAAGACTCCTCATTTGCACTGCTTACAACCATAATTGCTTTCGCAAATTACATACATATTCTGGACATTGTTTCTAAGTAGTCGGCATTGATGCTAATTTTCACATTTGTGACTCAATAGACTTAAGCAGTTTTTTCCATTCCAGTAAGGTGCTGCTAAACGCTCAAAAAGAACTTGTTAAGTCGCACAGAAATAACAGAAATGACTTTTCTTGGTATGAATGAGATGCCAACTTCCTTAAAGGCACGTAAAGTAGTTGCACCGTCTCAAGTGCCGTCAGTATCCCTGGAAGTGTGAAATTTACGTTCCCCCAACCCATTCCACGCCATTCCGATCCAGGGCTAGATACAAAAATTTAGATTTCTCTTTAGGATTTTTAGAGATAAACGAAATTTTTGGAAAATTTTTAAAAAATTTGAGGTATTCTAGAACATTTAAGGATTTCTAGATGATCATGGTTACAAAAATACAGCCAATAGCTGAAATGTTGGTCTCGAGCTCAAAGTGGATAAATTTGAAAAATTCGACTTAAATTTTCGTTTTCGTACGGGAAACATTTTGAAACTAGAGCTGATTTGGCTATGGCTACTGCTGTTTATTAGAAAACCCTAATTTTGCGTTTCTGCCGCCGGAGGGTCGTTCCAGTGAGTTTAACAACTGTTATCAGTGTCAGTGGGAACGGAATTTGTTTGTTTGCTTGTTTGTTCGTTGTTGTTGCTGTTGTTGTTGTTGTTTGGCGTTTTCAGAACGCTCTATTAACTTTTTTCATTATGAACGGGCCCCTGAAGTGCATCAGTTTACCTAATATTCGGCACGACTCGCACGTGGCCCAGCGAAACGTTGAGTAAACAAAGTACAACGCTTGATGTTCACAGTTATGTTATTGAACATTTTACGCCAAGAAACAACGGATGGATCTCCACACTAAGGAAAAAAAAACTCCACAAAAAGAAAAACTAACACGAAGCATGTTTTTACATTAGTGTTGTCCCAAGGGGGGTCGGCAAATTGATTTTCTTTCTGTACAACCTAGGACTTCAGCAGACTGACTCACTTGATTTCAGACCGATCTATTTGATATGTGACTGACTCCTCCTGTTTAGCCTAAGAACTAAAACATTTTCTAACAGCAAAACCGATGGATTTTAAGGGCCTAGAGAAAATATTAAGTTTGTCTTTGAGTGAGTACGTAAACAACTAAATCAATTAAGAAGTTCACTAAAAAATATTAAGAAATAAACGACACATCTTAAAGATACTTGTTTGCCAATTATATCAGAGACGAAAACATTAAGGATAAACAAGTTTGGTGAAAATATACGATCACAAAGAAAATAAATATTATACTGCAGTGAGTGAAAATTAAAAAAAATCCTTTGGCAAAACTAAATAAGCGTATTAAGTTGTTGGAGCCCTCTGAAAAAATGTTGCATGGGTTTTGTTCCATCAACGAATTAGGCTTCCCGTCATTTTTCATGTAACAGAGCCATTTGTCTGACTGGTACGCGACACAAAAGTGAACACACGGAAAAAATACATATTTTGTTTTAGAGATAAGTGTATTTTCACGGATATCAGTTTCTGTTTTGATTTTCATTCTGAGTCGATTAATATGGGGCTTTTTGAGGCAAAAGATGTTTCAGTTTTAATTCCCTTTGTAGAGCCAGAGTCCTTTTTGTGTGGTAAAAGAAGTTTACAAATTAAATAGTATACTGCGAAAGCAGTTTTCACAAAAAAAAAGTGTATAAGTTACCAGTGAACCATTCAGTGACGTGTCCTGTGTCTCCTACACAAAGAAGAAGCCGCAGTACCAGACGAAATCGCAAGTTTGCACCTAAACCTCGGAGTTTGCATTGTGCCTAAAAGGTAGAGTATGTAATAAGTTGTGGATTCATCGGATGTGTGCATACATACGTGCCTCATTTTTGAAGGTTCTGATCAATTTTAACAGATAGAAGTATGCTACAAAGACACAGCTAGCAACTGTCTGCATCCTTTGAAACTTATTATTGTCTTGCGTATCCAGACTATAAGCGCGAAAGAAAACATTCGCCCAAATTCTCAAGAATACTCATCCTCATTCTCAACCCCTCCCCCACTTAAAAAAAAAGGTAAGGTAGGCTAACAGGATGATTTTAAAATCAACAAGTTCAAACCAAGATCTTTGTGACCTTTTTGGCTCCTGGCAAGCGTTCAACTGAATAATTGAACTCCGATTGAGAGGTCTGAGTTTGAGTTCATAAAAGGCCTCGGGCAAATCACGATGGGACAGCAACGCGAACGCGTCGAAACAACAGATTTAGTGCGGCGGAACGGAAAGATAACACTGCCTGTCTTTTTTTAATTTTGCATATTTCCCAGCCGCCCATTGCAAAACAACGACGTGAACTGAACAAATTTTGCGTGGTCTGAGAGCGGAAACCGCGACGATTGGATCGTCAACTACCAATCATTTGAAGAAAAAAAAATAGAAAACAGGGATTGACAACACAAACGTATTATAAACACCTGTTTGTTATCCGTCTGCATGCAAACGACAAATCCATAACAAAAATATCCAGTGCGTATTTTCAAGGGTGCTCGTATGGAAGAAATGGCTGAAATAAGATGTTAACGACAGTCTCCATTTTTATGGGTCCCGGTTATCAGTAACTAAACACAATTGTCGCCTTCTCCGTAAACAGTCTCAGTAAAGCGCGATTGAGTTTCTGCCACAATTATTATTTTATTTGTTCAGTGTATTATCGAACAATTCACGTTGTGCGTCATCAAGCTCTGATCTCACTAGGGCGGAGAAGAAGACAATAAAAAAGTTCGAGTTGATCCTTGTTTTTAATACTTCCAAGCCCGAAATTATCCCACGTAGAATAGGTAACATAGTGCTACAACATCGAGAGGGAAGGTACAGCACATAAAATACACAAGTATTTTAGTTACAATCAACTCTCTCTCTCTCTCTCTCTCTCTCTAAGCAAAGACTTCTCAGTGATACGTTATGTGATTCGCATATAAACGAGCTGGTATGGATGCTCTGACACTTTGCAATGCACACGGGAAGGACACAAAAGAAGCTTAGTAGAAAACAGGAAAAGCAGTGGAGTGTTTCTTTCCACTTTTTGAGAACTATAAAACTGATCAAAATGGCATTTAAGGATAAAAATGAGCTTTTCCCCCTACGCGGATTACTTATCCCCATGTTACTCTCGCGGATTCCTCTTTATTTTGAAACGCCTTGAAGACAGACACCCTTACGACACGTGACTGAAAATTGTTCATAACTATCTGACGAGAACTATTCTCGTAGGCAGCCATTAGAGGTGTTATCGAAAGATGGTCGCTAAAGGGAGCTTGTTCATCTGCCCATTGGACAAAACATGGTGACAAAACAAATTTTTAAATATGGTACTGTAATCAATGCGCCGTAAAATTAGCACGACGGCCAGAGACATTTTTAATCAAAACGAAAATAAGATTCAAAAGCTACCGGAATTTTCTTTCGGGTGTCCGCTTGCAGATGCCTGAAATCATGATCAGAGGAAATGTTTAAATACAAACTCTTTAAGGTGTTTACGTCCGCTCTATACGCCGGAAATGTGCAAAAAGAGACTTTAAAGAGACTTCAGACAGGATCTTGTGAAAGTGCTCAATCATAGAGATGTCCCATTTCGAGACTGTCTGTTAAGAGAAGCTGACGAAGGGCTGACGCTTGAAACGTCAGCTTCAGAAACTGTTTACGGAGGCCAATTTACGTTATCGAATGAGTTCAGAGAGCATCGGATGTTCATAAAATACAGAACAAAACAATGTCAAGGCTTCCTTATTTGCGTCATAAATAACAGAGCAGTTTTGAAATAAAACCTGGAGGTGTCCATTTGGACGGAAAACGCCCGAGATTGGATCAATCAGCTACATGCGTCGCCATTTTGAGGAATTCGCTGAATGTGCATGCGTGACGCTTTACATTTAAGCAAAAAGCAGAGTTCAGTGCTACTTCAGTCAGAACAAGGAGAAATTACGAGGCTGCACTCACTGCCATCTAGTAGCAAGAGATGCCCTCGTTGAAAACAAAGAAACAGAAAATGAAAAGACAAGAAAATACTAAGAACGTCCGAGACAAATTTGGAGCTTCAAAGGTGTGGTATCTATTTACTTTGGTACCAGGCCAAGAACAGCCAAGAAAGAAGGCACCTAAGGGGAAGCGGGGCGCCTGTCATAATGAAAACAATAAGAATAAAAATAATAATGATGATGATGATGATAACAGAGGCGCCTCACCACATTTCAAATATCTTTCATTTCTAACCTGGTTATAAGTCACATTCTTGTGTTTGCTTTCCGGTCACTGTAATGCAACGAGGTGTGATTTTGATTCAATGACTTAAAGCATATTTACGTTTATAATTGTGTGGGGCATCACATAGGTGGGAAAGATGGTTCCTCTGAGATCAAGTGATTAGGACGTTTGAAATTTCTTACTTGCTTTCACGGTAGGTTTCTCTTCAAGGCCAGGAATCCGATCGTTGTGTTACACTAAAAATTCTCCAACTCTAAGCCAAGAAGTAGCTATTTAGCCGCCATAATGTTTTGCATAGGAAGCTTGTCAGCCAAAGTCTGGTTCGTGAAAACTGATTGGTCAGTTACTCACATGTGTGATTTTATTGGCTGTAATCAATCAGCCAGTGATGTTGGATCGTTCGTATTGGTTTGTTACTCATGCTACGTAAACACCGATGGATTATCACGTGAGTTTTAACGCAAAAACATTATATCTTATATAACACATTACATGACAATCGTTGTTATGTTTACATAATAAATCTCGCCTTTCGCAGCGTCCCTTTTCGACAGTGGCGCCTTTGTCAAAGGTCTCATAACAGCCACGACACAATTTCAGAACGATGGACGAACCTAACTGAAATCTAAATATTCTCATATTAACTAAATTCCAATTACAATTCAATCTAATTTTATTTCTAAATCCAGATTCATTGATGATTGCGAAGATAACGTTGACAAGCACATTGCCACACCATTTCACCTTTGAGGCTGTCGATCATCTAATATTTCAACAAGATATCACTGCTGAATCAAATATTGTCAGTGCCATAAGAAATGTATAAAGAACAGTATGGAAAATAAACATGCTGATGTTTGGGTATATAGGGTTAATGAGAGCGAACCAATTAAGAATACAAAGAAAAAGACCACGCACGACCTCAACGCTAATCTAAATTTCTTCGCGAGGTTTGGAAAGAATAGAGTAAAATGGATTGGCATTTCATTGGTATTAATGTAATAGATATAACACCACAAGGCCGCTTGGAGATAGGAAATGTTTACTTCCCGTGATGAAAAGTATTTGACTGAAATCTTTGTACGCTCACCAATCTGCAATTTCTCACATGAACATACGAAACTGGTTCCAAATGACTGTAAATATAAAAAAAATCATATGTGAACTGCGGACAAAGAGACGAATATAGGAGCGATCTTCGCAGTAACGAGCACTACTTAAGCAGTAGTGAAAATAAGGCCTAGAGAAAGAAAAAATAACTAAAGAAACGCAGAATGACTAGCTCCAAGTTGGTTTGTTAGCTCAGTTGGTAGAGCACTGACTGCACGGGTATCGCAAAGGTCATGGGTTCAAATCCCGTACAGGCCTGATTTTTTTTTCAGGCCTTTCTTTCACTATTGCTTCAGTAGTGTTCATTACTGCGAAGATCGCTTCCATATTCTAAATTGGTTCCCTTAACCATTCTAGTCCACTGAGATACCTCAGGCTCATGTGGCAAGACCCCAAATTGGACACACAACTGTGTCGTAACTTGATTAAGCAAACTATTCCCCTTAAGCACTTCACTTGAAAGCCTCATGCAAATTATACACCAAATAATTCAGTTTCCAGTTACTTTCTCCCTTCCAAATCGCTTAATCGCTGCATGCGTTTCTAAACACACATTTTCCTAAATGCACCGATGATATTTCCTATCGGTCTTTTCATAATAACTACAGTAGTGTATTCTACGGCACTAAAGTAGAAAACTGACCTTTTCGTCTCCACAAATTGAACGATAACCGGAAAACACCTCGAGGCCTCGATAACAATTCACAGCTGCTCAGCATCACAGCTGATCCTGTTTAGTAACATTTGGAAAAGTTTTCAGGTAAGGAAGACAATAAGCTCCAAACACTAAGCGAAGGACAGCTGCAAAAAAGTATAAATTTTGGAAAGAAATCTCAGAGAACATAGAAACGAAGGTGAGGGAGTATTCATAACCTTTCTGAGGTAAGTGATAATAAATTCGTTTTTAACGCCTTCTGTATTTGTAACAAGTTTGTGTTTACCAGTTTCAGACAATTTAGATATTTAGTCGTTGACACAATGATTTCTACGCAGAGAATAAAAGTTTCACTGTTTATGAATAATAGCCGGATAAAAGAAAACCTCATTGTGTATTCTAATGTATTTCTTGAACTTCCACAATAAATTAAATTGGCAAACAAGGGGGCGCATCTTTTAGACATTTCGAGATTGGATTCCTGATGAAGGTTCTCATGGATACTTTTAGAAACTACGTCGAGTTATAAATGTTGGTTTGCTTGGTAAGAATACATTGATAATGGAAACAAATACCACTAGGGAAGGCAACGATTGATAGTTCAGACGAAAAAGGAAAAAAAAAGTCGTGTTTAGATCATTATTTCTTTGTTCAACAAATTAAATAAACTCAAGTAAATTTAGTAAATTCTGAAGAAGTAAGGCCAAATTTTAAAACTATGAACAACAGACGTCCAGGATTTATACCACTCGTGAAGCAGAGTGAAACGAAAAAGTACATGACTGCAGGTTACTGGTTATTATCGTTCTAAAAACAAAAAAAAACTTTGAGAGTCATCATGAATGCCCTATGTTGGTAGATTATAGAAGGAACATGGCTCAACATAACTTTTCTCAACCCTAAATCATGCACATCTAGCTTCCTGATTTAATTAATAAAAATATAACCTAGTTTGGCCTTACTCATTACACCATGCGTCGCCAAAATAAGATAGTTTAAGGCGGAAAGTACAATTTCCCTCTAGAAAATAGAAGAACAAACGCCAAATGTCTGCAAATGTCTGTAATGCAAAGCTCTGTACCACACTTGTGGTAACATGTACCAGTGACTCAAAACTGAAAGAGGCTATGTCGACAATAGAGTTTCAAACTGACGTTTGCTATGCACTGGGCTTCTGTGACAAAGTAAAGCTTTAATAAATTCACACACCTCATGCACTCTAGATCGCTTGTTCTGCTTGGGACCACCCATGAAAAGAAAAAAAAATTCTTAATGTACACAACTCTGTACAACTTGACCTTTTCAGGTTGAATCTCCCACACTTGGAGTTTCCTCGAGTGGTTTTGTGCGTCAGCAAAGAATTTAGTTAACACTTCACTGCCTCTGCTGTGGACCACACAGCAAATATGCACAACTGTTACGCTTCCCGATTACCTTGAACTTCAAATACTTTTTACGACTCGTACAATTAAGAGCGTGAAAAGTATTCAATGACTACTTCCTTCACGCTGTTACTGCAAACGTAAAACATTTTCAACTGCGCACAGCTCTTAGGCTTCCCAATGAGCTTAAAACCTGGAAAAAAAAACCCCTCACACTGCCTCAAAAGGTTGCAACTCGTGCAACTCTTCAAATTCCAGTTCGACTGAGTAATAATTCTTTTCGCTTTAGACTCTGCACTAAATTCAGTTCAAATAAAACTCAACAAACATTCGGAGCATTATTCAATATGTTTAATTCACTGCAGATAGTCTCTCCGATGGTAGGCTGTTTTCAGAGACATTCATATAAAATCGCATCTTTCTTTTATGCACCGGCTGTCACTGGCTGTAATGGGGTTAAACACAGTGATGAATTTTGTCGATGAAAGTGACTTCCAAAAAAGAAGGGAAAAAGAAATCTTGACAGAGGATTCAAAGAGGGTACTTCCGGAGAAACACACCCTCGTTTCCGTCTACAACCGAAAACAATCTTGAAGGTATCAAAACATCCCAGCAAACGCTTACAATTGTCCCTCTCTGTCCCTCATTTTCTCCTGGCATATTTATCCTAACATCGATATGCATATTTTCCTTCCTGTTCTCCAAATATTTCTTATGGTACCAACAAGAATAACTTATTAAGCAATCATGAGATTCTATAGCAAGCGGTCATATCCTTTATCGGTCGACCTTAAAGTTTATTTCAGCCGCCATACTGTAAAGAGAAACATTTGTCACTCATTCGTAGAAGTCGAAGGGTTAATACTCATTTTTCACTAACCATTCATTTATTTAACAGCCCACTACAAAAGAACAAAGTACAACGCAATGAAGAGCTCTCTCCTTCTAGTAATTGTATTGTCGATCATCATTTTAACAACCTTGACCGAAGTTGTTAACGCACAGTGCGGAGGTCTCAGTTCAGGGAAAAGAATAAAAAGATGCCATCGAGTGAACAACAAGAACAAATCAAAAGTCCGACGACACACAGAGAACACCAGAGTGGGACGCGATACATCAGAGGCAGCTTGGTTACCCAGTCTGGACGCAAACTTTTAACATCGAATTAAGTCCAAACGAGACGTATAAATTGTTCCATAACTTAAGAGTTGTGATGTTGATGTCTGTAATCATATTAAAGCTATCAGAAAGTTACTAATAACCCCTGTATAATCTGTTTTGCTTTCGTAAGAGCTGATGCCTCTGACTCTCCTGAATTTTTAAATGTCTCTGAGACAATTCTGTGTTGAACTCAGCAATCTAATCTGTAGTAAATTGTTGGGAAGAGATTCAAGTATAATGGACGGTATGCTTGAGAGAGTGTGACTTTGATTACAAAATAAAGAGTATCATGTCGCAGCGAATACGCCTACAATAAACTTAGCAGCATCATTGTTCTGAAATGGCAGGATTTCCCACAAATTTCCTCACTAGCCAGGCCTTACTCCAAAGAACAAAATTCTGAGGTTAAAAAAATTCTTAAAGGGATTTTCCAAACCATTACCAAAAGCTGGGTTTCAGAATTTCCCCATAAACTTAACAAAGGAGATTGTCACCATACGCCCACTGTGTCAAACATCAGTCAATCCATTAACGACACGTGTGAAAATCGTTCAACTAAAAGCAGGAAAAGTTAGTTTTAGAATGCTCTCAACGTGGCCAGGCGGGGCTTAGATTATCGCGATCGAACCACTTAATTGCATGTTGATAGATATTTCAGTCACGAGTCATTAAGGCACTAACGTGTTTTAAAATTTTCCACGTGGTGCGTTTGTTTTGTTTTGTTTTGTTTTTTTTTTTTTTTTTGTTTTTTTTTTTTTAAAAAGACGAATCAAGAGCGTGGGAGACGCAGAGACGAGAGGATGGACAGGCGAAAAAAAAATGGTCATCTTTTGATCAGACAGCATATCATTCTCTCCGTAATCGGGCCTAAATCAGAAACTTGGTTTGGTTTATCCACCGCAAGAAAATGCACAATAGGCACTACTTAGTAGTTTTTAATTGGCGTAAAACAATGTGGTGGACATAGCCTGTGACCGAGGTTGAGTTTTGTCATCGAGTGTATTCAAGCTTGAAGTGCTGGGCCGCGCATAAACGATAAGCAAGTTTGTTATAGTTTACACTTATCTTTCGAGTAAACTTTGAAAACATTTATTTTAAGCACAAACCTAATAGAGTGAATCTCTTCAATTGTTGACGTACTGATGATAAACAACAACCGTGGGAACAGTTTATTGGCTGATTGATTTAATTTGATTAATTAATTCAATTATATTGTGTAGACATTGGCGATGGGAGTAAATTACTTTAGCGGACGAAAAAAACATACGATTTGAATCGCAGCGTTAAAATTTGATGAATTTTGCAACCGGAAATATGATAAACGCAAGATTCTATTTAGTACTGGTTTTATAGAATAACCGACTTTTTCCTTTTCTGTTGACTTTGCAGCGGTACTTACGTCAGTGCCCGCATTTCATCCCGCGATTTTAATATTTTCAATTTGTCATGGCATCAACTTGTTCAAAAGTCTTCATCTCCATATTTATCCATGTTAAGTAAACAATATGAAGCACTCAACAGCGATTTTGCTAAAAACCGCAAGGCGTTTAATTTGTTCCCTCTACACCGCAAATCCGGCCAGAATATAGGCTCCGTGTAACCTCTTGTTAGGAAAAAAAAGAGACTGCAGACAAAAGATGAACACTGAAAGGTATCAACGAACGGACGGGAGTAAGGACAGACTATCAGACAGACAAACAGTTATGCGGGAAGAATGAAAGAAAAAACCTCAAAAGATCATTATTCTCTGGGACGTTTCCCTTCGCTCAGGTGATTCTTGAAAGGGAGTGAAATCCTCCCACATCACAATTTGGAAATTTCTTCATTATACACTCTGTCTTTGCGAGGAATGCTACGTGTTTGGTGTCGCTATAAGAACAGCGTTTTCCAACGAAACGCTGGAATCGACATAAAACGCCAGTCTAGCATTAAATTCACATGACTCCAGATACCACAGACGCCCAGCATCTATGAGTCGTTTACAATGCCGCCCTATTTCTTCTCTCTCAGATATTGTGTAATTTGACCATCTGAAAGAGAAAAAAGTTGATTTAGAGTTTTGTTTGACCTCTTTCAGCCTAGATTGGCGTTCTGACGACCGTTGTTGTAAAAGGAAAGGAAACTGAGCGAAGCCAAAGGTTTTGGCACCCGTAAAAATTAAGATCAATTATATATCATCAGGAAACAGCGATAGTGCCCTGACAAAATCACTTTTTGCAAATTAATCGCTAAGACATTCGCCGACTCTGTTAAGCCACCAGTAAGCACGAAACTTATGTGTACAGCACTTTAAGCGAAGAAGCTTCTCGTCGTTAAGCTCGGAAACTTAACAACTAATGTTTAGCGTTTCCATATAAAGAGAGCTTTTTTTTCTTATATGAACGAGTCGCCCGATAGGTTAAAACGTTAAGGCTGCACTGGAGCCAAGTGGCTCATAGTCATTTAGCTGGAGCTCATTCCAGTTTCTGTAGCACATGGCGACCAGGTGAATAGCTACTTCCGTGAAGGAAACTTTATAATTAATTACAACAAATACAGAGAGACAGCTGTATATGCAACACCACACCACGAAATAAACTAATACCCTCACGAAAATAATTTCACTTTTAACAATGCAGAAAGCGCTTTGTTAGAGCAAGTACATCTTTAAATAATCGCGCCTGGTAAACCCATGCCGAACGTGTGATTACCGATTTTATCGAGCTTTGGACTCCAACCTGCGACTTCAACGTTCAGAAATTCTGTTGCCGGTGGGAAAAGAATTTCAAGTAAGCTAAAACTGTACTGGAAAAGGGAATAGATATTTGGTACCTGTCTTCGTCATAAACCTCTTTTCTTTCTTCATCATTCTCTGAATTAATTTCTTGCGGAGTAATGTCTCCTATTGAGATGTCATGGCTGTCATCTCCTTCTCGGTCGTCATTCTCTTTGGAACAAGACGAAAAAAAAGTGGAAATAACAAATGCTATCAACACAGGGAAAAAACACCTTCTGTCTCCGTGTATAGCTCGATATATACCCGATATAATACCGTTCTCTTCTTTTCGATGTGTAATGTAAGTTACGGATCCTCATTTCTAGCCATTACGGATATCCTGGGATCCACAACTCACAGTACAATACAAGAAGACAAACTTCACGAAGTTATCAAAATATTTATCATATATCTCCTGACTGTGTGAAACGAATACTAATTCGGAGAATACGAGTTATTGCTTAACCCTTTCGCCACTGAGAGTGACTAGCGTCTAATTTCTCCCTTCTATATCACCTCTGAATCAAACATGAAAGTCATGAGAATAGAGAAGATGATCACCAACTAAAGCAGCTGTTGATTGTTACACCAATTCTCCTTATCAGCCTCTTAGGTAACGTATGGAGAACAGTATGGAGAATATACCTTCGGGGGGGGGGGGTATGGGAATATGTCTTCGGGGGGTATATGGAAACAGTATGGAAAATAAACTGCCTTCGGAACTTTTTATTCTTCGAAGGGAGAACAGTATGGAGAATATGTAAATTCTATGCCTTCGGGGGGGTTCCAGTATGGAATTTTCTTCGGGGGGTATTATGGAGAATATTTTGTGAGTATTTATTTTTGCACATTCCGTATAATTCGTAAAATTTTCATATCACATGGAAAAAGATATGGCAACTTCTAGCAGTTTAGTGCCAAGACAACAGGAACAGCCGGCCAATCCTCACCTGTTCTGTCAACAGTCCGCTCAGTAACTCCCCTTCGACGTTCCCTTAACCTTATTCCACAGGTTGCCCAGCTACTAAGGCAGCACAGCAGATGAAAATCTTCTGCAGTAAAGCCAAGATTCTGAAGGAACGGTCTGCCAACGTACTGAGGCCAAGAACAACAATGGTGACAACACAGGGCCAATATCACTCCTTTCACTGGCCGTTCGTTGGGGTCAAGTTTTATCCTCTTGTCTTCTCTACAAGTTAAAACAGGAAGAATCCTTTCAGTTATTATTTATGATTTGAAGTGACCATCGCGGTAAGTTTCAGTGCTGAAACGAACAAATAAGAAATCAAGAATTCTTTCCCTGAGATCTCACCTGACGTCACTTTAGAAACTTATAGTGCGATGTCGCTGAAAATGTAACCACACAGCATTCAACGACGTACAGTTCGAAATTTTCATCCCACTTTCCCTCAGCTATAAAATAATACGGTTTAGCGAAAAAAAAGACCTTAAAAAACTAAAATCATAAGGACTGTAAGGAGCCTAAGGTTTTAACAAATAGACTGTTTTTTGGCGGCCAAAAAAAATGATATAAATACACCACACTAACCTCCGTGTCTCATATGCGTCGTTTTTTGTACTGTTGTCATGATCTGATTGCTTCTGGGTGTTACCTAATGTTTCTACTAAGCAACGGAGAGTCAAGTCTGCCAAGAAAAATATCGCAGTACATCACATTATTCGTTTGTCTACTGTCGCTGAATATATCAGGCGTCGCCTACAATCCTGGAGCAACCAATTTCAGATATTTGGTAGCACGGAGCGCTAAACAATTCAAAAATCAAAGAAATCTCAGAATAAAAGACTTATCAGAATAAATGTAACATCACCAGTAGCCAATAATAACTCATAAAGAAGACAAGAAACTATCCAAAACGCGGAAAACGCGATTTTGATTGGTTGAGAGGGCGGCGCGTGGTTTCTGGACCAATAACAAAGCGGAGCGGTTTGGGTAATCTCAGAAAGTGTTTGCTGGATAATGGATGAATATTACAAGGAGAGGTTACATGCTAATCACTTCTGGGAGTTAAGGGTAAACAGACGGTGGTAAGAGGTCTTTTAGGCGGCGATATACCGCCGGTAACCGGCTTTATTGGAATCCTACAGATGAAACATACTTCTCCACCCTAGAGGCAAAATTATATAGCCTAACATACGGTGGTTGTCAAAAAAGTTTGTTTCGAAGAGTCAATCAGAACACAGAACTTCTAGAAAGATCGATTACGATAAAATACACCCTTTTCATACAAACTCAAATTGACAAAATGTACAGTCCTTAACAGGATTAACGTTACGTTTCTACAAATCGTACCTGTAGCAGCCCCACAAAGGTGTTTGCTGACAGCAACAACTTTCTGCTTACTATTTTGAATACATGGCACCTTACCTGAAACAAAAGGAAAAAGAAAAATGAAGATGAGAAATTCTTCTGCCTGCATTCCTAGACAAAACTTCTCGAAGATAAACATGAGATGCAGTGTAACAAATCTTCACAAGTGAACCACAATGCTCAATATTTCCACTAGAGATTAACTAGCGGAATAAACTACTACGTGGCCGCCAAATATACTTCTAGGACAACAACAGCAACTATTCCGATGCCAGTGAATATTGAAATGGATTGGCTTGATACGGTTTACACGTGAAAAACGTGACACGCGGCCCCTGACTAAACGTCTCGTTTTCCTCTTGTGATTGGCCCTCGGCATCTTCAACCAGCTTGTGAATGAAGGCTTATTTCGCGCCTTTTCTGACATACTGATTTAAACACGTTCGAAACCATAGCACGAATACTACAACTTAACCGAGTGCCGATTAAAAGCTAACAGAATAATATTCACGTAATGATCTATTGAAATAGCCCAGATAAATACTGCATATTTTAAACCAAACTTAATGATAGCGCGCATTTCGATTGAGCGACGAAGAACCAAAGCCAAAGTAATCACAATAGCCAATCGTAGCAAAGGTAACCCAAACATCACGGCCAATGACGAAGGGCTAACGCTCGAAACGTCGACTTTGAAACTCTTTACAGAGGCCGATTCACATTATCAAGTTGATACAACCAAATTAACTTGTTAAGAACAAGGAAACTGACTTACGCCTGGGAAAACGCGAGTGACCTAGTCAACTGACTAAAGCGCGGGAAAACGCGAGTGACCAAGTCAACTGACAAAAGCGCGGGAAAACGCGAGTGACCAGACAGACTTAATCCTTTAAACCCTAACACCAGTATGCACATTCTCCATACTGTTCTCTGTACAATTCCTGAGGCGCTGACAAGGAGAATTAGTTTAACAATCGAGAGAATCTTTAGTTATTGACCACCTCTTTTATTAGCATGACCTTAATGTGTGATTCAGGGGTGATATTGTGAGGAGAAATTGGATACTAGTCACCCTTAGGGGTCAAAAGGTTAGGCGCGGGAAGACGCGAGTGACCAAGTCAACTGACTTAAGCGCGGGAAAACGCGCCAAGCGACCAAGTCGTAATTGGTTTTAGTGAAGTCTGATTGGTTGCGACAGTGGCGCGAGTTTTCGGGACAAATCACCTAGCGAAGTTACGAAAAACCAATGCAATCCCGAATAATACTTTCGACACTCGATTGAAAATTTCACTATATCATGCTTACTTAAATCAAGGTGTTTAATGTCCAAGTTTAATCGCTTAAAAGACGGTCCCTGATCCTCTCCTCTGTGATAGCGATCATACTGATGATAAAACAACAAAATTAGATGTCAGTGCCGTACAGTTTTTGCAAGACGAACTTATTTTCATGGTATTCTCGGGAAATTCAAGTGGAACGTAGGATATTCAGCGTCAGAAAAGATCTACAAACGTTCTAACACAAATGCTCCAACGGATTGGCAACGCTACTCGTCGTCTATTCCGTGAAAGACAGACAGTCAAGTGAGAAACATGATAGCGTGTGGCTATCAACAGAAACAAACAGAAAAAAATGAGTCTGTCTTGTTAAATTTTGATTGACTGGAGGATTCAAACCAGGGATTTTAATAACTGTTTCCATAAACGGCTGCCGATGGTGTAGTAGTAATTCAAATCCCGTCGAAGCCTAACTTTTTTTAGGCTTCTTTTCTGCAATTGATTAAATTGCAGCTGACCTACGACCATCATTTCTTTGCTTGATTTTCATCTGCAGGTGATTACATACCTTATATCTGTTACTTGCTCTGTCAATGAGTAGATAGTCTACATCCTTTGCACCATTACCCACAGCAAGCTGAAGCCAATGAGACAACTTTCCTACAATGTTGAATCACCAGAACTAATAAATCTTAGATTACGAGCAATCCACGTCCACTGCATATACAAAACAGTAAGATAATACAGCACGGAAAGTTGATTTTAGCTCATTGATTCCAACATTTTCAGGTGCAAATCCTGCGCGATTTGCTGGCAATTGAATAGCAAAGGATACATGTATTCGGAGTTTGAGTAGCCAATCAGAGCGCGCCTTCAGTGCTATTCACTGTATTAGTATATACTAATCTGTTCTATTCTGTTCACTTACAGAGGTCTCACGGTCAATTTGACTCACAGAACCACTTCTAAGCTCAGTTTGAAACTACGGTACACAACTCACTCACTCACAGGCCTGGGAAAAGTAACAAATGAATATAACTTCTCTTTCTGCCTCTTCTTCTAGACAAACATAAACTTACCTCTGCCAGCTCCGAATTCCAAGAATATTGTACTGGGTTCTAAAAGATGTAGCTTGTCCATATGACCAATAAGAGAAGCCTGACCAGAAATAAAATTTTAGAAAAATCATTTCGATTAGAGAAGATTGAAGATGTGTCATACAAATTTAACTTGTTTGATGTTCATTTTTATTTTCAATTTGTTCATTTATTTTTGGGGGGGAGGGGGGTACCATAACTATTCATTTTCTTTGGCAACTAAAAAAACTCTAAAAACATTTTCTACTATTGTGCTACAGTTCTCTTATTTTTGAAAGCTTGTAAAATGACCTAAAAGGTTTTTAAATTGTAGGTGGTAAGGTAGTTGGGAAGATATTCATAGATTACAAAGACAATCAGATACAGGATTCGGTACAAAAGAATTTGAGTACCTGTTGTTTTAAATGTTTTAAAACAGCAGGATTATCCACCATTTCTGTAACTTCTTCTTGAAAAACATTATGAAATAGGACTTCCTCCGTGATTTTAGGAACATGAGCTGAATATCAAAAAAGTAACACTCAAAATTACCCTTTATTTCTGATAAAACATAGAGAGCTCTTAGGACATTGGTAGGATTTAAGGATTTGTTGAAAAGCATAGCTTGAAAGCAACAATTATCACAGCCCAGAAAAGTGTGCTAGAAAAAACCTTTATAAATCTAACGCAGGAGGAAATAAGCTTAAGCAACATTAACAAGCCACAAATTCAAGACCTGCCAACCGATGTTTAGTTATTGTTTAAATCCTTGTCATTGAAGACCACCAAAAACATGTAATTAGTTCTGTAGATTCTAAAAGCTTAGTTGTAATTAACATGAATATTTAGAGTAAAATAAGTTTGAATCTACAGCATTCAATGCATGCAAATAGAAACAAACTTACGTAGTTGTTTTATGCACAATACCTTTATAACATTCATTAACTTTGTTGATTAACCATAAAACTTTCTCCTGAGAAACAGAACTCAACGAAGCCTAGAATGGAATAAAATTCCCAGACAAAACAAATTTTCAATAATACTTCCACCCACAATTAACCTGGTTTTTACAACCCTTGTCAATTTATTAGTTGCGAGACTTCTGTTGATAAATCCCAAAAATTCTTGTTTCACTCAATTTCTTCTTTAACTTAATGCATGACCCTTAACCTTCCCTCTGTATAAATATTTTGAAGGAACACTATAATTCACAAACTTAACATTTCACAAATTTCCTAAAGCAGTTTTACTTTCCCTTTTATTGCCCTGAGTACCTCTTTTGATGAAAAAAAAAAAAAAATAAACCCTAACAAGCTGTTGTTTTGTAGTTAGCAACAACTAGTATCAGCCACCTAGGATTGTCCAGAGAATTATTGCTCTCTGGAAGCCACTGAGATCTAAACTAGTGTAAATATCTTTGATATCAAAGGATGAGGACAGCTTTTGCCAGTAATATTGACCCTCTAGTATTGCTACATTTGGCAAGTTCACCATAGTCAAGGAGTAGTAGAACAATGCATAATCTTGACATTTGGAAAATAAAGATGATGGGCTGGTTACTCAAACAAGGTCCAACCCAAACCATGGTTTTGATTAGAGAGGAAAACAAGGCATTTAGTCAGGGGCCGCGTATCATGTTTTTCACATGTAAACCGTATCAAGCCAATCCATTTCAATATTCACTGGCATCGGAATAGTTGCTGTTGTTGCCCTAGACGTATATTTGGCAGCCACGTAGTAGTGCAAAAAATGGCCCTCGGGTATTCTCTATAAAAGGATTTATTTAATAAAGTAAATGTCCTTCCACTGTTAGGATTCAGCCTTCTTAACACTGTTCACAAAAATAAATGTTCAGATAAAAGGTAGTTTAGAACATAGTTTTGATAAACAAAAGCTAAACTTTGTTTAAATAACTGGCCCTTTTGAATGTGTCTCAAAATCTCAGCATGGAAGACCACATCAGTTGTAAAATACACTGTACAACAGCAGCACAAGTAAGAGGTTGTCTGAGGAAGCAATTACCCTCCATAAAAACACCTAGATTGAGACCTAGTTGCATTCATTCTTCTAAAACATATCCTGAATTCAAATTTTAGGAAAATATGAGTCTAACCCTTATGGGAAAATGACAATGTGCCTTTTTACTAAGTTCTGGCCAAAACAAAATATCATCAAGTTTTGAGAGTCATTTCCTATCCCAATATCTGTTTGCTGTAGATACATTAGTATATGTGATTTGACACAATAAGGATGTTGTGGTCTTACAAGTGTCTGTAAACTTCAAATTATAAAATCTGACTTGTAAAGAACATACCCTTTCTGCTGTAGAGAATTCGTAGTTTGGTATACCAGAGTTGATGTTAGCACTGTAGTAGACCTACAAAAAAAACACAAAACAAAATCAAAGAGGTGGTACATGTACAGTGTAAAATTACTCAAAACTCCCTTCACTTAATCAGTCACTCTAAGGGGTCAAAGGGTTAGCCCTTTACACCAAAACAACACTATCAATTCTCCACACTGTTCTCTCTTCATATCCTATGATAATGAAAAGGAGAATTTTATTGTCAATCAGGAGCCTCTTAAATTTATGATCATCCCTGTTATTCTCATAACCTTTACCCTTGATTCAAAGGTGGTGCTCTAAAGAAAAATCAGAAGCCAGTGACTCTCAGGGGTTAAAAGGTCAACAAAAACAGGAAGATATAAAAAAGATCAAAACTAATTTTAAAAAATCTATTTCAAACCCCCCCTTCCCATCATTGCTTGTGTTCCACTGAACACCTCTACATGTTGTGTGAGCCTCTCTCTCAAAACCCTCTAAACCTGTAGGGAAATAAGTACAGTATGTATGTACGTCATAGGAATATGTATAATTATTTTCTGTTAACCCATAATTTTTCTTACTTACAACTTGAGTTTTTTTTGTTTGATTGCATTTCTTGAGGTGACTTCCAAGCTGGTCTTCAAATACTGTGCTATGAATTAGAACGACAGATATTAAAATTTATAACATAAATGTAGCAGCAAAGAAATTACTGAGATATTCTTCAACATTTTAACAGCCTCACTATTTATCAACAGATGAAGTTTAAATAAATTTTTGTCATTGTCATAATTTATACATATTTACAGGTGATTCATAGCTTCCAAACAAGCCCTTGGGTTTATGTTTAGCCTTAACCCTCCTTACCAGGCACAGTGGAAAAGTTATTGAAACCCCTGTAGTTAACAGTTTAATTTCTCTCAAAGTACATCTCTTGACTTTGGCAATAAATGAGTGCCAGTGAACTGTCAGGAAAACCTGAAAAAATACTGAGCCATAACTTGCAGTGATCAAGCATCCATCCACAAGATTGCCCAGACTTCTATCCACTTCATGTGTTTTGTCTAGACCATGGTCAGCCTTAGAGGGATAAGCTCATAAACTAACTTGAATGTTTTCCTCTTCCCTTTGGTATAGAAAAAAAGTTTTTGTAGTGTATTGTGTTTCATATTATTAAAGGGTAAACTCCCAGATCAAATTTATAACTCTCCTTACTGTCTGTCATACAATACTTATAATGTTAGTTCAAAGAATTTAGTATTGGATCAACTAGTTATCCCCAAATTGATAGTTTTCTTTACTCTCATCACTTATCTGCTTGATATTGTATTGATATTGCAAGGAGAAATTCTGTCTTGGTCACTCATGGGAGTTAAAGGGTCAATAATGGTAATAGGACAAAGTGGAGTCCAATTTGATTTATAATCATAAGAGTGATTGACAAAATCAGATGACCACAAAGGAGGAGTTTGATCTGTTAATCACAAGTATTATTACAGACAGAATTGGACAACACAAGGTCCTATTACCAATTAATCAAAACTATGACAAGATTTGAGATAGAAACTAGACATTGGTTGTAAGTTTTCATAAAAAAAAAAATACAGTTAACTCAGCAAAATTCAAGACAACAGCACACATGACGCATTCTGTTCACTTGCACAGGCAAGTCTGTCCCTTCAACTGTCCTATCATACTGTCCAATTATAAGCATGATGCATACACTGTCCTATTGGTTCTCAAATTGGGCTGGTGATAACCAATATGTGAGAGAATTTTGTTGTAGCTTTGATTAGAGCATTGAGAGGAATCACTTGACTTATGAATAATCTACAGTTATCTATCATTCTTACTGTTTCCTATCCAGAGGACAAGTGATCCTTTTTCGTCCTGCACCCTGTTGTGGGAGAGACCAAATAAAAAGGACTTTGTCATCTTATTCCAAAGACTTGAATCACATAGAAAAAAAGCTCTATGAAAATGATCCAGGAGTCAGAGGGTTATAACGTGTTATTGCAGGCTGTAGGAGATGCAGATAACAGCTGGACTGTGGATTGGTAGGTCTAATATCAAGCGCTGGCAGGTTTATAGTGTCATATTTTGTCCTATTTTAGGGTAAGACAGCCTACTCTCATAACACTCTTCACCCTGGAGTATGCTGGTATAAGTGTCAGGTATAGTACCACTTGTGTATATGTTAACCACAAAGATGAATTTCATATGCTCAGACACAGGGTAGTCAGATGTGTATATAAATTATGATTTTTTGCACGTGTTGATGAGGATCAGAAGGAAATATACTTAATTTAAGATTGTGAATAATGATTTATTTTATTCATTGCAATCACCACTCACTTCAGTGTTTACACACCAGAATGTCAACAGTTTCATTTTGCATTGCACATGATGATGTCTGATTGCAGAGCACATCATATTACATCGAGGAAAGGTCAAGTTACAGTAAATCACAACGTCAAAGACCAACATTCATCTGAAAACTAAAAACATAGAGCTTCTCTGGCTAAAACTGAAAATATTCTTGCGTCGCCTTGTCAAGCCAACCAACAAGGACAAACTTGCCACAGGCATCCATAGGTTCCAGGACTCTGTGACAGCTGCTAAGTGCTACAAATACATTAGCCACCTCTGAAAAGTTATTCCTGCTATACTCCAACACAAAGGAAGAGCCTTGCGCTACTAACAGCTTCCTTAATGAACAAATGGCTCCCTTAGGAGCCACCAATTTTACTGAAGTCTTGGATTACCACTTTGACTGAAATGAGTTTGATTATTGCTGTATTGGTGTTTTGTCTAATTGCACACACCGGCAAGTCTTAAACAAACTAGAACTTCATGTATCCTGCATTTAATTTTTCCTTTCCTTTTTAAGAGCAATTTGGTGAACATCAATCAATGATTTGACAAATATCAAAACAAGAAACAAATCCAGCTTCCCATAAAAATTTGTATACGAGTCACAACAAGACATAGTCATGACAGGTAACCATACTGAAACACAACACCATTGAAATAAGCAAGTAAAACTTAGTTTTTGTATAAATGGCCAGATGAACAAACCAGTTTTCGAGAACAGCATGTTCACCAATGACAAAAGCTATGAAATAAGCATTTGCATCTGGGTTTGCATTCAGAACATGACAACTGGTTACAAACAGGCACCTTAGCTTTCTACCGAATTCCAATACACTGAGAATAAATTTATTTTGATCAAATTCCCATGCAGTTGTGATGCATATTTTTTTAATACGTAGTGAGAAATAGCTATATTGATGAAAGAATTCCTTCGGAAAATGATAAGTCATTTATTTATTCCGATTACAAAGTCGCATTAGTAACAGCATATCAGGAAGATCGGTTCGAACCGTGATTAAAATAAACAAGTTTGCTTGTCTTGCTAGTCATGTAGTATTTTAGTGCTGTTACACTGTAGCCTATTCTTTAAAACGATAAACTGCCAACAACAGACAAACAAAAGGACTACCTCGTACGCACTAATGAGGCAGATGTATCAATCTTATGCGCGCACGTGCGATTTTTTGACGCGCACGATTTTTTTATTCGCAATTGCATGCGATTTTTGGCATGTTTTATTCGCGTTTTTTGGTTAACGTATACGCGAGTGGTACTACAAAGTCAACCAATTTCTGGGATGCTAGTTGCAATAATCTGTAAGAATCTCTCTTACTTTATCATGTATACAGTTCTTGCATAAAGAAAACAAATTTAAAACAAACATTTAAACTTGATCAATTAAGGCTTACTTTAGATTCTTCATCAAAAATCCTATGCTCTCCGCAATATTTGCTTCCCCCTGAAACTGTCATTCGGCAAAAACGGTGTTTTCGTTTCAAAAAGAAGGCACAAGTTATACGTTCCCGTTGCACGTCGTCCGCCATCTTGGGTATTTATTGATTCATGCACTGAATTATCCAACCGCTGGCCAGACAAACTGTGTGACCACTTTGCGCGCGCTTTTCGATTAGCTCATCGCCCCTCCTGGCGAAAACTAAGCTTATAATCAGAAAAATCCCAGACGATAAACTAGCTTACTCGCGGTCTCACGTGGCCGGGGAATTCCAGACCCTTAGACCCTCATTCTGGGTTTGCCATAGCTTCACTCACTAAAGTCGTATCTGAAAAGTTGTAGCCAAAGAATCGCCAGCCGAAGTGAAACAAGCGGTTTATCCGAAAAGATGCCAAGCGAAAAAAAAGGAGTGATGTTTTATTGTTTTATCTAGTATAAGCATCTGGTACTCACCGTAAAACCAGATGTCAATTTTACCAACCCACGGGGTACTCTGTACCTGACTGTGCGAAGATTTTCGATTTACCTAAAGGGGTACATCATTCAATCCAGAGAGGTACATATATATTTTTAAATATGGTATTTAATGACACCTATTTCATGGCATAAAAAAGGATAAGGAACACGGAATATATTACGTCGCACCTAATAAAACTGATTAAATGTTTTGATTTTTCGAAGTTTGAAAAATTTGCAAAAATACTGGAAAATACTGCCGAAAATTCGCCACGCAAAAATTAACAGCCTGACGCTTGAAAGGAAGCGTTGCTCACTTGTCTCGGGGAGGTCTTTCTATATCCTCCTAAGCGTCCAAAAGTCTGGTAGAAATCATGTTTGACAATCATACTGGCAAAATAACACGGAAGAACAGATAAAAGTTACCTTAAGACAAGTAAGGAAGCGTGCTCTCTTGCCTCGGATACAATTTTTATGAACTCTGACCCAAGCTGAAATCTGGTAAGAAAAAACAACAACAACAATCACATTTCTGTTGTTAAAATAGGAAATCTACAAATTTTTTCAGCAGGATAAGGAACAAAATTTTTTAGCAGAATATTTCTCATGCTATTGAACAGCACAAGTAGCGAGTTCTTGAGTAAAACCGCATTCCATGCAACTTGGCTCCATTCCTTAGGATTATGTTGATCAGAAGAAAGAGTAGACTGATGTAAGACGTCTTTTGATTCTAGCGACTGTTATCTAAACTTCACAGGGAGGGGACTCTCGTTTAAAGCTGAAGTAGATTTGATAAAACTGAAAAGATATTAAACAAAAAGCGAGTATCATTATATTTCTTAGCATTCTTATCACGACTTTCATTAATAATCGATTATGTGGCTCTGAACCAGGAGTTCTCAGATATTAAGTTATTAATTTTACTATCTTTGGAATTCATTCGGTTATAAATTCGTTCGCAAGCCAAGACCTACATGCTGACAGATCGACTCGCTCACTCACAAATAGAGTCTTCATCGAAAACAGATTAACAACTTGCAAAAAGTAACTGGCGGTCCTAATTCAGGACGTATGGTGATCGTTACAACTGAGGACAAAAATTCAAAGTCTCGTTTGACAGGGGTGGATCACACTTCACGAACAGAGCACTATCAGACCATGTTTCCAGAGAATCAGTTTTTGCTTTGTAAATTTTATACTTAACTTTCCATGGCAACCCGTTTGTGAAAGATGGAGAGCGGACTTGGATATTTCTGAAAATATAAGTGGGTACTTAACAGTTGTCACCAAAAAGGAGTTCTTCAAATAATTTTCTGTTCAGTAAGTAAGCCAGAACAGATACCGCTGACTACAGCTGTCAAGAGCAACAGTGCACTGAGCGGAAAGAAGAAGTATGACAACTTCAAAACCGCTTCTTAAGGCTGATTATGGCCAAGTCTTATCAAAGTAGAGACCACGAAAACCTGCATTTAATTGTCTCACAAACGTCAATTGTAGTTATTTGAACGATAAAAATTTGAGATAAAAAGACAACGTGCAAACAACTGTTCGGTTTATCTTTCTGATAATATTTGAATTACAAATTTAGCTTTCAGGCTTTATGGGAACCTCCAGTCTTAAGGCAAAGGTTACTCAAAAGGCTCTAAATGTTGGGTTGCTCTCTTACCTCGTGTAACACTGAAGTCTGGTGAAAACAAATATGTTTTTGTGGTTTGATAAAGGAAAACTACAAATTGATTCAGTAGGACGAGGAAAACAATTCCTTTGTACAAGTAGGGAGTTGTTGAGTAAAACATTTCAACTTGGCTCGATTTTTTTTGATTTTGTTGATGAAATGAACGACTAGAATATAAGGCGTCCTTTTTTTTTTCAGCGACTGTTGACGTATCTAAATTGTACAGACAAATATTAAGAGGAGGCTCACGTTAAGCTGCAGTAGAATAATGAAATAATGTTAAACAAAAGACGAGTTGTGAAAATATATTCTTATATTCCTTACAATTCTTGCAGGGATTTCATTAATAATCGATTCTGTGTCGACGTCATTGAACCAGAGGTTCTCAGCTGTTGATATCGAGCTATCAATTTTACTCTCTTTGGAATTCATACTATCATAGTTTACCTAGCAAGCCAGAACTCCGTGCCGGCAGAGATCGCTGGAAGGGCAGTTTGGTATTTCCTCAACTCAGTCACAAGAAGATTCTTAATCATTATAACGTTAGCTTCTAATGGCTTGTCAACACTAACGCTGGCTATCAAATTCAACTAGTACGGCGAACGTTACAACTGGAGATAATTAAATTTTCACGAACGAGAAGGATGGATCACTCTCCCTGAGCAGAGCACCAACAGGCTTTTACACATCTCTCCTTGGACCAAACATTTTCCTCTCCATCACTGCATTATTAGGGAAATGCTCTCATCATGATTGCTCTTCACAAGTAATTTCTATTTACCCACCAACAAAACTTTTGTTTCGATATCTCGCAGTCTCTAATCTTGGCACTGGTCTTTTAAATGTCATCCTCGTCGCCATAGTATTTCGCATAGGAATCTCGGTGGTTGATCCTTTTTCCCACGTTGTCTTAACTTTACAACAAAATCAACCAACCTTTCTGCCATATTGATTTTGGGTTCATGTCTTGTTGTTCCCAGCCTCCCTGGAGCTGAGCTCTATGTAAACTTGACGTTGTTGTGTGTAACCTGTCTATGAGCCTGGCAAACAGAAGGGAAACTTTCATCAATCTATTTACAATGACTGCCTTCTTCCTCAAGCAATACATGTTCAAGTTTTTTTTTTCACTGGTATCTTATATCAAAAGTTAAATAATTAAAAGACCTAAACTGGGGAATATGGCTAATCAGAGGTAGTGGATGTTGAAGGCCTAAATGTAATAACTGTCCTAAATGTAATAAAGTCCTAAATGTAATAATATTTGGTCCTAAATGTAATAAGCCTCCAATGCAATCGTTTAACTCCTTCAGTGCATTGTTGTTACGGCGGACATCCACATTGAGATGTTGAAGTGACAGCTGTTGCACAAAAAACCGCTGACCAGTATACATGTCAAATTACGGGCTCGCTGATATCGATCAGCGTCTTTTTACTTGCTAGACATAAGTCGAGAAGCATTGGCCGCAAATGGCATCAAATGACAGCTGACAAAACAATGAGTATGCTGACCAAAACCTCTCCATATGTCACTAGCTCAGACTCTTAGGTACAATAAATTTTGGAAAATTAGGATAACATTATACTTGTGTGATCGGTGATGGACTTAACAAGTCATAAACCAAATTACAAACTTGGACAAATGAGTCCACTGACTTGTAGGTCGGACAATTTGCAGGCTCGGCTACAAATGTTTTGTCGTTCCATGCCTGCACAGACCTTGTTAGCATGCACATTTTGTTTACCAATTCGGATCTCGTGACAGCACTCTAGAGGGTTGTTACTTTCAAATTCTCGAATATCTCCCTGAGTATATGAATATGGAAAAAAAAAGTTTTCTCCTCGATAGAACATAAGTGGGACAATTATATTCTCTTGATCTTGAAATGCCTGCAACAAATCCGACAAACGAATAAGGTATTGCATGTGTCTCCATCGAATCATATACTCAGTTACTTACATTTAACAGGTGTAAATGCAAAGAAGCTACTGACCAGTACATCATCACAAATCACCGGCTCAGATTGCCAATCACAAAACAGACACTTAACAAAAAATCTGGTGCATGTCATGAACGAGCTCACTAACGCAAATTTTTGAGCTCCAAAATTAAAAGGCACGGGAAAAGGTTCCTATGGAAGAGGTAGTACTGTAATTCGAAATAAGTAACAGGTGTTTTTAGCGCATACTTGTTGCTCGATTACGTTTTATATAAGGCCGGAAACAGTCACACGAGTGATTTATAATGAACATTAAAAATGGTTGTTTATGTTGAAGGCTGTAAATTATGTCCCGGTCCCCAAAAACTCACGCAAAAATTTGTTCCCTTGCTTTCTCTGAGATGTGAGTACAACTAATCGTGTGAGCCTTTTTTAGCAATATACTAATTGATTTAAAGAATTAAAGAAAGAAAGAAAAAGGAAACAAGGTTTGCTCGACACACTGATGTCTTTAACGATCAGACATTAGATAAAACAGCATGACCTGACTCTAAAACGGACTTTTCTTCTACTGAATCAGCACTATGAGAATAACATGCACGTAAAGCGCTTAACTTTCCAGTTTCAAAATAACTGGTAGTAAGGCAAAGATTTGCCCAGCAACGTTGAATTGATTGGTTGAACTGAGTGTGGAAAAATTCTTCAGTGCGGATCCGACTGATAAACATTTCACGAGCCTGTGAAATATTCCGGCAGTTTTCTTTGAGATCTAGATCGAATGTGGAGCGCTAGTACTTGCATTGATTTAACATGAGATTTATTGTTTTAGTTGTTATGATTTTAGCATTACTAGCATCATTGTGGGATAAGTCTGTGGCCCATAAAGATCTGTTTTAGCAGACGACGTTCATGAAGCACTGCTCGACCTTGTTGAAGGCAAGGCGCAACCACCAGTGAAAGAACAGACGAGAGCAATGCGTGCAGCTGCTGTGCGATACTGGAGAGCCGGCGGAAAGATATCAGTGAAAGAAGACCATAGTGATAAGGCACTCTATTGCGAGGGGCGTCGACTATTAAAATCATCAGAGGTTAACAAAGTAGTGGTTGAGGAAATTTGAAAGGACGAAAGGATCTGCTGCGGGGAAGTTGGCTTGCTCACTGAGGGACAACTTTTTAGGAGTAAGTCGAGCTAAAATACAAACTATTCTAAACACGGACAAAAGTCATTATCGCCGAAATGCTGAGTTTCTTAATAAGGTGAGGCTGAAACCTATCAGAGCCAGAGACGTTCATGTTAGGCACCAAATAGATTTGATGGATATGAGCAAAAAAGGATCCGTGAAGATGAATGGACATTTGAACAGATACGTTCTAACAGTGATTGATGTTTTCAGCCGTTTCCTTTGGCTTCGTCCTTTGGAAAGCAAATCAAGCCAGGTTATTGAAAGTGAATTGGAATCTATTTATATGGAGCATGGATCGCCAGAAATAATACATTGCGACCAAGGAGGGAGTTCAAGAAAGCTTTGAAATTACTTTGCGATCGCATGAATATAAAATTGATTTACAGTCGCCCGCGCCATCCCCAATCACAAGGCAAGGTGGAAAGTTGCCACAGGACACTAAGATCCAAGATGGAATATGACCTTCAAAAAAAAAAAAAAGTCAAGACGGTGTAAACTGGGCGAAACAGCTCCCTCTTTATCAAAGAATTCTAAATAACGACCCTAAGGAATTTATAGCTTACAAAACACCATTCGAAATATACTTTGCACGAGAGTGCAACGCCTTTAGAGAGAGCAGATTACAAGACGAAATCCTTCCTAGTGCTGGGAGGGTTCGCCCAACTAACAATGACCGTAATCGGCGTTCCCGACAAACTTTGAAATTACGAAAGTAAGCAAAAAAAGCCACGAGCAGATGTGACAAGCGGATGCAGCGAACACAACTTCACTTAAATCCTCGGTTTACAGCATCGGAGAAAAAGTGTATATACGTTTGAGAGGGAAACCATCGAATAAACGGCATGTGACGGAGGGTCGTATCGAGAAACGTAAGATCAAGTTGCATACCTATAAGGTTTCATACGCCTCACCGCTTTCAGGAAAGGAAGAAAGGACATGGGTTTCCGTGGACGATATCACAAGCCTAACACTAGAGCGAGAAAAACAGAAACAAAAATGCGCCAAGCTGTCTAAAAAAGAAAAAAATTGACCACTACAAAAAGTATTACATACCTATGAGAAGAAACGATTATGCAAAGGCTATTGAAGATCAGGGTTTTAAATTGGTTTACAATCCTCCTGGAGATGGCAATTGCCAATTTGCTGCACTATCGCACCACGCAAAGAGACTAGGCATTTTGAGATCTCCTGAAACCATGAGGAAAGAAATAGTAGAGTACTTAAAAAGTAATCCGTACGATAACGATGGCTTCCTACTTTTGGAGCATTTGGCAGATGATGAGTTCGCTTGCTGGGACGATTATATAACTCTTATGGCGCGAGATGGGACCTATGGAGATCAGATTACGCTGTATGCAGCAGCAAACTTGTATAATATCGATATACAAATAGTTTCCTCTCTAGGAGTTGGTGGGTAGCATGTGTTCAGTCCGTCAGCAAGTGTTTCAGCAGCTACCGTGTACCTTGGACATCTTGCTGAGAACCAAGGCGAACACTACGTGAGCTTGGAACAAGTTGCGGATCAAAACGACGCTAGTGAAAAAGAATACGATGCAAATGACTTAGGAGAAGGAGAAGTTCCCGAGGATTATGCGAATAAAATGCACATAGAGCAGGACGTCGTTGATTTTGAAATGGGTGACTCTGACGCAAAAACTGGACTTGACAGTATCGTCGCCATTGGTGACGACACGGACATTGCTACAGATATAGCTAAGGGACTTACTCATGGAAGCCGAACAAACGAGACGGAGTATGAATTGCAAAATGAAGTCGACAATGGTATAGCCAATGATGGTGATAAGCTGATGGAGGTTCAGTTTGTTTCAGATGTAGACATCGACTTATTTGCGACGAGAGGAGATGACGAATGTCACATTGGAAAACTTCCCAGTGAAGTTTTAGAAAAAATCTTAGAAATAGTGTTAGCGTCATCGGCCATCCTGTTTGTTGGTAATGCATGCCACACTTACCAAACATTACGTAAAGTTAATACACGATTAAGGGCGTCGGTGCAACGTCTGAAACAATTTCTACCGAGGCTTTATGCCTCTGGTGGATTAAAGTCTTGTTTAATCAGCGCTCGAAGCCTTCTAAAAAAGTGTGGTCCTTTAAGCGGTCTATTGATCGAGCTGAAGAAAATCATTTCTAGTCCAAAGTGGGCTAATGCTTGGCTGGAAGTTCAAGTGGATGAACTCGATTGGTACGTAATCATTGGAATTTTTTGGAAAAGAAATTGACTGCAATTGATGATTAACTAGCATGCTATTGTTGATGTTATCGTTCGTGTTAAAGTCGTTAGTAGTGATGCACTATTTTAGAGCAGTTTGAATGATTTCGCTGTATCACATGTTAATCCAAAGTATTATTATCAGTAGTGTTACTGAAATTTTGAACATCAATGTTATTCAGTGTCAAATTATTTTAATGAAGCATTTGAGTTCATTTATAAGAATGACTATTATCAATAGGATATGGCATTTCTAGCCCTCTATGGCTTCACTCCACCTCGGTAATCAGTTCATGTACCATATGACTATAAGTGGAAACTGTTGAGCTTAGGCTTTGTCCTACAAAAACAGTTGGCTTTCACTCTCGGCTCTCGAAATAAACAAGTCATTCTGGATTCTTATCAAAGCGAAATCTTTTGCTATACATTGAATCCTTTAACGTTTAAGCCAAGAGAATATAAACTCTCTTGCATTGACCAAGCTTGTTCGGTCAAGATGACTGGATATTAGCCTCGTTCTTTTTCTACTTTTTTTTTGGACCGAGACTTCGTCTCAGTCCCTAAAAACGCAAAAAAAAAATTCGGCCAATATCCAGCCATTTGACCTCACGCTTGGTCAATAAAGCATAGGAATATATTTCATGCAGACCCATACAAATCTGGCAAGGGAAGACAGTACAAAAAATGCACTTCCGAGCCCGGAATTTGTCAGACGTATTGGTCAGTGGACTACCTTTTCCTTGTAACGCGGTTCATAAGGTATTAACTTCAGCACTGATCACACAAATATATCGTCAAAACCTGTTTCACTTAAGAGTGAGCCAATGATATAAAGAAAGCTCTTGGTCAGCGTTCTCATTGTTTTTGCGTCTGTCAATTTGATGCCAAAAGCACATCAGTATAAGGTTTTGTAGCCAATGCTTCTCAACCTACGTCTTTAGCATATAAAAAGACGCTGATTAACATCAGCGAGTCCGCAATATGCCATGAATATTGGTCAGAGGATTCTTTGGTGCAACAGCTGTCACTTTAACATCTCAATGTGGATGTCTGCTATAACAACAGTGCACTAGCGCAGTTAAACGATTGCATTGGAGGCTTATTACATTTAGGACCGAACGTTATTACATTTAGGACTTTATTACATTTAGGACCAAATGTTATTACATTTAGGACTTTATTACATTTAGGACAGTTATTACATTTAGGACTTCAACAGTGGAGTCCCTTTGCTAACTCTGGTGGAAGTTATGAAATTTTTATGTCCAGAGGAGTATCATAAAAAAATAGCTTGGTCCAATGATAAGTTTTAAGAAAAGAATAAACTGGTCATCTCATTTACTGCTTTTTTAACGCATCTTGTCTAATCAAGTGTAATCACGTGGGTTAAGGAAGGTTAAATGAAACTTGTAGATATTTTCGTCCCAGAATGAAGATAGTGAAAGATGTTCTCTCTTTAGTTCATGAATTTCGGTTTTTTATATCTAACTTATATAACTAATGATGGATTTGAGCATGCAAAAGTGAAAAAATTGACTTGTTTTACAAGGAACGTCATCCTTTAGCGTTCATTTTTTAGACCGCTTGGATTTTTATTACAAGATCGATCAAAGTATTAGTGAATCATCTGCCTTCACAAGGTAAGCCATCTCTGCGATATTCCACTTTTCAAGACTTTTTATTTTCTAGTGGGTGCAATTTGCATGATCAAGATAATAAGGCTACGTTCACACCGTACCGGACAAAATTCGTGTGTTTGGGCGTTTCGTTCACATGGAATCACGCCAAACGTACGAAAATTTGGACGCCCAAGCGTTCAAAACTTTAAAGACCAAATTCGAGGACGAGTTTTTAGCCGGTGCAGTCAATAATTTGACCGCCCCGGTGTGAACACCTTAAACGTCAAAATTTTTGTACGGCGAAGGCGTAACTGCATGGATGCGTGGTAATTAGGCTAAAGAACATGTTTACAATTTTATACGATAATGGAACGTGTTGGTTTATTGTTTGCGATGCTCGATAATAATACAGCGTTACTGCATAACATTATCTCGCAAATGTGTAGGCCATGCCGGACTTACCACGCACGTAGGCGACGTTGTGTTGGTGTCTTGACAATGTCAGAAAATCAACATAAAAAACGTCGCACATCTGACGTCGAAGCAGCAAAAACACTGGACGCCATTTGCTCTGGGTTAAAAGAAGCGTTCTGCACATCAGGATAGGGTAAAACACTCAAAAATGTCGCAAGATTTATCCTGTTATCAGTTCCATCTGAACAGAACGAAACTTTCACACGGTTCCGTGTGTACAGAATGTCCGGTCGAAACTTTCGGCCAGTCGAAAATTCATCCGGTACCGTGTGAACGTAGCTTAAGATGATCACTTTACTAAGAGTTACCCTTTTAAGTGTTAATCTGGATAAGACTTAGATAACGTAAGGAGTGAGTGACATTAAGAGTTAGGACCTACATAGCTCGACTCTCTCTAAAAAATATACAATTGATAACATTTTGGGGAGGGGAGGGAGAGGGAATAAAACTGAACCATACTTATGCAGCGGGATCCTTAAAGCTAATCTCCTGAAAAGTCACATCAGTCATCCCTGCTACTCTCACATTTTTATTTCCGCTTCGCTTTGGCTATGAAACCAGCAATTTGAGAGCACTACAACGCGCTATAAAAGCGATGACGAATAGTAATGATGATGATACGATGATGTCTAGAAAACCTGATATATCGGGCCAATCTCGGACAGGATTTTCTTGTGAGAAAAATGAAAGTCAAATCATGGAAGAATGAATAAATTCATCAACTTTTTTCCTAATTCATAGGTGGAAATACAGAAAGACGCTGAGCAATTTACCCCGAACATTAAGTGTTTCCCTTAAATTACTTGTGTTTCGGTTTTGAATTTAATAAACAATGATGCATTTGAGCATGCAAAAATGAAAAAAAATTGTACTTTGTTCAGTACAGGGATAGTCAGCCCTTAAGAGTGCATTGCTTTGAAACGGTTGGATTTTGTGTGAGTTTCTGCCAAGACGATTATTTTAGTAAATGTTACCTTCGAAAGTGTTCATCCTGGTAGAAAAAAAAGAAAAGTTAAGCAAGTTACTCTGAGCTTCAAGTTCTCCGGTTTAGGTATTTGTATTTCGGTTTTGTTAGTCCAACTTTGATAACCATTGATGGAATTGAGCATCCAAATGAAACAATTTAATTTGTTTTACAGGAAACATCGGCCCCCTGCTAATGCTCATTGCGTTAGATGGTTGGATTTTCATCACAGAATCGATCACTGTACAATTGAAGCTTCTGTCTCAAAACGGTAGGATATTTGTATGAAATGACTAACTGAATGTTTTACAATCATGACTTGTAATTTTTTTAATGGCGAGGCACTGAAGTCTACAGATTTTGGTTAGTACTGGATATATTCAAAAAAGTGACACAGGTCAACTTATTTGCCAAAGTTCGTGCCTTTACATAACCTACGTACATAGTTTTTGTTTAAAGCGTTAGTATTCTATCGTGCTATATTCAATGTAATGATCTATGTCTTAGATAAAAACTGAGAGGTAATGTCTATTAAATAGAAAGATAATCACAAGTAGCAAGGTCGAATTAAAAAATTACAAATACTATGAAGATAGTGGAAGATGTACCCTCTAAGTTTTTTATATCTGATTTAAATAACTTATGATGGATTTGAGCGTGCAAAAATAAAACAATTTGCTATGTTTTACAGGAAACGTCAGCCTTTAGTGTTCATTTATTTTGACCGCTTGGATTTTCATTACAAGATTGATCAAAGTACAAATAAATCATCTGCCTTCACAAGGTAAGCCATTTCCGCGATATTCCACTCTTCAAGACTTTTTATTTTCTAGTGAGTGTGATTTGCATGATCAAGATACTAAGTAATTTACTAAATAAGGAAAACGGATGAAGCTAAGCGTGCGAGATTCTTTAAGATGATCACTTTACTAAGAGTTACCCTTTTAAGTGTTGATCTAGATAAGACTTAGATAAAGTAATGAGTGGGTGACATTAGAGTTAGGATCTACATAGATCAACACTCTCTGAAAAATATACAACAATTGATACTATTCTGGGGAAGGGGAGAGAGGAGGAATGAGCCTGGACCATACCTATGAAGCGGGATCCTTGTGCCTAATCTTCTTCCTCTTCGCTTTGGCTATGAAACTAGCAATTTCAGAGCATTACAACGCGCCACAAAAGCGCTGATGAATAGTAGTGATGTGGATACTTAGATGTCTAGAACACCTAAATTCTCGGGCCAACCTCGAGCAGGATTTTCTTGTGAGAAAAATGGAAGTCGAATCGTGGAAGAATAAATACATTAATCAATTTTTTTCCTAATTTAAAAGTGGAAAATGAAGAAAGAAGCTTAGAAGTTACCCCAAAATATTAAGCGTTGCTCTTAAGATACTTATATTTCGGTTTTGAATTTTACAAATAATGGTGGATTTCAGCATGCAAAAATTTAAAATATGTACTCTCTTCAGTTCAGGATTTTATCAGCTCTTAAGTGTTCATTGCTTTTAAAACGATTGGATTTTCATTATGTAACCGATCACAGCAGTACAATTAAATAGGGTATTTTTCAGTGTTTCGGTGCGATGGTCGACTCTTTACTGATGAACTTTTCATTTTCTAATGGGCGTGATTTGCATCATCAATAACAAAGACACTATGTATATTACTATATAAGTAAAACAGATCACGTTTATAGTATAAGTTTCTCTAAGACGATTATTTTACTCAGTAAATGTTACCCTTAAAAGTGTTCATCTCAGAGGGTGAAACAAACGTTGAGCAGTTTACTCCGAACTTCAAGTGCTCCGGTTTGGGTACTTGTGTTTCGGTTTTGTTAGTTGAACTTTGATAAACATTGACGGATTTAAGCATGCAACATGAAACAAATTACTTTGTTTTACAGGAAACGTCAGCCCCTAACGTTCATTGCGTTTAAACGGTTAGATTGTCATCGCAAGGTCACAGTGCAATTGAAGCTTCTGTCTTTAAACGGTAGGGTATTTGTACGTAATGACTGACTTACTGACTGTTTTACAGTCATGAATTTATCGGGCAGGAAATGAAATGCAACTGATTGATCCCCCCTCCCCCCTCTCAGTATTTACCGCTTGTAGTTCCAGTTTGTGGTGATTTGAAGGAAAATGAAGACTGTGAACAAGAGTGTGTGACAAAGGTTTTTTCCTTTTTCCAAGTAAAAATTTCATCTAAAATCTTTCGCTTGCAGCAGAATGAACACGGAACATATCTAGCTTCAAACAATTAGTTCAATGAATTTAGTCTCCACTACACAACAAATAACACAGTAGTATAAACCAAATCAGGTTATTTGAGGAAGCCTGCCGAGAACCAACCCGAGACATATATTGCCCGAGGCAACATGCATGTATACATTCGCAACTGATATACCATATGCAGTCCTAATTTAAAAATAGGTATACATTAGGAAAATGCAAACTTCACTTAGTCGGAATTAATAGAGATGGGCAACCGCTTACAAGGACATTACTACGGTTATATGGAGGCCAGAAAAAACCTGCCAGGAAAAACCCTTTGGGGAAAAAATATGACAGTAAATCTGGGTAGGAACCACGGCCCAAACTCAAAGCAGTTGGAAGCCCGCCCTACGAGGCTTCACAGTTAGAAAAACAATAAGTTTACAAACTAATAAAATTTGTCATTAGCCAGAGGTGGACGGTTGGTTATGATGGACACCACCTACTGTACTCCCGTTATATAGTACTGCACCATTACCCATGATGCACGGGCCTGAGGCCTAGGCCTTGTCGTATCTCGTGCCGACAAAATATTTATTTCTGCCTTATTCGCAGACTCAATCGCCAGAAATACCATGTTTAGTCTCCACTACACAACAAATAACACAGTAGCGTAAACCAAATAAGTTTATTTAGAGAAGCCTGCCGAGAACTAACCCGAGGAATACATAGACTGACAAAGAATTGGGTAAGACGCACGAGACTAGGTGATATTATACCACTAAAAAGAAAAAGAAAACGCCCTCGGAGCCCAAGAAAACGCGATACTTCGAGTCTTTGTTCAAGATTATCGTCCACGTATGTGTCTTTGGCTTGTACCGATTTCCAATGACCATGTCGTCAGAAAACCCTGTCGTTTACTCCATTATTTGCTGCCATAGTGGCTCCTCCAGATCGTAGAGAATGCAAACCAAACTCGGACGGTTCAACTCTGAGACTTTTCTGGTCCCATGAGACCGTCTCTAATTAAAGGAAATATCACTTCTTCTAATTCTAGACACATCGTCAAACCTAAAGAAGCCGGAAAAAGATAAAACACACATGGTTTAACTTTTCGATGCGTTCGTCGGTTGCTTTTACAGTTCCATCAATAGTGTCGAGAGTCACACTGAGCCAGGTGATAACTTGAACAGGCTCTCAAAGAGACTTTCCCTCATTAGGAACAAATCCAGGAACAAATCCAGCAAATCTGAATGGACGACTAAACTGTTAACTTTAGCAAAAACAAAATCTGTTCCCCCTACTAAAGGAAAATAGCTATTGGGATGCCCTGGCTCCTCCACGATTTCTGACTGGCTTAAAAATTGATATGAAAGTATACGGCGAAATATCTTGAAACCTCGTTCCCAAAATCCCAAGCAAAAGCGTGAAATTTTCTGTGGTCCGGGAAAATTTTAATGTGGTGATAACCAGACTTAAGACAAAATTTAAACAAGTAATAATAACGATCAAATAACTGCGTAGCGACACCAAGATCTTCGTATCCAAGTGTTGCGACATCTAAGGCTCGCACTTGATTGACTATCTGTGAGTTTCTTTGATTATTGACCCATCAGAATGTCTGGTTTGTTACTTGTTTGCCTGAATTAACCCTCTTCTGCACTGACTTACCTGAAAACTGCATTTATCTTAGCCAATCAGAACTGAGTAATTTTTTCATGTATCTTATTAGATCTGTAACTACACTTCCAAAGATTTCACTAAATTTGACAAACACCGAGGTGGAAACTAAACAGGATAGGATAAGGAACCCTATGTACCAAATGTTATAGGCTATATATGGAGTAACAGGAAAAAAACTTGGTTTCCACCATTTTAATGCAGTTACCCCTTTTCGTTTTAGCAAAACTTTCTAACGTGAATGATGCAATCATTCAATAAACATCAGATTTTTGTGAGATGAACCAGGAAGTGCAATCATACTCATGCCGATTCTAGTCTCGTAAACGCTTCATTTCAATACAGGGTAGGACCTCCGTCGGAATGAGAAAACCAAGATTCCTAATAAAGTGTCGCACCCATGAACCCTTGTACAGGAACTTTCGAGTTTCATATGCCTGATCTACATTTTTTTCTCAAACTAACAGTGATCAAGGCCATATGAAAAACACAGAAGAGGAACTAGCTATCAAAATAGGTGTAAATGTCGCCATTTTCCTTCTCAACACTGGTTTGGCCTTTAAAGCCATCGAGTTGTGCCAAGAAAGCTTGATTTTACTAACCAAGAATGATTTATGCGCGGAAACTCCAGTTGCCAAATCATTTGACGAACGCATCCGCACCACACTGAAAAGGGCGTGGCTCACTCTATGCAATTCCCCAGGTTTTAAAGAATACCTCAGGAAACTTTCATTTCACCCTGAAGAGGGAAAGAAATTTTACGAATTAGCAATAAACGTGACGAAAACGACCGGAAACAGACAAAGAGAAGCAGAGTTTTATAGCGGACTAGGAGTACTTCTATGTTCCACAGGAGAATATGACAAGGGGAAAGAATATTTGGAGATGGCACTTGCAATTAACATAAAATTTGGTGACAAGAGTTGCATAGCTGCAAATTACATAGACCAAGGAAGAGTGTTAAAATCGCTTGGAAAATACAACAGGGCCCGAGAATACCTGGAGAAAGCTCTCGCTATCCAAATAGAAATTGGCGACAGAGATGGAGAGGCAGCAATATACGTGAGCCTCGGACCACTGTTCAGATCGCTTGGCAAATATGACAAGGCCCGAGAATACCTGGAGAAAGCTCTCGCTATCCAAATAGAAATTGGCGACAGAGATGGAGAGGCAGCAAGCTGCGGGAACCTCGGATGTGTGTTCATATCGCTTGGCAAATACGACAAGGCCCGAGAATACCTGGAGAAATCTCTTGCTATCCAAATAGAAATTGGCGACAGAAAAGGAGAGGCAGCAATCTACGTGAACCTCGGAACACTGTTCATATCGCTTGGCAAATACGACAAGGCCGGAGAATACCTGGAGAAAGCTCTCGCTATCAAAATAGAAATTGGCGACAGATATGGGGAGGCAACAATCTACGTGAACCTCGGAACACTGTTCATGTCGCTTGGCAAATGTGACAAGGCCCGAGAATACCTGGAGAAAGCTCTCGCTTTCAATATAGAAATTGGCGACAGAGATAGAGAGGCAACAATATACGTGAGCCTCGGAACACTGTTCAGATCGCTTGGCAAATATGACAAGGCCCGAGAATACCTGGAGAAAGCTCTAGCTATGAAAACAGAAATTGGCGACAGACATGGAGAGGCAGCAAGCTGCGAGAACCTCGGAAGTGTGTTCATGTCGATTGGCAAATACGAAAAGGCCCAAAAATACCTGGAGAAAGCTCTCGTTATCCAAATAGAAATTGGCGATCGAGATGGAGAGGCAACAAGCTACGGGAAACTCGGAGTTTTGTTCCAATCGCTTGTCAATTATGACAAGGCCCGAGAATACCTGGAGAAAGCTCTCGCTATCAAAATAGAAATTGGTGACAGAGATGGAGAGGCAGCAATCTACGTGAACCTCGGAACACTGTTCATATCGCTGGGCAAATACGACAAGGCCCGAGAATACATGGAGAAAGCTCTCGCTATCAAAATAGAAATTGGCGATAGAAATGGAGAGGCAACAAGCTGCGGGTACCTCGGAACAGTGTTCACATCGCTTGGAAATCATAACAATGCTCAAGAATACCTGGAGAAAGCTCTCGCTATCCAAATAGAAATTGGCAATCGAGATGGAGAGGCAACAAGCTACGGGAAACTCGGAATTTTGTACCAATCGCTTAGCAATTATGACAAGGCCCGAGAATACCTAGAGAAAGCTCTCGCTATCAAAATAGAAATTGGCGACAGAGAAGGAGAGGCAGCAATCTACGAAAACCTCGGAACAGTGTTCACATCGCTTGGAAAAAGTGACAAGGGCCAAGAATACCAGGAGAAAGCTCTCGCTATCCAAATAGAAATTGGCAACAGAAATGGAGAGGCAACAAGCTACAAGAACCTCGGAATTTTGTTCCAATCGCTTAGCAATTATGACAAGGCCCGAGAATACCTAGAGAAAGCTCTCGCTATCCAAATAGAAATTGGCGACAGACATGGAGAGGCAGCAACCTACGGGAGCCTCGGACCACTGTTCCAATCGGCTGGCAATTGTGACAAGGCCCGAGAATACCTGGAGAAAGCTCTCGCTATCCAAATAAAAATTGGCGATAGAAATGGAGAGGCAACAAGCTACAAGAACCTCGGAAGTGTGTTCAGATCGCTTAGCAATTATGACAAAGCCCGAGAATACCTGGAAAAAGCACTCGCTATCCAAATAGAAATTGGCGACAGACATGGAGAGGCAGCAACCTACGGGAACCTCGGAACACTGTTCCAATCGGCTTACAATTGTGACAAGGCCCGAGAATACCTGGAGAAAGCTCTCGCTATCCAAATAAAAATTGGCGATAGAAATGGAGAGGCAACAAGCTACGGGTACCTCGGAAGTGTGTTCAGATCACTTAGCAATTATGACAAGGCCCGAGAATACCTGGAAAAAGCTCTCGCTATCAAAATAGAAATTGGTGACAGAAATGGAGAGGCAACAAGCTACGAAAACCTCGGAACAGAGCTCATACTGCTTGGCAAATGTGACAAGGCCCGAGAAAACCTGGAGAAAGCTCTCGCTATCCAAAAAGAAATTGGCGATCGAGATGAAGAGGGGACAAGCTACTGCAACCTCGGAATTTTGTTCCGATCGCTCGGCAATTATGACAAGGCCCGAGAATACCTGGAGAAGGCACTCGCTATCAAAATAGAAATTGGTCACAGAGAAGGAGAGGCAGCAGTCTACGGAAACCTCGGAACAATGTTCATACTACTTGGCAAATGTGACAAGGCCCGAGTATACCTAGAGAAAGCTCTCGCTATCCAAATAGAAATTGGCAACAAAAAAGGAGAGGGAACAAGCTATGAGAAGCTCGGAATTTTGTTCCAATCGCTTGACAATTATGACAAGGCCCGAGAATACCTGGAGAAAGCTCTCGCTATCCAAATAGAAATTGGCGACAAAGATGGAGAGGCATCAAGCTGCGGGAACCTCGGATGTGTGTTCATATCGCTTAGCAAATACGACAAGGCCCGAGAATACCTGGAGAAAGCTCTCGCTATCAAAATAGAAATTGGTGACAGAGAAGGAGAGGCAGCAATCTACGAAAACCTCCAAGAAGTGCTAATAACGCTTGGCAAATATGACAAGGCCCGAGAATACCTGGAGAAAGCTCTCGCTATCCAAATAGAAATTGGCGACAGAAATGGAGAGGCAACAAGCTACGTGAACTTCGGGGTTTTTTTCCAATTGATTGACAATTATGACAAGGTCCGAGAATACCTGGAGAAAGCTCTCGCTATCCAAATAGAAATTGGCGATCGAAATGGAGAGGCAACAAGCCACGGGTACCTCGGAAGTGTGTTCATATTCCTTGGCAATTATGACAAGGCCCGAGAATACCTGGAAAAAGCACTCGCTGTTAAAATAAAAATTGGTGACGAGGGTGGAGAGGCAAGAACCCTCGGGAACCTCGGAGTACTGTTCCAATCGCTTGGCAATTATGACAAGGCCCGAGAATACTTGGAGAAAGCTTTACTTATTTTCAAGAGAATTGGCTACAGAAGAGGAGAGGCAAACACTTTTGGAAATCTTGCGTCTTTGCATCTGTCCCTCGATAAATATGCAAAGGCTGACGATTTTCTCGAGAGAGCGAACGCAATTTGGAGGAAAATCGGTGACAGAAGAGGACAAGCAGTACATTATTCATTCCTTGGGATAATTTCTCGTAAGCGTGGTGAGTACGACAATGCTCTAGAATATCACAAGAAAGCCCTTGAAATTCACATGGAAATTGGTTCGAAAGAAGGTGTTGTTCCTTGTTACGCAAATATAGGTCGTTTGTGTTTCCAATCGCTCGGTAAATATGACATGGCTGAGGAATACCTCAAGAAAGCTCTCTTACTAAGCAGGGATATTGGACACACCTTGCATGAGTTTAATTGCCTTCTTGATCTAACGCTATTGAAGGTATCACAAAATGATCTTAAAGAAGCCTTTTCGTTTCTTTTCCAAACCATTGAAATATTCGACACTTTGCGAGGATTTCTTAAAGACAACGACCAGTTTAAAACATCACTTTTGGAGGAGCACGGCACCTTTCCCTACGAGTTGCTCAGTAGCTTGCTTTCTTCCACGACAAAGCCACAAGACGCCCTCTATGTCGAGGAGCTGAGACGGGCGAGGGGCTTAGCCGACTTGATGGCAGCTCGGTACTCTGTTGTAGAGCAGATCTCAGGCGATCCAAAATCATGGTATGGGATTCAAAACATTGTCGCAAAGGAAACTGACTGTGCATGCCTCTACATTTCTGTTGGAGAAAAGCATATGCGCTTCTGGATTCTCAAAGCAACAGGGGCTATTCTTTTTTCAGATGAGAAAGTGAGCCTGGACAAAAACGTGGTGACCGGATTAGTCCCTGACTTGGATGAGTTTTTTACGGAAAGTTTCCGCGGCCTTGGCATTTTACCCCAACAGAATTGCGAAGATCGATCTCTAGATGACACCGAATCAATGTCACTTTACCATGAAAATCACCCGCTCCTGCGCGATTGTGACGACAAAGGTATCAAAACAAATCTTCACTTGTGCCACAAGATAATCATCGCTCCTGTGGCCGCTTTACTGAAGGAGCCCGAAATTATCATTGTCCCTGATTCCTGTATGTACCAGGTACCATTTGCGGCTTTAACTGACGATGGAGGAAACTTCGTATCAGACACATTAAGGTTACGCATCGTTCCCTCTTTGACGACTCTAAAGCTTATTCAGGACAGTCCTCCATACTATCACAGTCAAACAGGTGCACTGATAGTGGGTGACCCTCAGGTTGGGGAGGTGATTTACAAGGGAAGCCGCATGAATATAGTACGATTGCCATGTGCAAGAAAGGAAGCCGAGATGATTGGAAGACTTCTTGGTGTGACACCTTTGATTGGAGATCGCGCGACAAAGCAGGCTGTACTTCAAGCAATACATTCAGTGAGTCTGATCCATTTAGCTGCCCATGGTGATGCTGAAAGAGGAGAGATTGTCCTTTCCCCAGAGTGTTCCGCTGACTATTTTCCACGAGAAGAAGCCTTCCTCTTGACGATGACAGACATTTCACGAATTAAGCTGCGAGCTAAACTGGTGGTTCTTAGCTGTTGTCACAGTGCACGTGGACAGATTAAGGCCGAGGGAGTTATTGGAATCGCTCGAGCGTTCTTAGGATCCGGTGCTCGCTCAGTGTTAGCGGCACGATGGGCCTTAGATGACACAGCCACAGAGAAGTTCATGACTTGTTTCTACGAGCATTTGTACCGCGGTGAAAGTGCCAGTGAATCTCTTCACGAGGCCAGGAAATGGATGAGAAACCATGGCCTTGTAGAAGTCTCTAAGTGGGCGTCTTTTATGTTGATTGGTGACAACGTGACATTTGATTTTGCAAATTGGCCTGTGTCTACTGAAACCAAATAACCATGAGTCAAGTAAACCCGCTGTAACGGAATGTGCTGGACTGAGCAAAGCTGGAAACTGTTACTTGCCGCCGTATAGAAAGAGGAAACCATCTGCGAGAAACGTCTGCGAGCTAAATTTCAAGCACTCGGCTATTGTCAAAGTAAAACATTTGTTTAAAGAACGCTCCAGAGACAGAACAATTCATAAAGTAGAGATGATGAACAGTTAGCAGTTAACAAGCGCAAAGAGCATTCCTTTCTCGCAAGGGAATCGTTAATCAATTAAGCCAAGCACATTGTAACCAATTTTTTTTCGAAAGAGATTAATATCTTAAGCAAAGCAAATTTTATGTAATATACTTCCGAAAGTGATACGTCAGAAATATGGAGTAATTGTTTTTATAAGAGGCTCTCTATCATATCAAATGCGCAGAGTTTCTTTCTTCAAAGTTAGGCAGTATACTCGAATTTTATTTTAATGATTCTTTCAGGAAGTCATATGTAATCTGAGTGATGGTGATAAAACGTTTTCTCTAGTAGGGTAAGATTTTCAAAGGTTTTCAAAATCTTTTTTTTTTCCGGTTTCATTTGTTTAGTATTTCGCGAGGAACTATAAGTCGTTAGATCTCAAGTACTTTTATCTAGTGATCTTCATGCCCATTATATATATCGACTTTGGGGTTATGCTAATTTTTTTGACTTCATTAAATTAATTCCTCGAGAAATTAGAATTTTCTTATTTTTACTGACGATAAAGATTTTAATAGCTGTTCACATGAGCAGTCTACAATTGTCTAATTTAGGATTCCAGCTTGATTTTTGATGGTGGCCCTCAAGTTAAAATACCTCTTCGAATATTTAAAGAGTGGGCCTCTTATCTCTTAATTTTGTAGGAAGAAAAGTCATAGATCAGGAATTAACAAGTTTAGTCCGAGCACAGTTACCAGTAACATTTTCGTACAAAAATTTCTACCGGACTTCGTTAGATTTTAGATATTGTACCTAGAAAAAACTTTTTGCCTAAACCATTTATGTTACTACAATCGTTGAGATGTTCAGATCAACAGTGTTGTGAATAAAAAGCAGTTATTCTTGATCATTACGACATACTGAATGAAGGGCAGATGTTTTTTTCTTCAACCAAATAAACACTTCGATTCTCATAGCCGGCAATCCATCTCTGATTGTTAGATTTTGATATGTTGCACTTGCTTAGACGGAACTAATAAAATACACCTTCAAATGATGGCTATCTTTGCGAGCAAAAAAATTTCATGGCAGGTGAAGGCACGAAGTTGCTAAGTTAAGCTGAAAGAAATTAAACATGATACGAAGTTCTCTCAAGGGAGAACTGAAAGCAGAGTGATGTGAAGTTTTACAATTTATATGAGGGTCCCTAATAGGGTCACTTAAATCCCGTGATCCCAGCTAAAAGTTTCTCTCAATCCCGTAATCCCGACGGTTTATACCGTCCAGTCCCGATCCCAATCATACAATATTATCTTAGTTTATTTCCTAACCCTGGGAGGGCCATTTCGGTGGGTGACGATTTTCTCCACCAGTATTGATCTATTGATGTCTATGGTCATCGTAAGGCGTAAGTTTATCTCTTTTCACCAAAATGACGATTTCGTTCATTTTAAAAGTTTTCAAAGAAATTCTTCGAATAACGTACGCTATAGTCACGGTAACGACTTCCTTCCGTTAAAATTCGATCACGGACAAACGTATTAGCACAGACAGGTAAGTATCAAAGAAACGAATAGCGATGTCAGCAAGTGCATAAAACACAAAAGGTGACGGCAATCCCATAGAAGGACTGACTGAACACAATTCTGCCGTCGAAGCAAATACTTCTCCTGAATTGGGAACATCTTCTGAGGTGAAAATCAGCCTCTCGTTCCAAAGATGGAATGTCACGATCATCACTCGGAGAATCGTACTCATATATTCTATCTTCCTCTTTGTCTTGTTTCCCGTTGTTTTATTGCTGCTCCTCGAAGTCAGAGCGTTCGAGGCTGACCGGTTCGTCGGGCTGAATTACTCTCTGATAGTGGTACGACGGAGGAGTTCCAGCTCTTGCCATCTTTGTTTTTGCCCAGTCCCTCATCTTCTGTATGCTATGTGGTGCCATCGGTACTGGTGGCAACGGTTGACTATAGCTGGTATGGCCAACAGGATCCGATGGCACGTTCGGGTACAGGATACCAAGAATTTGGATTTGCAAAATAGTACACCGCCCAACAGGTTTGGCTGCATTTCCAAAGTTTCTTGGGTAATCTAACGCCGTGAAAAGTTTATCTTTGTGATGCACAACAGAGTGAATATTCTTCTTGTCTAGTGACATTCGCCTCAACATGTTAAGAGCGTCATATCGGTGTAATTCTGAGACTTGCTAGGGGTTTTTCAACGTCGTTAAGCATTTCAATTGACGCGGCAGTCTCAGATGCCACGTTACCCTGTGGGCCATCAGGGGTTTTGGTAAATTGGCAACTTCGCTTTAGATATAATTGTCATTCCCGCGCAGTAATTGAAGAGTGTCAATTTATTTTATACATACTGCGATTTTCACTAAGAAATCTGTTGTCTCAAAACCCAGTTCACAGCTTTTTACAGCCAATCAAATCAGAGAAACGACAATTTCACGTATGGAGAAAACGTTTCGTCCAATCACGAAGAATCTGTCAGAAGTACTAGGTTTTGTGCCTTCTCCTCTTACTGCCCCGTCAGTTTACTTGAAACTTAGCCTCGTCGTTGGTTGTGTAAACATTTTGAAAGGGGCTGACAGATCTGTAGTCAAATTTATTTCATAAAAAATTAGCCTTTTGAGATGGCCGAAACCTCAAGTTTACGATTTCCTGCGTTAGAAAAGCCCGTGAATGAGTTTATTCAAGAGCAGGAAGACAAGAAAATGCTATCAAAAACGCGGAGAGACATTGCCATTTTGATGGCGTTTTTGAATTCATAATAACTGTCAAGAAAAAACGTTGGCCAACTTGGCCAGCGCTCGGCCAGCCAAGCCAAATCGATATGCTTACAAAAGTCTTTCATGATTGAAGTAAACTAAATGCGCCAAAGCCGGACACGAAAACCCCCAAAAACCAGCAGGTGGAAAAAACGAGGAGCGTGTACCCCCAACCAAGGCAGCGGTGCCACTCTTGGGGTTTTTAGGGCATCCTATGAATGACATGTTATACACAGTTACATATAATGTAGTATGCAAGTACAGCTCTAAATTTATGCAAAAGCGAAAACGAAAATGAACAACTAAACACGGCGAAGGCTAACCGTAGAATGCATTGCCCTACTAACGACCTCTACATACAAACCACGATCCAATAACTCTCCGCGCACCTCACACCCGCCCCCATTCCTCTGATACGTGTCGGCAAAATATGACTTTATGCTAATTAGGATTATCACAAATCACATTTTCTATGAAACGAAGCTACAAACGAATCAAACAAATTCTTGAATCGTCGGATGATGACGACAGCCCACCACTTCAATGAAAACCCTTAGCACTAACTGGCTTTTCTTAAAATATTATTAAAGTGATCGACTTTATCTTTATCTTTTACACTCATGCTACAGATTTGTATGGTAGAGGAGAGCCTCAAGGTACCCATGTTCTTCTGGAAGTACCGTCCCTTGATAGTTTATTGCGTTATTTTCAGATTATATTAGTCTAAGCGATGAGTTAAGTACTTTGACTTCTCATCTTTCATGTTAAGTTTGTTACGATTGTCAGCTTTTATAAGATGATTAATATGATTCACCAAAATAATTTGAACTTTGACAAACAACTGATTCCTTACAAACAAATTTCATGAGAACCACTCTAACAACCCCATAAAATTAATAGTTCATCTGCTAATAAGCTTCGGTAGACTCTTTGTTTTCTTTCATTGATAAGAAAGATAGCAACTTGTTTTCTTGCATGTGTTATATGTCATCAACTTCGCACTTGGGGCTGCTTATAATTAAAAGCTATCTCAGCCTGGAATCTTTTGTTAACCAAGAAAAAAAAGAAAACAGAAGAAGACAGCCTCTTTGGCAAATGACTCACCCTGCTACAGCCTCTTAACCTGCAAAACAGAATTTAATAAAGTCAAAACTAAGCGAAAAAAATGGAAATAGTGTCTAGTAATATGTATTGAAATAATAGCCAACGATATATGGCACTACCTCCCCCCACCCCACCCTAGGAAAGGGTCTTTACACAACATAACAAATGCTGTTTTCAGCTCTCTGTTTCACACATGTGAGAAACGTGCATCTCTAGCATACCAAGACAGAAAACAGTTACAGGATAAACCGATAATTGCATGAAAAAACTTACTGAGGCAAATGCAGATATAGGAAACAAAGTTTCTTTCCAACAGAAAACCCGAGTGAACGCAAATATGTACAAGGAAAACAGGCCTCTTAGGGTAGCACAATAATCAAGTATTTGCTTGCAAATACAGCTTAATCTGTCACTGCATTCTGAGCGCATTGATGCCGCCTGCCAACCTGTCATCTAAGATGTTTTTGTCCGAGAACTGGTCATTACGGTCCGAATGCATCCGATTATTTACGAAGGTCGATCGTATAGCGGAATAGTCCAAGTGATCGTGTTATCAAAGCCATCACGAGCAAACCGCGAGCAACCGTTAACATGTACGTTGAGATTAATAAGTCATTAAGAAAAAAAAAAAGAACTTAGTGTGATACCTTAAATTACCCTTGAGGTAGAGCGACCATCCAATGTGTCAGTCCTAAAAATCGCCAACGAGAGATGGCTGTTGGTGGTAAATACACAAGTTCACTTAACCTAATGCCTGGAGCGTGAAACACTCATCCTTAAACTGGTGTTAGTAGGATTTGCAGAGGTGTCCCGAGGAATTCACCAAAAACTGTTCACCAGTGCTCTCTCGGCTCTAGAATCGTAGATTCCTTTCTTTGGTCCTTGATGTTAAAATTCTTTCTCGGTATCCCCAGTATCGCACAAACAGACCCACTTGTTGCAAAGCCGAG